CATTTGGAGCATGAACGTAATTCGGCGATACTACCGATGTCTATTTCGTAAGTATGCACACATTGCCGGTAATGACGGTCAGATCGGCGATAGAACAGCACAATTGATGTGAAGTCAATCCTTGCCAGACAATTGCCTACCAGAATTTAAGAGCTCTTCCTCCAGCTCGGCAATCGGTCCCTCAAGTTGAGACATGGTGGACTGCGGCTGCAGCGGCAATCCGGCCTTCTGCTCCAGCAAGGAAGCCATTGATTCGCCGAGATGTTGGAGGTGGGCTCTTGCGGCCACAATTTGATTGAAGAGGGCTTCACCGTCCACTTGACCGGTTACCGCAGGACCCGGTTCAAGGATAGCTCCCAGCGGCTAAGGATTGACATGAGAGTAAGTCCATCATCATGAAGCAGAAAGAAAGTGAGAGAGATAAAATGACCGACCAGTTGTTCAAAGTGGTCATGGGTCATCTCCATGACCTCTTGCAGGTTCAAGACCAGCAGCTCAAAACTCAAGTGGTCAAAGTGATCCTTCCACCAATCATAGGGATAGTTAGGAACAACTCGGTGGTGGGACGTCAATCCAGGGCGATGCGGAGAGCAGTGAAGAAAGAATTCATCATGCAATTCCTCGGCTGTGATGGTTCCAGTTTGGAATCGGGTAAATCTGCCGATGATGCTGCGGAGAAGGTCGGGCATGGTTGGGTGGATGTTGAGGACCACTGATATGTTAATATATGAGAATACAAAACACTGATTTAGGCATCAGCTACAAGATCACAATGGCCGACCGACTGACCGACCGATGATGTACTTACATCTGCCTCCCACTGAAGATGCCGAATGAAGGTGGCTTTGTAAGCCGGTGTTCAAGGGATGTGGTTTCGGTCGCAAGCCAGCCAGATCGCGGCGAATTGAGACGTAGCAAACTCTAGAACATTGGCAGCATCCCACAGAGTAAAGTCACTCAGTTCATATGTATGCAATGTTAGGGAGTTGGACATGATGGTGGTAGTTAACATCAACATGGAAAAAACTTTTATGGGGATCGGCATTGTACTGATGACTAATCTAGCAGCTGCATGTGGACCCCGGTCACTCCGCAACCTCAGCCACCCCTTTTGTTCTCTCAAAGCTGTCTTCTGCATGCTGGGATAGTCGGAGATACATTTGAGCCTGGCGGGCTGCATAGCAGCGGTGCCCAATGATGTCCTTTGCATCGGCCTCCTGCATTCGGCGGACCCATTGTTGAGATTTATGCATAAAGAATGCAACCGTCCATGTCATTTCTCGACCGACCAGCAGTAGCTCCTCTTCCCAACGATTTTGCAGTGCCAATGTCCTGAGCCAATGGACACGGTAAACTATTTGGCAAGTAAATTACGACTATATAGGAAGAGGTAGGTCGGCGAAGTACATACATTCATTCATCCAGTCATTGCTGGTAGAATCCCCCTCAACGTCAATGGACCAAAACCAGGCTAATGTGCTATTTCTTTGACCACGGGCATTTGTGTCTGCCACCACGGTAGTGGCCTTGAGGTCGGCCTTCTCCAATAGCCGATACTTCATCAATAAGTCATCGGCACCGAGATTAATGAGCTGCTTCCGGCATTTTGCGTAGATCTGTGTGTTGAGGTTAAGAACTCTGTCAACTGAGTGCACACGAGCCCATGCTCTGGTCGACCGTGCTTGTGACTTTGCCGACTGAACCGTGGTGCGAAAGAGAACGGCCTTGTCGGCCAAGTTGACCCTCACAGCATGCAATGCATCGTTTGCTTGGCCCTCTCTTAAGGATATTTCTTGTAGCACAAGGTCGGAGACGCCCCACTCGGCGCACCTTTTGATGCCGATGTTTGACGGTAATGGAATCACCACGGTCTCAGGATTGAACTCCACCGATATATCACATTGGTCTTCATCATCTGACTGATCGGGAGCCTCCGATGATGATCCGACGGAATCCAATTCTGTTGTGTCCAACATAACTGTCATACCGTCCAAATGGTCGCAGCTGTTGAATTCATTGCCAAGAAATGTCGGTGCGACCCTCACAAATTCATCTAGTTGACCTTGCAATCTGTCACGATGCCGGGCAATAGCCAGCTTCTGATTGTTGGTCGGCCGTTTCCCCAACTTGTTGACATCGATCAGGAGGGCTACTTGCACTTCCTCCAGTGTCATTCCACAGGCCAGCCAAGTTGCAGCACCCTGGTGAATCTCACCGGCGGGCCATTGTGCCTGACGGTTCAGTAGGTGCAACTCTTGCTGTTTTCTTGTTGGTGCTGTGCCACAAGGACATCAGCATATTCAATATACAAGAGTCCCATTGCAACGGACCTTTGGCCAACTGAACTTCGTATATATCCATGGAGCTGGGATTATGAAGTCGGTCATCTTCAGCAGCAGTGGCCTCTGCTTCCCATTTGACAAGGGTGTCATCCTTGGCGGTCTCGCTCAACCGGTCAAATGCATGTCAGCTGTCTTGGACTCCCTGCACGGCCTCCTTAAATTTTCGGCAAAGGAATTTGCCTAAATGCATTTGAATTTGCTAGCTGGATAACATGATATTGCTCACTGATGCGTATCATCTTCATAAAATTGCAATCATTCATCTGAAAGTCCAAACACTCCTTTCGGTGAGGGGTGGACATCCCTCTTGCCGACGGTGATATGATGTTCAAGGGCGCCCACAGGGTCTCCATGATTTCGCCGTCGATTCTGGTGGCACCTGTTATGAAATTGGATGCATACTGCACATAGCATTTGTCTTGATGGCCGTGGACATGCCAGAGCCCGATGCCAGGAATAATCTCCATGCCCCATGGAAGGTCAAGATAGGGCGAGTCCTCAATCCGCTTGCTCAGATGCTTGTTGTATTGACAATTAATGTCATAGAAAGTCAATGCCCGATCAATACCATCGGTGTTGTACCCCAGAGCTTGACACAGCGCGTAATCCATATTCATTTGCCTTTGACCGGCCAACTCATCAGTTCAACCTGGCCAATTTAGCAGTTGGAACGGCGAACCTTTCCCCCTTCTGAAAGTCCACCATTGAATGAGGGACAAAACACCCGTGTCTCGCGCAAGCACACCCTCCTATCCCTGTGGCTTCCAGCCGGTGGTGGGAAGCATTTGCTTGGTTGACCGCTTGGTGGTTATTACAGTCTGACCTTTGTACAATGTCCTGCACCTGGGATAGATGCATTTTGTATCGGGCGTCGCTGACCATGAAGCCCAAGCCATCAGTCAATGCCACTTCATCGGTCGGATTGGTGGGATGTAAATGCTTGGCCTTGAAATTGCCATCCATGACCAAAGATCTGGAATATAGCCATGCAGGGTCGGATCCATTTCTGTCTGACATACTGAGGTTTACACCGGGCTGAGGACATGCAGGACAGAAGAGTGCAAGCTCCCCTGCCTTCGGCTTTCGCTTCTCATGGCCAAACCCATGCCACTTGAGCTGCTTCACTTGTCTCCACTGCCTGCCGACCCTCATCAATTCTCTGTACCGGTCCTTTCGGCTATTGTGAGCAATGCAATGCAGGAAATCCACATCACTCACTGGAACCAGATGAGGGAACACGCTTGATGTGATTCTTATTAATTTACTGTAGTAGTTCATTGCTGATGTCCCGCATTCCAGGTTGTCCAGCAGGAAGTCGTCCAACACCGCAAATGTAAATGCTGTCTTCGGCGAAGTAAAAGATGCAGGGAAGAGGCCGGTTTCAAATAGTTGCATGTCCGGGCTCAGTGCACCGGCGCACTGACAGAATCTGATCATCATGGAGTGGAGCCCGGACGTATCCACCACCATAGTCATCCGAGGATCATTAACCAATGGTATCCATGGGCCGTCTGTGAATTGGTCTCCTTCATCATCTGTGTCGCACCACTCATCGGTCAGTCCGGGGCAAGGCTCGCCTGCATGGCCAAGGTGGACTTCAAACCCAATCTTGGTCAAGGAAGTGTCTTCGAAGAATCCCCCAGTCCATTGACTGATCCGATGGAAAGGCATGCAGCTGTGAAACGTCCGACAGCAATGGGTACAGAAGAGCGGTTCACCCATGCAGCCATGACATCTGTAGACTCCATCCTTTGGACAGACAGAGCACATCCTGTTGGAAGGTGGACCCTCTCGCCGAAGGAGCAAGTCTAAGTAGTCCTCGGTCTTGTACTGCCACTCGCGCAGATAGTCATTTTGACTCTTGATATTTGGTGTCAGCACATGAGACAAGGCAAGTGAATGGTGAGCTTGCCATGGACTTGCGAAGACGAAAAGGCTTCAAGTTACATTCACCTAGGTCGTAGTGTTCATGGTCGCCCTCCTCATGAAGTCCTCTGGTAGATCGGTCCTTTGTAGGCGATTTTCTGGGGGATGAATGAACCGATGTTGTTTTGTTGTAACGTCGAGCTTTGACAAATCATCCCATATCTCCTCTAGATGTTCGTTTGTTCTCCCATTGAACCAAAGAGGATGTCTTTGGAGGACTCCAGGCCTTTGGCTTTGACTTGACCATGGACGGAAGTAGTGCTGCATTTGTCAGGATGTGTTGTTTGGAATGAGATGCTTAGACTTTGGGACGGTTTAGTGCTTACATTCAACTGCCAAATGCAATGCCTAGTATGTAATAGTCACTTTGATCTCTCGGTAATCATTGGCATGGATATTCACGGCGCAATTCCAATGACTGATAGTGATTTGTGTATATGATATGTCAAGAGCACTTCAGATCCTCCAATTTCATGCCACCCACCCACCTATGCATCTACACCACTCAATAAGTCTTATAGTGATAGGGCTCACACTATTTGGCACAATCTAGCCCTTACGTTCACTTATGACATGGGTGTGTCACTTATGTGAATCATAACTCACATGAGCTTCCTTCCATTTTTCGTTCCATCAACCACATCAACGCTCTCCTACACGTACATTTCCAGGTTCTTTACTCCAAGCTACCTACTGTGATATGCCTCGGACAAAGATAATCACCGGTGATCAGCCTCGGTTGAACGACCAAGAGACAACCACACTGCAGTCCCATGTTGAGGACTGGGAGAAGGCAAGTGGAACTGAGCAACGACAGATTTTCAAAGTGGCCGCCAGAGAGGCAAAACTTTTCGCTCCAAAGATGGACAAAGAGCTCTTGAAGCAACGAAAAGAGGTAAGCTTTTCGGCTTTGATCTCGGGTCATGCTGCATTACAGTCATCATGCACAGAGATACAGGCAGTGGTTCTACAATCACAAGAAACCCAAGGTTAATGCCAAAGTGCCGAATGAAGCTGCAAAAGAAATGGACAGCCCGCCGAGTCATCGAAGAGGAGCGGAAGGCCGACATTCTTCAGCAAATACATGAAGAAATTGAGGAGGAGACTGGGCAGAAGCCTGAGCAGAAAGAAGTCCTCAGAAGATATCAACCTACCATGACGGCAATCATGAAAGGGCTCAACGATGATGAGTTGGAGGAAGCCCGGGCAAAGGCCGACCAGTGGACAAATCAAGTGCCTGACCCTGTAGTCCAGGCCAAGACAGCTAAGAAGAAGGGTGCAAAAAATGATCAAGCACTTCGCCAAAGAGATGTTTACTCAGGCCAGTATGAGACTCTTTGTATTGGGATCCTGGAAAGACGAGAAGGGCGCCCTGCTTACATCTGGGCAAGTTGATATGCTCGGTCGGTTGGTCATTGTGCTTACATGGTTTGGCAGGTTTGACTTCAATGAACACCTCGGAAGAGGATCCAGCTTCATGAAATGCAAGGACTGGCAGGTCATCTTACCGGCATGGGAAGATTTTATTGGTGATGAATTCGGTAAGTCTCAAGACCATCTGAGAGGTGCTTCATATAATTCATGTTGCCTCCACCAAGACCAGGATCAAGACCAGGACGGCACACTGTTGGGAGGCACTCGCCGAGTCCCCAAGCCTCATTACGAGTTCGACCTGGACCGTATGGATTTGCCGATATTGCCTGATATTAAGGGTGTCTCGCTTGAAGTCAAGAAGGCAATGATTCGGTCATTCCTCACCATTCATTACAGTAAGCCGTATGATAGAAGACCTGTGCCATTATCTGACACCCGCCGCCATAGGAATATGTTGCGGAAAACGGAAGGTCCCAGTGCCATGGAGTGACATAATGAAGGGGCAGTCACGGTTCATCTCCAGCACATACCTGCCAAATGATATCAAGATCACAGACCCATCCAAAATGCAACGGAATGAAGCCAATGCCTTGTTGGAATGTTGGTTGGACCGACAAGACCACCAGGTTGGACTAATGTTAAAGTTCAAAGCATGGATTGACGACAAGGGCAAGATGCATTCACCGGTCGGCGAAGGGTCTGATGGGTCTGATGCTGATGCTGATGATGAGGGCTTATGGCCCAGGCCAACTGCAAAGTCATCGGCCGCCACTGCACTCTCATCGGTCAGACTTCCAAAAAGGCCGCCGAGGTTCATCAAACGGGCTCATATCGGTTCTGCCGATGAAGACTCTAACAACACCGATGCCTCCAACCGTGTGGAGAAAGATGCAATTACCGCACACAGTGACCAGGTGGGGCGCGAGTCAGAGTCAGATGACCGACCGCGACCGAAGAGCTTGCGTAAGAGAGCTACAATTGAGCCTGCCATCATCTCACTGCCAACAGACTTCGCACAAATGGGCCGACCGGTGGTAGAGTTGGTCAGGAAAGTTACTCATAACAGACAAGCCACTACTGCAGGCAGGACCGGCATGCCCATCGAACAGGTGACCGAGGGATCAGCTGATGAAAGTGGTGGCAACACTGCACCCAAAGCCGACTATGACGCAAGTGGTGCTCATCATTGTGGCCAGCACATTCGTAGCTTCGGCCCACATTCAACTCGTCGGGGCATGGAACATCTTCTGGCAACACCAGTGGCAAATGACCGGTTGACCAAGAAGACCAAGGCAACTAGGAATATATCGCCCGCGGTAAATGACGGGTTGCCGAAGAAATCATTTGCCACCAGAGACAGGTCACCGGCGGTGAATGACTGGTTGCCCTCGCCTGCGGTAAATGACCGGTTGCCGAAGAAATCACTTGCCGCCAGAGACAGGTCACCGGCGGTGAATGACCGGTCGCCCAAAAAGACCAAGGCTACCAGATCGGCGGCTCGCTCGCTCTCTGATGCACCAGCCAGGAGTACAAGGAGTAAGATTGACAACGGGCTTGGCGCCCGAATTCGACAAAAGCCCAAGAGATATGCCGACTATGTGTAGTTGTCGGCGGTCTCACATGTCATGTGGCTTGTTCCATTCTCCTCGGTCTTCAATGAGTTTGGTATTTAGATGGTATTTAAACACATGATATATACATTGTTATCTCCACTCAATCTTCTACACTACTGAATTGGAGACTGTCCCCGGCCCATTTTCCTCATTGCTAGTAGCAATATATGCAGGGGATCATCGATCTTGCAGTGCATGTTCATCAGATGTTCAATTTTCGCGACATCAGCGCTGGCTGTCACAAATTGGTTACGGGCATCCTGGTAATCAGAAATCAAACCCTGGTTGGCGTCCAAGAGATCTCTGCAACGTTGCCCTCGGTCATCTCCTGTAACACGGCGATCCTTGACATGAGTTCGATGATGAGAAGACACATAGACCTACTCATTGCAGCATCAATATTTTCCAGCCTCAAATTGGCTCGGCGCAGCAATTCTTCGCCTGCCTCGACTGTCTGACTCGGCGAGCCATCACTCGGTGCTGGAGATGTGGTCGGCAATATATTTTCAAAACACATGTCATATGATGCCTGAGTGTCCGCTGTTGGATTTGATTGTCAGTGTCTGTGACTTACATTCAGAAACCATTTGAACCCACCTGCGTTGACCAAGTCAATCACCGGTGCAGCAATCAAACCACTTTCAACGTGATCATCTCCTGCCGTTGGTGAAACGCCCCAGCACATGTCAAAATCGCCTAAGTAATATTTAGTCACAGCCGTCAGTGCTAATAACCAATGCTCACCTATATATCCCACTGCTTCTGCAGATGCACAGTCATTCCAACACATATCGTATTGACCGGCTCCGCCGGGTATTGTGATATCCATGGTCTTATTCTTTCCGGTGTCCATAACATCGATGGTCTCATTTTCTCCGGTGTCCGGCTGGAGGATCGGCGCCAAATCGATCGTCGGTAGACCTTCCTCGCCATTCCAACATAGATCATATTCACCTGCTTTCAGTGGTACGGCCGCTTCCGCCGGATCAGTCAGTGCCGGAGTTACCTCAGTGTCCCAACACATGTCAAACGCTAATCACTTCGTTAGATGTCTAAAATATTCTAAAGGGACTTGAGTTACCTTGGCTTCGCATGTGCGGTTCAGCCGATGGAGTTTTATTCGGTCTTTCCACCGTCGGCATTGGATCATCCTCGAAATTCCAGGACATGTCAAATACTAACGTTGTCAACAACCACTAAAGATCAATTTAACATGAAACTTACTTTCAGTACCAGCATGTTGGGTGGGAAGTGCTTCGGTTTGTGTCTGCCAGGATGGCATGGTTGAAAGTAAATAGTTTGTTAGTTCATATGGCCTGGATATATTCGGTTGCTCAGGGCTAATGCGAGTTTGATGGTGTTTCGGGCCGTTTTGAGGGGAGGGAGTTGTGCACAACTTCGGTGGCACCCACTGGTCCCAAGTGACGAAAAAATTGCAGTCGGTTTTGATGCGGTCGTCCTGTAGCCTTCGAGCGTTGTCAACCAAATTCTCGTGGGGACCCATAGAGGTCTTTGGGAACTTACACTCTGCAGTTGGTAAACAATGAAGAAGTCCAAACGTTGCTGCCGCACTTCGGCCATTTCCGGCGGTCTTACAATGTGGCGCCCTTTGTCGCATTTTCTCATTCCTCACTCACATTCAACATCGTCGCCATCACCTCGCGCCAATTCTGAACCATGCCGTCACAACACGAATCCGATCTTGCTTTGGCGCTTGCTGACAAATCTCTGCGCGATTCGCTTAGCCGAATCACACACTGGGCAGCTGATGGCCGGGAAGTGATGGATCAGGCGCATGAGATAGCGCGGCAGCTGGTGTGTCTTTTTTCACTCTCATTATTATGTACCTACTCACCATGCACAGTCTCAAGCGCTGCAGCAGCATGGCAGGACGTGCTCGGTCATCTCACCGTTCCTGCTTTCTGCAGCCGCTGAAATCCGGGCGACCATGAATCAAGGTCTTGTCCCCCAATGGGATTGTGTGTGCCATAATGATTATCGTATGGAGTCACATCCGTTCTTCCCAAAGACTGCTGGATATCGTGAGTCGGCATTCTTTTCATTTCAAATGGGTGCGCTAATACCATCACAGAACACACAGCTGCTGCACCGGCGCCTGCACCTACACCGGCGCCTGCGCCTGCACCGGTGCATGCACCTGCACATGTGCCTGATCCGGCACCTGATCCGGAACCTGCAGTTGCACCGGCACCGGCACCAGAACCAGCCCCCACAAGGCTGTCTGTTCCGCCGATCGCCTCACTCCCTCGCATCGGTCATTCTCAACAGCCCGTTGTTCCTAGCACCATTACTGACAAGGGCAAACGGTCTGACCGGGGGGCTCGTAGAACCAGAGAAGACAGCCCTGACGCCAAGTCAGGCAGGAAGAAGCAAAAGGTGTTGAAACATCTGTCAAAGGCTATCATCTCCAACACCGAGGATGAGGACAGGCGGCCAACAGGCACCATCATAGTCAAGGTATGTTTTTCTTTGACCATTTTCAACTAACCACTTACATGAGATTAGCGGGCCAAGGTTGCTGAATCTTCCGGTGTAGCGCCGGTCAAATCACAGGTAAGCATGGCAGTAATGCCAGTGCCTATATCATCGCTGAGGACTTTGCAGGGTACGACGAAACACGTAAAGCAGGTGAGATTTACCTCATCCTGTCAATCTGCCGAACTCAAGACTCTTCAGCCGGCCGCCGAACCAAAGATCGGCCGAGCCCAGCAAAAGGGCAAAGGAAAGGAAAAGGCTGTTGACATCGCCGGGCCTATCAGAGGGCGCCGGCCACTGAGGGCCAATGATGAGGAGGAGGTCAGTGAGGCAAGTTGATTTCGGTGACAGAGTACTAACTTGTTCACAGTACACTCCACCGTGCGACAGATGCATCGGGGAATCTTGCCTTGTTGTGGTCGGCAGGAAGGGGCAGGCCATCAAGTCCTGCGCCAAGTGCCATTTTATGAAGGTACGGTGTGAGCGACCAATGTCGGTCGATACCCGCGGCCCTGCAACAATGCGGGCTCCAAAGTCACATCCTCGGCCAAAGGCTGCACCGGCCTCCAAGTCCAAGGCCCAATCCAGGACCACCAGAGCAACCTCGCGCGCACGTCCACCGACTCCCATGGTGGAATCTGAGGATTCTGTTGAGGATCCTGGTAGGTAATTTTTTTTTTTTTTTTGCCATGACACGCTCTAACTCACCTTCGCAGAGGTGTCTGTCGCCGGCCACGATGATGCCGATATGGATCTTGTTACCGACGCCGAGCAGCACACTGACATTCCTACTGAGATGTTGGCTGAGGCTGCTGATCAAATCATGGTTGACCAGCCTGGAGCCATTGCTTCTGTGGACGACTTCCCCCACGACCATTGGCTGGAGAACACTGACGATTTGCCCGTCCCTCATGTCCCACCAACTCATGTCGCCGATGCTGTTTCCCTTCCTTCGGCGCCGCCAGCACCTACCATCCTCGAACATGTGCTCGCCCTAACAGCTCAAGTCAATGCCATGCAAACGGCCGACGACAATGCCCTTGCTAGGGTGAATGCGATAAAGCACGATTTTGATGCTCGCATCTCCTCGATGCGTGCTGAGCTTTCCGCCGTGCAGCTTGATGTCGGCACCACCGTGATGTTGGTGAATGGACTTGTCGGTCTTGTTGAGAAGCTTCGGCAGGAGCGGGTCCTTGCCAATCCATCGTTCCCACCACCGATGGTGAGCCATGGCAATGATTCCACTGCCACCGCATTCGGCATGAGGTACTTGAACGGCGTGTTTGGTCCTTCCATTGCTCCTATCCCCCTTTCTGTTGGCGTCGGTCAAACTGTCATATCCCGTATTCCGGACCTACATCCGACAATATTCCCACGCCTCATCCGGACCTTCGGACACCCTATTCATGTCTCCAGTCCTCTATCCATCCGGATCCCTGCACCCCTGCACATCCACATCCACATCCACATACATTTACCTCCATACCTCAATCCACGCGTCTCATCCGGACATCCGGTCCAGTCCGGTCCGATCCGATATACGATAAGCTTCCTAATTCAATTCCTGTGCATATAACGTTAACACAGCCTATTCCTCTATTCGGTATTCCTTGTCCTCGGTATCTCGGTTATACTTACTACTGATATGCTTACTGATCTGTTAACCTATGCTTCATTTCCGACTCGCGCTTGATAACTTTGCTTATGCTTCATACATAGCCTCGGACGCTTGCTTACTGATCTTTCCGTTATTTCCTTAGTATATAAACTCTTGTATATGTCCTGTAGTTCCTCAGTCTAAATATCATATTAGTCCTCGCACTAGATCTCACTCTAAGTCCTCACATCAGTTCTAGTCTATCGACTTAGTCAATATCCATCTCGGGCCTAGGGAGAAATTCCCTAGGCCAGAGCTCCACTTATCCGCTCATCCGCTTATCCGTTTATCCGCTTATCCGCTTATCCGCTCATCCGATCCTCCGAAGTTTCCGGACGTTCGTCCGAAACTTTCCCGCGGTCCTCCGGACCTATTCTGCTTCGGACTTTGTCCTTGCAGCCTTTCCTCTGTTTGCTTCTACTTAGGACTTGTCCTAAGTAGCCATTACACGTATCCATATCAGGACGAAACCTCATTGTAATTTCCGGAAGTTCCTCCGGAACTTTCCCGCACTCGTCCGGAAGTTACTTGCACTCGTCCAGAAAGTCCTTCCGAACTTTCCCGCGCTTCGGACATCCTTCGGACGTCCTTGGACTTTCTTCGGACATCATTCTGAAATTAAGGGCACATACTCGGGTAAGGGTGGGATTGCTAATTGGGCTCACTAAGCTTAGGCGTTAACTTGACCTTCTTGACTTCACGCTGATGTAGCGCCTCTGATTGTTGAACTTTGCTCATGTTTGATGATTTCCGGACTATGTTCAAACTTCAAGGTAAACGCAATTACAGTTCTAAGTTCTGCTCTGACCTTCTGCCACACTATTAGCATATTTGCGCTTGCCTGTTGGCAATGATGCTGGCGCTTGTACTGTGCTGGCTGGCTCTTTTCTAACTCGTGTGTATTTCATAGGGCGATCTGGGAACATCTGAGTATTTATTCTTGTCACCACTATGAATTGGTACTGACCAGGTCTTGTTAGTGCCGCAGTTTTGGCTGCACGAGCTGCTGTTAGAATTTTTCATTAGCGTTAATCTTAAAAGGTATATATAATATGCCCTCACGTCGTCCTGTGCTGGGCTTATCTAACTCCATATCGTCCGCTGTATCCGCAACAGAGACATTTTCAAGTTGGGCTCGCATTCTGGCCTTGCGGGTTTCCCTCAACTGTGCAGCAACCGCTTTTGACTGCTTTCGTGCAGCCATCTTGGTCCAAGTGAACGTTGATGGAGGTGGAGGTGAGGGTCACAACTTGAACGAGAAGAAAGGCAAAAATGTGAGAGGCTAGTTGGCAAGTTCAAGAGCCGACCAGGGTCTGTTGAACCTTGTGGGTCTGTTGAACCTTGTTGGCCGTAACATTTCCTTAGCCTTTTCCTTTTCAGTTAGCCTTTTCCAGTGTACGCTATTTCTTAGTGCAACCACCATGGTGTTTCAATGTGCAGGCTGCCGTGAATATTTCCCTCGAAGGGGATCCTACCTTCAACACCTCCATAAGTCCTCCAATCCACGCTGTCAACATGAGCGCGATAGCCTCAATAATTTGGTACACCGACCTGTACGCAGAAATGCACCCCATGACCACAGCACCATGATGTCCACACGGACCACACCTGACGATGTCATATCAGATCCTCAGCCATTCGGTGGGGATTATTTTGGTGATGACTATGGAGAAGAAGATTTTCCCTTCGTAAATGATGAAGAACCGGTCCACGTTGATGTTCACCATAATGCAAGTGTGGTGGAGGAAGATGAGAACGTGCCAGAGAGTGACAATGAGGATATTGAAGGTGTCGATGTAGGAATGGGTTGGGAGCCACCACGAGACGCAGCGGGACACAACATGGAGTCACTGCCTTCAGATTCTCCTCCGGTCACTATTGAATATTTTGGAGGTGAAGCTGGTGCTCCGTTGGACAATATGCCTCAATTGAAGAGATCCGAGTACATGAATTACTCAGCCGCTGTGGAGGGAAGCGCAGAAAATTCCTGGGCTCCATTTAATTCTCAGATGGACTGGGAAGTCGCACACTGGGCAAAAGTACAAGGTCTTGGATCGAATGCATTCACCGATCTCCTAGCAATCGAAGGTGTATGTATAATTTATTTAGCATTTTGACATGGAAGCTCACATCCGACATTATATCAGGTTCACGAAGCACTCCGTCTGTCTTACAAGAACTCAATCGAGCTCAACAAGATCATCGATACCAAAATTCCATCATGTCGACCTGCTTTCACTCATCATGAAGCCTGCATAGCTGGTGAAACATATGACCTATTCTCACGAGATATACTGGAATGTGTTCGAGCTCTGTATGGTGACCCCGAGCATGCACAATACCTGTCTTTCACACCAGAAAGACATTACGCGGATGCAGGCAAGACTCAACGTCTATATCATGACATGTGTACAGGTGAATGGTGGTGGGCAACCCAAGTACGTGTTCTATGTCTATCATATTCAGTCACTGGCTCATGTTTAACTGTAGGAAGTCTTGGAACAATCAAAGCCGGGGGCCACGATAATTCCCATCATCATCTCATCTGACAAGACACAGATCACTCTGTTCCGAAACAAAACTGCTTATCCCGTTTATCTTACCATTGGCAATTTACCAAAGTGCATCCGACGCAAACCCTCCCGCCGAGGTCAAATTCTCCTGGCATATCTGCCAACAACATGTCTCACACAGATTGCCAACAAAGCTTCACGATGTCGTACCTTGGCCAATCTTTTCCATGCGTGCATGTCACGCATTGTGGAGCCATTGAAGTTAGCCGGTGTGGATGGCATTGTAATGATGAGTGGCGACAGCATCATGCGACGCTGTCATCCAATATTTGCGGCCTTTATTGGGGATTACCCTGAGCAGTGTCTCGTCACTGGGACCATGAACGGAGACTGTCCCATCTGCACTTGTCCTCGCAATGAGCTTGGCGAACACCCCTCTCAACATGAACTACGTGATCTTGATGCAATTTTGGATGCACTCGAACTTCTCGGTGTAGGGATTCATTTCTGGCTGGGCTTGTAGAGACTGTTTTTACCTTACCTTATGTTGGCACTTTTGTAGCTTACATAAGGAAGTTATCTTTTCACCAGTTATCAGTATGAGTCTGAGTCTTCAGTAGTTTTTCATGATATTTCCTCTCCTCTGAGCCTTGAGCCTGGTCCAGAAACCCTTTAGGGTCGAATAGCAGCTAGGTTCTGCAAGACCCAACATTGTTCAGACTCACTCTCTGAATTGTTGTACCTTCATCGGATCCCCACAATATACCCAAGCCTGTAACGGTGTTCGAATCAAACCACTTCAGCATCCGTTCTGGGAAGACCTTCTGTACCTCAATATCTTCCAATCCATAACGCCCGACATTTTGCATCAACTTTACCAAGGGATAATGAAGCACATGATCAGCTGGGTTACTGAGATTGTTGGGGCTGCAGAGATAGACGCACGAGTTCGCCGCCTTCCGCCCAATCATTCTATGCACACTTTCCAGAAAGGGATCACAACATTGAGCCGAGTCAGCGGTACAGAGCACAAGCAGATGTCACGCTTCTTACTTAGCCTCATCATTGATGTGCGGCTGCCAGGAAATGCATCTCCGGCAAGACTAGTGCGTGCAACTCGATCCCTTCTAGATTTCCTTTACCTTGCCCAGTTCCCTGTTCACTCTGATTCATCAATTGATGCGCTTGAAACAGTGCTGGATGAGTTCCACGCAAATAAAGGTGTCTTCGAAGACCTTGGCGTCCACAGCAACTTCAATATTCTGAAGCTCCATTTTCTTCAGCACTATGCTGAATTAATCAAATTGTTCGGCACGACGGACAACTTCAACACAGAGGCCACCGAGAGGCTTCATATCAACTTCGCAAAAGATGCTTACGCTGCCACCAATCACAAAGACGAATTTTGGCAGATGACTAAGTGGCTTGAACGCAAGGAGAAGGTCTTGCAGCACGCAAATTTTGTTGTATGGCGCCACAATTTGAGCACGACCGACACAGCAAATGTCATTGCAGTTTCTCCTACTGAATGCTGGCAACCTCCAGACCTCGCATGCCTCTTTCACATCAAAATGACTCGTCACCCATCACGCAAGTTGGTTCCATTCCGAGAAATCACTTCTTTATCTTCACATGGCGCCATTCATTTTATTCCAGCATTGGCAAGATTTATTGTTCAATATAATCACCTGGGACTGTCCTTCCAACAAATCGAGGATCGTGCAGTGAACATTCATTTTCCCTGCGACTCCGTACCTGTCTTCCACCGAATCAAATTCTGGAATGATGAGATACATGCGACCGAAACTCTCGACTCCATACACGCTCAGCCAGCAGTGAAGAACAGCAAAGGTCGTATTGTCAAAGCTGCTCGCTTTGATACGTGCCTTATACAGGTGCGCAATCCTGATGCACCTCCGCATCTATACAAGGTGACACTTTTTTGAGTCCGCTGGATCCTGCGCTGATATAAAATAATTGTTAGATTTACGTGTCGCGCAGGTTCGCGCAGTCTTCACTTTGCCACAAACAGTATTAAAACGGTATTTCGATCCTCAGAACCCTCCACCTCAGCATCTTGCCTACGTCGAATGGTTTTCGGCCTTCAGTGCTTTACCAGATCCACAGTCTGGGTTGTATAAGGTCAAGCGGGTGGTTCGCGATGGTGAACGCCAAGTGTCCATTGTGCCCGTATCTTTAATTTGTCGAAGTGCTCACTTATTGCCTAAGTGGGGAGGAGCCATTCCTGCAGAGTGGACGAGTCTGGATGTTCTCGATGCATGCCCCTCATTTCTTTTGAATGTTTTCAAAGACATGTACACTTACTTCAATGTAGGATAGGACACGCACATAATTCTCGTGAAAATGTAGTTTTACACGATAATAACTGAAAAAACTGATTAAAGTCGCGTAAAACTGAGTAAAGTCGAGTGAAACGATGTAATGTTGCGAATATATGAGTAATTCCCAGGGGAGGTTTTTCCTGATGGCGCCGCCACTGTAAGCGTAATTTATTCCATCAGATGAGCCGAATCATCATTACTCACATAATGCTTAGTTCGTTGAGTATCCATCTTTGATAACTTATTTTCCATGCTCATTTATCTTGCATATTTTTGTGTCCTATGCAGAATGTGAGTCGTTTGACCTTCATAATGCGAAGCGTTGAATCTCTCATTCATTTTGACTCCCTCTGTCGATCTGTAGGATGTAAGTCTATTTCAATCGTCAATCATTCTAGCCAGATAATCTCTTGCGTTCTTTCACGTGTTCGTAGAATGTATGTTGATCATATTCTGTCTGACATCATGTTACTCCACTGACAAACAATCTCATCTAGCTCGTACGTCCATGAATGGTATTCGCCAGTATATAGTGATGCTCATCTAGTTCCAACCCCTGACAGTTTGTAAGTTACCTGAGCACAGCAGTCATTGTCTATAATCTGGTGGTTGATTATTCACGACCGTTACGTCGACCAAATAGAATGTGCGTCTCTGTTATTAATCAAATGCCAATTTTCCACGTCATAATTCTGACATCCCTTTCCCGCAGGGGGCAAGTACTTTCCTCTGTGGAGTTGATTCCGATACCCATACTTTCAACCTATGACTAGGCAAAAATCCACCGAGATGATATTGTCCAAACCCTTCGGCCCTTGGTAGGTTGGCTTCCCTCTGCATTGATTCCCAGCACTATACGAGTGTGAAACAGGCTGTGAAGGGTTCACTGTTCAGTTCTGCTGCGAACAGAATGATTCAGACTGGCATTGGTTAGTTTCTCGCCACATGAACGGTTGTATTCTTAATGACAGGAAGCAGCTACCATTATCGTCCTCGAGTACTCTGCATTTCTCCCAGACAAGAAGTTGGATGGCTCGGAGCTCGTCAAGTCTGCTGTGAGCTACTACCTGAAATATCCTATGGTTGCCGTAGTAGAGAAAGTAGTGAAAGAGATTTGTCGTCAAGGCTACCACGGAGAGGAACTGGGAAAGAAGGTTCTTGAGTTCATCCTTGATAATCGCTTGTGTACGTCCCTCGCCTCGTTGTGAACCTCGAGGTCGAAGTTTATGAACAACCTGCAGCAAAGGACTTGATAGAAAAGAAGTAGATGATGTTCGGGCCAAACTTCCTGTTTTTCGATGCGTCTTTCCTCATGCTATGTGCTCATGTCGTGTACGATACCAAGCACGCCAGCTCTAACTCCTGAGCAGTGCAGTTGTTTCCGATTCTCTTCCCCGTGTTATGTACTATAGTAACTATACTCGGCACTCCAGTTTCAACACCGACGAGTTTTCTATACCAAGTCAAGCAGATTGTTGCTGAGTTTACTGGAGTCGAGTCCATCGTGCGTGACAGATTTCGCAGCCAGTGGTCCTAGCATTTAAATGCTACAATTCATCTGCCCTCGTTCTTATTTTCTTGTTTGTTGTTGCTGTGACTCACGTCTGCTTTCGCTCGCATTCTCTTGCTATCGCAGGTACCTGCATTGTTTCCATACTAGTATTCGCGAGTTATGCACTCTACTCGGATTGCGCACTACTGTATCCATTCGACCTCAGGTTCGTGGGGGTTGTGGTGTGACATGACATAATGGTAGGTTCGCATGTTCGTTCATCGCTGTGACCTGTGACGAACTTAAAGATAGGTTCTCCGACGTGTGCGCTGCGTCGCTGAAGGACTCGGAGACTCCGAGTCGGATTGATCCTCAGTTGATCCTCAGTTGACGATGGGGATTGCTACATGTCCATACCTGACTTCTTTCTAGCTTTCTGTAGTGCCTCGGCGGGATATTGAACACAAGGGTTCATTGATATAATGTAGTAAGTTTATTTGTCTGTTCTGACTGTCCCCGTCTCAGCCACCTAGTGTTGCCGAAGTCCGGTTCGGTCCAGTTCTTGGGGCAAATTTTCCGAACGCCAAACCAAACCTATGGTTCGGTTCAGCCATTTGGTCGAACCCTGGACCGAACGTCACTGAACGCGTTCGGGAGGTCCGGTTCGCGTTCGAACCAGGTTCGACTAAGCTTGGACCATCTGTTTGGTTGTATAGGCTTGAGACTATGAATTTTCATGTAATTTGAGTCGGACAGATAACGAAAAGACTCTATAACGCAAGGAGAACTCCTTTGTACAAAGATTGAATTCAAGTTTCTAAAATAAATACATTTTATTTGCCTGGTGCGCATAGTTCCCTCGTAAAACATATCTCAAACGGAATAGCATGTATGTTTGCAGTGTCTGAGAATGCAAGCATGTCAATCTTCGCTGCAGGATTCTCCGAAAGGTGGAAAGCACAGAATAAGAGTCGTGTTAATGAAGACAGACCGATTCACGACATGTTGACCGGGAGTCCAAGCCCACAGAATAAGAGCCGTGTTGATGAAGACAGACTGATTCGTGACATGTTGACCGGGAGTCCAAGCCCACAGAATAAGAGCCGTGTTGATGAAGACAGACTGATTCGTGACATGTTGACCGGGAGTCCAAGCCCACAGAATAAGAGCCGTGTTGATGAAGAGTGCCCGACAAGGAACATATCAGTCCCCCATCCAGAGTCGAGTCTACATGCGCAATGTACCAAATATCCATTATAGAGTGCATGCTTACACTGACTTATACTTATACAGACATGGATTGAACACCTACGCGAATTAATCGGACCTGCCAGTGTGCGAGTCACGGGTTGCAGTCTTCGTCGCACTTGCAGGAATGAGGTAGTTGTTCCAGATGATGTCCTTCAATGTCCTTCGTCACGCGATGTGCAAAGCCTGTAGTGAAAGGTGGTCGTCCACTATCGCATCATCACAACTGAAATAAGACGTACCTCCAATAGTGACAGGTCTCTACCTGAGACTCTCGAGGATGAACATGGTAACTTGCGGCAGCATTTCCTGATCAGCAAATGTCGGCACTGATCAAGAGTTATTTGAGTCAGTTGATGCACAAAGAAAAGGCATAACCTACACCGCGTACGCCCCACGACATGATCGAGTTCCTCTTGTACGCGAGCCTGCGCATCTGTGTGAGATTGCGAACACAGTCTACAACAGTTGTCAACTTAAGACACGATGCAATGTAAGAGCTCACCGTTTCAGAACCGGCGCCAAACATTGTTCCTAACCATTTGTGTTCGCACCGTGTCCAACTGCCCGTTATAGAGAGCATGTTCTTCTTTGTGCCATGCCTTCAGCTGACTCAGGTAGCCGAGGACGAATAACTTTCTTGCGTGGGAGGTGTGCTGAGGTGTGGTGCTTCGACACAGCGGAGATCTGACTCTGGCAAGCAAGAATGTGACGGTGCAGTCCTGTGTCACAGCGCGTCACCGTGACGACCACGGCAGGCGCAACAAGACCGCGTCAATTTCACCCGATGGCCCAAACCTGTGGTTCCAGACACATGCCTTTGCATATATGACACGTAGTAAATACTTACATATTCTTAAAAAAGTGTAAAGCCGACAAAAATTGAGAGGTTCGAACCCGTTCGAACCTATTCACTACCAGCCCGAACCCCGAACTTCTAGAAAGGTTCGGTTCTGAGTCTTGGCCGAACCTTGGACCGGACCATGCGTCCGGTTCGGAAAGGTTCAGGTTCGAACCGAGGTTCGGAACCGGACTGCGGCAGCACTACAGCCACCCATGAATTCTTTCATCCAGGATAGCGCTATTGATCTTTCTCTCGACTCGCAACAGCATTACGCACATCTGCTTGTATTTCCTCAATGCTATGATTCATTTATTCCAGCTCCGCACCTCCCCATCTCGGCTCTTCTCGACTTCACCAATCTGGAGGGTATTGAGGAGGCCAGCAGAGGAAAGCGACGGCGCATTGCAAACACGCAATACGGAGAATATGACGCACACTAGTTAGAATTTGTTTTATTTCGCAGAAAAATACGAGAGATCCAGATGTCACACTTTTAGGTTCGTCCTCGCCAGATGCCTGTGACTGTCACACGACATAGGTTCAGTTCGAGGTGTTGGCGACGCTGTGACGAACCTAAGGTCGAATGGATACAGTATTGCATTAACGATTGTACATACTGCAGGACCATTCTGCAAGCTCGTAGAATGTACCCATAACTATTGTGTTGCTTCTGCCATATGCCACCGCAATCTACATAGTATCACTGTGTCTTCCCGCATTTTGAGAAGGTCGTCGCAGTCCAGCAGAGTTCATCGTGAGAAAACACGATCACCTGGCATTTACTGCAGCCTGCCATTTTCTCCCGTACGGTGGTATCTGCCCATCTTTTGTGGTGAGTGTTTTCACTGACTCGGAGCCGCCACTTTCTGAATCCGAGCAACACATCGACAGGACGCAAGTCTACATCTAGTTTGTATAGAGGGCCTCACGCAGACCGATCAAATCCCGCATTTTCTGAGATTATCGAACTCTCAGCCTCCAACTTGGAGTTCAAGGACCGTTCACTTGACGAGGGCGAGCAGGACGACGATGTTTACTTCCTCCTTCCTGGAAAAGAAAACTTCGTCACAGCCAGGAGCCTGATCACGCTTGTGAACAAAAGACTGTTTCGGTGACTCGACTTGCAAATTCTAGACCATTGAGTATTTCTAAATCATATTCCATGTTCGAGTTAACCGTCACCGGCGGGCTGGTCTTGTATGTAATATGGAGATAGTGTGCGTTCTTCCAAATTTCGTGCTGGCCATGATGTTTTCCACCCCGAGCTGTGCATTAAGACATCGCAAGACGAGAAGCTACAAACATTGCGGATGTGACGATGTAGTGCTCCATACTGCTCGACCTATTCAGGCTGTCGTGGTTGGTAATTGTATTATTGTTGATGCAAGAGGGCTGATTGCGTGATTTATCCATAGTTGCCAGCGACGGGGACGATGCAAATGCAGTCTTTCTCGTTGGTGTGATGAACTTCCAGTAGGCATGCATTATTATCTGTGTCTTTCCTCGCGAGTAGCGTTCACAAATAACTTATGGGTTCGTAGTAAATCATCACTCCCTGCCCGCCATATTTATGGAAGTACCTCGATTGCTGGCTGTGAAACATCAACTTTCTGTCTGAGACTTGCACGCCGTATGATCCGGACTGTCCTAAGCCGCGCCCCTGATCCTGTACGTTAATCCGTGCTCTTCCGCTCAGCTTCAGTGGTTGCGGTGGTATCCGGCTTAGCGAAGCCAAACATCCAACTTGGACCCTGCAGGCCTGAACACGAAGCCACATGCGTGTCGTTCATTGATGATCTTTGGCGATAAACTTGCAGGAGATGAAGCTTGAGAGGAGTCAGAATTGAGATGTCCATCTTAAAGCTAACCGAAAGTGCCTCACGCACTGCTTGTTTCGAGGAAAATGAATAGCTGCGAACAGGGCTAAGTCACGGGGCTACACGGGGCTGCCACAAACACTAAGCCTGGGAGAGCGTTTGAGCATCTCGGGAGTACGAAGTAGTCTTCAAAAGATCAGGTATTTCTAATTGAAGCTTTCAGGGCGCCTCAAGTTCTAGAATTCAACTGGAATACTTACAATGAGTCTGTGAAGGTACCCAAGTTGTGCAATGACTCTTCGTAGAGTTAAGTGGTAGCCATTATTTGATGCGATACCGTAATGGTGTTGACATTGTACTTGATATAGGAGGAGATGCTGAGAGATAGGGTGATAGTTCATGCTACTCGGCGAGGTCCGTTGAGATGTGATCGCAACAGGTTCGTTGCGCGCATGAGGCTGTCGCATGCCGAAATGAATGGTGATATGAACCTGCAGCGCCGCCTTGTGGTATCCACGCACGCCTAAACTAGAGATCAGATTCAGTACAGGTATTATAACTATTTGGCCTTCGTGCGTGGGCCATCCTGATTCCTCACAGAAGATCAGCACTGAGTATTGAATGTTTTGACTTGCATGTTCAACGTTGTCAACGGGCAAGTCCGCCACTCCTCGGGTCCAGAGGACACATATGACCGTCATACGTACTAATTATAAGTCTCCTTCGTTCATGCTTCTACCATCAGCGCTCAGCGTGGAAGGCATGATTCTCTCACAGAACAAATGGCAGTGCAGTCATTTAATACGGTGAACTGGTCGACCCGTTCAGTTAGCAACAATGTCTTCCTCGGCGCAAGATCCTATTCCACAACTTGACCTGGGAAACACGTTCGGGGCACTTTTTATTGGGGTTATCCTGGCATCAGTGTTAGTAAACTATTTGTCCATTATGCAGTCAAAAGCTGAGCGCTTCCTGTGACCTTTCGTCGTAACATACCCCATGGAACAGTCTCTTTGGTCTAACCAATGTTCAAGCTTTCATCTACTTGCAGGCGCATAGAAGCGCGGGGATAACATTTTTCAAGTTGGTTGTACGTCCATACTGCCTTGTTGTTGATTCTGGTCTTGATGTCACGTTCTGGCAGGTTGCCTGGCTTTGGTAGGTGTCCTTTCGAGTTGCAATCATTGATCGCGAAGAGATTGCTTCCCAAATTTGTAGGATACTCGATGCTCTGCACCTGGCCCTGACAATCCATGGTGTCTATTATTATTTGGTGACAAACTATGCGAACTTTGGTGTGCTCACGGAAATTGTATGGAGTCTCAAAGTGAGTTTCTATAATCGCCCTCTGTGCAACCTCTAATGGGCCGTAACAGCTTCAGTTAGTAATCAACGTAAGTTGTGTTTCTGTTCTTTGTGATCCACCCAACAATACACTGCACAGATTCTCATCGTTCCTATGGTACACCTGTAAGTTTAATGACTGTTACTGCAACATTCAAGTCATGTCTTGGTTGACAGTTTGTATGTTCATCGTATATGGAAAGGTGATTATTCCCCTACTATCATGAGTTTGTCGGGTTTACTAAATGAACCCAGTAAGCAAGGGTCGATCAAGAATTTTCCCGGTCATAGCATTGGTGGGTTTGCAATCGGGTTCGATTGTATTTCATTATGTTAATTCACCGTTAGGGCATAATCGTGGCCCTAGGTTCAGGCGTGTCTCTTTCCTGTAAATTTTCTTCATGCAATTCTGAACTTATCCTCAGGCATTGCTATCAGTGAGATTTCAACGATGTTCTCGTGATTGGCTCATCATTTGACCTAATGACAGCCCTTGCGTGGGCGCAGTGAGTCAGGCAGCTCCCTTACGTCAGGAGGTGCTAATTGCGAGTAGATATAAGGTCAAATTCTTCAAGGATTTGGTTAGCATCGAGTGGATGACATATCTGTCTTTGGGAACGGCCACTTTTATCGATATTCTCATCGCATCATCGCTATGCTATCTTCTTGCCACTTCACGTACTGGGTTCTCTAGGTACGGAGCAGTTCATTCCCTATCGGGATCTGATGTACTAACACAGACTACTCAGCACCGATTCATTCATAACAAAGCTTGTGGGCTATACCATCAGTACCGGCTGTCTGACAAGGTATCCCTCCTTCCAGCCTACCCCATAGTACTTTGACTAATACCTTGACAGTATTTGTTCGATGTTGATCATAATCACAGTGAGGCTATATCCATCGTATCGTCTACATCCGAGGTCTCTGAGGGTTTCCTGCAGTGTGCTGTGCTGCCGACAACCTTCATCTTCATCGGGTTTCAATTTTTAGTGACTAAGTGTAAGATCAACATCACATTCTACCATGATCGATCATCGTGCTGACCAGCGGTATATACCGTTTCAAGTATATGTCAACTCGTTTATCGCATTCTTGAACGCGCGATACTACATGCAGGCCAACGCGATCGTCGATCCTCCCCAATTTTATGAGCGCCACGGCGTCTATCACCAGGAACTCCACACTAGTGGATCACAAGACGAAGAGTTTCACAAATCCCGGAGGGACCCTAAGGATGAGGTACTGCGTATCACGCAACCTATCCAGGGTATCATGGTTAGTGGTTGTGTCATGGTTGATGGGAGAGGGCTAATTCACACACCTTAGCCACAGTCGACGACATCTCATTAGTGTGACGTGTTAACTGTGTGTCTAATCGAGAGATGACACTTACAAAAACATATGTATTCTAAAGTTATCTCATCTTCGAAGGGCGGCGCGTCTACAACAGCTGGCGGGAACAGCGGACTGGTGAAGGTAGGCTTCATACCAGGTTCTGAATGTAGAAGAAAGGGCTGACTTCGTCAACAGGGACTTTGTTTACTGTTCATTGTATGGTCATGTTTATTGGTTTTGCGAGTACAATGTACAATTGGGCATAACTTTATCGTTCAATGTTCAGCCACAATGATGAAGCTGCGAGTAACTTTTATAGTAAGCGTCATATTATAAGGTAATGAGCAAGCACAGACTCCCTTCTAACCATGATGCATGATCCGGCATTTACAGATGCGATTGGTACGTGGACAATCTTCCTGCGTGCAGAGTCGTCAGACCTTAGAAACAGTGACGGCATCTTTTTGGTCTTTCAAAAGTTGGACAATCGTATCGATACATCCGCTATATCCAATTGCAATCTACTACTCCCGTTTAGAACAACTCGCCAAGAAAACAGGAGTGTTAAGACGAGCGAAGAGGCTGGCAAGCTTTTATTCACGAGGCGTGATGACTCAAGGTTCAAACTTACAGCTTGAAGGAGTGCCGACTCATTCGGTGTTCATTCTGTATGGTGCACGAATCAGATCAGGGATTCCATCCTAATAGATGACACCGCGGACACTGCTTATGACCTCAACCGTGACAGTACAGCCTGAGAATGCACTCACACCATCATCATCACGGGGCTATCCATAACAGTGCACCTATCTCATTCTGGATCATTTATAACAGAATGGTAAATCCACGTCACTGCCAACAGAATTTGCACAGCCAGCAATGACGGTCTTCCTCAATGCAGAATCTCCTCTCAAAAGTTGATCTCGGAAACACGTTTGGGGCATGTTTTACCGGGATTACCCTTGCAGCGATGCTGGTACTTTACCCAAGCACTGGAATCCCGATTATGTTCGAATCAAAGTCTCTCCCCCGTTTATTTGACCCAGTTTGAAGTCCCCGCTGCCGCTAAATGAGACCGCTTGGTATTTTTACTGCAACTTCTACCTTGCTACTGCAGGCGTTTCGGCATACGCAACGGAGTCGGATGTTTCGGGATCGTTGGCAATAGGTTTTGCAATACCTGTAAACACTTGAGCCTTCGACCTCGACCTCACACATGTGATGTATTTTGCCCTGACTGATCGATCTCTGTGCCACTCCTACAGCGTCCGTTCCTCCGCAGCCCCTGTCAAGAAAACCAGGTCTCTCAGAAATGCCTTGATGAAGCTGTTGCCTCAGGAAGACGTACCAGGGACTTTGAATGGATATATAACGTCTGGAATGATGGCATGCGGAATGGTATGATTTCTTCTGTGTCCTTTCCAAATTGTAAGCCTACTAAAACACCATAGCTTTCAATGTCGCCTTCTCATCTGCTCAGACTGTCCGTTACGCATGGCATCGCCTAGTCTACGCTCTGGAGCAATTGATGGCCTTTTTTATCTTCAGCTCGATGCCACACATGATCGCTTGAACAATGCAATAGAACGGATAACGTGAATCGTTACTTGATGAGAACTACTGCGGTGTTAAAGTTTGATCATTTGTTCTGACCGCAGGGCTGATTGTAGTCGTACTCGGTGGAGTTGGTGAGTCATTTGCACTGCAATCTGGGAAAAAATAAACATGACCGCTGAACTCCAGGGCGAAGTGGTCGCGCGGTTAGTCATACATGAAACAATGGGTGGAGACAAGGCGGACCATATAGTATTGCGGGGAAGATGGGCGCTTAGAGCCCTTGTCAAGATTGCGTCACAACGATAGGTCGAGTTGGTCATGGTATTGCTGTTTGCTCGGTCAAGCTAAGCATCGTCGATTTTCTTCAGCTCCATTTTGTTGTGAACATGCCACGTCTCTCAGAACTACAGTTGATGTCATGTCACGGTTATACGAAACTGTCAGCCATTTGGACGATATCGACAAGTGATACTCCCAGGCTTTGAGTCAAAGATAAGATTGCACTTTGCTTTTGCGTCGTCTCCATTCAAACCTTAAAAGGGCTAGCACCCATCAGAACACACCTTCTTCGTCTGTGATTCATCGGCCGAATCGAAAGCATCAAGAGGGAAATCATGATAACACCACGTACAACGGAACAAAGGGTCAACGTCGAACCGTAGTAGACCTAGGATTATTGACACCTTGAGAAAAATCACTGAGTCATGTATACTTAGCACTGGCACCGCTAGACAAACCGAAATCTATGATAGTTCTTGATGCCTGCCGGTGCCACAGACGTGACAAGACGTGGATGTCCCAGAATATCTTCTCCTGCTGATAAGCTCGCACGTTCGCGCGCCAAGAGGTACTGTTTTGTAAAAAAACAAATGTAGTGTCCTCCAAGAGCCTATGTTGGACCTAGCCTAGCTATACAGGGGGTGCTTATGCTCCCGCTTATCTATTGTGCTGCGCTGGCGGTATATGCGGATATGATTAATGTGATTAGTAGAATGAATTACTAAGTAACCACCAGAATTGCAAGCGCTTTGTAAGCGGCTTGCACGCCATCGAGCTCGCAATTCATGCATCATTCCAAAGCAAAATGTAATGCAGGTAAAAAATTTCTCTAAAATGCTGGCGGTACGTGCATTATATAAACTCTTCTCTATCTCAGATTTCTCTACATCCTCGCATTTTTATCTCCCACATCGGGTTTATCCCATCTAATCGATACCCCACTGCAACATGACCATCTCCGTATTCACTACCAACGGCCACACCAACGGCCATGCAAAAGGCGTCAAGCGTCACTCGAAACGCTCGTCTGAGCTTGGCTTTTCTACGCGAGCTATTCATGTAGGGTCAGAGCCAGACCCTGCAACTGGCGCTGTCATCCCTCCCATATCTCTTAGCACGACATACAAGCAAGATGAAGTAGGCGTACACAAGGTTCGTGTTTCAGTTTGACTCCACATGCCGTACTTATGACGTGTCTGTGGCGAATAGGGTTATGAGTATTCTCGTTCTGGCAATCCAAATCGCGATGCACTAGAGCGCACGCTTGTAGGCTTGGAGGCAGGTGCAGGACACGCTATCGCGTTTGCTTCGGGCAGTGCCACGACAGCCACTGTCTTGCAGTCTCTAGGTCCAAACGCACACGTCCTAAGTGTGAACGATGTCTATGGCGGTACGTTCAGGTACCTCACGAGGGTTGCGAAGGAAACCATGGGTACCGAGTCGACGTTTGTAGACTTGGAGAACGCGACAGATGATGAAATACTAGGTGCTATAAAGGAGAACACAAAGGTTTGTTTTTAACTATTCAAATTTGGCCAGCTACTGACGCAAATACTTTAGCTTATCTGGATCGAATCGCCAACAAATCCCACCCTCCGACTAATTGACATTCCGCGCATAGTGGGTCTCGCGCACCGCGCTCCATCAAAACCCCTCGTTCTTGTCGACAACACATTCCTCTCCCCATTCTATGCCTCCCCACTCCTACAAGGCGCTGACATCGTCATTCACTCCCTCACCAAGTATGTCAATGGCCATTCTGATGTCGTGATGGGCGCTGCCATCCTTCCCTCCTTGTCTACACCAGACAGAGACTACGAAGGCCTCGTCCAAAAGCTTCGCTTCCTCCAAAATGCCCATGGTGCCGTCCCGAGTCCTTTTGACAGTTGGCTCGCCCAGCGCGGTGCCAAAACTCTCGCAGTGCGGATGAAGGCCCATGGTTTGAATGCATTGCGCATCGCCTCCTTCCTGACTTCGCACCCCGCCGTTGAACACGTCATTTACCCCGGTCTCGCCTCGCACCCGCTACACGCCCTCGCACGCACCTCCCTCAGCCCACATGCGGAGCAGTTCATCAGCAACCTACCGCCATCGAGCCTTGCACACGGTATACCATACGGTGGGATGGTCTCATTCCGTCTACGTGGTGGTGCAAGAAGTGCAGAGGCACTTCTGCCGAAGTTGAACCTGTTCACGCTTGCTGAGAGTTTGGGTGGTGTGGAGAGTCTTGCGGAATTACCTGCACGCATGACGCATGCAAGTATCCCGGCGGCGGAGCGCGAGGCTTTGGGCATTGAGGGGCTGGTGCGCTTGAGCTGTGGCATTGAGGAGGTGGAGGATTTGGTAGATGATTTGAGGGCTGCATTGGATGGGCTGGAAGATGAGGATAGTGGATGTGAGAGCGGGTTGGTAACGCCGTCTGATATGAGCGATTAAATGAGCTTTGATCTTGGACTTTGGTGTTCCAGATACCTATACCGTAATCGTTTCTGGGTCTATTAGATGGTATATTGCTTTGGAGGCTTGACTTCATTGCACAATGTGCAGCTTCTGAAAGTATCAAGAAATCTAATTTGCTGAATATGCTTAACGCGGTTGAATCATTCTTGGGTTGATCCTATCCAAGAATCAACGTGACCTGGCACAGCAATGTATTGGAACTGTATTATGTAACGAGGCAGGAGTGAAAGATTAGAGTAAAGTCTTCCGAGTCGAGCGAACAAGAGACGCGGCACCAAACCTCTTGTTTCCGTGCCGCGATCATCGTCCGTCTTTGCACAGCTCCCGCTGCTCAATTGGTTTTTCTCCGCCCTCCGCGCCCAAAATTCATCGAAACCAAGAGCTCGATGAAAAGCCTCGCTTAATTTGTGCAAAAGAACATAGTCACTCATAAGACGGGTCCTGAGGAGAAGAATTACTTAGAAGTTATCACAACGAGGCGACCCCACCCGCCCTTGCAGCTCAACTCTTGGTCAATCTAGGTTTTCCTTCCTCGGGGCTGGAAAGCGCTACGCGCCTTCGCCCGAAAACTCTCCATCATCCCCAACTTCCAATAAGCCAATTTCACGCTAGTTAGTAATTGCAGACCAATGCAGCTCTTGTTTAAACGTTTCCGCGACGGTGTGAACCTCAAAGACCCACGCTTGTCATTGATAAGAACTTGCCTCGGGTTGCAGATAGCGTTCGTCCCATCACAATTTTGGTGGTCAAATATAGCTAAAGGCTCGAGGGCGGTTTCATGGTGGAGAAACCGTTACAAGGCTCTTTGTCTGCATACTACGATCTGTTCGTGCCTTCTCTTCTACGGAAAGGAATTGACTAACAAACTTACAGTTTGTCAGAACTCTTTTGTAATCCGGTTTACAGCTTTCCGTCAACTTGGCCAGTCTACACCCCAGCCGCAAAAGTACAATATTGCACACATAATGAAAAAAATTCCAGCTATTGTAGCTGGTAAACTGGTTGGAAGCATATGCAAGTTTCCTTGATCTCGATGTTTGGACGGCCTCGACGATCACCAAGACATCTTGGAACGATAGCACGAAAACTTGGTCTGTCGAAGTCAATCGCGGTGGTAAAGATACTAGGGTTCTGACCGTTAAGCACCTCGTTTTTGCCACTGGATCTGGCGGTCGCCTGAATGTTCCCGACATCCCTGGGAAGGCATGTAACGCTCGAACCAGTGATCTAAACGTGGCTCATGGACGCAGGCAAGCTTCAAAGGATCTGCCATGCATTCGTCAGAGTTCAAATCCGCGGCTGATCATATCGGTAAAAAGCACTCATAGTCGGCTGTTGCGATTCTGGTTGGTCTGTCATATCTTTTCATATCGAACGAGGTCTAAATATTTCATCAGCACATGACGTTGCTCAAGATTTCTGCAGTCACGGCGTCGACATCACAATGTGCGTTCTTTGGTTCAGGTTATGTCATTTTCATATCTTATGGAATACTAGGTATCAACGATCGTCCACATTCGTGATCTCAACAAAGTCAGCGGAAGCAGTGCTAGGCGGTAATTGTTTCCGTCGTTGTTGGTAGCTTGGCTTAACTTTCCTTGCCTAGCTCTCTCTCTATAATGAGGACTTCCCCACTGAGCTGGCTGATATTTACAGTACCTCGCTACTTTGGGCAGTTGTTAGGCGGCTGCATCAACGTATGGTTCCTATGGTTGCTGAGACCACAGACAAGTATGTCAGACGATTCGAAGCTCACTTCCAGGTGCATTAATCACAATCGAAGGGCCATTCTAGATGGATTGGCTAAGATTGGTTTTAAGACCAATCTTGGCATACATGGAGCAGGTATTTTGTCCCTTTACCTGGAGCGCAGTGGTGGCTACTACGTCGGTGGGTGTACCTCTAATGCACAACGAAGACGTCTTTCAATAGCTTCCAGATACCGGAGCAAGTAAATCTATTATCAACGGGGATATTAAAATCAAGAACGGTTCCGCAATCGAGTCCTTCACGGAAAACGGCCTTCGATTTGTTGATGGCACTGAGCTACAGGCGGACATAATAGTATTTGTTACGGGGCATGGTAATATTTCACTTTGACGAGCAGGACTCATAATTGCTTACAGTTACGGCGATCACCGTGATTTCATGCGCGAGGTCTGTGGAGATGAAGTCGCATCAAAAATCCCCAGGGTCTGGGGTCTAGACGATGAAGGGCAAACTGTGGGAATGTGGAGGTATTGCGGGCATGATGGTCTGTGGTTCGCAAATGGTATTTTGCATCGTTCTTGTTATGGGCGCGTCAGTTTCATTTTGATGAACAGGTGATTTGGCTCTATCGCGCTTCCACAGTCTCTGTTTGGCCATGCGTGAGTTCATTCCGTGTGGTATATAGAGCGTTGCTGATGCATTGAAAATATAGAAATAAAAGCAATCGAAGAAGGTATTTTGAATAAGGCGGATATAGTTATTTGATGACATTTCGAAGATCTGCTCATGATCAGGACTGAAAGCTGAAGACCTGTAAAATGTACGAGTAGTTATTGCGTGAATTAAATGTTGTATGTACAATGAATTTAAGGGAATTTTCACTGGAGCCTCAGCAATTGCAATGCTTTTTTTGTTTTTTTAATATAGATTTATACGAGATGTTTCTGTACCCCGAACTCCCAACCTAACCTGAAGTTATTCCCCCTACTACAACAGCACCACAGAAGAACTAGTAGAAACAAGCAACCTGGACCAGAAACACGTCGAGCCCGCCACTATCGACCCAAAACAACCGCAGGCCCACCTCATCTACTAACCTTCTTGTTGCAGTCTTCATTTTGTGCTTACTTGCGTCGTCCTGCCAGACGGCGCAGGGAATACGTGTTCGAATACACAGATTCATAGTGCCACACCGCCCAAAAAACATATACGAAGGAAAGCATATGACGAGACATATCCAACATAGGGTCTACGATCCCAAAGGACTCATTCTGGTGAAAATAAAGCTATTCCCCAGCACCAGCCAATTCCAGTTACAGAGATAGCTGTCACGTTAATGTATCACTGACATCATTGGCACGGCAAGCAAGAAGCGGGCTCACCCTTTCTTTCCTCTTATGTGCAAGTCACAGACCCGCTGTTGCCTACACCTCCGTGGATGACAGAACAGCACTGGATACAATGGCACATTTGAACGACCTCGACAATGTTGTTTATATTGCAGTAGAACAAAAATGGCATGTTCCCGTTATAACCCGCGAGTCGTCCACACTCATACTTGCCTGCAAACACCCGTAAGTATGCGGTCAGATCAACTTGAAAATATGTGCTGAATATTTACTGTTCTGGGCACATGGCCCCCCGTTGGGGTTGGTGTCCGAGTCTGCTTTAACGATGCCCACCAATACTGCGGCAGACACAATCATAGTGGTGAGTGAGATGAACTTCATTGTAGCGCTCGAGGATGGGTCTTTAGTGACTGTGGATGATGTTTTTTGTTATTGGACTGAGATATTACCGCCTCCCTTTTATACACGAGCAAAGGGCGGTCAGCCCAAAACATGCACCTGCTGTGCGTCCAACTAATGCGCCGTGGCAACAGGACATCTCTAGACGTGGCTCTATGAGAACATGCTGTCTATGAAATTTGGACGCGAGCTTGACACTAGCGAGTTCTCATAGAGCCACGTCTAGCATCCGCTTTCTCGATGATCCCCTAAATGAATGACTTCTTGCTTCTATCGATCGGTGTGGCGCGATCCTGTTATGGACGTACGGTTCGTGTACGGTATTTGTATTTTATCTAGTGACAAGCGGTGACTTCAGTCGTTGCTTTGTTACAAAAGCCGACTTTTGTGCACTATATTTGCATGATCTTTCTCTTCGTTATACAGGCAGCGCACGATTACCGTCACCAAGAGGTTCTGCTAGTTCCTGTGAAAATAGTATGAGCAAGGTACGACGCCGCACAGTAGGTAACAGGAAGACAGCGAACATCATCCCCGTATAGATCGGAAGTGTCATCAGTGAATCGGTGAACAAATTACAATTTCATATTTAAGTATATATTGCTAGCAATCACGATAATCGCCCTAAATCTGGCGAGGGGGATTACTTGGAAATATTTGACCTTATGAAGGAAAGATGAAATTTTAAACAAACAAGTCAAGTCGACCTATCCCGTATGTACCATTCAATACGCGAACTAGTCTATGATTGGAAGATGTGACACGAGTTCATGAAGTGGATTTTGCAACCATTATTACCGAGACAAGCGCAGAGGTCGCTACTTACATGAATACCACACCCTTTCACAATTTTCAAACCAGTAGAACCATGCCTTGCACGAACAAATTCGGTTAAAATATGACAGTTGAAGGTCTAGATCATCTGGTTTCCGTTCTCAATACAAGGCAGATGTTAGCATACATCCTGGAACTCACAAACCGGTGAGAGGCTCCAAACACTGAGGGAAAAAATTTCTACCGGTAAAGCCTTCGGCAACTCACATCAAGGCACTTGGTTCTCAATTTACCTTGAATGATCAAGTCAGCATGTTCTGATGAGCTTTTCCAAAGATGAATAACATCAGATCATCACTTCGGGTGAAATCAAAACTCTAGAATGTTGAGTAAGTTCAAAGATTTAGCATTTAGGACGACGTCTGAAAATGATCAGAGTTTCGGCGCAGCACTGCCACCACACACGGGCAGTGCTACATTGTAATATCATGTCATCTTTGGCATCTTTACAACTCCACCCGTTCCGGCCTCGAGTTTCTCAGTTCGCCGATGATGCACATGCTTGCGCATTATTACATATACAGAGTATTTTCTCATAAAATAACGTAAGTAACTCGTCGATAAGTTACATCGTCCAATTGTATATTTCAGAAATTCGGTATATTTTTTTCGTTGTATGTAGGAGTACAATTACATCTGTCCATCAGAAATTTATTAATTTTATCTTCACGTACACAGGAGCATAACAACGTCCGTTTATCCGATATCATGTCATCTTTGGCATCTTTACAACTCTATCCCATCTGACCTCGGGTTTCTCAGTTCGCCAATCTCGCACATTCTCGTGTATTATCACATACAAAGAGTATTTTCCCATACAACAACTGAAGCAACTCGTTGAAAACTCACATTGTCCAATTCCATATTTCAGAAAATCAGTATATTTTTCTCGTTGTATGCAGTAGTATAACTACATCTGTCCATCAGAAAATATGTAATGTTATCTTGGTGTGCACAGGAGTATAACAACACCTGTCTATTGGAAAATCTGCATATGTTTCTCGTTGTAAGCAGGAGTATCTCTACATCCGTTCATTACAAAATCGGTATATTTTTTGTTGTTGCCCACAGGAGTATAATTACACCTTTCCATCAAATCATCGGCATATTTTTTGTTGTATGCGTGTCGATCGAGAATTCTCACAGAAAGATTGAGAGTTGTCATTCATTCATTCATCCATGGGGTGCCAGATATGGAAGAACGTGATCACATTAGCAGCAGAGAGTATATTACTGAGTAATAATAAGTACTAAGATACGGCAATGAACATGTCAAGAGTCAGAATCAAATGCAGCGTCTTCCATCGCCAGTCTCTGGGCAGCAAGTGTGCGGACGGACATTCGGGAAATTACGTCTGACGTTAGGTCCTGTCTGTGATTTTTTCCAAAAACTTTTCTGTGCAAAAATGTTAGTGGCCGATGCCAGTTAATGACGGTCCGTGCTTACCTGGTCCACCACTCAAGAAGTTCGTTGACCCTAGCACGCGCAGCTGGACCCGGGGCATCCTCGAAAAAATCTACAACATTGCTCCAAAAGATCTCGTAATCGAAGTCTCCGTCTACGTTGCGCCATGAGGTGATGCTGGAGAGAGCGAATCGGATCTGCAAAACTCGTCATTTACATCATAGTTACAGGGCAATGCTTACTTGGCAAGCTGTATATGCAATCGCCCGAGGAGTTACCTTCCTGCATACCTATGATAGACGCGACACACGTCTTTACTTTGGCTTGATCCTGTCTTCGTGCACGTCGATTGTTCTCGATGATATCGGTGCCTTGACCTTCACCATCCATTTCGTTGGCAGATGAGGGAGAGGTAAAGAGGGCCTTCAACCCCTGTGATGTGATTATGAAACGCGAACCAGTAAGAAAAATCAGCTCACCATCACCAATAGTTTAGACTTCATGAGACCGTACTCTAGATTACCGGCATCAGCTGCACAATTTTGATACATGAATAGGGGCCATGAGTTTTCGGAGACAATGTAAGCAGCCGTACGGTCTCGAATGCCAGCCTTGACTGCTGAATCACATATCAACTGACATGTAACGAAGACAATTAGAAATAGAATATGACTTACATCGGATCATCCCAGCACCATTCAGCTGGACAAAGCAGCTTACCACATATGTCGTTTACGAAACCTCGATGATGCTTGTCGCTGGTCGAGATCAGTGGAGTTGGACGAAACTCGATATTTACCCATGATGCAACAAGCTCTTTGAGGGTACCCGTATCATCGCCGCGAGCCGAGTCCGCACCTCGCTTGAGCTACATGGGTATCATGATAAGGAAAAAGTGACAAAAGATGTCATGAACGGACCTTTCTAAGCATGTCTTCAGACTCCTCGTCGTCAAGGCTTGCTATCTTGTCGTGAATCCACGGTAACGCCTTGACAAGTTCGACGTAACTGCGTTGTAGGCGGTCTTGCCTGCAGTTTGTCAGGATATGATAACCTGAAAGCACCAAATGATCAAGATGAATAGTACTTACTCTACAGTAGAAACGCCACTAGTATCTTCATGTTCGCATCGTCGGTCGTTTTCAGAGATCAAATCCTCTATAGGAGTGTACAGGGCGACCAGACGACGGATTGCTCGACCCTGTGAAACATAATACGTGGTCTTCCTAGAGTCATAGCAAGAAATTAAAACGGCCTCGAGAGTCCGAGCAAGTTGACACACCTCTGCTTGGTTGCTTTGTCCTGCTTCAGAAGTTCGACCTCTTCCATCAGGGTAGCTATTCTTCGCTTCGCCCGAGCCTGAGGAGAGGTTGGGACACGCAAAGAGATTACAGGGAGGAGGGCTTCCTGAGTCATTCCCTGATGCCGACATGCTCCGTGAACTCGGGGATGAACGAAAGGGTGTAGAATAAATAAGCCTGTTAGAACGGTCACCCGTCTTATATACCTTTCGTCTACAGAGTCACGGTCCGGCGGAACTTCATCGACTCACGTTGGAGAAAGTCTCGAGCTTTCGTAAGTTTTTCCATCGTTTCTCTCGCCTTTTCGGGCACGTGACTCGGGATGCAGTAATCATTAGGTACCTCGTAGATAGTCAGATAAAATATTCATTACCCAATACATACTAGTGCTTACTGTGACCGCGAATCCGCCAGTGTCTGAATTGTTTTTCGAGCTATTTTGTGCGGGAAAGTCTAAGCTGTGCCGTCAAGGAATCAGTAGTAAATTCCAATGTTTTCACTAGCACCTTGGCCGAAGTCTAAAGTTATTGTAACTCGCTTCTCTAAGAGCATGATAAAAATGTACAAAGTCGGTGATGAGCTTCTCCGAATCGTCCGACTCATGTCACAGTCTCGCTCAGATGTGCGGCAGGAGGCTTGCAGACCTCGTAGTAGCGCTACGATCGATTCAGTCTCTTCTGCTCGTCAACGCACTCGTGCACAAACCGCTGCATATCTGCTCGGTATTCGTCCGGAATTACCCGATATCATTGATACCGCAGAACAGCACCAGGCCCCCGAGCTTGACAAAAGTAAGTTGTGCATACGGCAATGACTCAGGTAGAGATGCTCACGATTATACTAGTTGAATTCCGAGTGCCGTTGCATACTATGGATAGGATCCAATCGACCACGTACGTTAGCAAGCTACACTCCGAATCAGATCCTCGGCTAGACATACTCGACTCCATCAAAGCTATCATGGATGTTCCAAACCTGTATGAACACTTGGGCTGGCGATTGTCTACCGCCCGCCGCACGGATCCTCCCCACCGGCTTCTGACTGTGCATGACATTGATAGTGCTTTCAGAGCTGCAAGGGCGGAGAGCTCTGGGAGGCGACTTGGACATAAGAAAGTCGCTATCGAAATCATCAATACGGTACGTGAGTTGATGTGTGTAAGTTGTTTGCACAATATGACCTACCATCAACAGGAGCCCACACCCAAAGAAAAACCCGCAAAACAAAGGGCAGGTATACCTGCTAAGACTGAGCAGAGCCTTTTACCATCCAACATACTCGTGATCTCCGACGGGGCACTTGGCAGACAACAAGAAGGCCATGCTGTGCCTCAGCCGTTGAAGAGGACGTATGCGCTTTTCTTGGAAAACGACGACGAATCAAGCGATGATGAACCCCCACAAGAGATCGAAGACGTTGTGACGAGTGTTCATTCTCGCTATCCTGCAATGAATTTCCGTCAATATATTGGTAAAATGAAAGATCGTGGCATTTTTTACCTGTCAACTGCAGCTCATTTCAATTCTGGATTCTATAAAGAAAAAATAGGCATGTCAGAAGGCGCTGCATATACTTTTCATAGTTATGTTGAAAACGCTTACATGAAGGCGGAACATAGGAAAAGGGGAAGGAATGCTAAAGGGAAGAAGGCACGAGCTTCAAGATGAGGATGAAGCAATATCCCTTCGCTAGAAACATTACTATCCGTCAGTATCATGATAAAGTTTGCGTTGCTCGGTTTCAACCTCATTTGCAACGTTTCCCTGGTAGATGCATGAGGAAAGGGATTATTTGATACACTAGTTCCGTACCTCTTCATTGACACCGCGGGTGAAATATCGAGCTCCAGCATAATGGCGCGACCGATGGGCAACAAGCGTTACAAAGACTACATGCCCAAGTACAGTAAGTTCTGGTAGTGCACTGAGCATCATGATGCAGGAGCACAAACGGCCGATGTACTCACTGGCCTGGTCCGCATGACCATGTATGAGTGGCAGTAGCCATGGACGACGGACGCCAGTGGCGGGGGAATCCTTAAGAGGTGCAGCGATCATGTGAAGATTCCAAATGTATCGATCATTGAAGAGCCATCTGGTACCATTGAAACGTTGATCGTACAAGATTGGTGGGCTTGAGAGTGGGGTGATTAAACATTGATTGCAGAGAAGGTGCGTAGCCTTGCTTAAGCTGGTGTTGCGACATGAGTTCTGTGTATTGAATATATCCATCCGGTGGAACAAGTGATGTCGTGGTTACTGGTGCAGGACAAGACGGGCTGAAGGAACAATGAGATACACCCAATAATGACGAGGAGATACTCACGGCTTCAAACTTGTTGGAGTTGTAGCGCGGTTCCTATATGGTCTATAGATGGATAAATTCAAGACTCGAGGAGGCTGACCTTGTTGAGCTCTCGATAGGCATAAGAAGTGGAGTAACGTCTTCATAAGATTGTGGATCGACAAAAGATGAACGCTGGGAGCCGCCTGCGGACGTCGCAAGCATGGGAGAAGGGACAACGCTATGGCGAGCCTCCCGCGCAGTGAACTCTCCATGTTTTAGAATACCCTCTTGTTGGGCCCGCCTGCATCTTCAGTCTAACTTCATCTTGTCCGTCTCTTTTGCAGCCTCATGCTTCCTGAACTCGTCATGCTCTCTCCATTTTTCCACAGCGCTCACAGGGGTCACGGGCTCAGAAGGGATGCTTTTGCGGTTGTAGTACGTCGAGTCGGACAGCTGTGCATTTGCAGCGCGCCTAGCGGCTGCCAATGCATCTTCCTATTTGTTGAAGCTTCGTACTGTTACGACATTTGTCGTCCTGTTACGACGTTTTAATCAGCTTGTCGAACGAGCTAAAGGCCAACCTATTCAATAGCTCACAAAATTCCTTATCGTAATGCAAACAGGATATATGGCGGCCCAACCCCCGTACCCATAAAGGCAAATGTACCCACGTGCACCGGCCATTCTTGATGGTCATGTGATCGTATTCTTTCCCCAACTGAGACTGTGACTGGACTTGGTGCGTCTATCAATACACAATCCAATTCAATTGCATTTACGCGTGCACTAAGGTTCGACGCTGAAATTCCAAGGCTCCGTGAGTTGACGTAGAGCAGGTGACATAGAATTCAAGGTCTGCGGCTACTAGAGTCAATTGTTTGCTAGATGAAATAGGCCGGCACCACCGGCAGCCAACCGAAGGCGAGTCGCTGAAAACTACTATAAGTCTAAATTTTCTCCGGAAATCGATGCGAATATTGTCCCACATATTTCTGTCGTTTTCCGGAGTATATGGCTAGGACCATTTCAAGTTCTCATTGGGATCTAGGGCCCTATTACAGCACCACGTATGCGTTGACGATTTTTCCGAGGTTCGGATATGAATCAATGATAGGTGAAACTTTGCCGGGATGAGTATCTAATCTCCGAATTTATTTCTGATTTACTGACTGTGACACGAGTCGTTGAGTGCATAAGTCGATCCTCGACCTTCGTGATCGTCAGCAACATCAAACATTGAGGAGGTACTAAATACAGGCGGTTCGTAATACTGATGGCTCTGCTCCCCTAAGATAATCATCCCCTTTGAGCGTAGATGTCTGCAACTAGGGCACTACGTACATCGCTGCTCATCGACCTGTAAAGACTACTTAACTTGTTGTTGAAAGCTACCCTGGCCGTGGACAAGTCAAAGTCACTTGGGATGAAAACGCCAGTCGACAGTTCTCTCAACGCCCACTCAAATAATGTCCCGATGAAAGCAAATAATGCCCCGAGATTTCGGCTAGGGCCGACGTATTGCTGGAGGTTAAGTTGGTAGAACAGTATGTGCTGCATGAAATGCCGCACTACTCTGTTCCCGAACGGCACACCGAGTATAGTCTGTCCCCCCACCTGATGGTAAAGCCCATGAGCATTACTGGCCTCGGAAAGAGAAAAGAATGTCAGACTTACCTCGATATCTCCGTTTAGGAATGCGTCACCTTGCAGAAGGTTTCTGATGGTAACCTCCATCTCTTCCTGCGTTTGGGTTGCCAACACGTCGTTTAAATTGTAGCCAAATAAAACCGCCAGTCCGAACTATATCCTTGACCTGTTTCCTCAGGTACTTGGCGGTCTCACCAATTTTGTCTGCGTCCTTTTTGGCCTCACTCCCGAGGGACCACAGAACGAGTTCAGCTATTCTCAATATGATCAGTTGTCAGTTTAGAATGAATATTGTGAGAGACTTGCGATTATTGAATGTGGATATGACGGCAACGAGACTGGCAAGCGCCTTTTCCGATCTTTTCTGGGATGAAAGTAGAAACGAGTCGTCGAACATCGACTGTTTCATGCGCTGTTTGGCCCTCAATTTCACCTGGGGTACGAGGTTCTCAAGTCCAATCGGCACAGCAAGTGAGGGCAATGACTCAGACGTCGTAGACAATGGTGCTGCAGGAGGTGGTACTGGAATGGCTAATGGTACTGCAGGAGGCGGTACTGGAATGGCTAGTAATGGTACTGCAGGAGGTGGTACACCTGGCATCGAGCTGTGCTGTGACGGTCCAGCGTGATGTTCGACATCGTCAGTGAGGCAATGCTTGCCACGATGAATGTCAGGCCTGTCGAGAATTTCGTAAGGGGTGTATCGAGTTCTGGATGGCGGCGGCGGGTCAACCTGACGCAATAAGCGTACATTCGACAAGCGGGAGTGTAGATGCGGGGCTGCGGCCGCGACTTCAGCCTCAGTGGCACTGGCGGTTGCGTCAAAGCTCATGATCATGGCCATAAATTCTTCGATGGATAGCGGAGTCTCCAGCGGGGGTGTGATGAGCCTGACTAGGCCCAGGAGTTGAATTACTGTGGGGGTCTGACTCGTTTTCATGGAGCGGGGGTATGATGCCCAGCGGGGCTGGCATGTCCAACGACTCAGACCAGCCTTCCATCACCGGCAGGTTCATCATTTCTTCACACCACCGTGACATCTCAGAATCTGAGTCTGGAGGTGGCTGAAAGCTGCTGTAGCTATCATCACTAAGTTCCTGGCGACGTACAACTTGATCTGAGCCTGGAGGAATCATGGTCACAGCCTGCCAGAGGACAATGGCAGTGGCACGGAGACTCGGAGACGAACTGACTCAGTACCGAATACGAAACTTTGATATTTAACATTACTCACTGATACTAGTGACTCTCCTTAGACAAGCCCCTGTACAGTCAGTCTCTCAGCCGCGGCCGCATATGAATCGCTAGCCGGACTCCCTGCTGTCAGATACTCGTAATGAGGATAATGACAACGAGGCATATTACATGTGTGACTTACCGTCATGACTGGTTATCGACAATCGATCATCGAACATTATAAGGTTCGACCATTCAATAGCTATTGCTTCTTAGAGAGCCGCTTAGTTCTGGCGAGCCTCCGCGACCCGCCGAGTGACAATGAACACCAACTTTTGAAGTCTCTGAAATATGAATATGATAGTCAGGATTGTGGTATTAGTCACAGTCGCCATACGGTAGCGATCTGGAAGGCCGTGAAGAGTCAGACACATGACAATGATTTAATACTAACTGGTCGCGGTCCAACAACTCAGTGAAGCCACGGTGGATGGCTGCCCAGAAATTCTTTCAAATCAATCGGTCGGAAATCAATTGATGCGGCGGCATCCGGTGGTGACCGCAGTAAGACTCGAACTTACCCAGATCCGGGGCTAGATTTCAATCTGAAGGATATTTAGGAGTCTTCTAATCGATTGAAGGAAACTGGCCTTCAAGCTTGAAGTCCAAGACAAACCAAACTGAGTCACCCTGGCGGCTGCACGTGTTTGATTGAACCTTGCTTTTACGCAATCCGTTTGGCAATAGCCTTGGTCTTGGGGACCTCAGCAATCACGGTGTGTACACGAAGTTAGATCCTAGTAGAAGGTAAGTTCGAGTTTCAAATTAATTAACGGGTTACGTTGAGGGGCAGGCAGCACAGGTCTGTACTAGTAAGCCTTGCCCAAATACGGCGAGGATAACAATATGTGTGTTATCATTTACGTTGAGCGCCAAACCGCGCCCACCAAGTGCCATTTTAGTCGAGTTTCTCCAATGAAACACCTGAGTTTCACTACCAAGAAACGTCCAGGTTCAAACTCCCCTCAGGGAAATTAATACATCGTGACCAATGCCCCAACTGGGAGGGTTTTCCAGTCACACACTAGTCTAGTGGAATCTGTGTTCGTCCAACTTTCACCCGACGTCCTCCAACACGCATCAACAACTTGTTGAATAACAACCAGCTATGGAGCATTCTCAGGCTGGCGAGCCAAAAATGCATCCCTGTTTTACTCCTCCAAGCTCTACCGGACAACCCAGTCCTACTCGTCAGGATGAGGACTCCAAGTCGTCCTGTCAACTCTGGCCCGATGGCGTTCAGACACGTGGCCGGGTCACTGGCAGTGAACATAACTCTTCTTGTCGCGACAGGCGACACTACTATCGTCCTGATCATATACCAATGAGATTCAGAGTGTCATCCCAACACCTCAGAGGTCGCCGATCATCATCACCATCATCTGACTCGGACGTCACAAATAATTCGTCAGAAGACGAACTTTTTGTTCTTCCAGACCTCCCCCCCTCGAAAAACTTGTCTTACTACGTGCAACGCGCAAAAAGACAGTTCAAACCTTATGACACACACCGTGGCCATGGGCCTAACGCAATTGAGCTTCGGTTTCTTCACAAGTCTGTCGGAAAACACTCCGGCGAGACTGATATGACTGTGGCTGATGTCCAGGCGGTAAGTGAGCTTTCAATGCTACAATTTCACAATAATGAACATTTGATACTAGGGTAAAGAACTGTTTGAGCGTGGCTTGCGAGGCATGTCTGGCAAGGCCGTCGCTCAAGCCGTCGTTGCGATGCAAGCTACCCGCGAGTCCAAGCGCTTACGTGTTCTGACGACGGCTTGGGAGATTGAATCATCAGTTCAGCGCACAAAGCTTCTTGAAACGATGCTGGAGCAGGATGCTCTAGAATATGCTCGTAGCGATGCAGAAGCTTCCTCTTTCAACAAGCTTTTGGTAGGGCGTACCTCGAAAGAACTCAATATCGATATAGACTTCAACATCGGCGCATATGGCTGCGATATCACGTCTTTCGTTGTTTCCGATGTACAGCTTGATCACCTCGAGGGTTTTGCGCACAAATTAGGTCTGCCTGACGAAGGTAATGACGATAGGATGGATTCGGAGGGAGGGTCCCCCGACTGCAAGTTCGATGTCAATAGCTGATGTGAGGTACTACGCTGATCATGTGTATTTGAATACTAAATATATTATAGACCTTGGGAGTTGGAAATTTGTTCGTTGTTGTGTGGCGTATGTCTGAGATCGTTGTAAATCCGTTATTGATCTAGACCAGTGCAACAAATAGCCATATGTTTGAAATGTATGCAGTATGTTAGATTGAAGACCCGCACGTGACTCAGACGTGCGACAACTTGAAATATTGAGGCCTGACTACCGTAGTCTCCGTCAGTCTCGCAAACTCGGAAAGCTCATTCATTTTGTCGTTTATTAGAATCATCACGATCGTAGGACTCTAATGATAATCCACCTGGCAGGCCCCCTGCCCCAAAGACATAACACCACCTATGTTATGTTATGTTACAGATCATAATTTAAGGAATAGTCAAGCGGGAGTCTAACGCTTTCGGATCTTGTCAGCCTCCTACCAGAGTCACTACTAGCGCTACCATCAAAGAATGCTGCAGGGCGAGTGACAGTAAGATCGAAGGCATTCTTGTGGAAAAGGATGTTGCCTTCATACTCGACAAACTGCCTTTTCCACCATCTAACGCTGTTTGTCTACTGCTACTACTACTACTAGTAGATTCCATGGCCGCTTACCATCCAGTGAGTGTTGTTGTTTCATCATTTTTTGTGTAGTTGTACGTGATTGGACGCTGATGGGACTTTAACATATTTTACCGAGTGCAGACTAAAGAGCGTTTTTGTGTTCTCTGCCAAATTTCAGGTGAAAATTTGGCACATCACCGCATGACTAGTACTTCGACCGTTGGACGATCTGCCTGTCACTCCCTGACGGTCTTGCGAAGTTTAAGGATCACTGGCCCAACGACGATGATCTCAGTACAATCCCCCAGTAAACTGAAAGCAAAATATTTTCTTTATCTTTTTCGTGGATTTAATAGAGATGCTCACAGTTGGGGTATCATTGGAGGCAATGATATTGAACGTTCTGAGCTTTCCGACTCGGAGTCACTGGAAACGAGGCCGAACCCCGAGGGTCACGTGATCGTACACAGTCTTTCAAAGTCAGTCGTCGTCTGTTGACCATAGAGTCATAGACGGTCGCAATGGTAGCATCGAGCTCACTTTCAGAGCTCGTAGGAATACCGTTAGGTGACCTTACTGAACTCAAATCAGTATTACTTTCACCACCAATCAACTCGGAGTCTGACGAATGCACAAGAAACTGCGGCTTGTTCTTTTTTTACTCTTTGTTGATCTACTACTAGCCTTGGCCGTCGCAATGGTTTCATGCACTGCCCCAGGCTGCCTCTGGGAGAAATCAACTGACAGTAGTCGAGGTCTTTCTAGGCATCGCGCATCATGCAAATTCTACCACCGATCCAGAACCCTAGCCAGCCAGAAACGACAAGAAAGGACGAAGGCTGCTGCCAGAGCTGCTTCTCTGGTACGATCATCATCAGGAATACCACAGCGAGGGGAATCGAGCAGTTCTTCGGTAAGTGGCTGATTTTTTTAATCGATCCCATGAATAGGACAGTTGAATTGTCGCATAATTCTAGACAACAATATTGCCCATTCCTCATGTGGAGCGCGATCATCTCTCCAAACCCATTTTTTTGTACGATCCATCAAGCAGATGGACTCAGGCTGGCGCGTCTACTGGTGCACGTGGCCCTGAACTCTCAGAGCAGCGGCAGCTTCACTTTGATACCCATGACAGTGTTGACAACGCAATGGACACCGACGTTTCAAGTACGCCTTACATTCACTTTGGTCAAATAACTTGTTTTTTAAAACTGTTGTTCACTCCCAGAAGAACCTTCGCTCCCTAGGCTGCGACGAATACCTAGACGTTTTGAGGATGTTCCTCTTCCTGACGAGGACACTAATCACTCGGATAATGTCGAATTTTTGCCTTCTCAAAGTCCAGCCCCACCTCAAACCAGGATCCGGAGAGTTCTCTTAACTTTGCGAGATACACTCCAGACCAGTTTCAATTCTCTCGGACTCTACCGGCTTTACCCTCGTCGCCCATCCTTTGAGCCCGATAAATTTGTCCCGTCCGTGTTACTTTCAAGCACGTGTCCGAAAGCCCAACAAGAGAATGAGACAAGCATCCTCCCACCTCCGTACCCTTTTCCCAACATGACGATCTATCGAGTCATGTCTTGGATGAATTCCGGGAGCAATAAGAAATCGGAGACTGAAGTTGCTCGTCTTGTGAAAGAAGTTATACTAGCAGACGACTTCGACTTGAAGCACCTGGAGGACTTCTCGGTGAAAAGGAGCTTACGGGAATTGGACAACGATACCAATAAGAATAAGATCGAGTTTCCAGACGACTGGACCCAGGCCGATGTCACCATCAACATCCCCACGAAATCGAAGGATGATACGAGACTTTTTTCCGTTCCCGGATTCCATTTTCGCCCCCTGGTTGAAGTCATTCGGTCAGCTTTCGCGGATATCCAGGCTAACGTGTTTCACCTCTCACCTTTCAAGTGCATGTGGAAGGATCCATTGGACTCTCATCAAGAGCGAGTATTCGACGAGTTGTATACCTCGGACTCTTGGTTGGATGCCCAAGACGAGCTGCAAAAGCTCCCAAGGGAGCCTGAATGCACGCTGGAGCGAGTAATTGCTGGTCTCATGTTTTTTTCGGATGCCACGCATCTGGCGAACTTCGGAACGGCAAAGGCCTGGCCCCTTTATTTGTACTTTGGAAATCTGACAAAGTACGCGCGCTCGGCACCGAAGTCCGGCGCATGCCACCTGGTAGGGTTTCTACCATCGGTGAGTTTTTCTGCTGTACCTTCAAGGATCGCTGTCAATATTGCCCCATCAGCTGCCTGACAAGGTCAAGGATCTTCTGAGCAGTTTGCCTCGCATATCTAAAAGCGGCATGGCTACCCTCCACACCCACTGCCGGCGCGAATTGTTCCACGCATGCTGGGATACCTTACTAGACCGAGAGTTTATTCACGCATACAGACATGGTATAGTATTGAAATGTGCAGATGGTGTGTTACGCAGGATATTTCCGCGGATATTTACTTATTCGGCTGATTACCCTGAAAAGTGCGTTCTATCTACAATGATGGACAATTACTCAACAACTTTCAGGGTTTTAATTGCGACTATCAAGGATATGGGCTTATGCCCGTGCCCCCGTTGCCTCACACCGAAGAATATGTTTCCTTCCTTAGGCCTTCGTAAGGACATGAAGAGCCGTCTAAAAAATCTTCGAGTCTACATCACAAGTAACATTGTCAAAGCACGGGAATATATTTATCAGTGGGGCAGCACTGTGGATGGTATCAAGGTTGAGGAAATACTTGGAGAGGGCTCGTGGGTGCCTGTTATGGTGAGTGCAGATTGTCGACCGCTCTCTCTTACCGACTCAGATGAGTGACTCACAGAATAAATTCGTGGAGAAGCTAGGAGCGCTAGGCCTTGATCCGTTTCGGATGCTCGTTGTGGATTTTATGCATGAATGTGAGCTGGGTACCTGGAAGGCGTTATTCAGCCACCTCATCAGGATCCTTTCTGCGCTTCCGGAGGGAAATCGGCTAGTCGCAATCCTAGACTCGAGGTAAGTAAAGTTTGTATACAGCATCGGTCGCGTAACAAGCAGCAAACTCTATCCTCTAGATTTCGTCAGGTTCCATCTTTCGGTAACGGGGTGATCCGAATGTTCGCGAACAACACATCTGAAATGAAAAGACTTGCGGCACGAGATTTTGAAGACATCTTGCAGGTTTGTTCCACTTTACCTTTACTTATCTATCTGGATTGCTGATAGCCTTTCTTCAGTGTGCGATACCTGTGTTCGAGGGGCTGTTCCCCGCTGATCATGACGCAATCGTGCAATCTCTCTTATATAGATTCGCACAGTGGCATGCACTGGCGAAGCTCAGAATCCAGTCAGAGTCGACCTTGTGTTTCTTCGAGAACACATTCAAGGATCTCTCCAAGCAGTTACGGAAGTTCCGCGACTTCACCTGTGCTGCTTTTGTCACTGTTGAATTGCCGAAAGAGAAGGCGGCTCGCAATCGAAGGTTCGCGCGGCGTGCTGAATCTAATAATATTTCCGGAGAATCTGGCGGACCGAAGGTGAAAAAGTTCAATTTGAGTACTTACAAGTTCCACGCAATGGGAGATTACGTGCGTACTATCAAGCTCTTTGGAACGACAGATTCTTTTACCACTCAGATTGTAAGTCTCTTCCATAGCCCTCAAGGACGTGTTTGACATTATCTTATCGCTCAGGGAGAGCTGGCGCACCGGGCCTTAAAAGCATTTTATCCACTAACTAGCAAGCTTGATCCTTCAAAACAGCTGGTGAAGCATGAACGCAGGCGTCACGTACTACGGCGCATCGCAGAAGCAGGTATCTCCTCCTCCAACTACCAATCGCCCGACTCTCTTGCTCCATCGTCGTTCAAAGGCCATCATTATATCGCAACCAATCGAAATGATCCAGTCTCATTGTTCCTATTCCTCCAGATGCACGATGGCGACCCAGCCACTAAGGTAAGGGACGATTCCACTTTTCTTCAGCTGGTCGCCAGTTCGCTTATGACCGCTCTAGAGCTTCATTCCGAAATTGAAGGATCATATTTTATACAGACTAAATAAGCTAGATGTCAGTCATTGCGACCACATATTCACGGACAAGGAACGTAGTTCGGTCATAATTCCCAACAGTACGGTCTACTCAGTTCACACAATGCAGGTGCACTATACGACTTACGACATGAGGCGAGAATACGACCTCATCAACCCCAGAACATATGCGGATGTTATGGTTCTTTCGGGAGAAACCACCCCTAGACACCCTTACTGGTACGCTCGTGTACTGGGTATCTATCACATGGACACCTGGCTCGAAGGTCAAACCGAGAAACAGCACCTAGAGGTCCTCTTCGTCAGGTGGCTCGCACCACTAGCACTGTCGGACTATCAGTCTGGGATGCGGCGCGCTCGCCTTCCCAAGGTGGCGTTTGTAGAAGAATCTGATCATGATGCATTCGGATTCCTCAATCCGAGCCAAGTGATTCGAGGTGCTCATTTGATTCCTGCATTCGCCTCAGGGCGAGGTGTAAGCTCACTGCGGCGCGGAACATCATTTGGACGTCCCAACAAGGAGGTAGATGACTGGGAAGAACATTATGTCGGGATGTGAGTCATGGTGCCCTCTCGTAATTTAAATAACGAATCTTACTGTGAATTAGTTTTGCTGATCGCGATATGTTCTTGCGTTATACGCACTTAGGCATAGGACACCCAGTAGGATTGCGGAAGATTGTCAGAGAATGCTTTGACGACTACGAGTCAACAGTACTTACGGAAATGGACGACGCAAACGATGGTGAGGGCCGCGAAGATACCGGTGAGCAATATATGGATGACAATCCTGACGAAGACGAGTCAGAAAATGATCTTAGCGAAGACGAGTCAGAAGAGGAACATGAAGGGGGGGAAGATAGAGAAGAGGTCGACGAAGAGTACGATGACCTCTATTTCTGACACTGGTGGTCCAATAGTAACTGTCAATTTACGTTCTTAACTGACTCAACGGTTTTGCCAGTACGACAAGCCCTTCGCTGTACGTCTCAGCCAGGCGAAACTAACTCGAAGCTCTCGACACCACGCCTGTCCACTGAAAGAATTTCGTAAAGGTATTTAGTACATCCTATATCACGATCATGAATCTATCCCATCCCATGTATGCAGCCACTCGATCCCACTCTCAGCCTCTCCGTTCGAATCTCCTTCATCTGTACGGTCTGAAATTCGTCAGTGCGTTTTTTTTTTTTAGTTTTGAAACGACTCACCTATAAGCACTAACACGCGGCACCTCTGAGTCCCAGTATTTGCTCGAACTCGGCCATTTCCATTTCGAACATCCTCCGCTCCCTCGCAACCCACAGCACCATCATCGCGCGCAGGTCGTCTGGCCAGACCGGAGGCAGCAGGTAGGGAGGGAATGGTAACTCCGGCTGATAGACTAGTTGACGCACGCGGCGTCGCGCGACAGCCCAGGTATTGTACATCAGTTCCTTCAACAATTTCAGTGTTGTAGCTAACGAATGAGATCGCGTTACTTACTAACTGGTCTCTTGTCAGCCTGAAAACTACCTCTCGAGGCCTTGGGATGTGCTGGAGAAGATGCTGGGGTATCTGTAGAACGATAATCAGTGAGTGGATATTTAGAGAATGATCAATGCACCTCGTGATTTTGGTCCCCGTCTCCTCCATTAGCGTTAACGTTGTTGTTGTTGTTCATGCTAGTATTATGTAGATCAGTAGATATAAAATTGAATTGAGAGTGAATATATTCGTACCTTCGTCGTTGATCAGCGCGTCCAAGAGAAATGTCCTGATTCGTTATTTCATCCGGCATTTGTCGGATTCGGAACGCTCGTCCGAGTCAGTGTCACGCGTGACAGGAGGCATGTAGGAAATGGCCGGTCTGTGTTAAGTCTGCGCAGACTCCGCCTCAAAGTCTGGGCCCCAGACATGTCTGGGTGTGTTCAAGCTCCGGGTTGTCTGACATCATCACTCCTGCCACGATCTACGCCAGCCACTGTGACACTGACCGAGTGAGTTTTTACGCATGTGTGGGGTTGGCTGACCGGATTGGCTTTTCAGAGCTGGCGTTCGCGAGACCGTGGATTGGTTGTTCTTACGTGTGCAGAACAGTAGACGGTATGTGAGCTAGATTGGGTGGTTTGGGGTCATATTCCTGACTTGATGTTTTTGTGCAGTGACTTGGGGGATCGATAGTGAGGCTTTGAGGATCAGTTTATGTTGGCGGTGTCATCTGCCTGTGTACTTGTATGTACGGGGCTACCTGTTGACCGTCTTATTGAGTCATAAAACACCAATCCCGTACGACAAAAAAACAACCGCGCGGAACGCTCCGTATGTATGTGATCAACAAACCCCAGGGAGCAAACGGTACCTCACCCTCTTCGCCCAATTCTCCCAGTCTTTTCTCAGTGCACGCTGAAGCATCTTGTCCTCCACTAGAGGTCGAGTGATGCACATCCAAGCACATAATGTAAGTCCGAAGAGGAGGATTACTACTAACACATTTACTAAAGGCACTTGTAAAATCCCAGACTGCCTCAACCACGATCCTTGCTCTCCATACATGGCAAGGAGCCCAATATATTGGGGAAGGAAACCAGCATAGCTTGGGTGGCGAACGATAGAGTATGGCCCACTCGTCACAAGTCTGTGTTCTCGAGCCAAATTCACGAAATTCGAAAGATATTACCGGGGAAGCGTCGAGTTGTGACTTGAAGGAGTTGGTACAGAGATTTGTGCCAGAGGCTATTGGACGAAAGATAGAGAAGCACAACCGCAACATTTACCCTCTACAAAATGTCTACGTTCGCCAGGCAAAAATTCTCAAGGCACCGAAGTTTGATGTCTCGAAACTGCTTGAACTGAGTCACGCCGAGTCAATAGACGTAAGTAAGATTGAAATTGACTCTGATTAGTACTACCTAGTATGTCCGTAAGTTGTATCTACCATTCCCTACAATGCATCCATGTTACACCCTAATGTTGGCAAGTCTGTGGCAAGAGTTAAGCGACCTCACTCACAATACGACGAGCGGACTCGGAAGCATAAAGTCGTTATATTGCGAAAAATCTTGGATAATACTATAATCGAGCCAATATTTGACGGGAACTGAGAACAATCAGTAACATCAACGCTAGTGAGCTTCCGTCCCTTACTGGTTACGCAGATAGCGTGTTACGATTTTGTTACTAACCGTCAGGCCAATCTCCATTTGCTGTCAAGGGCTAAAGCCGTTGTCCTGCAGAAAGTCTTGGATAGCATTAAAATTAGGCTAATATTTGATGGGAACTGAGAACAATCAGTGACGTCAACGCTAGTGAGCTTCCGTCCCTTACTGGTTACGAAGATAGCATGTTACGATTTTGTTACTGACCGCTAGGTCAATCTCTATGCGCCGTCAAGGGCTAAGGCCATTGTCCTGCGGAAAGTCTTAGATAATCTGTTAATATAAAACATAAATGCTTGCAAGTTAAAATGTTCAATAACACGGACGTCATTACACTTACGTTCGTTGCTGGCTGCGAAGGCAGCTTGTTACGACTTTGTCATGGTCTCATCTAGCGAGTCTATGTTGGTGGCCATCCATGGCTAAGTATGATTAAGTCAAATTTCTCGTGGTATGTATAGTCATATCACTGTGGATAGTGATTCCAATCAAAATCATTGGAAAAAGTACTGATGCTGAAATTTTCATTGGAACTTCTACTGAAACGGCAGGTAGTTAATTTCATTGGAGTGCTGAATCCAATTCAGCACCAAATTTCAGCACCATTTTCCAATGAATCGAATTCAGCACCACTTTCAGCGCTATTTTCCAATGAATCCAATTCTCCAGCGTAGTCTGGCTTAGGAAGAGTCGGAGCTGGTCCGAGTGTTAGCTTGGGAGAGACACAAGCAGGTGGAGCCGCTGGGAGGGCGGGAAACTTGCTTGTGAATTTGGTCATGCGCTGACTCTTGTGCGGCACAAATCAAGATAAGCATCTTTATACATTCTAACAATTATGATAACACTGGAATATGCTCAGGCTGCAGTAACAGTCTGCCGAGATAAATAAGAGAGTGTGCTGGGTGGGGGCAAGGAAGAGGAAATAACGAACGACAAATTTGAAGAACGAATGTCGTAGGTAGTAAGTCGAAAAATGTAGGAGAAGGGTGGTATATATTAGGAGTTGTAGCTATACCTGCTAAAGATACCATGGCTTAGTGGTAGTGATGCTATGTACGATGGTTTAGGTCATCCGTTCAATCCCTGCCTTTGGTGAATTCTCAATGGGTAATAAGTGACACAGTATGTCATGTCACTAGTGACATAATGTCACCGTCGTCAGCACCATTTATTTTTGTCATTCTTGAGCAGAATTTCAGCACATTATTTCAGAGTAAAAATTCAGCGCAATATCGCTGAAATTTCAGAGTAAAAATCGGAACTTTCAGCACCTCGATTTCAGCACCTTGTACTGTGAATTTCATTACATTATCAACTGATTTTACCTAATGAATTTCATTGGATTTACTACCCACAGTGATATTCGGTAGGAACAGAATTACATCATCCTACAGCTGCGACGGCTACAATTTCAAGGACTCATGCGTTCACTGATGGTACACTTTACCTTCTCCGTCTCTCCAGTCTTCTCCTATCTGTTTCCCGCTCTTCAAGTTCCATTCCCGCAGCGAGCCGTCATTTGAACAAGTGATGATTCGCTGTCCACCTGGCAGGTGTACGACGCCTTGCACCCTGTCGGTGTGTCCTTTGAATTCCTGGTGGGGTTTTATTGCTAATGTCTCTTTCGTTTTAGTGGTGGATGAAGCCATAATTTCAACTACGGAGTGCAGCACCATCTCAGCTTTCACCGATCAATTTCTAAATCATCACTTACAAAGAAGCCTCTAATCGGCGATGGGCAGGCAGAAGGGAACAGTTGTTTTGGTGGTCAAGTCAGAGTTGAGTCCCCTGCTTTCTGGTACATTTTTGTACATGCTGTATTCCGGTGTTCGCTTCACAGCTTATACACAGCATAGGCTGTGCGCCTAAAGCGTCTAAACATCCACATGATCTCATTACGTTAAGCTTCAGTCCATGATTAGCTAGCTCTCAACAACTATGGAAGACGAGAGGCCCTCAATGACTGGGGTTATGACCAGGGTATCTCCAGTGCGACGAACCTAGTCAGCGATGGCACTTGGGAGCTCGAAATCATGGCTGCATGACCAACGTACCTGCAGCTCAACGTGTTTGGGTACGATGATTACTACTACGGTGACGGCGTTATGGATCGGCTACCACCTAACAGCATTGCGCACAACTACCCGAATTTGTCGGCGCCCCCTTATCCTGCGCTCGCATGGGCACTCATCGTTGATGATGCCACGTTGGAGTGGACTCTTGAGCCTCATGGCCATGCTTTTGTCAGCGCTACCATGTACGGGCTCCTCTGCTCTCTCTCCCTCATTACCGGAGTTCTCGCAGTCGTCATTTTCGTGTACTCTTTCTACGGCATCCGCCACAACCTGTATGGTGTGCAGACGAATTCGGGCGCAAGCAAGTATTCCCCTATCATCGGATTGCTCAACAAGTCGGCCGCAGACTTCAAGGAGAGCGTGACGCCCATTGCGGAAAAGATCTTTGGGCACAAGCCGAACGCGGAGATCGTGGGATGGCTAGAGGACAAGAATAAGCGGCGCAGAGTCCTCATCGCGACGCTGGAATATGAGATCATTGACTGGAAACTCAAGGTCAAGATCGGAGGTCTCGGTGTGATGTCATCGCTCATGGGAAAAGCTATGACGGACGTTGACTTGATCTAGGTCATTCCAAAAGTGAAGGACCTGGATTATCCCGCTGGCGAACCTGCGGAGCCTATCGAGGTTATCATCTTCAATGAGCCTTATCGAATCGAAGTGGAGACGCACGTGTTGGACAATATCACCTATGTCATCCTCGACAGGCCCGTTTTCCATGCACAGACCACATCAGACCCATACCCAGCCCGCATGGACGATCTCAGTTCCGCCATCTTCTACTCTACATGGAACCAGGCCATCGCAACCACCATCCATTGATTCCCTGTCGTCGACATATACCACATCAACGACTACCACAGCGCGCTTGCTCCGATCTACCTCCTGCCCAAAGTAGTACCTGTCTGTCTCTCGCTGCACAACGCCGAGTTCCAGGGTCTATGGCCGCTTCGAACAAAAGAAGAGATGAAAGAAGTCTGCTCCGCGTTCAACATCAGCAAAGAGCACTGTATGAAATACGTCCAGTTTGGAAACATGTTCAACCTGCTTCACGCCGCTGCGTCGTTTATCAGTGTTCATCAAAAGAGCATGGGTGTCGCTGGGGTGTTGGACAAGTATGGGAAGCGCAGTTGGGTGTGGTATCCTGCTCTGTGGACCCTCGAGTATGTCGATTCGCTGCCTAATCCTGACCCTGCGGATATTGCGGCTTTGGATGAGAACCTGGTGGCTATTTGTGAAGTGCAGATCGATCAGGTTGTTAAGGCACAGCGTCCGGAGATGAAGAGGCAGGCTCAGGAGTGGGCGAATATCAAGCAGGACCCTACATCAGGAAAAACCTCCCGGCCAAAATTTCGATAATCTTTGATAAAGTCCAAGAATTATGTCTAATTAGCAGCCTTAGGAGAATTAGGAAAATTATGTAGTTTAGAAGGACTTTCTTACCCCCTGCATAATTATCAAGAATTAGCTGATACTAGACACAATTATTGTGAATTGCAGAAAATGTATTTCGAACTTTGCATTGCAAATCACCCACAATAGTCAGACGATGTTACAAGAAAAAACAACTGATATTTGATTACATAGAATATAGACACAAAAGTAATTACTGTATAGCTACAATTGACCGCAAATACTACCTAATCCCTGGCTTAGATTAGCAAAGCCATACCTGTTGCAGCAAGAACGAGTGCGAACAAGCACATACAAGTGTGAACATGTGTGGATAAGCATAAGCTAATAAAGCTACATTAGTGAAACACGCAAGTGGATTTATAGAAAAGACATACAGTGACTCCTTGAAAGAGGATCGACACGCTGCGAAAGGCGGACAACGACTTTGATCAGCATGGCTCGAGCTCAAAGGAGGATCAACACACTCACCCGCTGCAAACGGCAGACAATGACCTGGATCAGCATGGCTCGAGCTCAGAGGAGGTTTGACACACTCACTTCCTGCGAATGGCAGACAACGACTTGTATCAGCGTGGCGGTTGCTCGAACAACGAACGACGCACTCACTTCCTGCGAGCGGCAGATAACGACTTGGAATCAGTGTGGCGGTTGCTCGAACAACAATCGATGCACTCACTTCCTGTGAACGGCAGGCAACGACTTGGATCAGCATGGCTCTTGCTCGAACAAGGACTGACACACTCACAATCCAACAACGAGCGCGGAAGGACGGCTATGAACTACCTAGTTTGTAGTTACAAATGTTAAATAGAACTTTTTTAAAAAACCTAAGACATACCTATCAGTTTGATGGTTGAGGCTGACGATGTTGAACGTTGAGGAATGTTAATGAGGGATCGACATCAGAAGTTCAAAAAGTTTTCAAACCAAAGTCATGCGAGCCAAACAAATACCATGATGCAAATGGTTCAATATCAACCAAACAGTCACATGAGCGAAACAAATATGTGCAAATGATGAACTTCAACAAAATTTTACTCAGTCATTCACTGCTTGTTCTTGTTACGACTGGGATGAGTCGAGCTATCTCTGTCTGAGTAGACAATCGGCAGGATGCCTAGATAGACGTAAGTCTGCTCTCGATTGAGAGATCAAGGTTTCCGACTAAGGCGAGTGTCGCTGACTCCCTTAGAATAGTGGTTCTAGACAGTAAGGTTGGAGACCTTACTGAAGGACGATGTTCCAGGTAAAACCCAGTAGATTAAAGTAAGGAATACAACAGTGGGTAGGTAGGTTTATATACCAGTGTTCAAGCGGAGCTTGTAAGTGCGTTATCAAGATAGAAGCAGAAAGAGGCGGACAGCCCGCTTGGTGAGATAAGAGATAAGCATGATAAGAGATAAGCGTGGTACGGACAGCCCGTTTAGAGATAAAGAAGAAATGAATATAGGGGTCTAAATGTTACTGTAACATTACCCCCTTACTAGGGTTGAAACCACCGGATTCAATCATCCTGGTTAGCGTAGTAGATGGGATCGTCAGAATACTCTAAGTCGTCTTCTGGTCCAGCCTTCATGCGCTCTTCCGAATAGAGCATTTCTTCTTCCCTGCATAATGCTGCGTATGCGTCATCGGCGTCATTCTCCCAGGCTGCGAGTGCCTGGTAAAATCCTTCGTCTTTCCAGGTTAGAGAAGTAGGGGTTTCTCCAGTATAGTGTGGGCAATAAAATGAAAGATGGCCTGGAGACAATTCTCGACAGACGCGACAGTAGTAGTCGGGGCAATTAATTTGCCTATGCCCGATCGTTTTGCAGTATCTGCATACGCGGTTTTCATCAGGATTAGAGGAGGTCGCTCGTAAGGGTGATGGGCCTGGCTTAGGACTAAGTGCTTCATCTGCACTGGTGGCGCGTCTCTTTCCTTTATCTTTAGCAGAGCGCCGAGCTCGCGTTCTTTTCCTGGTTAAATCGGTTCGTTGTATGGGGTGCCTAATGGCTACACCTCGTTGCTCTGCCTCCGCGATTAGCTCAGCAGGAGTGGCAGGTTGAGTTCTTCCCAACGCTTGCATGGGTACTATTCCATCCGTGAAGGTATGCGTCGATAATGAATCTGGAATGACAATCGGGGGGTGAATGTGGAGCGAGGCCAATGCGTTGGCCAAGTCCTGTTCTTCATGATAGGATAGGAGTTGTTGATTTGGATCAGCAGCGATCTCTTCGCGGGTAGCAGAGAACGCAGTATAAAGATGGGGAGGGTGTTCAATAGTTTCCACCGTAGGGACTGGTACGGGGATTGCTTGGCGGTTTTCTTCTCTGAGGGAAGCTAACATGGCTTCCGTTGTCTGCGCGAGATTATTGACCGCAGCCAGTAACTCATTAGGAATGTGAGAAGAGAGAGTAGGAGCAGCGTCTTGGTATGAGGGAGGAGGGGCTCCTCCGGTGGGGCCCATAGGGGAAGGTGGGCGCGCAACCCCTGCGGTTTGTTCTGAGACGATGTGGATGACCGTTCTAATATCGTCTTTAACTTCTTCAGGAATAAGGCGCAGAGCAAAGTTGCGTATGCGCCTCTGCATATGCATGAGACTGTGGCGGACCGTGTTGTCTTCAACGAGACGACAGACTCGTTCGATGATCTCGGTGGCTCTAATGATGTTGATGAGGAGGTTGATGGAGTGGGCGTTTCTTCCGAAGAGGACTCTGGTGAGCTCAATGGCATGTTGGGGGCAGAGAAGTGCTGCCTCAATGAGAGTGAGGTCTTCAGCTTGGGTGATGTACGTTTCGTATCGTTCGTCATTTGAGTCAAGGGCGGCGGTTTCGAAGGTGGAGTGGTATGGCAGAGTGTAGGTGGATGCGGGGAAGGGCATATTGGTCACTTGGGTTTCGTTTACAGGGGAATGGTTCATTCAGTTTAGCTTGTGCCTCTTCTTATATGTTGTTAAAAGCTCTTTCGAACTCCGCAAGTTCTCCTCGGGTATCCATTCGTTGCTTCCGGAAGAGTAGCCTATCCATGATACGAGATAGCGTCTTCGTTTACCCGTGCCTTTATGGCTAAGAATAGCTTCTATTTCATATTCTTCTTCGCCATTGATAATGTCAGGTGGAGGTTCGGTGTAGTTCGGTCCGTGTATCTCTGTCTCGCGATAGGACGATAGTTCGGAAGCATGGAACGTGGGGTGAACTTTCCACTGATCTGGGAGTTTTAGAGTAAATGTGATAGGAGATAAGACTGCGGTGATAACGAATGGGCCGTATCGTTTGGGCGCAAGTTTCCTAGAAGGTAAAGATGTCAGGAGATTGGTGGCCGTAAGCCATACCTTATCTCCTATCTTCCATGGTCGGTATTTCCCATGGCGAGATCTTTCTGCCATTCGTTGCATGGCGATGTTATGACAAGCGAGTGCTTCTTCACGTATCTTCTGTAGGTTTCTGAGTCTTTCTTCTGCTGCTGGCGTGTCTGATACTGATAAGATGTGAGGGATCCCACGTGGTTCGTAGCCCATCATGAGGAAGAATGGTGACGTGTTCCTGGCATCGTGTTTCCGATGATTGTGGACGAATTCGGCGATAGGAAGATGATTTGACCATTCTAACGGGTTATTCCTGCAATAGATCCGTAGGTAGGTTTCCAATTCTTGGTTAAGACGTTCTGTTTGTCCGTCTGTCTGGGGGTGGTAGGCGGTTGATGCGGCGATCTGATATCCGAGTAGTCGGGCAAGTTCTCGAGAGAATTTCGAAATGAACTGCGGTCCTCTGTCTGAGATTACTTTTTCGTGGAGGCCGAATCTTTTGAACACGTTTTTGAGGAATAGTCTGGCTACTCCTTCGGAGGTGATGTTTTTATTGCAAGGTGAAATAATTACCCCCTTCGTAAGCCCATGGTCTACCACGATCATGATAGAGTCAAAACCGCCCGATACAGGCAGGTCGGTGATAAGGTCAACAGAGACTTGGGAAAAGGGGCGAGTGGCGATGGAGGGGATTGGTCGCAACGGTGGAGTGACCGGGTGCGTGTCAGCCTTCATTTGCTGACATAATGCACATCCGTCGACGTATTTGCGGATGTAAGTTCCCATGGCTGGCCACCAAAAATCTCGTTTGACGAGTTCTTCCGTCTTGAATCGTCCGGGATGTCCCGCAGTGGGATGATCATGGTGTTTAAATAACACGTCATGTCGTTGGGCTGCTGGGACGTAAGCTCTATGTTTATAAAAGAGGACGCCATCGGTGCACGTCCAGTCTGAGAGGGCGGATTTCATTGGAGGAAGGCATACTCCGTCCAATGCTTCCAGGGCTTTCTGGTAGACGGGATCGTTGGCGGAGTTGCGTGCAATACTTTCTGACAAATCATTGTCAATTAGTCGCACGAACATGGTATCAGGGAGGAGAATGCGATTGTCGTTATCGTCTTTTCCGAGTGAATGGTCGGGGCGTCGAGAAAGGGCATCAGGGGCGGCTAGTTTGGTCCCTGCGACGTGATGCAACTCTAACTGATAATTGGAAAGGGCGAGCTGCCAACGTGCCTGTCTTCGTGTTAGCTTTTGGGCGGAACGGAAGTACAGGAGGTTCATATGATCCGTGAATACTATCACGGTGTGGGGGTTCCCTTCTAAATAGTGGCGCCATTCGGAGAGTGCTCTAATGACTGCCAGTAGTTCTCTGTCAAAGATTTCGTAGTTTCGTTCCGCGGGGTTGAGAGATTGGGATAGATAACCGCATGGATGGTACATTCCATTTTCATCAGTCTGCAGCAACACTGCTCCGGTTGCTGCCAACGATGCATCGGTAGCAATTGCGAATTGACGAGTCGGATCCGGGTTTCTTAGGACTGGTTGCGATAAAAAGGCGTTTTTAAGGTGGTCAAAGGCGTTCTGACACTTGTCAGTCCAAACGAAAGGGTGGTCTTTTTTTGTGAGGTCGATAAGGGGTCGAGCGATATCCGAGTAGTGAGCAATGAACGTCCGGTAGAAATTGCAGAATCCTAGAAAAGACCGTGTGTCTTTTAGGTTTTCCGGGGTTGGCCAGTGTTTGATTCCGTCTACTTTGGCGGGTTCCATCCCTACTTCCCCTGGTCGGATCATCATTCCAAGATATTCTACCTCTCGCGCATCAAAGGTGCATTTTTCCGGTTTAACGAATAGTTTCTCTCTTCTAAGGATGTCGAGGATTTCGATGGTCCGTGCTTGGTGCTGCTGGAGATCCTTTGAGAAGATTAATAGGTCGTCCATGTATATGACTAGCCATCCTTGGTTTATCTGCTTTTGGCAGACGTTGGTCATGAACGCTTGGAAAGTTGCGGGGGAATTCGTTAATCCAAAAAACATGACTGTTGGCTCGAACAGTCCTTCTTGAGTGGTAAACGCTGCTTTCCATCGATCTTCTGGGTGGATCCTTACGTTATTGTACCCTGATCTAATGTCGATCTTCGTGAAGTATTTAGCGTCATAGAGTTGTTCGATGAGGGATTTTGGCAAGGGGAGGGGATATTGATTTCGTACGGTCCAATCGTTGAGATACCGATAATCCTGACAGGGACGTAGTTCTCCGCTTTTCTTTCCTACAAAAAAGAATCCGCTGGCTTGAGGTGACTTGGAGGGGACAATAAAACCTTTTCTAGTATTTTCTTCGATAAATGTTTTGACAGCTTCTCGTTCTTTTCCTGATAAAGGATAGACTTTTGATGTCTTGGGTACAAATCCTGGTTTGAGGTCGATACGATGATCTACTCCTGGTCTTTCCGGCGGGAGTTTGTTAAGACCATCCTTGGCAAAAACGTCTTTATACTGGTGGAGGAAGTGAGGGACGAGTTCTTCGAAAGTTTTCTTTTGTTTTTCTATCTCTCCTGCAACCGCGAATTCTTGGGCTTTATTACTTGTTTTTCCATAATTTTGTTCTCTTTTTGATGTTCCGTCTCGAACGAGTGGGGTATCGAAGGTTATATCTTCTATGATGCGTACGGTGGATCCATCGGTGGCATACTCGACGAGTACTTCGTTACTGGCTAATTGATAGGCAAGTGGGTCTGTGACTGGAGTTTTGAAGTTTTCTGACCAGACGTCGTCCTTTGTGTCATAGTTGGGTATTTCTTCATCAACTATTTCTTCTACGGAAGCGGTATAGGGGGGGATGGTTTCTTTAGTTGCCACCTTCACCTGTATCGGTTTCCGTAGTTTGGAATTTGTCCAAGTTCGGGTTGTTTCTTTTCTGAAGAGCGGCGGGAGCGACTTCTTGCGTCTCTTTCTGTCAATGCTTTTTTCTATGGTAAGCGACCTCCTTGTTGATGGGAGAGATACGGTTTTGGCTTCCCAATCGATCTGGGGTTTTAGTGCAGCAAGCCAGGGGAATCCTAGGAGGATTTTGTCTTGTTTGGCTAGTTTTGCCACATTGAACTTCCCGATCATGGTTCGTTGATCGATTTTGATCGTGAGTACGCAGTAACGAGAGATGAGTCCTCCTTGGGCGTCTGATCCATCGGCGGTGATAACAGGGAAGGGTCGTGAGAGTTTATGGGTTTTTATTCCATGCCTTTTACAGAAGGTATCGCTGATAAAGGTGCCGGATGCTCCGGAATCGATGACCATGGATGTTTCGACGGTTTGCACGCGTTTATCGGAAAAAATGGATGCAGGAATTCTTAATTCATTTCTGGTTCCGATAGAACGTATTAGTCGTACATGAGTGGGAGTTACTGACGTCGAGGCAGTGTCCCTTTCTAAAAATCCATCTCCACGAAGCGACGTTCCACTTCAGTGAAATCGCTGTCTTCTTCTTCTTCAACCTCTTTGGCTTTTTCTTTCATGGTTTTCCTTCGGACCGGTGCTTTCCTCGGAGTTTCTTCCTCGTCTCTTTCTTTCTTCCTTCTGATAGGGTTCCTGGAGGAGGAAGCGCGACTTTCGTCTTCGTCGTCGCTGCTAGTTTCTTCTTTGTTTCTTCGGATCTGTCCTCTTTCTCTTGGGTGGAAGGAGGTGTCGTTGGCACGGTGTCCTACTTGGTGACATTTGAAGCATCGTCCTTCTTTGAGGTGCTTCTTCAACTCTGCGTCTGAGAGACGGCTTATGCGGTCGACTTCCATGTCATCGTTCCTTTTTGGAATATAGTGTCTATTTCCGAAGTTCTTCTTTTTCTGTTGCTGGGGTCTTTCTTTCTTCTTGATAGCTTTCCATCTTTGGAAGGCGTTATCAATATTAATGCAAGTGTTGACAACGGTGTCGAAGTCATCGAGAGTTTCGCCTGTTTTATACAGGTTGTCCTGAAGCCCGTAGTCTAGGCCCTGTCGAAAGAATTCGATGAGGGGGGCTTGTTCGGTCATTCCTGCTCGATGTGCGAGGAGTTTGTAGTTGGAGATGTAGGTGTGGAGATCTCCTCTCATCTCTAATCCTCGTATCTTCGTCATAGCGGTTCCGGCGGGGTCCATGGGTTTAAAGGCTTCATCGAAGTCCTTTTTAAATTTGGCCCAGGTACCATAACCGATCATCTGTCCGGAGGTATCTTTCCTCTTGGGGTCTAGGGCTGCTTCCATGAAGTCTTCTGCCCAGGCTGCTGCGTTTCCTTTTGTCATGTAGGATAACACAAGAATGATCTTCTTCTTATCATCGACGTAAACTTTGTCGTTAATGTCGAGGTATGCATGACATTTCATCATGAATCTCTTCGATTCTTCTCTGTCTCCATCGAATTCGGGAGGGGAACCGATCTTTAGTTCTATTTCTTTGTTCTGTGTCGTCATGGTGTTCAAAGGAGGAATGGTTGGTAGCGCTCCTAAGTTCAAGGCTCCAATTAAGGGAGTTAACGAAGTCGTGGTGTCGGTTTCGTTGCAGATGGCAACGGTTCAGGTAATAAAGACTTTAATCTTTTGTTACGACTGGGATGAGTCGAGCTATCTCTGTCTGAGTAGACAATCGGCAGGATGCCTAGATAGACGTAAGTCTGCTCTCGATTGAGAGATCAAGGTTTCCGACTAAGGCGAGTGTCGCTGACTCCCTTAGAATAGTGGTTCTAGACAGTAAGGTTGGAGACCTTACTGAAGGACGATGTTCCAGGTAAAACCCAGTAGATTAAAGTAAGGAATACAACAGTGGGTAGGTAGGTTTATATACCAGTGTTCAAGCGGAGCTTGTAAGTGCGTTATCAAGATAGAAGCAGAAAGAGGCGGACAGCCCGCTTGGTGAGATAAGAGATAAGCATGATAAGAGATAAGCGTGGTACGGACAGCCCGTTTAGAGATAAAGAAGAAATGAATATAGGGGTCTAAATGTTACTGTAACAGTTCTAGGTGCGCATGTTTTTTTCTTCTTGTTTACTACTATCTTCAACCTTGCAGCGTGCTACTACGACCACCACTCGTGCCCTACACTACATCCTACCCTCCATCTCGTGCTTCCTGTCTTGGCCCTCCTTCCACTCTTCTGGCGCTCTCCAGTGTCCTCCGCACACGTTCGAGCCACGTAAGCATTTGCTGACGTGTGCCAGGCATGTGCGCTAAACACTGGTGGCTGCTGGGATCAGGTGGGGCATCCCACGGTTCTGGATGATTGTAACGATTTTTGGTTGAATTCGTATTTAGATAGATACACTTTTTGTATATTCAAGTAATTCTCGACATTTTGTGATATTTGCATCCCACATTATCGTCTTCTAGCAATTTTATTCCTAATTCTTGTAATTAGATAGAAATTATCATAGAATTATCTGAATTAGAACTTTGAGCGAAAATTATAACATTTTTTCCCTGGGAGGGTAATGTACAGACGAGAGGTTTGAACTAAAGAACTACCGACTACAAACTAGCTACCTATATACATATATTAAGTCAGAGACTGAAACTGAGTTCAAACTAACTACCAATCAGAATAAATGAAAGTATTGTATGATTCTATATATAACTATGATGTCATGATGCGTGCCATAGCAACCGACAGGCTCTGGAACATTCCATAAGGTTTACGTGTTACGTCGTCATCAAGATCGGCATCATCCAATAAGTCATGTGACTCTGTCACTGGCAATCCGGGTAACTCCATAATAGTCGCAAAGGGTTTCTCTACCTCTGGTTCTTCAACTGTAAATACATTACTAGGAACAGGCGCTGTGACTGGGCGCTTAAAGGACTTAGAATTCAGAAAAGAATAGTAGTTCATATGAGGTACTCGTGACAATATGTAGGAGCTTCAATAATGTAGCATACAAAACAAAATACAATAAAAACCAACTGGCACAGTGGAGCGCTGTAACAATGTGACAGTAGGGTGTGGTTTCAGGCAGGTGGTCCATCACCGCGTGATTCAGGGCTGGCAGAACGCAGCTACAAGGAAAATGAATAATAGTACTAGTAGGCTTCAATATAGATAATTAGTTTTATGATGAGTGATGAATAAAAATAAAACTTACAAATAGCATGCTGTACTCACAGATATTCCTCCTTCAAGGCGAATAAGTGGATGAATTTGCAAATTGAGGTCCGCAAAGTAACCGATCGATAAGATAAATATAGGGTAGCTGAGAAGTATAACCATGTATCGAGATACACCTGCAAATGGACCTGCAGCTAATGATTCATCTGACAACGGATCTGAAAACTTTAGCTTAGATTCCGGAATCCTAGATATGACTTACCAAACCATGTACCCCAAAAGAAAGTAAAAAAACCGGACAGAATTTGGACAGGCCCAACCCGCCTTCCTTGCCAGTTCTGAACCTCTGCCCGTGTCGTGGGAATGAGTGATAGGGTAAGGGCAAGACCCCAGGTAGCAATCATAACCGAAACAGCTCGTGCCCTACTGAACCCTGGGCCAAGGAAGTTTGTTGCCCATATCACCAGAAGTATTCCCACACAATGGACAAAGACGATTATTCGGACAAGGGGATTGATGATATTGATAGGCATTGTATTGTGGTTGGGGCCCGGGCCAAGCCTTGGCTGCATGCACACAAATATGTGTTATTGTATGTATGTTAGGGGGCCTGTGCGATGTTACTGCAATGCCTGGGAAAATGCTGTTATAGCAGTGGCAGGAGTTGTGAAGCTGTTGCAGTCAACAGCTGACACTAACAGACAACAGACAACAGGTACGTGGATGAGCTTATGGGATTGAGCAGTATGGTAAGAGATAAGATACGAACAAAGGGGCAGTCAGGTCTATACACTGTACGGTGCAAACACCGAACAAACAAATGACGGTGTCCAATCAAATTGCGGTTCTGTCACGTGTGGTAAGCTGTAGGAGGCGGAGACCGCTGATGTAATCGTATAGTTTTTGATTTTAAATACCTCGACAAGCCCGTTCAATAAGCGCGCCACTCGTTAAATGAAAGGATAATACACTAAGGAAGACCAGTACAGTCACAAGCTTTGGACATTGTTATTCACTGTCAGTTCGCGCCCTTCATTCCCCCGTAGTTCCGGCGACAATGTTTCCATGCACACCCCACTCAACCCCAAAGCCGAATATCACCCAAGCTGTGAGGACTATGGCGAACCCAGCCCCAACTGCTACCCAGCGCGCATATGAGGACACAGAGCCTGGTACAGGGCTCTTCAACACTACTTCCTTCTGCTTTGGCATCGCACTCTCATCCTTGCTTTCCTCGGTAGCACTATGCAGGCGTAGCTCCCAAAGCTTCTCCACTTCTCTTTCCAGATACTTTGGGCGTACCTCTGAAAGCCGCGCGGCGGGAAGACGCCGCTTCCCGAATGGTGTATAGCAGGCGCCCAGGAGTGCACCCGAGACAAGCACGCAGGCAAACGCATATACAAGCCAGACTGTCACAGCACTCTCGAGCGAGTCGTTGGGGGAGAGGTCTTGAAGCCTCCCAGCTGCCGTTACGACGATGACGATGGAACCCTGAATGATCGATTCTGCAAGAAGAGACGGTGAGCGTGATGAGGTGGAGAAGAACCAAGCATACTTTTGATGGCAAAGCTAGAAATCACGTCAAGAAGGTCAACAGTGAAGATGTACTAGAGAACTCACGCCGTTGCATAGTAGCGAGAATCTGGTATAATGCTGCGCAAGATCTCCACTTGCGGAGCTGGTGTTAAGCTCTGCAAGATAACGTTAGAGTACTAGTGAATCGAGGATCTCATGCACATACCTGAGCAAACGCATAGAATACATATGCGCAAACTAAATTGGATTCAGTACAACATCTACCTGAATCGTCCCAACTCACCAAAAGTCGGCACTGTCTCGGAAAATCTCAACAGCAACATTGAGATTAAGAACATACACCCCGAAAGAAATACTAGCCTTATGATCAGCTTCTGCATTACCAAATGAGAGGACGCTCACGAATAGTCACACGGTGCCCATATGTATCAATAAATACGCCCTCCAAAGGGACAAGTCCAACAGGAAGGAGAAGGTAAAAACTCGACACCCATCCACCAACTACGGCTCCTTTCTTGAGCCTTTGCTGTGCAAATTGCCTGCGTAAAATTTAACAGTCATAACGCTATCGAAAGACAATCACTCACGTAGATATTGACAAAAATGACTGCACGCCAGCGTTTTCGAAGGTCGCAAAAAGAATCACAAACCAAAAAGTGAACGGCATCTGGCGCACAGCTGGCCAATTAAACGTTCTAGCCTTACCCGTACTTGGCTGGTCGACCCGCTTGGAGTGATCGACAACTTCGTAATGTGAACGAAGGAATTTATCAAGGATGACGATACAAATAGCACAGAGAAGAGAGAAGAGGCTTATGACGGCGCTTATCCAGAGAGGCCATGAATATGAGCCAAGATTTTCGGACATCACGTTCGCGGTACTCTGACCGATATATTGAGCCAGATTCGCCATCGACCTACACGATACAAGTGCATATGAGTTGTGAAGGTGTAGTCATAGAACCTACCATATGAGACCTGACAAAACGGTCAATATAAGGATCGCTAACGATCATGAGGTACCTCACCTATGGACACTCCGAAACCTTTTCCCGGCGCAAAATATGTGGTGAAGATTTTGTGCTGTGCATTATCTAGGGATCCGTCACCGATAGCCGCGATGATCTTGCCCGCCATGAGGACATGATAACTATCGAGTCCGTTTGTCGTTGCGCCGGCCTCTACGATAGTGCCTGCAAGATGAAATGCGGCAAGTATGACAGACATGAGTGGGCCTCCAAATTTATCGATGACGAAACCGAGGGCGATGCAGAGAAATGTGTTGACCTTTTCGAGAGTGAGTACGTCGGTTCCACGTTAACGGAGCAAGATCGGCCGTACCAGATTCGTTACAGCTACCTAGCAATCCGAGAACGTCAAGACCGCTACTGGCATGATTATGTCGAGCAAAATACTTACGAGAGTAGCAAATTCGGAATTGTTTATCTTCAGTTTTTTCTCGATCGTTGTCTTCAGAGCAACGATGAGACCCTGCGGGCATGAAAATAATTTGTTTGCATCTGCAGAACTTGAACTATCATGATGGATGCGTACGTTGGACCAATGATTTCCGACTTGCACAGTTCATGAGCTACTCGGAAAAATTAATAGAGATGGGTACTTACATGTGCACATACACGTTAATCCGATCATCACTACCTTCCACCTTAAAGGTAGCTTTGGCTTGGCAGTAGGGACTGGGACAGACAGAACACTGATTAATGACTGACGTTGGCCATGTTTGCCTTCGGCATAGGTAGGAGCAACAGCGTTGGCGGAGCGAATGCTGGCAGTGGACATGATAGGTGTAGAGGACCCACATACAACTACAAAAGCCCAGATGAGTCCTTTTAGAATCCACCTTCAAAAATAGAAGCGGAGAAGCTCTTTCGAGTCATGCAGCCCGATAGCAAGCGAGGATCATTTCGTGAAGACAGTCAAGGTGTTGCGAGTCCAACGCTGTCCGACAGTCCCAGAGATGTAACTTGAATTTACTATGTGTAGCATGATCCTAATAGTATGTCGATGTTGATGTTACCTCCACGGTCCCAGCCCGGTTATGAGGCAAGCCGTCATAAACGGACGAATTTGAATTTGGATCAAGAAAGGTAATTAGTAAGTAACGAATAAGCTTCAAGCTTGCGCCGTCCGGAAGAAATTTCCACGCCATGAGAGTATGCCAAATTCGGTAATTTTTGCCGCGTTAATAGCGGACGAGTTCAACATGTTCCGTCGCAAACCAGGACCCGCGTTCTCTCCTTATCGCACTGAACTCACCCTATTATTATTCTCTCTTCTGCACAGACATCCATACACTGTCAGGAAATAATTAACCCTCATGTTGCCTGTCATTGCACACTCATGGCCTCTGAGAAACCATACGACGATAGGCATATCATCACTGCATACGATACTCGTGCTTCTTAAGGTATGTCCACTTTAACGGAATATATCTTCATCAACAGAGTACTTTGTTGTCTGTGGACAGTACGCGCTGCAGTCGCAGTCATGTTTTCCAGTACGGAGCAATATTGTCAGATTAAATCCCATTGCACGTACTTCATTAATGGCAATACGGTTCCGAAATTTGATTGCTCTTCGGGATAGAGAGTCGAGACGTGGATATACTCATCCCTTTTTCTCTCCAGACCAGTGCGTGAGGTTACATGGAGATGATGGTGTGAGCTGTAACATATTTCATCACGAGCGTGCCGTAGAATTGGAGGATAGGTGCATTGGTCGTCCAGTACGTGGCTATCACATCTATATTCTTGTCCTCCTTATCGGGCCGGATAACTTTTGGCCTGCTCCATCGTTGTATTGTGTATTTGGTGTGTGCTCGCTTGTGATGGTGTATTGAATGCCAAAAGGAGCAACGTGACATGGAAGGTAAGAAGAAATGCTCATAATTGCGGAGTCGGGGATTAGGTGTGTACGCATCACTACGATACAAATAACGGCTATGGTCTCGGACCGGGGAGAATTTCTCGAGGCATAGCGACAGGCTTTCATCTGCGAAACCCAAGCCAGAGCGTTCAGGAGAACGTCGCGAGGTAGTCCACGTTCAACACTGCAGGCACCCGTCTCCTAGGATGAGGGTCTGTTAGCTAGGGCGAGAAGACCGCTAGGATGATGAAGGTGGCAGAGTTTCGAGCCTGCGAAAGTTCTCGTCAAGGGGCTACCGCTACTCCAACCGTGCTGGCCTTCTGGATTATACTACTGAGTGAGAGTAAAGGTTCCGTCTCGCGACCGCAATCGCGTTCGATCAACGGCCAGCTGCATACGGTAACCATAACCCACCGGGAGGGCTAGTGAGGTAGGAAGCCAGATCTCGTAGCTTTTAACACTCACCGAAGGGACCCTTTCGGCCGTTTCCGAACCGATTGGAAATGTGGCAGAGACGATGCTGGAGCTCGTATCCTTTTCGGATCCTGAAATCGTGTTAATCGTATGCTGTACTAGCATTACAATCCGACTCCACGCAATGTGAAAGTCACCTTCACACTGCGCGGAGCAGAAGGTCCACTTGATACTTCCTGCATATTTGTTGCGGATGAGGCTTGCCCTATGAATCGAACATACTTCTGCAACGATCCTATCCGCGTCATAACAATCAGTCAAAGTTTTTATCTGCCCGGGAGAGCCCATATCCTTGACCGGACGGATTAATTTTGTCGCATCGCGCTCTCGTTCTCCAGCACGTTTTCTTTTTTATCATAACGTGTTTAATACATCATCTCATATCGATCTCCACCTCAGCAGCCTACTATCCGCCTACCCTCTTGAAAATACCATATAGCCAGAGACTCGACTTCCCTTTCGACATCAGTACGTCTTGCCCTAGACTCATGGCTACTCCACTCCATTGCACCAACGCATTCAGGAACTAGATAAGCATCTCCCGCACTATACTTTGACGATACTTGATGTGGCCTAGCCGTTGCCTTGCCACGAGTCAGATGTATTTATTATAGAAGTCTGTGCCCGGGGAAACGTATGCCCTTGAAAATTGAAAAGAACTTAACATGGACTCCCGGAGGGTATTAATGCGACCGTTTGTCGCTCACGGACTTTGCGCCATACATCCGTATTGTTGTAGCGGATTGATTCATTAGTACTAATACGCCGATGGTAACCTAGACACGCTGCGAAAAAAAAGAACTGCCCTCTCGATAAAGATTGTCTCAACAGCATCTATACTCGATCCATCCTGAGGCACTCTTGAGTTCAAGATACAGCTGTGCTCATGGCAGCGGATCACAATGGAACTTCATGTTAACTCATCTGGACCTCACATTGTCGGGTAAGATCAATCGGTGTGCATGCATATGAAACATTCCATTTTTACACTTATACGTTGAGCTGGAAAAATACTACCGAAACACTAATGTGATACATCTTCACGTAATGTACAAAGAAACTGAACGTCCACATATTCAATGATGATGGAGAAGAGGGGTATGCTTGCACAGGTATAGAGAGCGGTCAGCATGTCCGCAAAATGGTCATGAACGTCGTTGGAGAACGACAAAGGAGTAGGGAGCAACAAGATCGTCGTAACGCCACGAAAACCCCGAGAAGGGATACGTGGCACTGCTTTGACCAAAACCGGTTTGATCCTAGCTTGAACACTTTCGACCGATAAGTCCAACCATGCAGACGCGAATCAGTCTTCCTCCGGAACTTCGTAAATACTGGACAATGAAGGTCGGCGACGTGGGGTCATAAGACTGGTGCTGCTCCTACGACGGCGGTGGCTACGCTTGGAGGGAGAGGGCATGGAGCTTGACAGTGGATGAATGTTGTTAGACGGGTGCGAGGTGGGGACTGAGGAAATAGACAGGTCATCGGATAAGGACGACATGGAAGATGACGGAGATGAACTATAGATGACGTATGGCTCTTCCTCTTCCTCGCTCGATGATAGAGAGAGTGATGACGCAGAAGTAGTCAAGCGGGTAACATCGCCATTCTCTGGCATGGGTGATGCTGCAAGCCTACCTGAGCAGCCAAAGTTCATCTGAAAATTGCATTAGTGACATAATTCATGACGGATTTGGAGTGATGATAACTGACCACATCCTGCCGTGCACTAGTCGCTCGAATCCACTCAGCAACACGACGGGCCCATTCTCTCTTTTTCAGAAATTCGATCCGTTCCTTCCTCTGCTGCGCGGTTTCGATGAAATGTTGCTGTCTCCCGCGAACATCATACGGAGGGGAATAAACAGGGGTGGTGACTGGATATGATGAAGCGAGCAGGAGATCGTTCACAGGGTATCCTGCATCGTATAATGAAGACATGTTAGAAATAGTAGGTCCAGATAGTGATGGTAATCTAGAAAGGGAGTAAAGTTGTGTACGAGGGTTGTCTCTGATTATATATGACGGCATGAATTGTGGTCTAGAATGTTTTCCAGAAGCGGTTCAAGCTGTCTCGGATTAGTCAGCGTCAATTTCATTTATTAATCTGATTCATTTTGGAATCATCCGATGGCGGATCCGTTCAATCCGGGTGTCTTTGAAAAATGGACCAAGGTCTAACTACATGAGTACTATGTAGCAACTGAAGCGAGCTCAATTGCACATATGGTCTCAGACCGAGTGATACATCCTCCTTATAATTAATTATAATCCATAGTCCGACATGACATCGTATGCTGTTTACCTGTCACGACCCCGGCGGTTATCTATCATGCAATGTTTCGCATCCGCGGTGATACCGCGAAACCCATCCCAGAGGTTCGGTTCCAATTAGCTAGTACTAGTACTCACATGCCCCTCGTACCTTTCTTCTGCTCTGCTTTTAAGCCCATCAGCCATGGCTATAAATCCCTTCTTCAATCCATTCCCGACGAAGGCCCTGACCAGATACGCGAGGAGCCCACCAAACACCTCAATCGTCTCATAACGTGTTTTGCCTCCCTCAACTTCTACGAGCGCCTGCCACCGTTCCGCGGTGAGTAACCAGTGTGGCATTTCGATGTTCACCCATGCTGTACGATAATTTTCGTGATCCAATGCTGTAATCCGCTCGAACGCGGAGCCGGGAAACCACTGATTGTCAAATGACGGAGGAATGTGCACCGGCTGGATGTATAGGTAACAGCCTTCACGTGGGGTCTCGTCGGGCAGGTGATTCTTCCGCGCATCTGTGATGCGTTGGTCTCGCCTTTTCAAGTCATTTGCATCAGCTGCAAACGTTGTGAACAGCATAGCTTACACGAACGGGTTCCTAGATTACCGAGTCATGGTTATGGAGAGTTAGACAGGTCATCGTCAAGTGTGCAGCATTTACCATTCTTTGTATGACTTCCAGTCCATCAAAACTTCCCACACTTCTTTGCGAGGCGCATTTATAAGACATGAAGATGAGACTGAGAAGACACCTTTCGAAGAAACTGGGGGAAGACCAGTTCCAGACGACATGGGACTTCAAGCAAACTACTAGCTTACGAACTTCAAAGTGTGGAGTATGTAGGCACAAATGATTCGGGCAACGCCCCTTGCACTGAACCGTTATAGATCCCTTTAGGTGTGATTATTACGTCAGCAATTTTTTTTCGAATGAAGATCTAGTATCACTCATAGAATGCTAGTAAGGCCCTAGTAAAGGCAACTTGGACGCGTTGTATTAATATGCCGTCTGCACTTGCAAGTCAGTTGGCTGCATCCGCATCTCTAAATGCATCTCTTCTCGACGCTCACACCAACAAACGGAGACGGACAGAATCATACCTATTTACTGGTCGAGATGCCGACGTTCATGACCTAGACTCAATCCATGCACTTGCTATCAATGCCTTCGCGCAATTATCCTCATTGTCTCCTGCTTTTACTGCGCGAACTGCAAAACTACCTTCAGATGGGTCTTCCCTGTCTGTGGACTTTGACCAGACTTTATTTTCCGAGGCTGCAAGGAATGTCGATCGCACGATGCAATCCCGGGAAGTGAACGCAAACCTTGATCACACGCTGAACGCGTTCTTGTCCCTGTTAGGACCGTGGCTCATGGAGGCGCCTACAAGCAAAGTATTAGAATGGCTGGTCAGGAGATTTCGGTATGTGTTTGTACCATCTTATGAGCTTCTACAACTGACAACGTCACTGAAGCATTAATGAATTTAATGTCGATGCAGTTCTCTCCCTCTTCTTCCCTTATCATGAATCCCCGCACTTTGTCAAGATGCTCTCAATCCTACACATATCGTGCGTTTCGTTTCGCTTCATGCGTGCCAGTTTCATTTTTGACATCTGTCCCCAGTTCTTCTTCCATCTTTTCATTTCTGCTCCCATTTAAATCCACAGCAACGCCTCTTGCACGGAGCTCGATTGTCAAAGCCATGGCTGCCAACCAAGCGGTAGCAAGATTTATTGCATCGTTACTTCCAACTGCGATCAGAGGTAAGAATCTCTGTTGGAATTGACTTTTAGCACCAACATAACGCTTTTAGGCTCATGTTCTCATCGTACACTCGTGGCTTTCAATGCAGCCACAATGCACGACTATATCGCATCTTCGCCGGCTCTTGATGAAGGCATTCTTGCGTTTCTGTTGTCGGCTCTCCTTGCGCCATTTCAGACTAGTCACAGTGATGCCAACGCAACTGTAAGTTTCCGAATTATGACGCCTTGGTATTACTGACATGATGACGCCTTCCCTTAGCTCGGCAGTTACGTACTGCTTTCCACACTTTCGCATAAAGTTTCGCTGTCATCTGCCGTCGTGGTAGCTATCATCGGAGCAATGGCCACTTCAGCTGCTCCAAAGGGCAAACGGAATACGAAGGATGACAGATGTAGCGAACAATTTGTCAAAGTCGCAATTGCAGTATGCTCACCTCAAGAAGAGCTTGAGACTTTTCACGCCAACACAGGGAATTTATGTCTAAAGATTCCGTAAGTCAACTTTGGGAATGGCAACTATTTGATGTTGAAGTCGTGGTCGCAGCACATTTACAGAAGAACTTCGAGGTGCAGTTCAGTTTGTTGGAGCCGAAAAGTTTATCTTGCCGATCCTTGAATGTCTCAAGCCCCGGTATGTACAGGCTTCCTCAACCATCGAGAACAAGGACTTATTATTTTTCAGACTCGAGGAGCCTGTTGTATCCTCTCTTTACGCTGCAATTCTTAGTGCCACGGGTACTCCTCTGAGATTGCTTGAGCGCTTGGTGTCCTCGCTCATACGACTAATTCTCACTAGCAGCGACGAAGAGTCTGTCGCAACCTCAACAACTAATGCCGCACGTGCTCTTTTGTCTCTCGTTCATCAACGTCATGTTGATATTCTTCGCGATGCCGTGGGTAAAATCATCGAGGACGAAGAGAGCGAGCACGAAGGCGACGATCAGCGATTGAAAAAGAAAGAGCGGAAGACGAAAGCGGACGAATTGATGATCTCGTTTTCAGTGGTAAGTTTCCTCAGCGTGTGTCACTACATATATTAAGTTAAGAACCTTCTCAGAGTCATCCATGGGCTCAAAGTACTGACGTCAACGAGATTGTCGTTGCTTCAACAAGCACCGCCAAGGAGGCACGCGTTGGAGCTGTCGAGCGGCTATACAAAATTTTGCAAGGGGGGTTGACGCTCGAGGTATCTGATAAGGTAACACTATCGACATCGCTGTTCCTGATTTTTTTTATTAACATCAATATTTCAAGGCCTCAATACAGTCAGCTCTACTTGCTCGCGTCTACGATACGCACGCTGGAGTTCTCCACGTGTTGTACTCTTCACCTGAAGTATTCCTCTCGACGGTTACTTCGAGCATCACCCCTCAAAAACTCCTGGATGCTATCGTCTCCCAGATTGGTCCGGACCCACCAGCTCGCGCTGTTCTTATTGCACATGTTGCCTTCCTCGCCGGTCATTTCAGCAAGACCTACCCGGATTTATCACAAGCCGTACAAGAACGCGTGCTATTCCCGTACTTGCTTGCCAGCAAATCAAAGTTCAGGACTGCGCGGGCAGTATGGAAGGCGCTGAAGGAGGCTGGAGGCACTGCAACTGGATGGTTGAGAGGTTGTGTGGATATTTGGGAAAAGGCTGACCTTCTACGTCGCAAGAATGATGAGGAGAATGACGAGGCAGACGTAGACATGGAAAAAATCTGCCAGGCAAATCTCGATGTGGCAGCCAAAATTGCGGGTGCGTGTTCGTTTTCCTGTGATGTCATCATTTGGTTATTTTTTTTCGCAGAGAACATCCTTGCTTCCAACGACAGTTCAAGCGATATTTCCCTCGTTCTCCTCAAGCTACATGACCCCCTCCCGCACGGTCGCGCCCTTGCTTACCTAGTCGTCCGCGTTTTGCTACTCAGCACGTCATGTGGACAACAGGTCGACATAGCCTTACAGGTTCTGGCCGCCATGAAGTTGCACTCTGTTGACGGTTTTGGCGATCTTGCAGATAGCTCCGTGAACTTACAAGAGGCATGAATATTTTCGTCTCTGTCTTCGATTTGCTGAATATGTGACAGGTGCTCAATGACGCTACGCTGGGCATGAAAGTCACGACAAAGCCTGGAGGCAGAATCACCGTGATGTTTCTTCAGGCGTCCATATTGGCGTTGATCCCGGCTATTCGACTAGCTGACGCACGTACGCCTACTTGGATTACAACTTCATCATTGGTACGTTTTCGAGCCTGACGGTTTATCAGTTGCTCACTTACCTACTAGAGTGATTTATTATCTGAAAAGAAGAGCGTCGAGGACCGCTATGTCGCTCTCATGCAAAACCTATACGCTGTCGCTGTTGCTTCTGGAAGTACCACTCCATCGCAGTTGTCTACTCATCTCATCCAGACGCTCTTCCTAAACCTAAGAGATACTTCTCTCATGTTCTTACTTGGCGTCCTTCTTGCGCAATCTCCAACCCTGGAGCGCGTGCGAACCCGTGCTCTCTTGCATGCCTTAGCGTTCTTACGCGGGCACAACTCTGACAATGCGGTCGACTTTCAGACGGTATTGCCTTCATTCATAGCGGTGCTCATGGATGCGCGGACTGACAAGCAAGGACGTGCTTTGATATTTGAGTGCATCTCGGTGTTGGCGTCTACCTCGGAGAGGAAACATGTCTATGGGCTGGACACTATATACGGGGCAGAGTCTAGTAAGTTTTCTGTGCCTGTTATACTATCCGGCTTCACAGCCATTTCACTGCTTAGCGCACCTTCAATACCTTGACGCAAAGGATCTCGAAGGCTACTTGAAGGCTCTTCTTGAATGCCACACTCTCCTCGCGCAGGACGGCAATTATATCAAAGTATTCCACCACCAACACTTTGCCGCTGCTAGTGCAAAGTATGTTTGCCTTGTGATCATGTCTTCGTTTTTGTTTATGTTCTTTCGACTCAGATACAGGCGCCGAGTGATCTGTTACTTGCTGTCGCACGCGGTCACTCATCCAGTGCCCGAAGCTCGCATATCCATCATGTCCTCTGTCGAGGACGTATCAGACACTGCAAGATCGCATATGGTGATATCTGCCATGGAGACATTGGCCAAAGACCCAGCTCCTATCTCAAAATTATTCGGCGTCAACTCCCACCGGTACACCGCTCTGGTAGCATCCACGTTCCTCAGCGTCCCTATTGGAGATTTGAATACAGACACAGAAAATTCGGTTTGGCATGTTTTCTCTTTGGCGTTGCAAACGTACTTCAAGCCAAGTAAGATTTTTTTTTCCTTTTTACATGAACGGCGGCTTGACGATTTGTAGATGCAATCGCTACAGTTAGGAAACTATTTTCAGACGCGTTAGAAGAGAGGCTTTTTGCGCATCTCGACATGACACGGCAAGCTCAAATATGCGACATCCTTTTGTCGGCAGGATCGCTAGGCAATGAAGTGGTATGATGACGTGCCAACTGTGACCGGAATTAGGACTGACTGCGATAATAGTATGTGTGCGCGAAGGAACTTCTGAGCAACCTTCTGCAGGACGTCCATCTGATCAATCATCTGCTCGTGGTTTATCAACCTGCTGGAGCTCAGCCGGATACTCCTGCCAGTAAACGTGCTAAACTCGATAAGTATGCATCCTTGTACTATCATTGTGTCCTGCCCTCATTTCTTCGAATACAGCCCATCTCACGGAGATGTCGAGGAAAAAATGTCGATATTCACTTTCCTTGCTGAAGTTCTTGGAACGAAGGAACTTCCTGGATCACTTGACCTTCTAACGCAGCTTCTTGATACTCTGGGCAAGATTATACATAACGACTCGCCGATTCCGTCCGATACGAGCTATCCTTGCCAAATGCTAATGGCTGCTGTGGAACAAGCAGCGAGCAAAATCACGGTATTTGATTCTATTGCTCGTATAATGGCAACTTTCTGACTACGATGAGAAGGAGCCTCCTGTTAGACCAATCCGATTAGACATACTTGTCGAAATCATCAGAGGTTTGATTTACTTTCCGATTTTTTGTGCCGACTGAAACATTGTTGTCACAGTATCGGAAAACCCGCAGACGTTCCATCAAGCACTCCTCCTCATGGCAAGTCTAGCTCGACTCACGCCTGATTCGGTGCTTCATAACATCATGCCTATTTTCACATTCATGGGCACCAATGTGTTCCATCGCGACGACTCGTATAGTTTCAAGGTGGTGCAAAACGTAAGCATCTGTGTGGCTCGTGGGGTGTAGTGTTTGATTTATGTTCACTTACAGACTATCGAAAACATTGTTCCTGTCATGGTATCATCGCTCAAATCTCGACACCCTCCTGGACTTGAACTTTACATTGGAGCTAGGGAGTTCTTGCGGATCTTCACGGACGCATCCAACCATATCCCACGCCATCGTCGACAAAAGTATGTCTATCAAAGATTTGACGCTCGTGACTTCGTGCTGATGTACGAGCTAGCTTTTTCATACACCTCGCCGATGTGCTTGGACCTCAAGAATTCTTGGCCCCGGTTTGCATGTCGCTAGTAGACAGGGTGGCTAATCGGGTGAGCCGGCAACATGAGGACGAGGCTTTAACCTCGTTAGGACTTCCGATATCCCTGCTACGCCATTTCCCCCGAGACTTGCATCTTCATGTAAGTTTTCTGCGGTGATTCTGGATGCGACTGACGTCTTGCAGGTTCTCAAAGAAGTGCTGCGGGAAGCGCAAAGACTTATTCGCAATATCGCATGTTCCGACGAGGCGGGTGCAACCTTTTTGGATTACGTTCAGTACGAGGACCAATTACTTTTATCTCACTTTCGTACTCATACATCCATTGCAGCGATGATGAACATTCTGCGAGATCGTCCTCCATCATCATCAAACGACGTGCTCAGGCGCTGATTATGTTCGTCGGTCATGCCATCATACCCACGCCTTCCACCGATATATCAAAGGGCGACAACGCAACGACGGAACTTATCTCCCTTTTGGTCGATCTTGCCACAATAGAAGGGGACAGCAACATTTCAGACATCCTGTCAGTCACACAGCAGACCACGTCAAAAGTGATGAATGCCATCGGAGCAGCAGACTTCCTGAACGGAGCTTTAGTCATGTTGCAATCAGACGAGACTAGGGTAAGATTATATTTTCTGTACGAGACCCTTTCTCACATCGCTTCTAGATCAAGGCTGGTGCTCTTGAAATCCTCGCAGAGAGGATACCCAGAGTTACAGATGCAGTCCGTCGCGAACAACAGAAGACAGTCATATCAATCATTGACTTTATTCGGGACGTCGTTTCTCGCCAGTCAGCCGGTGCGCTAGTTAATTCAGCACTCGATGCTTTGAGAGCGATCGGCTCCTCCATTTGTCCTGGCGAGGAGACAGCATTGGTATCTACTGTCCCTTCTGTTATTAAAATCATCAAAGCACGTGCATCATTGCAATCTGCTATAGCTGTGTTGCCGTGTTATGTGTATGGGGTTTTTCTTCCCTCGCGTTCCACGTTACTGAAAAATTTGTAGATCTTCTCTTGGGCCTCGGCTTATACCTCACTTCCGAGAGATTGCACAACAGTGTACATCAGTTCTTCAAGAAGGATTGAGTGGCAAAATGGGTGAGCGACTTGTCTCTCATGTAAACCCGCGTAACAGCTATTGACTGCTCTGCTCGAATAGCGCAAACCCCAGTGGATGGTGCAATTGCTACCCTACAGGGCTTAGTATCGACGCTTCCCGCTTTCTGTGGTGCTGCAGAACTTAGAGACATTGTCAAACTCCATCTGGAATACTCTGTCACCTTAAGTGGTCTCATGACAGGTTTGATGAAAGCTATTGCAAAGAAGATCCCAAGCAACATGCTACTGCCGGTACTCTGCGACCTGTGGCCCAATTTGGAAAAATCTCAGAAAAAGGCACGCACCTCGCGATATGAACATGATTTTGAATATTGATATCCTGTGATAGGAACATGTTGATGGACTCATCGCGTTTTTCGTCTTTTTCAAACGCAGTCTTCGGGTAGCTCGACGTCCTGACATCCAGGAGCATATTCGGTCAATATTCTCAGTATTCCTCGACGGCTTTGGCGTGAACATGCAGTCTACGACTGATGTGAGTCACTTCGCTGGCATTTGTGGTGAGACTAACTGGTACCAGGGAGAACCCCACATCATTTCGGCGTTCTTGGAACTTGTTGTAAAACTTAACGAGACGGCCTTCAGACCGTTGTTCCGTCGTTTGTATGACTGGGCATTTGCAGCTGATGATCGTCGCACAGCAAACATTGAGCGCAAGATCACATTTTGTCACATGTATTCTGCCCTATTGGATTATTTCAAGGTGTGCTCGTAACACATCTTTCGAGTATGACGTTATTAATCTAGTGTAGGGCTTGATGAACCCCTACATGTCAATGCTTCTTCAAGCTTTGTGCGACATATTGGAGTCTTTGGCCGCAGGGTCAATTCAAAATTCGTCTCTATGGTTGTCAACAGTCGAGACTCTCACAAAGAGTTTCGAAAATGACGACGGTGGTGAGTGAGAACGCGCGACTTACAGTGCCACTCAGTGATGGATTTTGTAGTGTTCTGGCGCGACGACAAACTGGCCTCGGTAGCAAAGCCTATCATAGCTCAAGTTTCGAGTTGCATCCGATTGAATATCGGGAAACAAGCGCTGACTAATTGCTTGATTGCTATGACGAGCGTGGCCGTAGATGACTCCTTACTCAAGTCAATCAACATCGACCTGCTCATGCATACTCGCGCAGAGGATGCTCGTGAGCGCATATTTGCTCTGTCCTGCTCGGAAGCCCTCTGGCGCGAACATGGTGGGAAGCTCATTAGTTCGTTCTCGTGTTCTCCATGCCATCGAGGATAATGCTAACATCATGATAGGCTTCGTAGCAGAAACCGCTACGTTCATTAGTGAATGTGCTGAAGACGAGAACGACAGCGTCGTCCGTGAGACACACAAACTTAAGAATGCAGTTGAAGGCGTGGCCGGGAGTATTAGTGGATTATGATCGTGCATTCCTGTCATTCTGGACCTATGGGGGTGTTAGTCGAGGTTCTATGATGCAGAAATCTTGAAAATTGAAGGATCCCTGGCATGACCGGAAGGCGCGAGTCGGCCCCTACTACCTAAGTACTCATTTGAGCAAAAGACGATAATGGAGGCTTAAGACGAGTCGAGCACATAGGGACTTTGCTGAACATTCTAGTCGACAAAAAAAACGACATCATACGAAAACAAGACAGCTAGAGCGTAAGAATATATATCAGGATTATTTGTACAACAGAATGAAAGAGGATCGCAGATCAACAATTAACATGTGAATGTATACCAGACGACCGTCAATACGACGTAGAACTACACACCAATATGAACAAATACCATCCTCTGCTCGAGCGGCACTTTCGTCTTCACCGCGTGCGTAGCACAGTTGAGTGCCCAGGCTGCCCTCGTACAGTCCCATTCTTCAAATCTCCAAACATATACTTGCAGAAAGCTTCGACAACGTGTTTCGCGACAGCATCGTCGACCTCCCACAGCGTGCCAACGACGCTCTTGAACCCTGAAAACTGGAGACCAGCTGCGAGGTGGATCACTTCATCAGGCGTCTTTTCATGGCCTACAGCGGTGTGACAAGCCGATAAGAACGCAAACTCGGCCTGCGGAAGATGTCTCTCCATGATATCGAGCAGCGTCAGATGTTCATCTCTCATGACGAAATGCGAATCATAAGGCTGCGTAGGATCCTGCTTGCCACGACAAGCAAGGTACGCCCAGGTGTTCTGCTGCAAAGCTGAGAGTGCACTTGCTCGTGTAGCTGCGTCGTCAGAAATAGTGGTGCAGTTGGCAGTCGCAGGGACGAGCTTATAGACAAGCTCGAGCTCGCTATCGACAGCCAAGAGTGCCTTCCCTTTCCCTGCACCTGGTTGACCCTGTCCGATCGCCACAAAGGACGGAGGCACGCGCTTCTTTACCAACTGTCTAGATCTTATCAGAGCCGAAAGTGTCCGCGTGTAAGAGCAAATGTAGAGATCCTCCAGGCACAGCGCCTTCCCAGAACGATCTGCCTTTGTTTGAAACGGATGAACTGCATGGAGAGGGATGGACGTAAAAGCTGCAGTGGGACACAACCAGATTCGAGAGCGGTGCTTTAGTTTGAGAACGTGCTCGAGTACGCCGACGATAGGTAGCATGATCTGGTTCCATGTTATCCGCAAGAGTACTATGAGATCCGTCCTCGACTCCCCTGGGTTCATCCGAGATGAATCTCGTATTGCCCTGGTGAAGCGATCCTTGAGAATCTTCAGATCTGCGAGAGCGATGGACGCAGCGAATGAGAATTCGATCAAAAGCTCGCAATATTAATGTACAGGGACATCAAGAATTTGACATGAGAAATCCAAGTTGCGTCACGAATGCATCCCGTGTCCGTGAATGTGTAACAAGGCCGCTGGTCAAAGCCATATGGAACTGCGCACGATGCACACATTATGAGTCGCGACATGTTCGACAGAGGGGGGCCGAATAGAAATAAGAGCGTGTGAGGGCTAGAAACGTTGAAGAACGGAAGATTTAAATGATGGCAAACTGAAAAAGATGGTTGAAGTTTTGGCCACGGTTTAGCGCCCCACTAAGGTCACGTACGCAGTGTGGCCCACTCAAAGGTCTTAACGTACTACTACTACCTACCACCACCACCACCACCACTACCACCACCATCACTCTTCTTCTTCGTCGTGGTTGTCGTCAGCGTTGAGTCGGTCGATGTATTAGGATGTCGAGCAGGAACAATTCTCGGTTCTCTACTCTCAAAGTATTCAAGTTTAACAAGGAGAGATCACCACCACCGCCTCCTCCCAAGGACGATCAACACTTTCAACAAGGATTACAAGTACAAGGAGGTCCTTATGGTTCAAGCAAATCGCTTTACAACCCAAGCGTAACTTCTTTGTCTCCTCCTAGCGACCTACTACCATCACTACCAACAACGCCTGACTACAACCGGGCCTCACCTGAGTCCGCCCCTTCAGTCCGTTCTTTTGGTCCTGCAATGTCTATAGAGAGCGAGAAATCAAAGCGAAGCATATTCAAGTTCTCGTCAATGGGCAAGCGTAATAAATCAACGAGGAATCTCATGGAAACAGAAGATCTCGAGCCTCCTCAAGAGGATGAGAGCATATCTAAACCATGGAATTTTCAGGTGAGTTTCTTTGTAATTCTCAGTCATCCTTGCTAAATGAACGGCTAGCATCATATTCATGTTGACGAGGGGTGAGTATCCTCTTCTTGTGCTCTACGACCCTAACACTTTTTCCAGATTCGTAGGACTTCCTCCTTCATGGTCTAATGCTCTTTCCCAAGCTGGTTTTACCGACGACGAAATCGCAGCAATTCATGCCCGCCGCATAGCTGCTCGTAGAAACCCAAATGCATCACGTCCCGATTCACCACTTTCCATTATTCACCACCCAGCACCCCGAAGTTCATCCCTTGCAGCCCACTCATCAAACGCAACACTCATAGCAAGTGCCTATATCAATGCCCCATCCCCGACCTCCTTCGACTTTTCCCCGTCTCGTCAATCCTCATTCACTACTACATCCTCATCGCACTCGCACTCTGCTGTCGAACAAGAAACAGTAGACACTCAGTACGTATTCGTCAATGGCACAGGGCACGAAAGCATGATTGATCCATACCCCCTCGACACACAATCCGTGTCCACACACCACAGCAGTCACACAAATGCACCTCAAATCGCTCGTATTCAATCTGAGGCACCTCGGACTAACTCCGGCCACGTCCCGAGCCCCCTGGTGTATTCTCACAGCTTGCCTCCGAGGAATCATACCCTCGATGTGCATAGCATACACAGTGCTTCCCCACGCACGCCTCCGAGGAGAATGTTCCAAGTTGCCAATGCGGACGAGTCGCCGCCTCCTGCTTACCATTCTCCAGTCCGTACGTCTTTTTTTCGGGATAAACATGGATTCCCATCAGAAGAACGTGGAAGTGCGATAGAAAAAGAGTCTGGACAACTAAGGGAGAAAGAACGGGATGTGGATTCGATCTTGGATATCTCAGCAACAGCAAACACCACCTCTTCATCGCTCCATACGGGCACAGACATAGATCTTTCACTTCCGAACGTTGATCCTGCGCTGCTGAATAGGCACATGAGCCCGACCCCTCCGCTGGTCATTGATAAGAGGCTGACGAAAGTGGGTGCGTTACCTCCGAGGCTTAGTTTTCACTTGAGCTCGGATTTGGGGCTGGAGGATTGGGGGGCCGGGTTGCTTAGTGGGTTGGAAGACGGGAGTGGAAGTGGAAGTGGGGAAGGGAGCAACAGTAGACTTGAAGACCGACTAGGACTCTCAAAACCAGGGAGATTCATCGAGTCGAAGCGGAAGAGCTCCTTGGTAAATAGAGGGGAAGGCAGCAGTAGCTCGCTCCTCCCTGGATTCTCACTGCCTTCTTCTTCCTCGCGACTATCACCATCCCCATCACTATCATCACCATCAACTTCAACATCACGCTCTCCATCAACTTCATCCCGTCCATCAACACCCTCATCTTCAAAATCCCACTCTCCTATTACTTCTACAACTACATCGACGCCGTCTACCTCCCCTTCTCCTTCTGACCCTTCACATTCTCCTGAATCGACACAGCTGACTTTGAGCGTGCTTTCGCCGATGCTCTCTCCTACACAACCAAGTTCAAGCATGATCTCTCCAACCTCGACACGGACACTCCCGACACTCCCAGATGTGTCGTTTGGAGCGGATATAACGCTTGGGGCTCCCCTACGTGTTATGGTGCCGAGGTCACCTGCACCTGGGAGCAGCGTACCGCCTACGCCAACGACAAGGAACACACCACCGCCTATAACAACTGGAAGGCCGCCTACACCGACACGGAATGCACAGCGTACGCCGATGAGAGAACTTCCGCCTGTGCCTCCTGAAGAGGTAGAGGTTGATAGTAGTACTGGTCCTGTGTTACCGGATATTTCGTTAGGGCCTGACGTCTCTTCGCTTGGTGTTGGGTTGGACCTCTCTTCACTTGGACTTGGTTTGGATGTTTCATCTCTCAGTGCTGGTGGACCAAAGATTTCCAGCTCGAGTACCCAAATTACCAGTCCAGAACACAATGAGCTCACGAAACCCTCATCGCCTCCGGCTTACAGACCGGGAATCGAGGTTACTGTGTCACCGCAGTCACCTACCAGTGCGACATTATCGTCAAAGATTTCGGGTGGGGGTTCTTCGAGAAGAGAGGGTGTTGGTGCTTTGATGGCAGGTGATCGTGGTTCTTCCTCGATGACAGGTTCTCCTTTCACGACGGGCGCTTCAACAACAAGTAACCACAGTCCACCTTCAACAACAAGTAACCGCAGTGCCTCTACAACCCTCCTCCCCTTACGACCTGCAGGCGACCGCGATTCCGGAATGTCAACGATGACAGTCACACCCGCTACCATTGTGAGCGTGAGTGGAGCCGTGGCTATCACGTTGGCAACAGCTAGTGTCGTTGACTCTGATTCTGTATCGCTGAGTGCTGTTGAGCCTAGAGATGATGCAGTGAGCCGCACAGAAGACGGCCCGATCGTTGTGTTGGACTCAGATGGTGCATCCGTGGTGCTAGGCTCAGATGGCGCGTCCATCGCGCTAGACTCGGATCCTGCATGGCCAGAACCCCCTCTCACCCCCGACCTCGACACAACCCCGCGTCAACCCACGCGTTTTCGCGCAACCTCCCTCCGTGTGCAGGGTTCTCCCCACAGCTCGCATTTCAGCAGCGATACGGGCTCCACTACCGAAAGCGCACCCCTTGTCACGCCCAAGTTGCACGTTCCGCCTTCGCCGCTCCGGGATAAGATGTTCGCGCCTGAAGCTGCGCTTCTCACATCAACAACCGATACGTTTGGAGTTGGAGGGCGGGACAGTGATAGCGATAGCGATGAAGGGTTCACACTCTTTCCTCCAAAAGCACGCTCCCAATCCCAATTGCAGCGCTTACCAGAATGGATTGCAGATGCCATCTCCCCTCTCTCCGAATTCATGATCGACGTCGATCCCCAAGAATATTTTGCAGACCTACAAGAAATTGCAGAAGGTGAGAGCGGCTCCGTATATGCCGCCCGACTCGTCTGCCCCGTCCAATCGCTCTCTCTATCCTCTGGAACGACGCACGTAGCCATAAAATCCATCGCAATTCACCCAGCTGTATCTCCAAAGTTCCAAGACCTGAGCCACGAGATGGAGCTGATGCGCGGGGTGCATCATGGGCATGTATTGCGCATGGACGCGTTTTATGTGAATTTGGTGGATGATTCGGTGTGGATACGAATGGAGCTGATGGAGAGGAGCTTAGCGGATGTTGTGGGGCTTGTTGGGGAGGGGTTGTCGTTGCAGGAGAGGATGATTGCGAGATTTGCTAGTGATGTGAGTCTTTCTTTTCCTTTCTTTTTGTTTCGTTGTGTGGGGTATGCGTGGGCGGATCCTGACCGATGAATGGATGAACAGGTTCTACTTGCGCTCGAATACCTCCAGAAACACCATATCGCCCACCGAGATGTCCGTTCTGATAACCTCCTTTTAAACGCGAGCGGAATCGTAAAAGTTGGTAAGTGGCCCCCTTATATGCTCGATTGTTTACTCCGATCATCACTTGTTTTGTTGCCATCTTTTGTTTGTTATTGGAGAAGAGATGCTGATTTCATCTTGATGACCGTTTGATCCATAGCTGATTTCTCGAATGCTGTGCGTGTGACGAGAAATTCTCCGATGTGTGTTGGGGCTGTGGGCGTTATCTACTGGCAGGTGCGTTTTATAAGGTTCTTCGTCGTCCGTGTGTTGATGGCGTTCGTGTTCATGTTTTGCGTTTTGCAGGCTCCAGAGATGCGAGTGTGAGTGTATTTATTCCATTCTCTCCCATTAGGAATCAAATCTCATCTTCGTTTCTTCTTATTACAGTGGAGCGTATAACGCGCTCAAAGTTGATGTCTGGTCTCTAGGCGCAACAGTATGGGAACTAGCACAGACAGAACCGCCCTTTGCAGACGTCCAAGACCCGCGACAAATCGGTGTCCAGTGGCCGCCTCTGCGTCAACCAGAGCTTTACTCGCGCGGGTTCCACGAGTTTTTGAAGTTATGCTCGAGGCCGTATGCATCGAGGCCGAATGCTAATGAGTTGGTGAACGTGCGTTTATATTCTTGTGCGATTTTGACTCGACGCTGATCGGACGTTGATTTCGATTTGTAGACGCCTTTCATCCGCAACGCATGCGGCCGAGCGGTGAATGTCCAACTCTTATCACAGTGTAGAGCTATTGAAGAGCATGTGTTACAAAGGGAGAGTGAGAGTGGGGGTGAGTCGTAACGAGTAGATGGATGGACGGACGGACGATTTGCTTTTGTTTTTGCCGGCGCTGTGTCCGCGTTACCCATTCCTTTCATAAAACTATCTATCAACATATTCATATCGCTATCTATATCCCCAAAGTCATTACTCATATCTCACTTATTCCCATTCCATCAGATCTGACGGGGTTTTTACACATCATGATGCCATGGCTTTGTTTGTCATTCAATTTGAGCGATGCTACTGCATGGCGGTGTTCTTTGGGTGATTTGGGTAGGATATGATATGGTGGTTGAGTGGGCGAGTGATGATTGGTGATGAAATTTCTCTTGGTCTGGCGCTTCGGACGAGTGGCTTTGGTTTCGAATTGCAATTTGTAGTAATTCATATACAGCAATCAAGAGCGCAGAGCAACCAATGAGATCTATATTTGAGTCCTTTACAAGTTGAAGCTTTGAATCGGAGTAGTTCCGAGTCATTGGACATACACCGCGATAGGCTGAAATATTGCTCTCAGATGAATTTCTGCTGAAAAATCAAGTCTTTGGCCCGAATGCAGACAAGGTGAAGGTCCGTAGACAATAGATTCATGCCGCGTACTGTGTGACTTTGGCATGATCAGATTGATGGCACTTGATCTTGAGATTGACCGTGACAATTCCTTCGTATTCCAAGAGGTCGAAGAACACCGGGATATTGCTAACGAAGGTCCATCACGTTTGCAAGGTCTCGATCTAAATTTACATCAAGTAGAAGATGCCATCGATGAAAAGCAGCGTGAGTGGTAACAACCGACGAACCAGAAGCCATAGCGACCAGGACAAGGGAGAGGAGAATCCGACGACTTGAACTTAGTAGCATAGCCCGAGCAGCCCGTGTGGAGCCGCTGTGAGCGCGCTCACAAATAATTTTTTGGCGAGACGCCGTGTCTTCGAGAGACACAGGAATCGTAACGGCGCTCGACGGCGCCAGTCCCTGACAAAACATTTGTTTAGACTTTCAATTTGCGGTGCCATGAAAATTAAGACACACAAATCAATTAATGTCAACATGAACTATGCGTATGCATATGCTTCTTGATCGCCCCGTTCTTCGCTGGTGGTAAGTACTTGAAAGGACCAGGTCCATGACATTGATATCATCCGAATCGGCACCCGTGCTTATCGGCAATCGGAAAGCGTTTTCCACGATAAGACGGCATGACATCTACATGCAAAACCCTGCCAGGGACTCCGACTACTACCCTGAGCTAGCTATCCTGTCTTTCCCGTATTGTCGTCTTACCTCTGGCTTGGATTCCCCTCAACATGCACTGCCTTCCGCTGCCGTTGCCACTGGTCCTGTCTTCCAAGTCCGAATTCTTCATCGTTTGTCACATCCAGGCTTAATGGCAACCTTGCCCGTTCCCTATGATGAAGTCATTGCTTAATTACATGTCAGCATTCCCGAGTCAGGGACGAGGGTCCAGGCATGAGACGCAAGGTTTCAAACGCAATTTTGAGTGGCACATCAAACCACATATTCGCGTCTTTCTATGTGCCACTAACTACGTTGGACTCGCTCATGTTTTTAGCTCGTCATGATGATAGTAGCTGTCGTCGCTCCTACTCTAAGTCACTGTTAGTTGTTCTCACTTCCTTTATGCTCGTGGTTCTAGTTTTATGTCTCTTCAGTGTCCGCCTTGTAACGCCTGCTGTCAGTCACTTCTGTGCCTTGACATCTACTACTAGTTGAGGCCAGCCCTGTCTGCCTACTTGTCATCCATCAGGTCTCATCAACAGCGCCCACCTGTCTCCAGGAGGCTTGTCTGATGCCCCTTGTACCCGTGAAAGAGTTGAATGCTCTCCGATTAGCGCCCAGGAGCCCTGAAAAGCCGTGATCAACACCGTAATCTGATCCTCAAGAGCTATGATCCGGACCTCCTGCGCTAAAGAAACCGTGAAATTTCAACTCTCTATTGTTTGTAATATCTTTGCGTTTTCATTGACCACAAAAACGTCTCTGGTTCTGGAAGTTGTTTCATGCAGCAACTGCGTGCGTAGTGGCATTGTACTCTAAGTCTCATAAAAAAACAAAAGTCTTACGGTAGTCTCTTCTAGGCACGACCTGTCAAAGCATCCCACCCGAGTCAATTGGTGATTTAACTTCTCGCCACCTATCAAAAAAACAAATTCACTCCAATCAAAAGGTTAGTACGCTACCGTCAGTAATTGGCCCACTTACGAGGCTGCGATGCGTCTATAGTATTCCCGGTGCATCATATGGACCCTGGTGGACCGCCTCCTGGAAGCTTTAAATGACCGTACGGAAAGCTAATACAATGTCCCTCTCGCCTCTGCCCGCGGTAAGCTCTGTCTTTGCTGTACTGATTAATATTCCTTGACTGACATTCTTATTATCCAGCCATTAAACTGAAGATGAATCATGTATTGACAACCACTAGTCAGAAACACCCCCAGTGCTATAGCAGTCAGCTCAAGCCCTTTTACCACGGAGCAACATCGCGTTACACTAGCCCCTCTAGCGGAAAATGCAAGCGCCTGATTGTGCAGTCCGTTAATCCCAGCTCAACAAGTGATTGGAACGAGCGCGACGTTCGGTCGAACGCGCCACTATCCACTCGGCTTGCTTATTGGCTGACCAGGATGATATTCAGCCCATCCAGCGAAACATTTTTCTGGTTATTCGTCTGGCTCTTTTATATCTTCACACTATTATATCCATCCAGAGGCCATCCGTTCGCCATCCATTACAAGCCGTATTTGAGGCGGTTTGTTGGTCAATTGTGGGCTGCACGCTCACCACGGGAATACTCTCTACGAGCACGAGCAGGTGAAGATGATGTACACGTCCGACGTATCACCCACGCCCTCTACCCTCGCATCCTTATTGTATTTGATGGAAATACAAGAAGTTGGGAAAGAGTCAACGTTGAGGCAGTAGCGCGGCGAAGACCATATGTCGCTGTCACCTACCGCTACGCCGACGTGATACAATTCGGAAGGGAGGCAATCATAGAGCGGGTGCGGTATGCTACCTTGGATCAAGGATTTGACGCGTACTGGCTAGATCTCGAGTGCCTACTCGAGGATAAGAGCCAAGACCTGTTTCGCATGTCAGATGTCTACCGACTTGCCTCCTTTACACTCATTATACTCACCGACGAGAGCGTGTGGTCTGATTGGGGCAGCCGGGTTTGGACTCTACCAGAAGCTCTCCTTAGTCGCGAGCTGCGATACATGGCTGGAAACAATGCAGTCACCCCCATCAGTCTCGTCCAAATCGCCTCTTTAGCTTACCGTCACCACGATAAGGAATCCCAGATTATCCACTCTTATGGCCTCGGGAAGGATCCGATTGAGAGGTTGGCGCGCAATCTCCAACTCAAAGAAGCAATATGGCGTCGAGAAAGCTTTTCCTCTCAAACTACGAATCAGGGCGGAGATTCTCAAGGGAGATATCGTGCAGAAAAGGTCTATGCGCTCATGGGATTTTTCGAGCATCGCATTCTCCCGGATCCTGAGGAGACAGAGTTACAAGCGCTTGCACGCTTGTTTATGGCGAACGACAACGACCGCATTGCTGATCGCATGATCTCGATGTTCCCCAAAGACCGAAGCGCTATAAATCAATGGTACACCAATGAAGATGAATATGGTGCCAAGCTTTGGGACATTGAACCTGCTGTACAGGTCATCGGCATTACATCCAATGGTTCTCTTGTGTTGGATGGCTGTCGGGTGGCAGCAATTAGGTGGAAGAATTTCCCATCTGTCGCGTTTGCTACGAGGCGCTCTATCCGACGTCTTCTGGCACTTGCAGCACCATACGTGGCCTTGTTCTTCTTTATGATGAGTTGCACCATGATTTCCCTTGGAAATGAGGAAGCCTCTGCTAGCGCAGATATCTATGGATCTTCCTCGGGAACCTCGCCTCTAGTTGCAGGCGGCGGCGTCATACTCGCTTTCTCACTTATTCTGCTCATATTCTCACCGGTCCTCACATGCTATGCGCACTCTGGACGCGTCGTCCTTGCTTGTCCATGGTTAATTGGAGTCAAAGGAGTCATTTCTGCCCAGGAAGCCTCCGACCACCTGTATGGGCATCAGATGGGGGATTCTCGCCGCACCCTTTACACTCCTTCCGGTTCGCCTTTGGCGAAACCGAGAGGAAGCGATTCCCCGTTTCGTGAGGGCCACGTTTTGCAGTACGAAGCAGCCCTCGCAGCCCCACCATTCGACCCTATTGAAGGTCATATGTTCACCCTCGTCGATACCATCTCGGGCACGATCTACTATTTCCGTGCGCATAGGCCACCCACAGTCTGTCTTTTTACTGGATCTGAGGGTGGGCAAGGGAGGTTTGTGCTGGCCAGCGAGGAATGCAGCAGAAGCGAGTTGCGACGTGAAACCGTGCTCCGCATGCCAACTTTCATCTCTTCTTACATGCACACTTGTGATTGGGTGGCTCTGGGTGGTAAGCCTCAAGACTAGTACAAGCAATGACTCGGCGCTTGATCGTTACTCTTTTATTAACACCCTCATTTCTGTGGTGCGTTTATCTTCTCCTTTTCGTATTTCCTTTGTATTTATATTTTGATTCTCGTACTAATACATATCGAGTATGCTCGTGAATAATTGGTTTTTCACGGAACGTCCATTCATTTGTTCCCTTTCTTTTACTCTTGTCTATCGTATGTTTAATATTTATTTGTCCTGTTGTATGGATAAATTATTGGTTCTTACTTTCGCGTCGAATTAATGAAGGCGCATAGTACTACTGGGCACCATGCTGATTGATGCGGTAAACAATGCTATAAGTGACCGGGGCAAGCACGAGTCGGGACACATGCACAATCGCCGAGGTGAATTAGTTCCAAGTGCAACGTCGGAAGCAATCCAACAATTAAGCTTTATGTAAAGACCCGTTTCGAAAATTCGAGTCGTTGTGTATATGCTGCAATGCTAGTTGTATTAACGACTATCACAGCAGGCATAATCCAACCGACACGCATGACCCAATAACGCAAGTTTTTACTGGTGCAGAAATCGACCTTGATCACTTCCGCTGAGCATCTTGCAGGTCCTAACTCTCACACACGGTCTATTAGAATTACTAAGCAAGGTCAAATTCAGCAACACCACATGAACAAAACAATAGAGAAGACAAACCGAAAGCACAGTGCTGTCGAGACTTCCGAAGTGAGAAAACTCGTATCAGAAATTTCGGAATCAGCGTACCTAATAAGTATGGTCAAGCGCTGGACAAATATAATAAACAACAGACTCCAACTAGGCAGGCGACTTGCACAGAGTAAGCACTTATCATATTACTAGGAACATTCTGATCAGAAACACTGGTAGAAGCCTTGAAAGTACGAGAGCACGGTCATCTGGTTTTGTATACTTACTTGCACATTGCAGTGAATCGCCTTATGGCACCTCTGGAAGCTTTAAATGATGACCGTACAGAGAGCTAATACATTGTTCCTTTTGCTTCTGCCCGCGGTAAGCTCCGTGTTCGCTGTATCGTTTAATATTTCTTGACTGACTTTGTTGTTATTCAGCCATTACATTGAACATGAATCACGTATCGAAACCCACTCATCGACCCCAGAGTGCTACAGCAGTCAGCTCAAGCCCTTTTATCACGGAGCAACATTGCGATATACTAGCTCCTCTAGCGGAAAATGCAGGCACCTCATTGTGCAGTCCGTGAATCCCAGCCTGACAAGTAATTGGAACGAGCGCGACATTCAATCAAACATGCCACTATCCACTCGGCTTGCTGGTTGGCTGACCAGGACGATGTTCAGCCCATCCAGCGAAACATTTTTCTGGTTATTCGTCTGGCCTCTTTATATCATTACACTATTGTTTCCATCCAGAAACCCTGCGTTCGCCGTCTATTACAAGCCGTATTTGATGCGGTTCATTGGCCAACTATGGGCTGCACGTTCACCAAGGGAATACTCTCTACGAGCACGAGCAGGTGAAGATGATGGACATGTCCGACGTGTCACCCATGCCCTCTATCCCCGCATCCTTGTTGTGTTTGATGAAGACACACAAGGTTGGACAAGAGTCGATGATGAGGCAGTAGTGAGGCGCAAACCATATGTCGCTGTCACCTACTGCTACCCTGATGTGATAAATTCCGGAGGTACAGAGGCACTCATAGAGCGGGTGCGGCATGCTACCTTGGATCAAGGATTTGATGCGTACTGGCTAGATCTCGAGTGCTTACTTGAGGGTCCCATAGGAAAGGCCCAAGACCTGTATCGCATGTCGGACGTCTACCGACTCGCATCCTTCACACTTATCATACTCACCGACGAGAGCGCTTGGCTTTCTTGGGGTAACCGCGTTTGGACTCTGCCGGAAGCTCTCCTTAGTCGCGAGCTGCGATACATCATAGCTGGAAATGAAACAGTCACCCCCATCAATCTCATCCAAATCGCCTCCTTAGCTTACCGCCACCATGATAAAGAATCTCAGATTATCAACTCTTATGCCCTTGGGAAGGATCCGGTCGAGAGGTTGGCGCGCAATCTCCAACTCAAAGAAGCAATATGGCGCCGACAAAGCTTTTCCTCTCAAATTACGAGTCAGGGTGGAAATTCTCAAGGGAGATATCGTGCAGAAAAGGTCTATGCGCTCATGGGATTTTTCGAGCATCGCATTCTCCCGGATCCTGAGGAGACAGAGCTACAAGCGCTTGCGCGTTTGTTTATGGCAAATGACAACGACCGCATTGCTGATTGCATGATCTCAATGTTTCCCACAGATCGAAGAGGTATGAATCAATGGTACACCAACGAAGACGAATATGGTGCCAAGCTTTGGGACATCGAGCCCACTGTACAGGTCATTGGCATTACATCCAATGGTTCTCTTGTGTTGGATGGCTGCCGGGCGGCGACGATTAGGTGGAAGAATTTCCCATACGTCGCATATGCTACGAGGCGCTCCATCCAACTTCATCTTTTACTTGCAGTGCCATATCTGGCCTTGCTCTTCATTGCACCGAGTTGCTACATGATTATCACCGGAAAACAAATCCTTGTTGGCATTAACAACTACGGAGTTTCTTCGTGGGTAAATGTTCTACTTATACCCGGTTACGTTATGCTTGCCTTCTCACTTATTCTGCTAATATTTGCACCCGTCCTCACAAGTTACGCACACTCTGGACGCATCGTCCTTGCTCGTCCATGGCTGATCGGAGTCAACGGAGTCATTTCTGCCCAGGAAGCCTCCGACCACCTGTATGGGCGTCAGATTTGGAGTTCTCGTCGCACCCTTTACTCTCCATCTGGTTCGCCTTTGGCGAAACCAACAGAAAGTGATTCCAAGTTCCGCGAAGGCCACATTTCACAGTACGAAGCAGCCCTCACAGCCCCACCATTCGACCCTGTTGAAGGTTACATGTTCACCCTCGTTGACACTGTCTCAAGCACGATTTACTATTTCCGTGCGCATAGGCCGCCCACAGTCTGTCTTTTTACTGGATCAGAGGGTGGACAAGGGAGGTTTGTCTTGGCCAGTGAAGAATGCAGCAGTAGCGAGCTGCGACGTGAGACGGTGCTCCGTATGCCGACTTTCATCTCTTCTTACATGCACCTTTGTGATTGGGTGGCTCTGGGCGGTAGGCCTTAAGGCTGGTACTACAAGCAATGACTTGCTTCACTTATATTGTTCCTCTGCTTTGATCAACATCCTCGTTTCTATAGCGCGTCTCTCTTCTCCTTTTCCGAGTCTTAGTCTTTTCATTTTTACAAGGACACCTCTTCGGTCGGCTTTTCGACAATATACTGTGTTTAAGATTACTTTTGGACTGTAGATTAGTATATATTTGTCCGTGCTAGTTACAAATTCTTATATATCACCCTTGAAAACGCTACGTACTACAATTCATGCAGGTGGCGTCTGTTGTTTGTTTATTGAAAGATGTAGAGTCGATCTATTTCGGAACCGTAACAGGTTTAAACTACACACTCGACATTGTTGCATGGTGGTATGTCTCCTGTTCGCAGTTATTCCAACACTATCTCTAAGTTAGGTTCGTCCATGTGACTGCAGTATCCGGCACTTGCTGATGTTCAACGCGCACGATTAGCTTCCCATTCAAGGAAGCGCGGTCCCACCTGCCAGTGCACAAGCATTCGCTAGTGGGGTATCACATCTATCACTACCACCCGTCACAATTCGCTGGCGCCACCCACCTTTTCTGCAGGGTACATTGTCAGAGCTCCTTCAAGTGCAGATTTCCGAGTCACTCTCTGTCTTATTTTTGCAAATGTGATCTATGATTTGGTCTGGTTCGCGTTCGGAAATTGGACTTGGCCTTCAACGTTCTCCATCTCTACCTGCTTGGTCTCGCCGATCACGGGAAAATCTTCCTCCTCAACTCGAGCGATGAATTATTCAGTGGTTTTTGTGGAGACATCATCGCACGGACTCAAGGCCGTGAACTGATCAATCAGGGAGATGAACGCCATGGTTCAACGGCAAGTTATTATACACCAAAAAGGCGTGGGTGCGCCATGTATCTGAATATGAAGGTTTAAACATATCTTCAAGTTTACATTGCAGGTACACCTGGAAAGACTAGCTGCATATATAGCCGCATGAGTGGAAGACGAGCAGCCTTAGTTGCTGGCGGCTGTCACGGTCGTGACAGTAATTCTGCAGCTATTCCGTTGTCCTGAGCACTGAGATTCAAGATAGTATGGAGCGAGTCAGCACCTGACGATCCCACGGGACCACAACTTTACCTTTGACGTTGACATGGGTGGCTTCTCGAACAAGAGTAACCTCCGCATCGACGAGCGTGGCTTCAAAATCATTATCCCAGCGGCCCCAGTCGAAACTAGAGCATTTAAATAGTGTGGTTGATGCTGCCCCCTATCCGTTCGTGTCTATCGCACTTTAGGTGGTTATATTTGAGCTATGTTATCGTATTGTTCAGTATTGCTTTCGGGTACCGCAGACTGCAGTTATTGTGTAAGGAATGACCCTCACAAGCCTAGTACCTGAATAGGTCCGTTGCAAGGGAGGCATATGGGCTTACGGCCTACATAACATTGATCGCTCGCAGAATGTTTTGCATTAGGGTTCCACCCAGCACTGGTCAAAATTCGGAGGGCATTTCAGGATTGGTTTTGCCCCTTCGCCCTTCGCCCCGAATTCGTGCTTTGAATAAATTAGCATTGTGAAAATGTACTATTGCACAATCTATATAATCAAATGTTTTTCACTAAGTTTGAAATTAAGCAGAGATTAAGTATGATTGGTCGAGCATGTACGCAAAATATCGTTGAAGAACAAGCTGAAAGGAGCAGAGGGCAGCAAGATCGTCGTAATATCACGAAAATCTTGAGAAGGGATACATGGCACTAGTTTGTTCTCAGCTTGAACACTTCCTCCCGATAAGTTCAACTATTCAGATGCAAATCAGTCTTCTTCCGGAACTTCGTGAATACTGGACAATGAAGGTCGGCGACGTGGAGTCATGAGACTCGCGTTACTCCTACGATGGTAGTGGATGCGCTTGGGGGGATGGGGTATAGAGCTTGACAGTGGGTAGATAATGTTTGATGGGTACGAGGAGGAGACTGAAGAAATAGACAAGTCGCTGGATAAGGACGACATGGAAGATGATGGAGATGAACTATAAATGATGTATGATTCTTCCTCTTCCTCGCTCGATGATAGAGAGAGGGACGACGCAGAAGTAGTCAAGTGGGTGATATCGCCATTCTCTGGCATCGGTGATGATGCTGCAAGCCTACCAGAACAGCCAAAGGTCATCTGAAAATCGCGTTAGTGACATAATTTGCAATGATGATAACCAATCACATTCTGTCGGGCACCAATTGCTCGAATCCACTCAGCAACGTGACGCGCCCACTCTTTCTTTTTCGAAAACTCGACCCGGTCCTTCCTCTGCTGCGCGGTTTCGATGAATTGTTGCTGCCTCCCGCGCACATCATACGGAGGGGAATAAACAAGGGTCGTGACTGGATGTGATGAAGCAACTAGGAGGCCGCTCATAGAGTGTGCTGCATCGTGTAATGGGGACATGGTAGAAATCTAGAATGGGGGTCTAGATAGTGATGGTAATCTGACAAGAGCAGCAAGCTGTGTATGAGGGTTACCTCTGATTATATATGACGGCATGAGTTGGGATCCAGAATGTTTTCCAGGGTACGCAGCCCACCAAACACCTCAAACATCCCATAACGTGTTTTGCTTCCCTCGACTTCTATGAGCGCTCCGCGGTGAGCAGCCAGTATAGCATTTGATGGCTTACCCATGTTGTGCAATAATCGTCAATGCAGTATTCCGCTCGAACGGGGAGCTCGGAAACCACTTGTCAAATGACGGAAGAATGTGCACCGGGTGGACCCTTCCGTGGAATTTCGTCGGGCATGTTATTCTTCCGTGCATATGTGGTCTCACCTTTCAACTTGTTCCCATCAACTGCAGAGATTATGGAGAGCATAGCTTACACGAATGGGTTCCTGAATTCCAGAGCCAGTTAGGCGGTAGTTAGACCGGCAAGTCATCGTCAAGTGCGCAGCATTTACCATTGATCAGCGTATGACTTTCTGACAGTCCATCAAAATACTTCCCACACTACTTCAAGTTCGTGAGGTACTACATGTATAAGACGTGAAGACGAGGCTGAGAAGACTCCTTTCGAGGAGCACCAGTTCTAGACGCCATGAAATTTTGAGTGAGCTAGTAAGGACGAAATTTGCATAACAAGCTTACTGTCGGTGACGTCAGTAACGGCGGTACTCCGTGTGGAAATCTGCGGTCCTTTCATTTGTCGGCTAGTTGAATATACTTTCGAGTTACGTAAGCGCAAGTGAACATTAATGTCAGCGACCTTCAAATCTTCTTTTTGACTTCTATCTCCATTTTTCTGATATGTCTCTCGACAATGACACATCCACCACATCCACCTTTTTAGATAATTGTGCCTTCTGAATTCAAAGCGATCTTCTCACCATGATGAGCGACACTGGGCCGGAGTCTAAGACGACCAACGAGTCAAAGCGTTGTGCAAAGGACGTCCGTTGGGCCGCACGGGGTCAAGACATCTGCTATATTGGACGCAATGATGGAGGGTGCAGAGGGAGCTGGTTTGTTAAGCGGTATACGCTACGCAGCGGCTGTCCCGATACCATTAGGTAGGAAGTTCAGACCAGCGGCGTTGGTATTCGGTGAGACAGAAAGTATTCGCTGTACCTGCGTGGTCGTGTTGGTGCCTTTCGCTGCCCACAATGCGCTGATGACTCTTGTGTTGCATTGCGAGTATTCTACGTTACTTATCAATCGCTTAGTTTGCGTGATTAGGTGGATGGTTCATGCTGGCGACCCGGTGTTATATGTGTGGTGTGCTCGCGCCGCGGTGCGCGGTGACAAGTTCACACCGTGAATCAGTTGCGTGTTGAAGCCAATGCTGAACTGCCTTTGAGCTTGGGTCTGTTGCAGTTGACCGACCCTTTCATCGCAACCAAGTGTCATTCAGTCCTTGTCAAATGAATTCATTCGTGAGTGCAGCGCCCTCGACCGGTTCGACGGACTTACGCTGGACAAAACAGGTATCACTAGTAGCGGCGATCAAGTCCTGACGGATTCCGTCGTAGAGATTTCCTGCACAATCTAGGCAGATTTCGAGTAAAGCCTGAGGGTCATCCATGTTTGCTGTTTCAGAGGTGAGAATGGGTCAGTTTGATGAGAGTTGGAGTCTAAGGAGAGAAAGATTGGTTATTGCGACGAAGTACCGAATGAACTATCATCGCGGAAGAGGTGAAGCGCCACATTTGTTGCTTGCTCAAAGACATGAATCTATTTCATCCATTCGTCCCTCGCTACGTAATAGACGAAAAAAATAGGACACCAAAAAGAAGAAGAAAGCACAAGAACAAGGATATAGTCTCAACTGCTACCTTGGTGGAAGCCGCAGTCACAACTTGCATTGACTTTTTGGAAGCAGCAACAGCAGCAGCCTCCGCTTTGGCAGCCATAATTTCAGCGTCGGCTGCTGCTTTGATGGATGCCTTATGCAGGGCAGTCACCTGGGCGTGTAGAGTCTTGAGTTCTTGCGTGTGCAGTTTTGAGAGTTCTTCGGTGGTTGGAGAGGCACTAGTACTACCGGTCTTGTTGATCACAGCAGCGTTCATGACTCTGTTGTTGAGAGACTCCATTTCAGATTCTTGGGCCTGATACTCCTCACGCTTAGAGACGTCTTCCCGCAGTAGCCTTTGCACCAGCTTGTCTCCCTTCTAGAAAGAAAAGCGGTTAGCACAATGACGCAAAGTAAGACCAGGTCACCGACATCAGCGCGTGCGATTGCCTCGTCCCTCGACCTTTCAAGTTCGTGCTTTTGAGACTCCCATGAGCTCGCAGCGTCAGATGCGGTTGAACAAACCTTTCCCTTGGCCTCCTCAATAGTAGCATGTTCCAGCTTCATCACTTTCATACGTTCATCGACGGTCTCATGGGGGGAGATGGGGATTTCGGTGGTGAGCTAGAGGAAAACAAGTCAAAGTCAAGAATTTCATGATTAGTACTGGAAGGGAAAATAGAGCGAAATATTGTGGAAGTACCTCACGCAGAGGGCCATCTTTGTGGTACACATGAATAGCGGGTTTTAACTCGGAATTCTTCGAGTTGGGTGGCATGCTGATACAGATATTATTAGGATGTTTGTCCATCGTGTACCGTAATATGAGGTTGGTAGGTGGAGCCATAGCGGTTGGTGAGTTCATCGTGGTTGAGTACTAAACTTAGGAGAGAGGCCCCTGTTTGAGTGAAGTCAGATGCTTATTCAATATTCAGCACTGCTTATAGCAAAGAAGGAACTTTGTTACCCTTTGTTTGGGCGGAGATCTCGACGATTTCCACGATTTCGGAGTGGACACGGAGCCTCAGGCAGGCCTCAGGTCGAAGCAGTACTAGCACTGGAGCCTCGTAGCTGACTTTCCGTGCACGATGTAAATCATTGTTCTCCAGCGCATCGCAACATAATTAAGCATTGTACCAGCTTCCCGAGATCATGAGAACATCCCTAAAACCGCCCCTCCGGCGCAGAAAGTCCGGCACGCACTACGGCAAGAACGGCGGCAAAGCTAGTGGATAACAGACGGCACGTCGGACATTGAAATACACTTGGAGGCCCGTTCTACCACAGCTGCTACCAACGACTACTGCTCACCAGTGCACTACTCGCTGGGCAGGAACTCGGACATCCTTCCGAAGAAGTTTTCCGCACACAGGCTTCGGACAATGACTTTTGGAAGGTGGTAGGTGCGATGCTGGGTCCATGCCGGATGGGCGTGCACTGTATGCGCTGATAAGATTAGCAGTGTCACAATAGCACGTACCTAGGTGATTTAAAAGTCAGCCAAAGTCCGCCACCTGGCCGTGTTTTTGCCGCCGGACTGCGGATATATCCGCCGTAGTGCCGTACTACGCGCCACACTGTTTTGCGCCGGAAGGGCGGTTTCAATGACCTTCTGGAGATCATGGACGTGTGCTAGTAAGGAAGATTTCTTACATAATCAGACTACCGATTACCAACGAACCGATAAAGCACGTAGTTAGACTGATCCTCCACTTTTGACTTCGTACAAACTTCATATATTAGAATACATTATCATGTATAATAATCTCCTAGGATCATAATAATAAGCTATAACGATCACCGGCACCGGTCACCCGTGTCCTTCATCCTCGTTCTATAATCACTTCAAGGGGGAGTCGCAATGTAAATACCAATACCATTAGGTAGGAAGTTCAGACCAGTGGCATTGGTATTCTGCGAGACAGAGAGTATCCGTTCTACCTGCGTGGTCGTGTTGGTGATCGAGCCCAATCCAACATCCTTCCACGGCACGTAGACCTGCGCATTTACCAAGTTGGCAACGATGAGCAAGTATGCAGTGCCATTGTGCCAGAGACCGGCATCCACACCCAAATAGTCGTAGGTGGTAAATGTGGCGTTCGGGTCGACGATGAATGGCTGAACGATGTCTGTGATGATAACGGTGAGGTTAGTCGCTGTCCCCTCGATTGTCGTAACATTGCCGGTTGTGGTCGGGTATTGGAAGGACTTGGAACCTGGCGACGCAAGTCAGTTTTATTCGTATCTGGATTATCGCATAACTTACCTAGAGCACCATGGTTGAAGGAAGTGAATCCCAAAGCAGCCCATTGCTGCCCAGTGGGAGTGGTATTCCAATATCTGCAATGAGAGTCAAGATAGATCGCATCGGGGAGTTCGTGACGACTTACGCGCCACTGCCGAATGCCTGGGGCGTAGTCCACACAGACTTGGTGCGGTCAAAGCCCAAAATGTTGAGCCTGTCTTTGAAGGTCTGGACACGAGCCTTAACATCATACAAGGTACCCTTGCAGTTGTCGCAACCACAGTGACCGAAGTCCGGAGTACACGCTGTGTGCCACACAGGAGAAAATGTGGCGTTGATACCAATAGGATAAGCATCCTACACCAGAGATTAGAAACACGAGCGACGAAAACGTGACGAATGAACTCACGTGAAGAATGATATCGGCTCCATTGACGTAAGGCGAGAAGTTGTAGTCCTGGCAATTCAGGACAATAGAGATAGGGTGGTATCCGTCCAGCTTGTATATCAAGTCATATGTCGACTGCGCCGCACCTATGGGGTCGGAGTTGCCATCGGGCTCGTGGGCGGTTTCCCAGTTCAATAGGTTGGGAACCGAGGCGTAAGTCTTGACTTGTTGAGCAACAACGGTCAAGTTTTGGTAGTTTCTGGATAGAAGATATCAGCAGCTATGTGATGAGGTGGTGAAGTCTGACATACGATCGCATATCATAAACGATGTACATGCCGGCACTGATGGTCTTGTTGATGACTTGTTCGAAAATAGTAAGGTTGTCATAAGGAGGGATCGGGTGAAGCTAAGGCATAACGTTAAGTACATGATAGATCAGATGTTCGCAAGACATACAGTGTTGAACCTGGAAATGATTTGAGTCAATTCGCAGGAGGTGATAAAGATGTAAAACGAACCCGTCGGCTTTAAGTTTATCGATCATAGTCAAATTTCCCGCCAGATACTCGTCGAAATTTATGTAGAAGCCTTGAGGGACAAAGGGTGCAAACGCTCCACCCTTGCCATCTGCGGGCCTCACCCAGAGTGCGCCAGTGCGCAAGTCAGTCTTAGTGACGGAAGCATTTGTGTCAGGGAGATACAAAAGAGATGCGCCAGTCTTGAATTTCTGGGACTTTGAAGACGAAGGGGCAGTGTATGTAGCAGAGCAGGTGACATTGTATGCAGCCTTCCGAGCCTGGAGCTTGCTGATATCTACGGGAATTTGGAATTTGGTGGCATTCAGAGGGACGTTTGCTGTGGTCTTAACGGATCCCACGTTGATTGTGACACTGATAGTTCCTAGGCCAGTGGTGTTGCTAGAAGAGCCGGAGGTAGAAGGAAGTGAAATGGGCTCAGCACCGGCGATCCAGTCGTAAACGATTGATGTATCCACGATGAATGCTGCGCTCTTTGCATCCTCCTGGAGGTATGGGCGAAAGACAGGGGCACAACGGAACGACAGAAGTGGATCAACACTCTGTGCAGGCAATACAAACTGTCCTCCAGGGGGTACCACAGATTGATTTGACATATAATTCTTTCCGCACCTGGAAAGATTTAAGAGTCAACAAACGATGTGCAGGATCGAAATTGTATGTACCATGTCTGAGCAAGCGAACCTCGGACCAGGGCGGCGACAGCCAAAGCCGCGAAGTTTTTATTGTATTTCATTGTATCCTCAGGCAAGAGGAAGATTGAAGGAAGGAGGTGGCGACGTGAAGCTCTCTGAAGATTTGAGTCCTTGCTTGCCCACTACAACTTATATAAGTTCACGCACAGCTATTCGCTCAATTTCACTAGACCCGGCAAAGGCAATCAGGACGATCGAACAGCGCTCTACTACCGCGTATTGATGGTGGCTTGCGACGAGTCAGGATAGATTTGGTTAGCCAGAACAGGCTAGAGCCGCATGGCTGTGACTCACCAAGCTTGTGACAGTTAAGGCGGCTCAGTCCAACCGCCGTCGGTGGCACATTTAGTGATCGATGTTGATCCAAGGCAATATGTGGATGTCAATTACATAGCTTTCTTAGTTGTCGTTAAGAAAAGTCGGACCGCAGATCGGGGGTAGAGGCCTAGGGTTTGTATCTAGAAGTCGAAAGGCCTTTAGTGATTATCGATGAACGTTAACATCGAATGTTGACCTTGACATAGTTGTCTTGTTCATATCATAGTAGTGGATATAGTACGTATGAAGCACGAGTATAGCCTGTCAAAATGACCTGTGAGTCCGATGGGCAACCCTACGCAACTGCCTGTTCGGGGCCCGCCAAGCTCTGCTTAGAAACATGCGCGTGTCGTGTCAGGACCGTGATCATGATGAGGCTGTCACGGTGCAAGCTCAAGTGCGCGTTCCTGCGGGGTTGTTGTGTAACCGGGAGAGTGCGTAGGTTTATTATGTAAGGCATTGACAAGTACCGAGTGTCCATAGCTCAGGCTGGCAGAAACGCTGCCGAGGCTCCATCACTTGAATCTTATTCTCATGTCTCGTCTTGAGTAGCCTGGCTAACTTGAAGCAGACTAGAACCTTAGACTTAGGGCGTTCCATTCAGGGACCCTATGTAGAGTCCTCGAGCCATCCTCTCAATTTCAAATTATAATACAGCATCATTCGACAAGTTACGGACTCGGAGATCACTGGCCGCTCTACGACCACTCTCCTGATGTGCACAGTTTTCACTCTGTGCAAGTCTTGACATGCTTGACATTACAATGTGCACAATGTCAGACTTGGACCAACTCAGCTAGTCCATACTAGAGGTTCATACTAGTCACCAAGTCGAGATGGCCAAGTACTACCTCCTCTCACTCAAATCACTTGGAGCCGCCGTGATCGGTACGAAGGAGTGCAGATTCGCCCCTCCGGTTTACTTTAGGTTACCGCGCGTCCTGAGAGTCGGTCACGGTATTCCTCAGGCTGGTTGGAACTTGGCTGCTGGCATAACATGACACATCAACATTCCCGGATCTCATTCCGACCTCATGATACCTTCCATAAAGTTAGTAGTTGTGATGATCGAACAGTTCCAGCTATTTCTAAACAGGTCAGATGAACTCACTGCCTTTGTTCAATTTTGGAGCGAAACAAACAACTACTCCGCAACTCCCTGCCCCCCTTCCCTGATTGGTATGTCACATATTTTTAAATTCAACTACTCTACGTCGCCTACAAGGGCTCGCTGACACGATGACTAGCAGGCCTCACAAGCCACTATTTCAGTCCGCTTGGTGACCACACAGCACTCGGTGGCCCAGCGATGCTACACTTCCAAGTTCCAACCAACCGTAGCCCTGACATTCTAGTTCAACTCCGTCAAACAAACCGCGCCTTTCCAAATTCTTTCCGATAGTCTGTAGCGACAACATCGGTATCCATCGCATCCTGATACACACTGTCACTCTTGTAGAAAAACGTCCAGGGTACGCTCTTAGCTCCGAGTCTACCCGAGCTTCAAGGTACTGATGACTATGGTGTAAGAATTGATTCAGTCTTACACGCGACGTTATGCTCTTCACTGTATCATTGAGAGTAAGTAGACGATGATGACCAGCTTGCGATTCCGAGGGCTTTTGAACGACGGGCCCTGTGAGCCCTGAAAGGCGAAGCGCGCAATTGACGATACGACAACTAGAGTGACTGTGAGTGACATCATGATGGCCGATTTCAATGTTGGCAGACACTGTGACCATTATTGGTTGACGGGCTCAGTCATGTGTCAACGATTCCCTACCATCATGATGTGATGATTATGACGCTCAATCCCGAAGATTTGGATCTCGTGCCCAATATATTATGTAATAAACATGCATACATGTGGAAGAATATGGTATGGCACCCCTAAATCTTTATATATATATATAACAGTACAGAAGTGCGGGCCAACACGCATTGATCATATCGTATAGAACCTGTACTAGTACTACTGACCGGCACCGATCACATGCTGTCATGCGCAGCGCCGCGACAATGAAAAAGCAAGTCGATTATCCCTATACTTATCGTCCGTACGTGATATACATTGATGCACACAGGAAATTCCGGAATAATGACGTGACCATGGAAAAAGCACACTGCTTAGTAATAAAAATAGGTTCAAACGTTCAAGTTAACGTTTGCGCAATCAGAAAGTCCACATGCTCGTTGTGTTCTTATTGTAATGTTTACCCAGTCTCCAGTGGTGCGGCTGCTTCAAGCTACTGATATCAACCTATGCGAGGTTCATTATGCATACACGCTGTGCGGCATGCATGATCGACCAGCCAACATTCGGCGGCTTCGACAATATTAATGTTGTTGGCTTTCCCGAGCTTCAGTGAGGACGCACGATCTAACTGGATTTCACTTGTGAGATGGCGTTCGGGATTTACCTGACGCCTGTCTCTTGGCTTACAGATGTGACTTTAGCCCACTTAGTATTCTTTCACCATCAGGAAAGAGAGACAGATGAATGCACACGCAGGAGACTTCGACCACCAGGACGCTCGTCGTTTCAAGCATACCCGCATCGGTATATGGGATCTCTACGAGGAACGCCAATCACGCATACGAGTCTCACCGATATCGAATATGTACGCGCCGATAATCTACAACGTTCCACTTCTAGTTCGCATGTTCAAGGATGTACTCAGCATCAGATGATGCTCCATTCTTCTCCCCGCATACCTTGTAGTAGAAGTTTTAGCCTCCCTCATACCCGCTGTTTCTCTGTGGTACGTCATAATGATGCGACTTCCCTGTACATCCATAACATCGTTGCGCAGGTACTCCGGACAATTGCTCCGCCTTGTAATGTCCCCTTCACTTTCATCTACCACTGCCAACTTATTTCGCACCAGGTAGAGAGCGTAATGGAAGCACGTACTGTGGACACAACGGTGCTCGTACATTTTGCGGCAGCACATACCATATGCGCAGTTGCTATGCGCTTTCTCAGATACTCCCGAGACTGCATGATGCCTCGTCTGAGCTTGTACATCAAACAATCCTACAATGAACGAATGCTCCTCTCAGCCGCTCGCCTCGACCTGCCCGCATTTGAAACTCTTTATCACTCGTACACAGTGCAGGAGCTCAGCTGCGGCTTGGCTCATTGGTATACTTCGTCAATTTGGGACACTATCGAGATGTTGACGGACATCGCAATGATACTTATTCGTCTGCTCTCTCACCTTTTGGTTCTGAGTACAGTCATGTGGGAACAACAGGATGGTCTACTTCTCGTGGTTCTCAGTTTTTTGCAATATTTATTGCCCTGGGACAGCACGGGAAAAACAGTGGTCGGATCCTTGGGTATGTCAACAGCTGATACTTCTAAGCCTGTGTTTAAGCCATATACGTAGTTTGGGCCGCGACAACGACCAACGAGAATTTGACTTGCATGCAAAGTCTGAAGGGACTCATTACTGGGCCCTCATATCGTCGAGAGTTTGTCGCAGGCAACTTCAGCGAACACATTAGTGCACGTATGTTGACGCGCCTTACCGGACAATCTTATGCTGATTTGATCGAGATCAGGATTTCGCGAAGCATCTCAGCGCATTGGTCACGATGCGGTTGAATTCCCAGAGCTGAAACGATTTCGTCCTTTCAAGGACTGTCTGAGCATCACATTCATCATCCGAGAAACAATGCATGTGTTACCCCAGGTACGTGGAGTTGACTTCAGAGTTGACAAAGACGACTAAGTCAATTAGGTTGTCTTCTCCTTGCGCGTAGTAAAAAATCCAATGACCACTCCCGTCTCCTTGGCATCACTCATATGGATCAAACAAGCCTTTGATCCATCATATTTCTCGATATCCAGCATGTTTTCCACTCTTGCGACCAACTTGACCCGAATACGCGGTGTTTATGAGTTAGAGAAAATACAAAATCAGGTTGTGGATGGCACGGAACCGTTCCCCGAGAATAAGCAATCTCTTGCAAATGGCATTTCTGTTGAATTCAAGTTGGATTGGTATTCCTTACTTCATAGAATTATTTCTAATGCATATATGTCAGGAATGTTTCGTTCCAGTACCCTGGTCGAGACAGGTGTGCTCTGCGGAATGTATCGTTCAAGATCGAGGCTGGTCAGCTATGCGTAAGTTCATCTACTTCTGTGGTGCTCTCTAATCACAATAGCAGGTCGTTGTTGGTGTGAACGGCTCTGGAAAGAGTACGATCTTGAACCTGATCTCCCGCATCTACGACCCAACGGAAGGCACCATCCTTATCGACGACCGTGACATCAAAACCTTGAAACTTGCTGACCTCCGTGCTGCTATGTCCATCCTCTTCCAGGACTATTCGCAATTCCCCCTCTCCGTAAGCCATACTCATGCAACCTGGAAGCAACGTATTCTAACGTACACGCAGATGCGCGAGAATATCGGGCTTGGCAACCCCGCCCTTGCACATGAGGATGACAAGGTTCGCGAAGCCGCCCGTCTCGGGGGCGCAGAAGACTTCATCGACGAGCTCCCTGATGGATTTGATACCTACCTCAACCGCGTCGTGGATGATTACCATGGAGACCTTCCTGAAGGTACTACGAAGCTCTTCGGGCATCCCGCTGACTCCTCGTCACGGAATGTCATTGGCGGTGTCCATGTCACCGGAGCTCCAGGCATTCAAATTAGCCGCGGGCAGGCGCAGCGGCTTGCAATGTACGTGGCCATACCTTGACTTCTCAGGTCTCGACATGGACCATTCAAATAGCTCCCGCACATTCATGCGCTCGTTGGTCTCTGAAACTTCGGAGTCTTCTGCTGGCATGATGTTATTCGACGAGCCGAGTGCCTCCCTAGATCCTACGGCTGAACATGGTGCGCTCTCCTGTTTCTTCGAGATGCCGATTTAGATGTAGTCGTGACTGATGAAAATAGATCTCTTTGAGCATCTACGGAAGTTGAGGGGTAACAAGACCATGATATTTTCCACTCACCGGTTTGGAAATCTCACCCAATATGCGGACCTCATTTTGTGAGTTTCTGTCTGCTCGAACACCAATGCTTGCTGACGTGGCCGCCGCAGGTACATCGACGAAACTGTCCAGGAAAAAGGAACACATGGTGAACTCATGAAGAAAGGGGGAGAGTATGCTCGTATTTGGAATCTTCAAGCGAAATCATTCATTCAATAACCAGATACCCAGACCACAACATTATTCTGTACCATGCATATGCTAAATTTCAGTCACGTAAGTGATGACAGGTGCCATCAGACAACCTCCTTGCTCGTTGTCCCGTCTACTCGCCTCAATTCACTTGACCTGCCCCATACTCTCTAAAGTCCGAGTCGAAGACGAACGAACATTTGTGCTCAAAGTCCACGCTCTTGGTGTCTTCGAACCGGGTAGCATATGACTCATGAGCATCTACTAATGCTAAGTCAGGGTAATATTGTCAGTATGAGACGTATAAGAAGGCCAAGCGCATATCCAGCCACCCGAATGTCCTGCCATGAACTAACATGTCCATAGTGCGCGAAGTCGCCATGAGTGGAGTACCGGCAAGAGGAACAAAAGATATACAAGTTTACGCTGAATACGTGTGAAATAGCTGGCCAAGTAAAAGGCGAGAAATATACATCTGAACCTCGACGAATCTGCAGAGGTGCGCACTTGAGCATTTCGTACTAACCCGGTTTCGACGGACATGTTTCGTTGTATTGCGCACATGTGTCATATCCCGCGTTCCGGACCCGGACCTATCACACTCATCATTTCCGGATTTCCGGATCCGGCCGACTTCTATGTATCGTCTGGATCCGACCCGCGTCTAACTTCCGCGCCTTATCCCTTTGGTATTTCCCTTATCAGTTAGTACGCTTTATTTTCTGTTCCTTATTCATTTCCGTCTTCATTTTACTAAGTTCCGATAGACTAGTGATAGTCGTCCCATATGTTTTCTTCATAGCTTTACATAGCTTCGCACTGCACTTACTGTTCTCCGTTATGTCCTCAGTAGTATATAAACCCCTGTACAATCTCTGTAGTTTCCTCAGTTCGAATATCATATTAGACTCTGCTCATTCTCTCCTCCGTCCGACTTGAGTTTCTCTCTCGTCGACCTCCGCTCGTCTTAGGATCGACTCCTATAGACTTGACACCTCCGCCTCTACCTCTGGTAGTCCTCCGCTGTTTCCTTTCTAGTTCGGACTTCGTCCGGATTAGTCTTATCTCTTGTTTCCGAACGTCCGCCGGAATTCCCGCGCATCGGACATCGCCCGACGCCCTCCGGACATCGTCCGGTAACCTTCGGACATCGTTCAACAACCCTCGGAAGTTAGGGGCACGTACTCGGGTAAGGGGCGCAGCGCACAAGCTGAAGCCAAGCCCTTCGGATCCGACCCTTGAGCACGTTCTTAACAACATGGCATCGACTTTCAAATCCAGTCGATTATGATGGGGAGGCGTGTTTGGCTGTGTCAACATCGCAAGGGTGCGTCTGAAAGAGCCTGCTCTGCTTCTTTGAGTGTTGAAACTGAAGAACGATTCTCTCTGATGAGGTCGAGAGATTGATGTACGCCTGAGCACGGACTTGAGTATAAGGTTAGCGCACCTGTAGCGAGTACGCAAAAAGGCAACCAACTGAGGTCTCAAACAGTAAGCATAAGCCCCAAACCGTCAGTTGTGATGTCCGTGGACGTCACGATGGGAAGGCAAGTTTCCTCTCGCTAACATGAGGGTGTATTCAAATATCAAATCAATCACGTCCTTTCTCGTCTGTTTGCGTGTCCAGACGTGCATGAGTGGCATTATGCAGGAACTTCAAGGAAGGCAATATATCGTCTGAAAATCGATGATGCATGCACATAATGTAAAGTTATAGAACTATTGTACACCAACAAAACATACATGTAACATCAACACTTCGAATCTGGAGGGGAAAAGACTATCGCAGGACGATTGGTTAATGTAGGAAGGCGAGGCGAAGGACCCAATGCTACCCACCACATCTCACCCCCCTGTATGAACTCAGTGTCGGCATTTGCCCGGCACAATGCTGACGAAGTACGTGAATACCTACCAAGCACACATCAGAACATACATACATACATACGATAGACAAGCGGGAGAAAACCCCCCGCGAAAAGGGTTATGTCCGTCATAGGGTCCTCGACCCTAAAAGGACAATAAATATGAATTAAAAAAAAAAAAGAAAGTTATAGAACTGGCTATGATTACTGAATTATTTATTATTTGGTTCTTTCGCACGATCGCGGAACGCCACAGCCACAATTGTCAGTTGACGGTGACCTGTCTGCTAGAATTTGATTAGACTCGTACGTTGCGACGTGGACACATACAATCATCATGGGGCCACATCATCATGATGAGATTATACGGATCCAGAATCTTTATGAAATACCCCTGAAGTCCCCGCCTCCGGTATCTTCCCTCAACTAGTACTAGAAAGACGTCAAAAAGCCTCCACTAAAACAAATTTGCATTGCCAGCAGGTGTACGTCCAAACGAAATACAACGTTCCTCAACTCACATGTTCGCACGACAGCAAGTCCATCGAGAGCCTGAGCTCGGAAATCTAAACATCCGCATTTCACAACCGTATCACCTGTTGCGATGCACCGGACACTGCCAGGCCCAAATCGCTGGTATGTCTGCTTATGGGCTACGCCAGAATCATGACGGAAAAGTGTAAGTCCGTTTTTTAACTCGCCTTCTAGAATGACGTCAGGGCTATCTTTGTTGTCCGTACCAGTGAGGGATATAAATTTGGACACACTGATAATCAGTTTCCCGCTTGAAGCACCCCTCAGGCCTCAATGCCTCATCCAATCATATCAGAATTTGATATTATTTTTGCTGGGGGTGAGTGACGCATCTCGCACTGGGGTGATTGACTTGACATAACACTGTATCATGGTTCAGGTGGTAGCACAGCTTGTGTTGTCGCAGGCCGCCTGGCTGCATTGGATCCCTCACTTACTATCTTAATTCTCGAAGGGGGCCAACACACTCTCAATCAAGATGTGCATGTGCAGCCTTACAAATTTACAAGGAATCTGGTGCCAACGAGTACCACCATGACATTCAACGTTGGAAATCCAAGTCCACGTCTCAACGGCCGTGCTCCGATCGTTCCTTGCGCCCATTGCGTTGGTGGAGGCTCAAGTGTAAATGGTTCGTAACGTTTTCGCACTGAATACCATAACTCTGATAAGTTGACTCGGTCAGCTATGTGTTACACTCGTGGACCTGCCTCAGATTTTGATGACTGGGGAGCCGAAGGGTGGGAATCTAAGAACTTGATTCCCCTCATCAAGAAGGTCTTCGACTGAATCATCTTTATATTTCTCAAGCTGAACTATTCATTGCTTAGCTGGAGACATATCAGGTACAGCCCGATCGCCCAACCCACGGGTACGGTGGACCTATCAAAGTGTCCCCTGGTGGATGCAAACTAGTTGTCTCCGAAGAGTTCATCCACGTTGGCACGACATATCACAAGAGGCAATATGCTGAAGACACTGATGATTTAAAAACATGCAACACATACAGTGTGCGCCACCTGAATTTCTTTCTCCATGTGTGGAGTCCGCTCACGAGATCCACTTCAGCCATGGGCGAAGTGAGCTTGTGCTCATCATCTATTATTAATTGGGCTCACAGATGAAAGGTACATTGACGGGACAACTGGAAGGCGTTCTGATGCGGCCCACAACTATGTCTACAACCAAGCTCACAATGCAAATTTGCAAATATGGGTTGGCAAGCGCGTGAAGCGCGTGATCTTTCAGTGAGTGTTCCATATTCAAGTTGGATTTCAACCGTGCCAGACTGCTGATATCTTTTTTGAATGAAAGAGATAAGCGTGCTGTAGGTGTCGAGTTCACTAGCGATCCAGTGTCTTGCCCAGACGCGGATCAGTCATCAAGCATCGTGAAAGCATCAAAACTTGTTGTTATCTCTGCTGGGGCATTCGGTTCGCCGGCCATCCTCGAGAGGTCTGGGATCGGTGCCGAAGCAATTCTCAAGCGGTGCAATATCAAGCGACTAGTGGACTTGCCTGGCGTTGGAGAAAATTATCAAGGTCCGCGTTCAATCATTTGTCTCATGATGTTAACTTAGGGTTAAGAGATCACAACCTTGTCTCTACTCCATACTTTGCTGCCGAGGGAACTGTTACTATGGACCCCCTCTATCTTGGGGAGGAGAGTGACGTTGTTGTCCAGAGTAAGCATGTTCTCGCCATATTCCGAGTCCATTTAACTACCCATGAAATATTATAGAAAATCTGGCGCAATGGAAAATTGATGGCAAGTCACTGATTGCCCAAAAGTTGGTGCAAAACCTTCAATACTGGTGACGTATTGATTGGCATTTCAGTAGCAGCGATGCAAAAATAAAATGGCGTCCTGATGACGACGAACTGAAAGCCATGGGTTCAGCTTTTCAACCACGATGGAAAGAGTTCTTCCAGGATCGCCCAGACAAACCTGTTGCACTATCTTCTCTCTGTGCAGGGTGTGCACATTATTTTTGTTTGATGACGCACGAATATTCACGATACCCAGATCTGCTGGGTTCTCGGGTATCCCTCGTGGCAATTACATCACTGCCAACTATTTTACAGTACTACTTCCATATTTACTACCCCGTGATTTTTGTTCTGAATTTTCCAATAGCTGTACCCCGTGTCTACTGGCAGCGTTCATATCAAATTGAACGAGAACGGCCAGGAAGGAATCGACTTCAATGCAGGCTTCCTGGATGAGTGAGTCAGAAATTTCAACTCACTGACGTGACTACGATAATTCTCACAGTCCATCCGATATTGTACCTCTTATCCTCGTGTACAAAAAGACGCGCGAAATCATTCGACGCATGCCTTCATATAGAGGTGAAGTCCCCATAGGCCACCCTCATTTCTCACAGGGAAGCGTTGCAGTCTGCGGAGCAACAACCGGGCCGGCGGACTTGAATGCGCCTGACATAATCTACACAGCAGAAGACGACGATGCGATCGATCGATACGTTCGTGATCACGGTATGTTGCATCCCTATCGTTATGTCAAGTTACTGAATTGATACTCAGTGCAAACGACATGGCATTCGGTATGCACAGCTGGAACTTTCCTGCTTTCACGTGAGGTACCTGAACTTTACATGTCTAGCTCGGAACTTGCGCCATGAAGCCAAGGGCAGATCAAGGGGTCATTGACGCTCGGCTAAACGTGTACGGCGTGACAAACCTCAAGGTGGCGGACATGTCTATTGCGCCGATAAATGTTGGCACGGTGGGTACTGGTCGGGGATCATCAACGTGCAGTCTAACCGTCTCTCTAGAACACATATTGGACAGCGCTTGTCATTGGGGAGAAGGCTGCGATGATCATTGCTGATGAGTTGGGTATTGGAAGTCGATCATCGTGGAAAAGTCCTCAAGCACGTCTGTGATCGGTAGGTGTCTTCGCAGTAATCTTGAGCATGTACTTTACGCGTCAGTCATTTATACGCAATCAACACGTATCTCAAAATCGTGAGGACAATGTATGGATCGCAAATTCTGGTAGTATATTAGCTTTCTTCATACCCTCTGGCTAGGATCAGCACACTCTTGGCTCTTCCCTTCCGAGCGCATTTTGCGTGCCAGTTAGTACTAGTAACTTCCCCTAGACAGTCTTTAGGGAGCCAGACTCATAGGCACTCAGTGGTTTCCTCGGGCGGGTAGCAGCCACAACGCCAGCTCCTGAGTAACAATTATTTGAATTTCGGGGCGCTCCCTGTCCATGTCAATTCGAACGACCGGCGCGGGGAGACTCGCGGCGAAGGTCCACATCTCGACTCGAAATACCGAACCACATCAAATTGCTAGATTATTGTCAGCTGATCCATGAATGCGATACCTTTTAGGCTTTCAATGTTTGCAAGGTACGACCACTCGTAGTCGGTGTTCAATTACAGGATGTGGAGACAATGGTGGCAGATGGAGGTTTTCCGAAGTGCACGACTTGATTAAGGTGTCATACCAGGCCTGTGCTAATCTCCGTCACGAGAAAAGTGTCGGTTGTCGCTGTTGGATGATAGAATCAATCTTCCGGGTCGACACGAATTTCACTAAAACGGGCAACATCAGTGAACTGATGGGTGAATTAGAAGGACGATGGTAACTATGGTGCAGGAATTAATGGATCCATACACGCCACATGATACTAATTATTTAGAGATGGCCACTGGCCAGCTTGCAAAGGCTTTTGAATGACACACCTCAGTGAGCCGTTAAAGGCGAAGCGTACGATTGAAAGCACTATGACCAGAGAGAGTGACATGGGCAATATCCCTCTATTTCATGTGGGCAGACATTGTAACCAATGTTGTTGTTTGACGGACTGGTAGTATGTGTCGACGTACGTGAGATCAGACTTCAGCTGCATCTCCAACGTCGGAAATAGCCGAAGTTCGAGTGTAAACAGACACAAACTTCTCCAGAATTGTTGACTGTTATCGGTTCTTATCAGAGTTTGATATCATTTTTGCTGGGTGAGTAGACATCTTGCACGTAACGATACTATTTTAACATGGCCCTTTGTGTGCAGGCACTGGCAGCAATACAGCTTACATTGTCACGGGTCGCCTGGCAGCATGTGACTCCTCGCTCAGCAGGACCTTAATTCTCAAGTCGGAGGTCAACTAAAACTGCGCATGTCAACCCTGCAAATATTTTACCCATCAGGCTCCAACGAGTACTATGACGACATACAACATTGGTCCCTCGCGGCATCTCAACAGTCGTGCACCAATCGTTCACTGTGCCCATTGTGTTGGTGGAGGCTCAAGTGTGAACTGTTTGTAGTATTGTTGTGACAATGAACAAGATTCTGATGCTTACACAGTTATGGATTACACTCGTTCGCCTGCCTCAGATTTTAATGATTGGGGAGTCGATGGTTGGGAATCCAAGAACTTGATTTCCCTCATGAAGGTCCAAAAACGTGCTGTCCGTATATTTGTCAAACTGAACTGTTGTTATTGCATAGCTGGAGATATACAAGGTGTGGATTGATCGTCCAACCCATGTGTACGATAGAACTATCAAGGTGTCCTTTGGTGGGTGTGCTGGCATGCAAGTATCACAAGAGGCCATTTTTCGATGACTCCGATGATTTAGAAACATGCAATACTTACAGTGTGCGCCACCTCGTCATGTTCCTTCTTATCGAGGTGAAGCCGCCGCTTTCAGAGGGAAGTGCTGCAGTTTGCGGGGAAGTGGTCGGTCCGGTGGACTTGAACACGCCCGACATGATCTACACTGCGGACGATGAGAAAGCGATCGAAAATTTTCACCGCGACAACAGTATGTCCTGAATTCATTTTTCCATTTTTGAGGTAACATATTTGGTCGAATGCCAGTGCGATCGACATGGTACTCGGTATGTGTAACTTGAACTCTCGTACTTCTACAAGAGGTGCCTTATCTTGTGTGCAGCTCGGGACTTGCTCCATGAAGTCGAGGGAAGATCAACGAGTTGTCGACGCTCGGCTAAACGTGTATGGTGTGACGAACCTCAGGCCTCAAGGTTGCAGACTTGTCCATCGTGCCGAAGAATGCTGCTAAGGTGAGTAGTGAACAAATTGGATCTCCATGTGTCATTGCGCACACAAGTCGGTTAAGGTCTAGGAATGTCATATCACTGAATTGGCTCAGGTGAATGAGAGGTACTGAACCCGCCAGCCTTGCACTCTGAAGAGGATGAGGATGCTGCATGCGTGTCGATTGACAACATGTGTATGTACCCTAGGACCCTAAGACTCCTGAGACCCCGGTCTCTGCCTCATGCGCTCTGGCTCCTGCCGGACCTGGCCTGCTCTCCTGCTATCCCCGCCTTTGTATACCCTCGCACTGAGCTTCCCGTTACAACGCTTGTACAATTACTTCAAGGGAACTTCGCCAATCTACATGACGACCTGTGAGGCCCATCCTCCTCAGGTCAGGTTATTTGATGCATTTTTGATCTCGTTATCCGACATGTCGCGAAATCATCGATCGAGGCTTGCAGCTCAAGCTTCAATATTCAATCCCGGATCATGACACGACAGGTCATCAATGCAAGCTTTAAATGTAGTCAACTAGGCACTTTAGACTCGAATAAAGATGGTCACCCTGCAACTGCTTGTCAGATTGAGACTCCGATGTTAATAGAGGGAAGGCCGTCGTTCCTTCTATTACTTAGTCTGCCAATATGGGAGACTAGTCTCCGATGGGCCGCTCAGTGTGAGTTGGATGAACGGACTCTAACTGGTTCCCATGCCGCCTTGTTACTTGATCTCAGACCAGATAATTATCCACCGTGACGTTTCCTACGACGCGAAAAAAATAAACCATGTTGTATGGAGGTAGTAAGTTAGTCTGAGCGCAGCCGGCAGTTGACCATCTGAGAGTTCATAACGACCGTCTTCCCATCCATATCAGACGTCAAGTTTCCCGGTCAGAGATATGAATCCATACCACCATTGCAGAGCAGATAAAACCCTGGGCAAGTGAGCCTTGATACACTCACTGACGATATTAACTCGGTGTTCTATTAAACTAGGTGTATCAGAAGTCAGATACCACAGGTACCTAAACATTCCTTGGTGCCTACCTTTTCGCGAGTTCAACCCCCTTTCCACCTGCATCAGCTAGGTCCGTGCTAGGTACAGGTTCGGATCCAGAATATTCTGGCTTTATTATGAGAGACCCCTATTTTTGAATGTGCTTTGGAGAAGCTGGACAGATCAATTGGAAAGGTGATTAATATCATCGACGAAGATATGTCATCCAAAGGTACAAATAGCAAGGAAGTTGATGGGGTGGAAGGATGATATTGCGGATATGCGGACAGGGGGAAGCAGAGGCCTCCAGACTTCAAGCTTCAAGGATCAGAAGTACGGAGGTGGATTGTTTATTGACTAAAATGATGATACAGCAGTGTATGTATTATCACAAATATAAAACCTTGAGGGATAGTCAGTAGCAAAATGTGTCAATGATGTTAGATATACAGGTAGTTGGATTCCATATTCATGAGATGACAAGTATCAGAAAGACGGATGAGAGTTTTAATGAAGCACAGATGCAGGATATATTAGTCAATGCAAACAGTCCTGGCAGAAGCAACTGGTCGCTTTCCAGTGCAAAAAATGCCAAAATATTGGGCATTTGTTCGAGTGAATACCCTTCGAGGGCGAGAAGGTTCCTCGTTGTCGCCAAAATTAATGTCAGCCGCTGGATATTCCTTAGGCACTAAATGTCCTGCCCAGTTGTCACTTGGGTCACCTGCTGGATATTGCTTAGGCACTAGGTGTTTTCGTGCGTGTGACTCCCTCGTAGATTGCTGCGTTATAAATTCCCCGAGCCGGTTGATTCTCGCTCTTTTTTTCGCGAAAGAATCAGGTGCTAATAATCGTTTGTCAATCCAGGGCTCGTATTGCAGCAGGTTCACATACGTGGCATAACCTCCGCCGCGTTTGGTTTTGGTACTGATAAAATAGCAGCAGCAGGCGGGCAGGTCATTTTTCCTGCGGCTGGTGCGTTCGGAGCGACAAGTAATTCCTTGATGCCTAGTTGGGTACGGGCAGTGTCAACTCCCCCGTAACGTATGGCGAGATGAGTGTATAGCGGAAGCAAGAGCCGGTTTATTCTATCTGTACGGATCGTGAGAAGAAAATACAGCAAATTACTGGTCAATATTCACCGTCCAGTTCCTTTGGAAAGGCATGTTTGCGGTGTCTGATTAAAATCAGCATTTTGAAGTACGCTGATTTCAACGGCAGCAAAGTCTGCGAACAAGTAATGAACAGGTACAATTTGACTCCCATACGTGTAAGAGTGCTGCGTGCGACCTTAATTACCGAGAGCATTATTAAAAGAGCTTGCGACAATTTAAATTATATTCACCTCGGTCAGGGCGATAATCTTCATGGAAAGACCATTAGTTGACTGTAAAATGGAAATAACAACAAAGACAAGACTTTTCGACCGTAGCGCTGAAATTCTGAATCTTGCGAGTGGCTGAACTTCAGGAGGTCATTGATACCATCTTGAACACGTTTTTGAGAGCAAAGACGTTCGGTGAGTTCTAGAGTGACTCGTCGACGATGAAGTGTAGGGGGGATGACATTGTTCATGACTAGTAGAAAGTAGGTGTGAGTGGAGGGAGGTGGAAAGATATGGAAAGAAGAGAGATACTGGCAACACAGAACATGTAGTAATATTAATGTGGCACAGCTCGTGATCTCTTGGTCCACGAATATGATTACATAGAACGCCTTGCCAGCCAGTGCAGGCAATGGAGTCATCAAAAGAATAAATATAGATATCATCACAAGCCCTTCCAAAGTCACCTGTGGATTTCCGTCGTTCCTAGAATGTGCCACAGCCATGTCTGGTGGCATACTTTGCGCTGCACCATTTACAAATTACTACACCCTAGTCACGGTGACGGGCTCACTGGAACTTTGGTGGAAAAATACAAACCTGTCATATTTACGTACAACATCATCAAATAACACGTCCACAAACCACAACCTTGCCAACATCTCAAATACAGCGGCTTTCATTACTACAGCGTGTTACTCGGCTGTATCAACCACCGCGCGTCAATCAAGGCGACACGCAATGGAATCATCTACGAACAGAACAGAACAGGAAATACAGAAACAACTAGAAATTCGGAGAGAGATCGAGCGCTTGCAAGCTCAGCTTACACCCTTTCCCGACTCCGCCAACGATGTAATCGGATCTCCCAAGAGGAAACAGTCATCTGAAACTTTGCTCGCACCCGCTACACCATCTCCTAGTAAGTAAGCGTGCGTGCTCTCGGGGTTTTATCAAATGAACGCTGATGGCAGAGAAGAAGAGGAGGGTCGATCATGCAGGACATACACACCACTCATTACTTGGCCGAACGAGTGCCCCCTCAGGGTCCCTCTCAGCATCTGGAGCTCGGAGCGTGAATTCTCGGCCTTCGGGTAAAGGTCCGATTGCTGCAGTGCAATATCAGAAACCTGCTCCTTCGAATCTCCTGAGCAAGCTTTCTAAATTATCAGGCGGCACAGCAAAACAAGAACAAGTAAATTCAGCTCAAAGGTCTCACAGCTCATTGGCTCGGCCCGAACCTGAGCCCTCCATTGCTTCAAATGCCAAAATGATTGCAGTGCCACCTAGTGCCTCCCAGCCTGTTTCGGACATTGTGCCGAACAGAGATGACCGACTGGCTATCATCGAGCAGCTTAAAGTCGGCCCCGTGGATCACAAGCCGCCACTTGACGATCCCCATTTTCAGCGACTTGAGCCAAATTCTGGCATCCGACTTTCGTACGTGTTGTCATCGCAATTGAAATCGATTAGATCATTAGACTCAAGGATTGTATGCAGGTCTCGTTCATTACCGCACGATGATTTGCAGGAGTATCTCCGAGGTCGATATTACCTCTCACCGTCTACATTTTACTCTTGCATACGACTGTTACCCAACCAGTCAGGCTACGATGTGCCCGTCGAAGGTGACTGGATCACTATCGCCGTTGTTGCAGAGCGGGGCCCTATAAAGACTACGCGTGCTCCCGTAGATATCGCTCCTGGCGACGATGGACGTGCAACCGATGATGAAGGAGGCTCCAGTAACACCAACGATCGTAAAGCTGGTGACAATTCTCGTACCCAGGACCCGCAGAAACAGAAGTCCTTGAGAACTCACGGCAAAAAATTTGTCAATATGAAATTGATTGACTTCGGGGCGCGTTCACGACCGTCGTCATCGGGCGCAGTGACCATTCGAGGAGACGCATTTCTGACCCTCTTGCTATTCGAAGCTGATAGTTTTGACCGTGTCACGAGCGACGATGGCAAAGTCAAGAAGCTCTACAAAGGCGGCAGCAAAGGCGCTTTCGAATCGATGTCAAAGCTTAAAGAAGGGGACGTCATCGCTCTTCTCAATCCAAAGGTTCTCAAGCCCTTCCAGGTGAGCTTGCACGAGTAGCATTACCCATGATAGTGAATAACTTGCTCAGCGGAACAACAAAAACGGCAAACCGCACCCAACCGACAACATACTCGCTGTCACACCCGAGTCCGCCGAATCCATTGCTGCCATCGGACGCGCACAAGACTTGGGCATGTGCAAGGTGCTCAAACGCGACGGAAAAATATGCGGAAGCTGGACGGACAAGCGAGTGAGCGACGTATGCGACTGGCACTTGACGAACGCTGTGCAACGGCAAAGAGCCGGGCGAGCTGAGTTTTCTGCAGGGTAGGTGATGTGAATGGTTCTATACCTTCGCTCCGACTCACACCTCCGTTCCTCAGGACCTCTGGAATGACAACATCGTCATCAAAGAAGCGAAAGGCAGATTATGATCCGCAACGCCAGTGGGGACTGAAGCCTTCTGAAGCATCTGGCTCGCGTGGAGACAACACCACATACGTTGTGTCAGGGCACGTCGTGAGCGGGTCGAATCGGGATGTCTCGTCGATGTTTGTCGCTGAGAACATGGGGCGCGAAGGCCAGGCGCGCGCGAAGCGAAAGCTGATGCAGGATGCCGATCGCGAGCTGAAGGGCCTACTCGAGAGGGATAAGGAAGGTATGCGTGCTGTTGCCAAGGCCAGGGAGATAGGCGCGACGAGGGCGAAGCAAACCTCTGATAGTGCTAAGGATAAGAAGTCCTCAAAGTGGAAGCAAGCCGCGAGAGATTTAGATGGTATTTCAGAATCTGATGATGCGGAGACATCGAATGCACCCCAAACGAAGTTGGCCTATTCGGCAGATATCATTAAGAAGCTTGGATTCGATCCTGCAGCGAAAACAGGGCAAAAGCGTGCGGTGCAGTCTTCGGTGCAAGATAAAGTGCGTTGGTTGGCAATGTCTACTTGGCTCTCTCTAACAGAGTCTTGGTGCTTGTTTCATAGATTGCAGCTCTCGCAGCTGTCCGTAAGTCCCGGAAGGAAATTAATCTTGGTCCGCGACCAGGCCCTAGAATTCGTTCTGGGGTAACTGTTCCTGCGTTCATGCTGGAACATGAACTGGACAATGATGATTGTCACGGTGGTGAGGAAGGAGATGACAATGTCAGTACTGGAGATGGACATGAATGTGACGAGTTGATAGATCTCGATGACTGATTCAGAGGTCACGATGGACAGGTAGTGCTCAGATATACAGATAGTCCTAGTTTTCACTTGCATCTCTTCATGTTGGCAATGCAGCTTGATGTGGTATCCAAGGAGCGCGTCGTGCAAGAAGATTCCGCTACTTATACTAACACGCTCCACATCTTTCAAATGCTAATGACTACAGATCTCGATTCTCTGAGTTGCATTCAAGCTCCTTGCAAGGCGCCATGCTACAGGCTCGGACCAGGTCATCATCTACTATGTACGTGAAGATGCATTAAGGGCTATCGAGTGTACTGACACTCAGGGCTGCGCACTCAACGCTCGTACATTCTTATTTTTCCATCCTAACGCGGTGCAGCGAGAAGCATTAGATACGTACCAGTGTTGCAACGTTCCTCCTGTGGAGCATATACATCAGGTCTCTCAAATCTCATCTCCCCCGGCGCGATAGATTTCAGCGGCGAGCACAAATTTGCTTCCTCGTCTCATACTAATCATGCTTCTAAAAAAATTAAAATTATTCAGTCCTTGAACATGCATGGAATCATCTATGTGATTGGGACACAGAGGCACTTTCGATTCTGGAAAGCGCCAGTCGTACTCAGATACTCCTATCGCCTAGAAATTGTCGCAGCGATCTGTTTGTGTATGCTGCCATGGCCATCAATTATATCTGCCGCTCGTCATCATCCGAAGCAGCGACTAGATTTGTTCTTTCGTGAGCAGCCAACTGTGACATGTCAATGTTGATATCGATCAGACAGATTTCGCAACTTCGGCTTCGGAGGATCCAGTTGCCACTGCCGGATGTTGGCGTCTATCCAATTCATCTCACAGACCCGTTTCCACTTGTAAAACTCCAACATCTCTTCCATGCGGATCAAGAAAGCTTGGCTAGGATGCTTCAAGCATTTTCACCTGTTATCTTGAATTCATCTGACGGGGAAATGTTGAAATCTATGATCACGCTTGGCTCTGCAACTCTGTGACAGACCCTTTACGCTCGAAGGAATAAGTTATAACGCACGACACGAGCACCTTGCATGTTGCTGCCTTGGTTTCTTTGTACAACAAGAACCATCGAAGCCCGACGGTAGATGGTTCGTTCCGCTGCCCGATTTACTATGCGGCAGCCAGTATCAATTTCCACGCTGGGTTGAACATATTTCTTTGGCCTATCATAGCAACAAAATTCGAAATATATTTCCTCTGTTTACGGAGACAGCACTGCGACGTTGGGCGTTGTACTCGACAGTGGTCATGCTTCGCTTACTCTCTTATCATCTGGTTATAGCAAGAGACTCATTTGTCCTTGGTGTTTTTATCATGTTGGGTGAGGGTTCTATGCCAATGGTCAATGAATTAAACATGGCTTGGGTCTGTCGGACAATATTGTGGTTGGCATAAATCTCTCAGAGAAGGTACCGCACCCTTCAAATACATGTCACTGAATTTGCTACTTACTACGGATTGTTAGGAAGGCCATGGCAAAGATGGGTAACTGATCGTCAACAAGAACTAAAAGAACATGAAAGCCAGTGCACATGACAATTACACAAAGGACCTCTAGTCCAATTTCTTGTCCGAAACAGCCCCAGTCGCCTCATTGTGCCTACCCACAAGCCGATCGACTTCAGCAGCCTGTTGTGCGGCCTGCTTTTTGAGGTTTGCTGAGGGATGCATGTTTGGTTTAGAAACGAAACATGGATAAAAAGCGATAAACGCACCAAAATCACGGTCCTTTGCTTCGCTCGCGGCTAATTTTTTCTTGAGTTCTTCGATTTGCTTGGATTGGTCACCCTTGGCGCCAGCACCAACCTGCGAAACCAATGATATATAAACAGGAGCCAACCCCACATGGAAGGTACTCACAACTTTCTTCAATTTGGCGTATTCCTCCTGCGTGTGGATGAGGTCCAAGATGATGGAAAACGTGCGGGCGAGGACCAAAGAGAGGAAGAGGCAGAAACCAGTTAGGTAAGTGTTTCGTTGAGCGCTGATAAGAAAAATACAACGCGTCAGATTGAATCATGCGTTATGACAGAGGATGGGGTGCGCACTAAAACTTGCGAGCGGCGAAATCAGTTCGTGCGTCGTGCGTGCCCTGGCCGCCTGTTTTTGCCATTTCGGTTTCGGCTGTTACACGGAACATGCGTTGGAGGGCATCTAGGAAGAGAATGCCTACGAAACTGTGTCATGATATTAGTAAGTGAGTGAGATGTGAGCGATTAGAGTGCAAACATGAAGGAAATCTTGAGTCCATACGCGACTTTGGCGACGATGGGGCTTTCAGAGAGAAAATGGAAAAGTTTTTTGCGGACTGTGAAAGGGAGTGGGGATACAAGCAGGCAGAATGTTACCATCTAGTTTGGACGCATTATGAATCATGAATTGAAGTCAGGTGCTGCCGGACTTACTTCTGCTGCTAGGAGTAAGAATGTAAGCGAGTAACTGTGGGATCATGAGAGCTTGTCAAACTCGGTTTGTTCAATACATACTAGATTGTCATCGTGCTTAACGTCGTTTTTGCCGTCGATGTCAAGGTTAAAGTCTACGTTGCACAATGCAGCCTTTAAAACGGGATGGGTGCACTGCTTACTGTGGAACGTGTTCAGCGTGACGTCACAGACACGTCCCCATCATTACATAATCGATTCCCATCTACCCCTTGAACGCGTCACTCTGATCACCCGATTACGCTGCCGCAGACCTGCACTTCATCCAAATCAATGGCTCCACTACAAGTACACGTTAAACACGCAGGAAAAACTCTCGATGTTGACCTAGAGACATCACTTCCACCTGCCGCGTTCAAAGATGCGATTTATCAGGTCACGGGCGTGCCGCCGGAGCGTATGAAAGTTATGATCAAGGGTGGCGTGCTCAAGGTGCGAACTTTTCGTGTTATGCGGGTGCTTCGATGTATAGCTTATTCGTGTAGGATGATACGGATTGGAAAAAGGTGGCTCCTAAAGCGGTGAGTGCGCTCTTGTTTTGTTTTGTAGAATGTGTATTAAATATGTGGTTAGGGACAGACGTTCATGGTTATTGGCGCTGCGGGCGAGCTCCCGAAGCCACCTGAAAAACCGATTGTTTTTCTTGAGGGTAAGCGTCTCAGTATGCATGTGATTTAAGGGTTGTAGTGATCGCTTTTGCGTAGACATGGACGAGTCGGAAATTGCAGAAGCCGTACGTTTGTTTTATTTGCGCTCGTGTGGATTACTCAGGGTTTTGTTCTTGCAGCTCTCTTTACCAGTTGGATTGAAAAAGTAGGTGCTACAGCAATTCATAGTGTACCGTGAAGTGACAAGTATATGCTCGCAGTCTCGGAAATACCTGCTACATGAACGCCACCGTCCAAGCGATGCGTGCAATACCCGAACTTCAGACAGCTCTTTCAACGTATGCTTCTATTTCTTACATACGTGGCTCGTGATCCCATGTCTCATAGGTCACCGCATTTGGATGTCCTACCTCGTGCGCTGAGAGACTTGTACAGCGACATGTCTCGTACGACGGAGGGATACATTCCTAACACGTTTTTGAGCGTGTTGCGTCAGATTGTGCCTCAGTTCGGGGAGGTTGATAGATCGGGCAAGAATGGAATCTTAGGGGGGTTCGCGCAGCAAGGCGAGCGTTTTTCTGCCGTCTTTTTAGTTGGGTCGTTGACTTAAGGTATAGACGCTGAGGAGTGTTGGACACAGCTTGCGAATGGCTTGAAAGAGGTTCCTGGGATTGATGCTACGGGTAATACAGTAGCGGGGGGGAGGAGATTCGTCGATCAGTTTATGATGGCAGAGATACGCAGAGAGTGATCTAGATTTTCCCTTTTTTGCTTAGCTTCAGCTGACTGATTTGGACAGATTGAAATGTGACGAAGCGCCTGAAGAGCCTAGCACTGTCACGATAGAGAAGGTGCTGAAAGTCGAGTGCAATATTTCGGCGACAACGAATTATATGCATACTGGTATCAAGGATGTATGCATGTTTTTTGTGCTTGGGTTGGTCTTTGCTTATGCGTATGCAGGCACTGAACTCTCAATTGGATAAGAACTCTCCTTCGCTTGGACGTCAAGCAGTTTACAGTCAGACATCGCGTCTCTCGCGTCTACCCAGTTACCTGACGGTGCACATGGTTCGTTTTGCATGGAGACGCGATATCGGAAAGAAGGCCAAGATCATGGTGAGCACGAATCATTTCTAGTTCTGCCTCACGTCTCACGGTCCCCTAGCGCAAAGTGAAGTTTGCGTCAGAGTTTGATGCGTTGGAAATAGTGACCGATGAACTGAAATCGAAGCTCACGCCGGTGTCCAGCCGCCTAAAGTCTATTGAGAAAGAGCGTGCCGAGCGGCGGAAGGTGCGTAAACGGACGAAAGTGGCGCAGGAGGCGTCGTCGTCATCTAGGCCCGCAGAGGAGAGTGCGGATGTTGAAATGGCGCCTACGAGTGAGGTGGTGCCGGGGGACCTGGAGGAGGAGAGCATATATCGTGCGCGGGAACTGCAGGAGCTGGAGGGATTGGCCGATGCTGACCTGAAGAATGATTTTGGATGCAGCGTGACTGGGTTGTATGATCTTGTTGGTGGGTCTCGTTGTGATTTTGCTTGGGGATAATCTGAATTTTGGAATTTTGGACAGCCATCGTTACGCACAAGGGAGCAGATGCTGATGCGGGGCATTATATCGGTTTCGTGAAGAAGAGCGTATTCCATGCAAAGTCAGGTGATGGACGTGCGTTTGATGAAGACGATGAAGATTGGTACAAATTTGATGATGACAAGGTATCGGTGTTTCCCAAGGAGAAGCTGGGGACGATTGATGGAGGAGGGGAGGACGCATCTGCCTATGTGCTTTTGTACAGGAGTAAGCCGTTAGCATAGTGTTCGATAAATGACGGGCTGTAGGTATAATGCAAGAATACAATGAATCTAAGTACTACGATTCGCATCATCACCATCCAGGTCGTTTGCACCATCTAGGTCGTTTGCAGAGGGAACGGCGGCTGATGCTGCAGCGCCTGCAGCGGCGTAACCTTGTGATTGTGGCACGACGTCCCTTTGAGTAGATGAGATTCAGATCACAGACATGAAAAACAAGACGAACCACTTGATTTGAAAGCGGGTGACGCGTAGTTTTGTGCTTATATCGCGTACAAGTCTATCAAACTGAATTTTCTCCGGAGGAGTGGCTTTCATGTCCTCGTTATCGTACTCTGTGTTCTGATAGTACCCAACGCGTACAAACTCTTGATCACGATAGGATCCTGTGAGGATAAGAGCAGCGACGCCCAGGACGTCCTCTGTTGGTATTTTCGCGGGATCAGGAGCGAGACCCTCGAACTCGAAAGAGTTTACGCCGACTGGGACTGGACCTACGAGGCAGTCGTCTAGTTCTTGGTCTAATTCTTCATTCCCTGGTGAAGATACATAGATGAGCTTCCATTCTAGATCTATATTTGAAAGTTAGCAGGTGAAAGCTACAAATGAAGTATTGCGCTGACCGTCTTTGAGAGGCGCTATGCACTCAAAAGTGACGCGAAAGTGATAAGGATCCAAGAATCTTGCTGGATTGTTAAAGAACTCGACATTCTACGGATTCGTTGACGATTTTCAGTGATTTTTTGGTAGTGAATTAGACGCACGCGGATTGTAACTATCGACATCGTGGAAGAGGACGATGCGGGGTAAGGCACGTGGTTTGCATGCGGTGTCACTCTGCTTTTGTTTCTTCGAAGCCACTCATGTCTTACTGACAGTCAGCCGCGACTACGACACCGACCACGACGACCACGACAGTGAGGGTGGGGCTGAATATGACGTCGGCGACGAGTAGCGCGACGACTGACTCAGAGATACCCACAGACGAACTCGCACAAGCAAATCTCTTGCTCCCAATTCCCGCACCTTCTTTAAACAATTCACAGTCTTCGTTCTCATTCTCCCGTACATCAGATACAGAATGGAAATCGCTCCCACAGGAAGTAGCATCTGCAGACATTTCAATAGCTCGTATGTTCTTTATTTGTGTTGGTCCGCATGCCTCTAATCTTTTACCAGCTGATGGCAGCTTCGTCGAGACTTCATCTGGTTCAGCTGCCAGAGAATTAAAGAGGCGCTACGATCAATTTCTTGGTGTAGGTAAAGATGTCCGTTCTCCATACGCCATCACCGCCTTCGTCAATCAGCACGGAAAGCAGATGTATCGTGTCAGGTGCGGTTACTCCTGTGTCATCGCCACCATGCACAGCTAATTTCGTTACTTACTTATTTAAAGTCGTCGCGATGCAGTCGCTCCCGCCGCTGCTGCAGAGGAAGCAGAGCAAATGACTCACAAGGTGTCCATGTCCGTTGATGCCTCTCGTACTCGTGCCTCCAAAACCCGTTCCCGCATGAGTTTTCTCACCCAGAATAAAGTAAAGTTCACCGCCCAGGAATCTCAGTCTAGTTCTACGACCACGCAGCCGCGCAAGTTAGTACGAAGGACCCGCTCTATTCCAGACATGTTCGGCATGGCTGCTAGCTCGTCTGTTGCAGGCCCATCCACGCAACCCACCTTCACTGGTAGGACTCATTCACACAGTGTCACTGGTGCAGATATGCCACGTCCACAGCCAACTGCGCTTTTCCCTGATTCGCCAAAACAGCCTGTCGCAGACATTTTTGCGGAGGTCATGCAATGGCCAAACGGCTCTGTACCCACCTCTCCATTTTCGAGTTCTGAGTCCGAAAACAACGCTTTACCAGGTCTCATCCCACATCCATTTGGACTCAGTACTACTTTTGAATCGCCCACTAGACCTTCTTCTCATGGTTTTTTACCCATGCCGCGTGCACTACGGGAGATGCAGTCGTTTGAGTCCGGTTTGACTGCGCGCGCAGGAGATACCACACAGCGGGCAGATACCCCTGATTCCATCCTCCCCCTCCGTGTCTCACCCGACCTCGTCCAAGATTATTCCCCCTCCCCACCCCCAGGCATCGTCCCATCCGACCCAGAACTCATCCCACTGCCAGAAACGGGCATGCATTCCCGATACTCAACAGAGGTGTTCGATGTTCTCCAGACTTACCGCGGTCTTCCACAACTGGATAGACTGTTCTCAGATTCTGCAGGGGAGACGACTATCAAAATGTCTCTTCGCGCAGAGGATAGCGCCGCACCCCGTAATGACCCCCGTTTTGTCCTCTGGGGGGAAATACACGTTTCTTCTGATTTGGATGGTGATGATGTCTCAGTGTCGCAGAGCAGCCGTGGTGGAATGTCTTCTCCTTCTAATTCTCGCAGGGGCCGTGGGCCTATAGATGTGCCTGTAGTGCGTGTCGACGGGGAAGGCGTGACCACCAAGGTGCTCATTGCAGCGACGATCGAACGATGGATCGCCCAGCTAACAAGCGATCTTGATTACGACGAACTACTCAACTTCTTTCTAACCTACCGAACATACATATCTGCCGTCGACCTCTGCCACCTCCTCATCTGTCGTTTTCACTGGGCGCTAAGTGGTAAAGATGATATGATACGGAAAATCGTGCGCGTGCGGACGTTCGTAGCTATCCGATACTGGCTCTTAACGTTCTTCGTCATGGATTTTTTACCGAACCAAGAGCTGAGGCTTTTGTTGGCAAGTTGGTTAAATACCCTTGTGAAGGATCCTATTTTGAAGAAACACCAGGATGGTCTGGTGAGTCTTCCCTTTTTTATGGGTTTTTTGAGCTCAAGTATGAAACACAGAACATCGTAAGGAAACTCATTAAAGTCGTCAAAGACTGCAAAGAAGCCCATACCCGCAGACACCGCTCCGGCTCCGTTTCCGCGCGGCAAAGCCTAAACATTCCTACCAGACCCCGGCCCACGCACGTCCTAGGAGAAAAATTTGCAGAAGCCATATCCTCCAAACAGCAAGACGACTCTGACGTAGACCTCGATTTTGCACCCGACGAACCACCCGCACATCCCCAATCTATCTTTCATGGCGACAACAGCCACGCATTTTCGTTCAATTCCGGCAGCGTGTCTTCTCCACCCAGGGCTGCTGCGATTTTGCAACAACCGTTGCAGATGAACATACTCCAGCAGAGTCGGGCTTCTATCTCAGCAGCATCTTCTACCACAAGCGATACCACCCCTACGAACAGCGCCCCCCCTCCTATTGTGTTCCCTCAGAGTGCGATCTCTCGTGCATTCGTGAAGACAATCGGGCGTTTGGGAAGATGGAAAAGAGTGTTGAACTCGAGGCAGACTGTGGATACGGGCCTTGCAGTTCCTGCAAACGTTTCGGCGTTTGATTTGGAGTTGAATGCGACGGGGGATCTATTGATGGTCAGGGGCGGTGTTGAGCAGTATCTGAAGATGATTGAGCCAGCGGGTGTGGGTGGGTGTAAAGGGGAGAAGGTGTTGGATGGGGGTGCGTGTCCCGTGATTGGGAAGCAGAGTCAGAATGCGGTCAAAGGGCTTGAGGCGAAGCTAGACCTGTCCTCGCTGCAGACGCAATTACGGGTTGTTACGGAGGTGGAGGAAGAGGAGGAGCGGGATAGTGTGGCGGTGGGTTCTTTGAGTGATAAGCGCGTGTCGATACAGGAGAAACGTCAGTCTACTCAGGAGACACGCAAGTCTACACAAGAGAAGCGCCTATCCATATCGTCGGTCTCCCGTGCGTCCACGCGCACACATTCAACGGACTCCTTCGGCTCAATCCTATCCTCACGATCACGGATCAACCCCCTTGTCGCCCAAGTGCAGGCCCAACCACCATGGCGTTTCGACGTCGTCTCCATCGACGATCTAGATCTCTCAGATACCTCTTCTGAGGCGCATGCTGAGAATCCACCCGCACCACCAGGTCTGCGCAAGCCCCCGCGTCGATTGCCTCTTAGGCGGGATTTCGAGTTCATACGCCGGTCGGTGGACAGCGTTTCCTCGTTGGGGATTCGTTCTCGGGACTCGATAGCCTCGGGTGGATCTGCTGCGTCGTCTGCATCTGTCGGAGCTGCATTGGGGAATGGTATCCAGCAATGGCAGGTCAACGCCCTCGTGGATTCCTTGAGCGACGAAGAGGATAATGGGGGCGTCGAAGAGGCTCTGAAACGTCTTGAAGGCCAGATCAATCCTCAGAAGCGGAAAGAGAAAGCAAAGAAGGTGGACGGGTGGGTACGTACGATTCAGGAGCGGATGGCTGTGGGTGATTTTGGGGATGAGCAGCCGAGGTTTTTTGCGTTGGATAGTGAGGATGAGGAAGAGGAGGAGGATTATGAGATTGATCAGCACGAGACTGGGGCATTGAGGGTGGATGAGCAGATTCTTGTGGGCACTGGATCGCAGGTGACGATTTCGGGGGCTACGACGACGACGGATGGCTTCTTCAGCTCGGTGGCTTCGGAGTTGACGTCTGGGACGGTGGAAGCCATGTTTGGAGGGTCGGGACCGACGTCACCGCCTGTGAGGATGAGCGATTTGAAACCTGCGCCTGAAGATGCCGTTCCACTTGAGATATTGCAGAGCAGGGTACCGTCAAGACCGTCTACGTCCCACAGCTCGTCTACAGCATCCCCCTTTATAATAACCTCTCCATCCAAATTCTTACCTCCTGGTCGAAAACAGCACCGAAGCTGGATCCTGAACGTGAGCGCCGACACGATCGTACAGCACTTCTCGATGATCGACCGAGAGCTTTTCTTGGGGGTCAAGCCTGAAGAATTGATCATGGACGATTGGATGTCGTGTCAAGAGGTGAATGTATTGGATTGGGCACAGTATCTCAAGGACCGGGCGCGTTGGAAGGCCGAGTCACGGTGGAGTCAGAAGACGACCGCACTGGCTGCTGTTCGAGGACGGTTTAATTTGCTTGCGAATTTTGTGGTTGCCGAGATCGTGATGACGCATCCGAGCGATAGGGCGATGTTGGTGGGCAAGTTCATTCGTGTCGCTTTGGTGAGTTTGCATTTCGATGATGTTTTAGTTCAAATCTGACTTTGCGCGACGTGTTTTCAGAAAGCATACGTCCAGAGTAATTTCAATACGTTGGCAGCCATCATCGCCGGTTTGCAAAACGAGTGGGTCGTGAAGGCTATGCATCGGCATTGGGGACGCGTGAGGTTGTGGGAGAACGGGGTGCTTCAAAAGCTGAAGCAATTCGTGTCGCCGGACAATGATTTCAAGGCTATGCGCGATGCTATCGCTGCTATGGCAGACCCGAAGACTCTGAGTGTGACAACGCGGACGTCTACGGTCTTGAGTAGCAGCAGCACAGACCTACCCTCGGGAAAATCAAAAGGTTCTCACGACGCCAAGACGCCATCAGCCTGCGTCCCATTTATTGGGGTCTATCTTTCTCAACTATACCGCTACAGCAGACTCCCAGATCTGATCGACCCAACCTCACCTCACGACCCCGTTGGCATCGATTCCCAAACCGTCAATTTCGAGTCTCCAGCCCATCCAGAGGTATTCGATTCGCTGACGCCTCTCCCGCCTTCAATGCAGCTGGAGCCATTGATCAACGTGCATAAGCAACGGCTTATTGCTGGCGTGATCAAGGATCTGGTGGGCGGGCAGCATCTTGCGAGCCGGATTCAGTATCAGGTTGATAAGAAGTTATTTGGGAAGTGTCTTAGGATAAGGGGGCTTGATGGGGAGACGATACAGATGGCGTATGGTATGTATGTGGAGTCGGAGACGGGGGTGGTGCGTCCGACGGGGTTCCCTTTGTAGAGTATGTCATGCTGGATGTTATTCCGTTATGCCAGTGGGTGGTGCTCACTTTGTGCTGCTTTTGTTCTTCGACATTCTCTTATTTGATTTCATGCGCAATATGGATATAGAGCCTTTTTCGATCTTTGTTGTATTGACAAGAGTAATGTATGCAATACGTAGTTGAGATTAAGGTCTTGCGAGGACTGATGCCTTTCCCATACACATAAGTACAGTAATAGTCGATCGTTGTATATCATCACTGCTGATTATTCACAGGGAGACTGCACCTAGAGATTTTGACCATGAAGTACTGCATGCTGCTCTACCCGTTCAGGTAGTCATAAAGTAGGGGAAAAATTAAAATATAAGGACAAGAACGTCAGCACATAACGAGAAGTAAGGCAAGTGATGAAACGCTGCTTCATCAATTATGGCCATTCGTGTTGTCAACAGAGACACAGCAGATACAGAGTACTATGCGAGTCCATAGGCTGATGAGACTGTTGACAGCAGGACGCGACGGTGTTGCAGTTGCAGACGCAGGAGTTGCACCAGCAGCTGCAGATGTCATGGACGTTGCGGTAGCAGAGGTCGCTGGGGGACGAGACGATGATGCCTGGCCATGGGATTGACCTTGTTGTTGCTGTTGACCTTGAGTGTGGGCACCTTGCAAAAGTTTTTTTTTCTGGCGCGGTGGGGAGACATACAAGGCCTTTGAGGCGAATTATCATCTAATCACGCAGAACTCGGAGGTAGACATACCTTTCTATCCTGGACGGTGGGCACGTCAACGACACGAGGCGTAGTGTGGTCAAAACGTGGGAAGAGCGAGGAAAGCCGACCAAGGATGGTACCTGATGATGAGGGTGTTATGCGGTTGCCACGGCCATGACGGGGAGGGGGACGACGTGTTGCAGAAGACTGAAAACTTGATTGTCATTAATATGTTGGACCATGATTCCGGAAACTCACGCCAACATGTACATCATTGAAAAAACCTGGCGGCAATCGATGCGAATCGGAGAATTTCTGATTTCGACGTGGTGTGGCATCCGTCTGGCACAAAAATGAATAAAAGCAGGGCATGTTGAAAGAAACGATTCATTACCTCTAAAATTGACATTCCGCCAACCTGAAATAATACAGATCAGTACACATTATTTCTAAACATTCAAAGTTGAGATACCTTTGGGGCGGAAGCCTAAGTAACATGTCATGTCATCAATGTGATCGATAAGAAACAGGAATCAAACTCACAGTCAAAAGTTTACCAAAGCCAGCTTCCTTGACGATAGCAACGGCATCCCATATGTATATGTGACGGTCATCGCAGACAGTAGCTAGCAGTTTGCCATCAGGAGAAAAGATCACAGACCACACCGCGCCTTCATGGAGGAGGGGTGGTCCAATAGGTTGACCGTTTTCAATGTTCCAAAGTCGTGCTGTTTTGTCAGATGATGCGCTCGCAAGGATACGGTTATTGGGAGATAATGAAAGGGCTCTAACAAGATGTCAATGTCCTTCGAGCACAGCGGTTTGTGTCCCAGTGGCGATGTCGAATTTTCTAATGGAGTGGCCATCAAAATTAAGTGACCCAGAGATAAGTGTGTTGACATCCAAAGACCAAGCCAGACATAAAACGTCGCCAAGCGCTGGCATGCTTGCCTTAAGTTTTTTGAGTAGTTCGCCTGTCTTGACATCCCAGAGTTTCACCGAGGCCTCGTTGGCGTTGTTGTGCCCGCCCGTTGCAATCATTGTTGCATCGGGTGAATAGTGGACCGTGCGCACGTTATGCCCAGTTTCGATTGGTTCAAGGATGGTCTCGCCGCTGTCGACATTCCACACTCTTGCTGTTCCATCGTGTGATCCGCTCACCAGTCGACCTCCGTCTGGACTCCAAGAGATAGACGACACCTCCGAACTGTGGCCTGTCCATCTTGCAGTGACTTTACCTGTCTCGATGTCCCATAATCTCACTATGCCATCATCACCCCCGCTTGCTACTTCCTTGCCACCCGGCGACAACGCTATGGCCCGCATTATTCCACTTCCTTTATCCTTCCAATTTCCGCCTTTCTGCTTGCCACTCTCTAAGTCCCATACTCGCAATGAAGCGTCGTCAGAACAGGTGATAGTGTGCCGTTCATCTGGGAGATACAGAATGACCCAGGCTGGTTCCTTTTGTCCTGCGATCTTCCGTTGTGGTTTGACCACTGACATGGACATATCAGGAGCGTGGTGAGCTATGGATAATGCGCGCCGAATTTATCTACACAGTCCAGCTCTGCTCTGATCTGTTGCTATAGCGTTCTTCAAGAGCACGAATCTTTATTTCGCTGGACAGCAATCGAGGCTGGTGCAGCCTGTCTATCCCTCTTTCGCCTCAGTGGTTTTGGCTAAAGCGTATAATACATGCGATCACTCACCAGCAAATTTCAATAGAACTTGATGTGCACACACACTTAGAATGAAAGACCGAATCGAAGCATGTGTTTTGTTGGACGCAGAGGCGAGTTAGGATGCGTGCTTGTATAGGTTGTTCAGTTACATACCAGGTGCGCCACACGCACCGTGACATAGCAGCGCCTAAATCCAAACTGCCATGCGGCGTTTCGTCATCGACGCTTGGGGGCGCCCCATGCATTACTGCTATGAACCACCCGGCTCCATGAAAATGGGCATTCATATCGACATTGGCATATGTACACGGCGCAGTACTCAGTGCATATGATGACTAAGAATTCTACAGCACGGTTTCATAAAATTGCCTGTTGGTTCTCCGAGAGTAACTAGTGGCTCTGCATTCATGCTGCACGCTGTCACTCTCGTTGCTCTCCATCGAAAGGCCATTGATTTCAAAAAAACGCGTTAAAGCTCGAAACGAGGAACAGAACAATAGCATGCTGTTGAAGTTGGAGTTCTAAGTTGTAGTTCTCTGCCGGCTTCGGAAGAATGTGGCCCGTTTCGATAGATGTCGACGTGCTCCACAGACTCGGAGAGTCCAGAAAAGGAGGAAAATAAAATGGTCGTTTGTTGGTGTGCTAGACTGCTAGTTGTGCGTGTCGCTGTGATGTATAAAATAACAAGGGAATGGTTGTGAACCCATGCAACTTGATCTAAGAGTCGAATGTAGAACATTAGTATAGGCCGGGGATACTTGCATTAAGAGTCATGGTGCGCCAGTGGCCGCGTCACAGCCGCGTCACCGCCGCGTCACGACGCCGCCGTGGCAGGCGCAGCAAAATAGCTACGCCCTAACCCTAGGGTCAGGTTCTGCCCTCGTTTCATACAGCTGAAATTTTTGATAACACGCAGTGCATGTTCATTAAACACCCAACATATGTCTACACACGATGACCATAAAACAGGAGAAGATGATCAACATTTATCTGCGTCTCGCGAACTTTTGATTCTTTACGCTACGGAAACAGGTACAGCTCAGAAGGCTGCTGATCGCATTGCGAGGGAATGTCGAAGAGTCCATTTTCACTGTCGTGTGAAGAGCATGGATGCGTATCCACCAGTAGGCGGCTTCCCAGTCGTTATTAGTTTTGACCACTGGCTGGGGAGCTGAACCCAGAGCCATGAGTTCGTTATGGAACATGTTACTCAGGTCTGATCTCCCAAACGACCTATTCGAGGACATGGATTTCTGCGTTTTCGGCCTTGGGGGACACCGCCTATGAGAAATTCTGTTGGCCAGCGAAGAAGCTGTCGAGAAGGATGCAGAGCTTAGGAGGTCATGAAATTTGTTCACGAGGAGAAGGAGACGAACAGCATCGCATGGGGTGGGTATTCTTTGTTTACTGCGTTTCCCGTGGCTGATCGATGTGCAGGGTGGATGGTGCATTGGACCCATGGATCGAATGTCTCCTAGAAGTTCTCATACAGCTCTACCCACTGCCGCACGAGCAAGATAATATTCCTGCTGGTCGACCACCACCTCGCGTATCCTTGAGCAATGTGGCATCTGATACGTCGCTGAATCCAGATCCTCTAGATGAGGACACGAAGTTTCATACAGCTTCAGTGAAATGTAAAAGACGGATCACTGCGGAAGATTGGTTTCAGGACGTACGCCATTTTGAGTTCTCCTTCGAAGACGATATAAAAGTACGAGTCTTTGTCTTTTGAATTCGCGGCTACTGATTGGAAATTTCAGATATAATCCTGGAGATGTTGCTGTGATCCATCCGTCTGCAGCTGCATCAGAAGTCGACTCTTTCCCTTGTCACCATGGGCTGGGCAAATGTTGCCCACGATTTTTTCACAGTGGAACATACAATGTTAGGTACGACAAAACAGGACCCAGTAAACCCCATCTAATATCTTACAGATCAAACGTTGCCCGACCATCTACCGAAAATTGTTTCCCTTCGAATTCTATTCACGCGCTATCTCGATTTCAATGCTGTGCCCCGCCGCTCTTTTTTCCAACTGCTGCGATATTTTGCTACCGATGAACTTGAACGCGAAAACTTGATGAATTTGTATCGATAGAAGGAGCGGTACGTCGGGTTTCGTCATTTTTCTTTCTTTTATTGAGGACGTGCAGGACGAAATGTATGATTATTGTGAACGCGTGAAACGCACAACCTGGGAAGTTTTGTCCGAGTTCCGGTTCACAAGGATACCGAGAGAGTATGTCTTTGACTTGTTCCCTCCGCTGAGACCAAGAGAGTTCTCAATTGCTAGTTCCATCGAGGTGAGCTCGAGTCAAAATGTGTTCACTGCAGTTCAATTCACCTCTGTTTCGTCAGCTCCATCCCCGTGAAATACATCTCTGTGTTGCTATAGTGCGCTATGGCACGAAGTTGAAAATTCATCGGAAAGGCGTCTGTACTAGTTATCTATCAGGGCTTAAATTAGGTCCGCACGGCGTTCTAGCGTAGTTCCTGAACTCATATCATCTCCAGGAGATACCCTTCGTATTGGTCTCAGAAAAGGCCTCATCTCACTTCCTACGGATCCAAACACACCAGTGGTGTGTGTAGGTCCAGGGACAGGTATCGCACCTATGCGTGCCGTCATTGAACAACGCATATACGAGGGACACAATAGTATGTTTGGCTGTCTTTGTATATCAGCTGATCCTTGATGACCCCAGATACTATCTTATACTTCGGTTGCCGTTCTGCACACAAGGATCAGCATTATCACACGGAATGGGAATTTCATGCGGAAGAACGAAAACTCCGCTACCGCGTTGCGTGTTCTCGTGATGGACCAGAGGGTATCAAACGGACGTATGTGCAAGATCTGATGAAAGAGGATGCACAGTATATCTGGACAATGCTGGGGCAGCAACGAGGCATCCTTATCATCTCAGGGTGGGTCAAGATTATATGTAACGTATGATGAACCCTAAACTTTTATGATAGTTCTTCGAACAAAATGCCTACTGCTGTCCGTGAAGCTGTGCGATGTGCGGTGGAGAGGTTCGGAGGAAGGTCGAATGCCGAGGCTGTGGAGTATGTTGCTGCGATAGAGAGGGAGGGAAGGTTGACCGAGGAATGTTGGAGCCGAGAATATTCGAAACCGGTGAGCATAAAATCGTGAATAAGGGATACTCTTTGATAAGCAGATTTCGCAATTTCCGTTGGTCGCATCAAACCTTCAGGCAAAACGGTCCCAACTTCGCTCGGCTTTATAGTCCTACACGGCAAACGCTCTGGCAACGTGCTCGCATCACTGCTGCTTATCGTGCCGTACACATCTTCCTGGAGTTGATACTCAACGAACACATTTTATCGCCACCTCTTTGTACTGCAAATCTCAGACTGCAAACCTCACCCAAAGGACTATCAATTTTTATACGAAGTGGGTTTGGGTTCGGCTTCATGCTAAAGTCTGACCGAATCTGGGAGATGAAGCTTTCTATTCTTCCACTTAGAAATTAGTACCCCAATTAACCCCTGCCGGTGAGTCACGAGTATCAGGTATGGACTTGGTTGCAGTAGTGAACAAACCATTTACTCCCCAGGTGGTATAAAGGCTCAGTTGTATCCTCCTAAGAACTGTGCGGTAGGTGTAGGGGTAGCCCCTTGACAAGAACCTTCGCAGGTTCAAAACTGGTGCCACCTGCCCTTCTAGCGTCCCTCTAGCCTAGTTAACAGACTCTTACCCTGGGAAACCGGTGCCTGCGACAGGTGCCAAGGATGTGGTCACTTCGCCACACTCAACTGGATGCTCTGGCTTCGGCTTCGCTTCGTAGCCAGTCACTAACTCCCAGCTTCGCGGTTGGAAATTGATTGTCCAAGCTCCGCTCAGCTTTGCAGTTCTAGTGTTGGCAGCTACAATTTCACTGTAACCGTCCTAGCAACGTGCTCGCCTCGCCGCCGCTTATTGTGTTTAGTCTGGTACTTCCTCCCACTGGTGTTGTTACCAACCCAGGTTGTAGCTGAATATGTTATAACTGGTGTGTCCTGCTTTGAATTAATCGCAAAATAACGGGTGAAACAACAATTGATTACTTGAATTGCTAGCTAGTCCGAGTCATCAATAACGATCGAGCTCGATGACCATTTCTCATGCCTGATGACACCCCCCAGACATCTCCGCTAGTACTCTCTTTGTCATGGGGGCAGGTGTGACGACATTAGCTTATAGAGTAAAGCCTCACTCACCATGTTTTTCATGCCTTGGAACCCATCCAATTTCGACAGACGATTGAATATGCCGTGGATGCAAAATATCCTCTTCTAACCGAAGAGGGCTGTTGCTCTCGGGTCTCGTCAGCCTGCAGTATTTCGTGTACGATGGCCTGCTAGCAGATCCATTTAACTAACATGAACAGGTCAAGTTATAATTCTTAACGGGTTGGTAACAACACTAATTTCTTCTGCTCATTCCGACTACAGAAGACACTTCATCCTATAATAAATACTTTGATGAATACATTTTTTTCACCGCCGGACTGTAAATCTCACCCAAAGCTTGATCGTCCATTGTTCACACGAATCTAAGCTCATAATTCCAACGTCGACTTACCGGCAACTTCCATGGCTCCTGGTGAGAACGCGTTCAGTCTAGATTATCTTATGATAGTAACCTCCACATCGCCGCGCTGTATTATGGAACGCACGTCTGACACTGCCGGCAGGAACGGCGAACTGATGGTACACCTCACACTAGGGCATTCGTGGTCACGGAGGTACGGACGGGACAGGGGTCCCCGAGGCTATCCCTACGTAGAGTACTACTTTTATTGGACAAAAACTTCCATAACACGGTGACGATTTGTATTTTTATGCAAAGCCGCTTTTCGCTCTCTTTTACCATATTCTTCCAGCATTCGTCCGTTCTTTGATCGAGTTCCATTACCCTGTGCAAGCATGCGTTAATTACTAGAGTTCCCGTAATCTACATAAATACTAATGTCCGCGATTTCAAAACACAAGCTTTGCCTTTTGGCGTAATAGTTAAGCGGCCGACAGTCACAGCCTGTCATTTTCTCCACCATGACGCTACAATGAATATAACAAGCAAGGTTTCACCCGATGCACGATTAGGCGGTGTGTTATTACGATGATTGAGTGGAGCTTCGTGTCTAAAGATCAAACTTAGGTTTAAGATCACTGTCACCGATGGGTCAAGAACACAGGTTGCTTGTATGTCATGTCATTCCGGTAGTTTGCGGAATGAGGAGATCGACCCAGACTGGGCCACATACGGGGATATAGTCATCTGAATGAGATATAGTTTATCAGCGGTGACAAAATATATTGCACCACACGAGTTTACCACATTGATTCTGATAGGAATGAATGTCTTCCGATGGATGGAACGGAAGATCCAAATCTTGAAGCTTGAAGAAAGTGATCCGATCTGTGAATGCCTGTAATAGCGACGATGGAACCAGAACGTTGCGACTACAAAAGAGCACGGGGATCACGGACACTTGCTTAACGGAAATTAATCCTAGTGGCCGATTATTCAATGACACATCCTATAGCACTCCTAGACCGGCTTTGAGCTGATCTGCGAGATCGTCTGCTTCCTGGGTGTTGCTATCTGATTCCTTCCAAACCTTCTCTTCCGTAACACAGCGCTTGCAGCGGCAAGGTCCGAATCCCCATTCTGATAATCTCCGGCGTCGATCCCTGAGACTGCTCTGGGGGTTGGTGTATGTAATAAGGAGCTCCTGTCCTATTTCGAAATCCTCCTTTGCGATCACTGTGATGCGCGAGAGCGCGGTGCGCTGATCCAAGTGTCTTATCGAAACATTGGGAGTGCAACTGTGGTTAAGGTGAGAGTGCAGCCTGTACAGTCCACCATGGGCCTCCAGATCTACGAACCGATGTAAAACAGCGAACAAAATGCGATCGTTATGGAACCGCTTACTGAGACTCATGCGGCCCAAGCCACGTAAGAAGGCCTGATATTCGAAAGTAAATTTCTGTAGCTCTTCGGAAATTGGCTTTTTCAAGACGCGTGCGAGTTTTTTCTGTTCTGCAGGTGTCCGAGGTTCTTTGAATGCTTGCAAATACAATTCAAAGGCTCTCCGCCAATTTTCACGATCGGGCTCTAATCCCTGCTCGCTATTAGAGAGTCAGTAGTCATCCGCCATCGAAGTGTTGGAGTCCAACGGCTCACCGAAGACACTGAGCACGTTCTTCCATCCCAAGCTCAGCGAGGCCCTGGACTACTTCCCAGTCCAAGTCGAACGTTGCAGCATCCTGCTGAGAAGCCAGTAAAAGTCGGCTGGTGCACTGCACGAGAGCATGCAGGGCCATCCACTGCGCATCTCTTGCGAAGGTAAGGAGTGGTACAGATGCGGGATTGCGTGCGGAACATAGGAGAGGGTGTACCTTTTCTGCTTGCAGACGACAGAGTCTATTGCAGTATCTGGCCGTGCAGGGAGTTGCGGTTGTGGAGGCCTCGCAGGATATATGCAACGGGGAAGGATCGCGGATGATGGACGAGCAGAAGGAGCACGCCTCAGATAAGTGCTGAAGATCATAGATCTCCCTTTCCAGACGTGAGCTCTTCCATTCGAGCAACGGAACGTGTAGGAGAGCTCACCATTCTGGGGCCAGGATGAAGGGGTCCTCTTTCCATAGAACATCCCCTTTTGCTATATTTTCTTTAGCAACGAGGCCCTTGCCCTTGATCGCGTCGAAGTACTTGACTTCTACCCTATTGGTCCACTTGTTGACATCAAGGCTTTTATTGAGGCGAAAAGATGGATGGATGATGTTGGTTGTACTGTTGGGCGTCCCAGGGTCCGAATTGATGAGCCCTTCACTCTGCAAGATCTTTCGGACGCGTTTTTCGCTGACCGTCCATGATGAATTTGTGTGAAGTAAGAGGCTGTGGATTTTGGCGACGCCAGAGGCAGGGTTGCCTTTTTTCAGTTCGATAATAGCTTTCCTGACTTCGTCTTCGGTGGGGATGACGTTCCTGCTGGTGGATGACATGATCGTTGGGTTCGACGAGACGGTTTCAAATCATGATCTGTTCTTTTGAGAGACGAGAAACTCCTTGTCGAAGCTCTACCTGCTCCGGACCGAGTCTGACTAGCTTGTACGTAAAACTTTGAAACCAACTTGGTACTCAGGCTGGTACTACATCATCTCCTATGGATAGTAACAGTGCAATGCATGCCATTAAGCCGGGAAATTCTAGCCAATTTTCATAGCAATTGAGAGTTAGCTAGCCCTCTGGCCACCGACTCGCCGAGAGTGTGAACACGAGGTAAATATTGAAAGCTAGTAATTTGAATCCCCGGTCGCCGCCCCTTGGACTAGACGGTGACCAAACTTCCATGGACGCGGGACGCTGCCCAAGACGACAACGACAAGCAACAGAGGAGAGTACGTAGATGAGTCGTGCTGAAAGAGTGTAACGCATAATATCTTAAAAAACCAATACTCACCGTGAATGCATTTCATCCGACACTAAATCATTTCACTGTACTGTCCGTAGACTCTAAGAACGGGACCAAACTGTCCCCAGTCCACTTCACACCAACTATGCTTCAAATATCACATAGCAACTACAGTTCAAAACGCCGCAGGACCCCTGGTTATGTTTCTAGCACCGCACGCATCGATGTAATATCATCTCAACTCAACTCGGAGCGGCAACTGCCACTTGGCATCCTCAGAACCTTTAACGTTCGGAGATGATACATGCAAGGTCCAAGCGATCTCTTTCGTCGGAGTGAACTTAAATGTCTGGATGAGCATGCAAAGGACGATTTCTGACCAACTTGTTAGCCGGAATCTGATCAAGAACGAAACCTACGAACTCATCTCGAGTTCTGAAAACTTGAATCCGCTATGTATGTCCTCATCAGAGACCGACAATCGTGGCACAACGTTTAAGTCTCACATGCACGCTCTTCCACCACCAATGAATGTCATTCTGGAGGAGAAACGGATCATTGGGTATGAGCGTTCTAGGATTGATATTCCCAAATACCACTCACAAGTGGGAGTAAACCCCTGGAATCTCGGCATCGATAACACTTTGTGGAAGCGGAGACAGCCATCTTTCCGGTTTCCACTGGAGCGCGTCGTCTCCCCAGATTTCAGGATCTCGGTTAGAGTTCAGGATTGACACAACAACATTCGTGTTCTTGGGCACAAGGACCTCGCGCATATATGTCCCATCATTCCCTTTGACGGGACGCGAGAAGGGGATGACTATATTGTCACCTGCACTAGAAAAAGCAAGGTTCGTTCGAACATATCCGGCGAAATTTGGGTGGGACATACGTGCGTGTGACGGTGGTGACTGGAGGATACCTACTCCCATATGAGCATATACAAGTCAATAGAAAATGGACCCTTACAAGCGCAGTGTCTCTCGGCATACTGCGTCGAGGTATGGCAAATTGGCCAGGGCATCATAGTCAAGCTCGCCAAGTTCAGCCATTGCTTGTCGGATTTCCTCGCCCAGTCTGTCTTGTGCATCTTGGTGATGAGCAAGAGTCAAAAGAGTGCGACACAGGGCACCGGAAGTCGTATGCGTTGCGGCAAAAACAAGTGTGCTAAAGTAATATTAGACAGATACATGATGAATGCAGTCACGCCCACCTCATTTGAGCCACAAGCTCTGAATCTGGAAGACGGTCTTCTGCTGAAGCATCCATGTTGGCTCGGACTATTGCAATGGATGGCTCAGTGGTTAGGGAAGCAATTACCTTCATGAACGCACGTAGTATGCTCATGATGTCTTTTCCTTCTTGGAACTGGTGCAATACCGCGCCGTCTCCCTTAGAAAGCGCACGTTTCTTTTCTTCAAAGACCTTCGTCGTTATCTCATCCATAACGTCGACAATACTACAGATCTCCCTCAGTGCCTTCCACGGAAAATTCTTCACGACGAATCTCCTGAAGTTAGGAGAACCAACATTGATAAGAAATGGGAGAAATTTCCTCGCAACAGACAATTTGAATAATGTTGGCCTGGAATTCTCGTTAACTCTCACCTATAGAGCTAAAAGGAATCATTGGAATGCGTACAGGAGGTTCTTGACGGCAGCACTGTAAGGATTGGCATAGCCTTCCTTCATACAATCAAAAGAATGCCCCAGTCCGCACTGCCCCACAAGTTCAAGAGCGGTGCGATCGAGCCATTCTAACATATTGATTTCACAGGGCCCATGCTCTACCTGCGCTGCAATGCCGTCTCGGAGCTATTATATGTGCGCAATCAAGAACGCCACTGACGCCAAGACAGGTGGTAAGGCACTTACGCATTTCGTCACCTCGAGAAAAGCAGGCACCATGTCTCGCACGTGGCTGATGGAAAACACAGGGTTGAGCATCTTCCGTTGCTTTCGGTGGTGTTCACCTGTATTGGGAATAAGATACAGGGACAACACGACAAGAGTCCCACCGCACCCAACGTCGACAGCAGGCCATCTCCAAAAAGGACCTTGCTTGTCCTGCAGGGCTTTCGAATGAAGTGAAACGTCAAGTACAGTGGAAATCCCTACGCCAAAAAGGTGCGAGTCACTTCAAAACTGTTCTGATCTTTGACCATGATATGGTACATGGCCTTTGGATCAAATACATACAGCTCCCTTGTCTGTGAACAACGTTCTCAAAAAATGCGATGCGTTTATACGATTGACGTCACGTACCCCAAAAAGCCCATAGAACTTCGATACTGGACCGTAGCGTTCCGCAAGCATCTTGTGGAAATCCCATGCATACCGCGCAAATATCTGTTCCAAGTTGCCTGAACGATTTTGTCAGTGCATTAACTCCCTAAGATTGTGCACTCGGTACCCTTACCCGTCCACCAACGCTGACAGGGGGGGCCAGGAATGTTATCTAGCGGGTTTCTCACAAAGTAGCTACCCCAAACGGCGTAGAGAATTAGCCCTGCGACGCACAACAACTGCCAGACATAGTAGTGCATGATACTGAGTAAATACCTTTTAGTCAAGATCAAAGGGTTATGTATGCCAGAACGTTAAAATTTATCTCATTGATGTCACCCAGACCCTTCTTCCGTGGACCATGTCACGAACAAGAAGCGAATTACTATCAAGCGCATCCGGTGATCGGGATCTATTCGTATCCCCAAGTTACTCTTGCACCAAGATGGTTAGCATGATAGAAATATTGACACCAGAGTTGAGGAACAAGCTAATGGGCAGTTTTCCCGCACGAAGGCGCAAAAACTGTTGAGGTTCGCCGTTAATGCAACAGGAGATAAAGCGCCAAGACGCGGCAACTTCCCCAGATGTGGGGGTAAACAGCGGAATATTTAGATAGAACGCGCGGTTCCACGCATATCAAGTGTCCGTTGATAACACAGGGCTCGGAATATCTAGAAAAGGCACTAGAAGTAAGATTTATGTGATGCTATCATACAGCTGAAAAGATAATACGAACTACATAACCTCAATCAACTCTCGCACGTTTCCCGGGCCTGCCTTCTGAGTCATCACCACTACCTTCCTCTGGTCGATTTCCAAGCTCTGTTCGTACTTCACTCTCACCAAACGGACCTCTGTTAGACGGCCCATCCTGTCCTCGCTCAACTGAACGTGAACGAGATTTATATGGAATCGTTGGGGCCTGGCCCGACACACCCCTCAGCACATCGAGTTCATTCTCTGCTCTTTGTCGTGCAATGCGTTCCTCCTCCCATAGCCTTCTTATGTCCTCCAACTGTGCTTGCAAGTCACCCATTGCTTGATCCATGAGCAACTTCTCTAGTGTCCATTTCTCAATGTTGCGTGCCTCGTTTTCTTTCAGATGATGGATATACTGCACAGCACGCTGAAGAATTGCGCCTTTTGCCTTTTCACCAGAACTGTTTGGTACTATGCGACCGAGTTCGTTGATGCCCTCGTTGATATTTCCTCGGCGTCGACGCTCGACTTCTTTCTGAGGAATTACATGAGTACCAATGACAAGAGCACAGGAGGACTCGTCGAAAACACCTACATGGTTGTCCTTACGCTGGCGGGTCCACTCATCGGTGCCCATTGCAGCGCTCCTGGCGGCCCGGGATCTTCCCGTTGTTCCGGATGGCGGTTGTGGAGCTGTTGAAGGAGGCTGTTCTCCAATGTCTGTGTCACTGAGAGCGTCCCCGCCATCTTGCGTGTGTGGGGCGGCTGGAGGGGTGTGACCTGCAGCGGCTGCGGCTGCAGACAAGTGCCCAAGGTTAGGAGGGCCGCGGGGGTGTGAAGAAGGGCCAGGATCGCCAGGGAATGGTATGGGGTGCTGAAGTTGGTGTTGATTTTGAAGAGGGAACAATCCGGCTTGAGCGAGAGCCTGCAAAGATTGAGCAGCCTCTCCTGTCATATCGCCCTGAGTAGGAGACTGTTAATGTGACAAAAAAAATGGTGTCAGCGGCACATTCAATGACAATTGACAAATGCGACAGAAGCAGAGTAAACTTGGACACCCGTAACTCATCAACCATAAAAAGGTAATCCGATATAATATTCAAGGATACTTGGTCACGAACCTTGTGGAAGAGACTAGGTAGGTTCTTGAGGAGATTAGAAACTTGAGCAGCATCCATACCCTCTATCTGCAATGGAATGCGGTCGCCATTTGGAACAGAATTTGCAACTGGTGCTGGTGAGCTCTGACCGACGCTGGTGGTGGATGCGCCGGCGGGAATGGAAGAGTGCTGTGCAGAGGCCATGGTGAGGGCTGGAGTCGCCAACGAGCCAAACAACTGCTCATGTTATTTTATTTATTTTGTGGATTGTTTTGAGAGTTTCTTGACTCACAGTTATAACAGGGATGTAGGCACGGGATGACTTTGAGGGAGCAAGGTGTCGTGCTGGTCACGGGGTAAGGAGGTCAAAGTCACGGGAAAGTCACATGTCGCCTCTTATATCGCGAAACTGATTCTCACAAATATAAACAAATATATCACGCCACATTAACGGCAACAAAACTCACGCAAATTGTAAAACGTTAGTTAATAAGCTAGGGACACGGGCAAACCTCCCCACTCTGTGGCATAGTCAAGACAACTTTCGTGACGGTCCTGCAGGACTGACATAGCACATTTACTACTTCCGCAAGTGTCTTGCAGAGATAGTTAATTATGATGATTAAAACATGGTTTATCAATTTATCCAACTTACTTCTTCAGGTTCTGACATGCGCCAAGGCTTGTGAACTCTCCAGGCTAGTTATCCATATGCCGTACGGCGTCTATTGATCCATTTGGTCGTCTCCCTCGGCGGAGTAACAATTCATCGTCTTTTCTCTCGTCTTCATCCTTCATCTGGTAACTTCTTGTTTCTGGTACCATCTAATCAGTCACAATGCGCATATCTCTGGAAGACCCTCTTACACTTGCAATCGCACCTCCTAAAGATGAAACACCTAAAGAGAAAGAGACACGGGAACAGGCTGAGATCGAAGCTCGTCGAATAAGCGAGGATATCGACGAGCAAATCCGTCAAGAACGGACCGTACTCAAAAAGAAGAAGAAACCCGTCAAAGTACTTCTCCTTGGACAGAGCGAGAGCGGTGCGTTCGTCAGAGCATGATTTCGGCAGTAAACTTATTCTCATATAGGAAAATCTGCTACACTCAAAAGTACGTTTCGAGGGCACTCGTGGATTACTAAGGGGTTAAGATGATCACATTTCACAGACTTCCAATTACAACATGCACGACGCGAGTGGGCTGAGGAGCGAGCTTCATGGCGGATAGTCATTTATTTAAACCTCGTTCGCAACATTGTCAGGGTCCTGGATATCCTCAGTCGGGAAATTTCACTAGCCGAAAGCGAAAAGCGCCCAGGGTCTACAGGAATAGAGTATGTCAGCGATTCCGACGACGAGACAACCAACCATGAAATTGTTTATCCTTTCTCGGACAAGCATCGTTTCATGCAACGGCGTCTCGGCCCATTACGCAGCATTCAGAGTGACCTCGAGAACAAGCTCGGTCCTGAATCGCAAGAGGTTCGCTCCACGGCTTCCATATCCGCAACGCCATTTGATTCTCCGAGCTTTCAACTACTACCCAAACGCCCCTCGCGAGATTTTGGTATCAATTCAACAAATGGATGGAAGTCCGCCTTGGAAAAGCTGCGCCCGTCGATGATGGCCAGTGCCCGACCTCAAAGACGGAGTGATAGCGATCACGACGAGATTACTGATGTGCTCGTTGCGTGCAAGGAAACCATGCTAGAGTTGTGGCAGGATCCCATCGTCCAGCAAGTTTTGTCTCATCGCAAGACAAAGATAGAAGATTCTCCGGGCTTGTGAGCGTTCCCTATCCTGTATTTTAATAGCCTTACTTATTGGGTCGAAGCTTTTTGGATGACATGGACCGTATCGTATCATATGACTATGAACCTAGCGACAACGACATTGTTCGTGCGCGTCTACGAACGGTTGGCGTTCAAGAACACAGAGTCGTGATGGACGACAGTAAGTTATTCAATTCTTCCGAACGCTTACATTAAGTAGCATTCCGCAGGCAACGGGAAAGAGTGGCTATTGTATGATGTTGGCGGAACGAGGTCTTTGGTAATTTTGATCACTGATCTAGTCATATTTTGGAACTTACAATTCTCCTATGAAGCGTGTAGCATGGGCGTCGTATTTTGACGATGTCGATGCCATCATTTTTCTTTGCCCAATCTCTTGCTTCGACGAGCAGCTCCGTGAAGATCGTCGCATAAACCGCCTGGAAGATAGCTATCTCCTGTGGAAATCAGTCTGTTCGTCTCGTATTCTAGCCAAGACCGAGATCATTCTCTTTCTTAACAAGTGCGATCTCCTGCACAATAAGATCAAGCGAGGGTTGTCCATAAAAGATCACATCCCGAGTTACGGCAGTCGCAAAAACGATACCGTTACAGTAATGAAATGTAAGCCCAAATTTGTGTACTGTTTGCGAACAGGTCATCGCTATACGTCGATGCTCACGCAATCCTTCTCTTCTTTTCAGACTTCCAACAACATTTTAGGGAAATTTCTAAACAGCATTCCCCGGAGCAACGGCCGTTTTTCATCCATTTCACATCGGTAATCGTGAGTATCTCCCATTGTTTGACGTGCCTGGGTTCCTTGAGAACGTTCCATCGTTGAGCAATTGCGTACCCATGGCCACGCTGGTGCGGGGGATGCCTAACTGATTTTTATTTTTAGGACACCAAGGCGACCGCAGCTACGCTGAGCGTAGGTGAGTGTCCACAACAGCTTAGGATGTCTCTTTCTCACATGAGTACTCGTAGTCGAGGAAAGTATCCTTCGTACTCATTTACGGAATGCGGATCTTCTGTAATATCGCTGTGTTATCTTATCACAACCTAGTATACCTCATCACCACTTCACTGCTTTCTAACGTGTTGTACCACCACCGTACTAATGTATTTCTCTCCATACTCATTAACATTGTCGATGCTATAAATGGCAACGACCCTACCTACATTTAGGTGATATATACTATGCATAGGGCAGTAATACTGGTTAACACGCTTTACTGCACCTAAATTGCTATAATCCATTTGTGGTGAGGGGAATACATAGGGGGATCTCTGGAATTCCGCAGCCCACAAATACAGCCATCCCTGAGTATACTCTTACCAGGTGCATGAACTTGCAAGGAAAAAGACGTTCGGAAGTTGTTCCAAACGCGTGTAATGCTGCTGTAATTCCACTACCTGAAACATACTAGCAAGGTTCACCGCTAGATTTGGTGATCAACGACTCTCAATTGAGTAAATCCTTGGTAGATCACCTAGCAAAAAACACTCTAACGAGGTACATAATACCATGAAACGACTGAGACAAATGTCTTTACGAACCCGCTCGACTCTGTCCTTCATCTCTACCGTTTCCGTTCCGCAAGACGGGTGTGGCGAGTCCCCTCTCAGAACGCATTTGCTCATCTGGAGATTGTGAAAACTGCCTGCCAGGCGTCATCGTACCCACTACTCCAAGCTCCACCTCTGGGCTCTCAGCCTCGTCTTCACTGTCATGCGGCGTACCCAGTGCGCTTACATTCGCACCTGCGGGTTGACCGGATATAGAGATATTCCTCCGCGCACGTCTGGCGTGGAACGTGCGGCTAGCAGTGGCATTTGAAAACAAAGGAAGAAGATATCTCTCATCTAACGCCTGGAACCATTTGCCATCCTCGTTGGCCTGCCTGCCATCATCATGTCTTTCCGCAGACGGACCGGCATCCGCTGAGGTCGTGGCCATAGGGAGTACTTCCGCTTCTGACTCAAAGGACTCCGATGATGCTGCAGAAAACATAGTATTACCGATCGGCGATGGTGGTGCTCCCGGGTGGTGATTATAAGTCCGTGATGCATAGTGTGACCCTACTCTGCCTGCAGCCCGCCCATATCCATGTTGCGATGGCGAAAAATATGGTAAGGGCTCAGAATCGTCGGTGTACCTGTTCCATGAACCACTATGGCGGCGATTCTGCCATGCATTGCGTCCTGGAGGTGCCTCTTCATCGCTGCTGCTAGCAGCTTCATCTTCAACGCCTGTGCGAATACCAAGGATCTCTAGCATGCGTGCAGTTGTACCCCCGAAGACGAAAACAGTAAGCACCACTACAACAAGGACAGTTGTCCGCAGTGTCTCCGCATTCTCGCCCTTGAACCCAGCCGCGAGTGCCACACCCACTGCACCTCGCAAGCCAGCCCAGAACAACATCATCTGGTAAGAGTGTGGAATCTCCTCTGTTCGCTGTCCCCGAGCATGACGAGTGAAGAAGTTGATCGCTTCAGATAGTGGGAAGACGGCTGCGTATCGGGTGAACACAACTGCAACCGTCGTGACCACAATGAAGAGGGGCTTGACATAGTTGGTAACGCGCTCAGATGATGGAGGACTTGTGAAAAGTGAGAGACCGAGGTAGATAAAAATGAAGTTCTCGGAGAGTTGGGCAAGAGTCGAGAAGATGTATTTTGTTGTTCGCTGCGTTCGCCGGGACATGGTATGATATGCATAGTGTTTCAAGGTGATTCCGCAGAACAGGAGGGATACGATGCCAGACATTGACAGGCCATTAGACAAGAAATAGCAGGTATATGCGCAGAGGGCAACGAGACAAGATTCGATGGAAGGATACAGACTCATTGATGAGTGTTTCAGGGTTAGGGACATTGCCAGGCCGAAACTAACACCAAGGGCCATGGATACGCTGAATGAAAGCAAGAAAATTCCGATGCCATGGAATATGGACGAGATGTATATCTCTGTGCCGTGGAATTGCGCTAGAGTTCTGAAAATAACAAGATAAGCGACGAATTCTAAGGGGAGAAAGGCAATTCGAACTTACTCATACATGACAATACTGACCGCATCATTTAGCAGACTCTCGCCAAAGATGATGGTGTAGAGCTTTGGGTCCACCTTATACTGATTGAATATGGCAAGAACGGTCACTGGATCAGTTGCAGAAAGTGTAGAGCCGTAGATCAAGCACTCCAGCAGTGTAACATCTAAAGATTCTAGTCCCAGGAATGAGTAGAGATACACCAGCACACTGTCCTAGAACAGTTAAGCAAAGTATCGATAATGCAAGTAGCGTTTTCGCATTTGACGCACCCGACACCGACAGCTGATATTAATGTGCCCAAAAATGCAAAAGTAAGGATAGAGGCGAAATTTCGGAAAAAATTCTCCTGCAGCAAGGTTGTATATGTCTGAATCTATTTGGATATCTGCGCATTACTCACTTGCTTGAGCTCGTATCCGGAGTTAAGAATGATGGGGGGAAGTAGCAAGTTGAAGAACAGAGTATGTTTGAAAGTCTATGAATCAAACTTCAGCCACGGCACTCGCAGTTTTCAAGTATTAGAGACATGCAAGACACCAGTCTGCCCGTGAAAGCAGTGCAGAGATGGGACGACGAATGGATACTCACCAGCATTTCTCGAATCATCGTTCCCGGTGCAAGTCTAACCACCAACCCTACGAACATCCCTGCAAAGATAGAGACCGTAGTCTCATGGATGGCCCGGATTTTCCTGATTTGCAGGTAATAAGATGTCCATAACGAGACGATGAGTAGCAAGCAAACAAGAAACAGAGACCATGACGAATAATACTCTTCGTCTGCTGGAATGGGGGCTTCAGGGGATGCTGCGGATGGCGCCTGTACTGTTATTGGGCTCAACTTGAAGGCCATGAAGTGTACGCAGCCGAAAGTACCACGGCTGTAGCCAAGTCGGGGTTACGGGTACTCCCACGCATTACAACCGTAACATTACGTAATAATTTCCTCCCATTTTTGATTTAGAACGAAGCAGAAACCTGGGTGTATTAATGGATGAGATATACAATAGGACACTCTATGCATGTTGTCTGGCTGCTTATTTCATCTCCTCCGGGTCTTTTCTGCCTGAGTTCGAGCAGCGATAATCTCACTTCTCTTGCTCATGTACCACGATTTTGCATACTGCATGGATTCCATCATGGTGGGTGGTTTGACCTTTGGTTCTACACGGGGAGTTATCTTGAGCCACCTGCGCACTGTTGCACGTTGAAGCATGAAGGACTGCAGGCATGACACCGCCACACCAGTCAGGATGGACAACCACAAACCCTGAATACATAATTATTAGAATTGAATGTGCAGAAATTAACAGGGAATCCTTACGCAAGGCAGTGAGCCCATGAGAGGGACACTCATGAACGAAAAGATGCGCATGAAATTCATGAGATGGGCCATGTCGGGACGCTCAGCAAAATTAACGTCATTTTTCATCACCTGCGACCACCATTTAGTGTCAATTTCCCAGTGCATGACTTCTAAACACACGCACCGACATTTGGATGTTGATGGCAACAGTGGACAAGATGGGTAGGATATAGTATGGGTCTGACATAGTCAAGTCAGGCAGAAAAAAGACGCCGCTCTGCTTGAGCTGTTCTACAGGAAGCATGGTCATCTTCCTGACAGCAAAGAACAAACCCAATGTGACTGGGATTTGAACAAAGGGCATGATGATGGAAGGAAGGACCCGGGCTCCCGCTTGTTCGTAAATTTTCTGTCTCTTTAGGGATATACGCTGCAACGCAATGCGGTCGCTGGTGTTGATTGACTTCCATTCCGCCGTCACGGCCTGCAGTTTATCGGTATAGGGAAGTAAACGCGACGAGTTGCGAAGGCTCATGATGTTGGCAGGTAAAATGAGCACACGCCACAAAAGTGTGCCAGCAATGATCGTGTAAAACCACGGCATTCCAGTGCCAACCTGCAGAAGTTCGAATGACCACCTTATGATACCAGCCGGTGACCATCCAGCGAGGCCTAGTTCTGCTAAATCTCCATATTGAAGGGGTCGAATGACGGTGTCAAGCGCAGGAATATCGATACCCGCACCGCCGTCAACAACGGCTGTTAAACTATCCTGCGTGGTAGTCACTGGTATCGGAGCAGAGTCTAGCTCCAGTGTCGCTGCATTGGTTGTTGTTGCTGGTTCCAAGTCCACAACGGTACCGATGTTGCTACTGGAAGCTGGTCCTGACTCCACTACCGACGCCGCCTGCTGCTCAGGTATCGCCGATTTTGATTTTGACCACCAGAAGTTACGAGTATGCGGTATGTGCCGAGAAGAGATCACCCTCGGCGTAATTTTTGAATGCTGCAGGAAAACTTAGTAAACGAGCGTATGTGATACTCTTCAACACACACACCGGCAAGGTTAAAAACCGCGTTTGGTTTTGAGACACTTGCGGCCATATTCTGTAGTGTCATTAGCAGTGCTATGTCGGTAGACTCATTCACCAGAAACGTACCTTGCACCAGTAACTCTTGGACTCAGGCGAATGCCCACGCGTACCGTTGAAGGCAGAAGCATCAAATTTAATGTTAAGCCTACACTCTGCTCAGGCTGACCACCACCTTCGCAACTTGAACTGTAAGTAAAGGCTAGAGAAATAATTTAATGTGCCGAACCGAGCCGAGCCAGTTTCTCACAGTACTATCGATGTCGATATTTTGGACCCGTGATATGATATTGATGCCTCACCTTCATCATGCACACATACCGGTGAGCCCTACGAAAATAACTTGCGATCATTAATATGGTTGAATATTATTATAGAGGTCATAAAGCAGACTCGTACAAGCCCATTGATGTCCTTGAGCTCAATGAACTTCGGGCACGCAATCGCACATTCAACGGTGCTTACCGCCGTACCGCCATTGCTACCCTTGGGTATGCACTAACGGCCCTCCGACTGTTTGATTCGCGTTTTCTTCGAAGTAAGTCTGCTATCTTATCGTCTTTGACTTCCTCCATGATGACCGCCACCTGGTTCTCCCTCCATCACCCATAACATCGAACAGTTGGTGTTGTCTATCTCGTTCTCTCCATTCTCCTTTTCGCTCTCGGGTATATTCGTGCTCGACACTCACAGCATGACTTTTCCGACGGATCAAAAACTAGCGCTCTTTATGAACAAGCGCTCCCTACTGTCGGGCAGGAAGACAAACGAGAATATGGTCGTCCATTCATAACAGCCGGACGTGATGTTATTACTGTTGGTGCACTCGTGATGATAGTGGAAATCCTGTTGCTTGCGTTTGTACTTCAAATGTGATTCTTTTTTGTGCTGCAACAACTTCATGTTGGGTATGGTGCGATGATTTACCTTGCTAGCTCCGAGGAGCTCCATCTGAACTAATTTGTATATAGATATCTATTCATACCCGCACTTAGTATCTATCCTTTGCTGTTTCAGCTGAGGAACGCAGAGCACTTGATACGCTACTTAGTGTCGATGTATTGTAACCATTGTATGAAACTCAAACGCATTTCCAAGGATTCGATCATCCATCAACCGCTGATACGTTTGCGAACTGCACTTGTTTATTTGGATACTGTAAGTATAGAACAATTCTAGGGCTTCGCGGCACAGCCGACAAGCTTATTGTATCATTAATGAGATGAGTACGTTGGTATATTGAGCCGACTTGATACCGGGCAAACGACTGAAATGATTCCAAGCACACCATGTCCACAAGGATCAAAAAGTGAAAGGGAAGAAGACAAATAACTTCAAAGATGATGCCTGGAGAGTATGTCTAAAGAGGAATTGCAACAGGTATAATAGACAAGTCCGTTCCAGTCACCATAAACAAACCATCAAAATTCCACAACTATCAGCTATGAGTCTTCCAGACCTGTATAGTGTAGGCCTCAGAAAGCTGCGACCGCGAGACCTGCAGCACCCAAGATAGCACTGACGAGCAACGTTACATCTGCATTTATTGACCGGGGACTGCCACTGATCAGGCCACTGGACAGACCGCCGGCGGCCTGCACAGCGCCACTCAAGAAGCCACTCGAGCAAGTTGTCGTGACGGCATTGTAAAGAGTAGACTGACCACCGAGCAGTAAGCTGTTGTTCAGGCCTGGGGCGTAAGGGAGGCTGGACTCGAACGTGATGTATGACGTGAGAATGTTGCGTGTGCAAGTGGTGCAGAGTTGAGTCGAATTCATTTTGGGATCAAGGAAGAGGAACACGAGATTGGTATCCTGGAATGTCGTGGTGTTGGGAATAAGTGCAGTGGTGGAGTTGCTGACGTCCCGACGTGCGGAAGCCCCGCTATTAGACGTTGTATACAGGTATTGCTGCAACGCCTGTTGTTTATTGGGGGTCACCAAAGCCACATTTCCAGCAGCAGAACTGCTGGACGTGGTGTTTAGCTGTGTGACACAGTATTGCCCGTTGTCAGACTTTGAGCATACGGCTTCTCTGAGTGGCGTCAGGACATAGAGAACATCATAAGTCCTGAGGACATCGGTATTGACATTCGTCGTGAGTTCTGCTGAGCATGCCGAGTAGTAGGACAACAACTGAGAACGAACAGTGCTGTCAGGGCATGCAGCAAATGCAGATGCCGAGCAGAGGTTGCTCAATACAGTGTTGATAAGGCTCGTTGTGATGTCGCTCGAGTTGACCCCGGGTGCAAACGCAGATGTCGCAGATGTAATCGGCGTTGTACAGGAGGAGAAGCTGCTGTTGCTGTTCAGACTAGTCAAATAGTCTGAACAACCTTGACTGATTCCTGAAGGAATGTAAGGATTGGAACTGGAGGACTGGTTTCGAAACAGTGTCGTCAGTCTAGCAACCAATGATTTCACCAAATCTAATACTTACAGATTGTGCCAAAGAAGCAGTGATAAATAAGGAGAGAATAGCAAATGACTTCATTGCAAGGTGGGTATGATAGATATCAATGAGTGGACGGGTTCTTTGCAGTCAATGGCGGCGATGGCGACGAAGTTTCTGTTGTGAAAGAAAACGATCATGGAAAAATATCATTTATCAGTTATAAACAAAGCCAAATACATAACACACGTGGTGACCAGTTTGTCATGTTTTGCTCCAATTTTGTAGCCAGTCTGCACTAGCAACGGTTTGATCAAAACATGCGCCCATTGTGACAGATATCCTAAGATGTGGAATACGAGGCTTCAGGAAGTTATATTACCCTCAGCACTCTTCACTCTAAATACAGCATGCCGCCGCCGCTCGTCCCAAGCGGACTATCATCGATTCATCCCTGTATATACGGCCCGCACCTTTTTAATGTACCTTTGGTCTTCAGGATGGATGCGGGGGATACAGGGACGAATAGAGGCACTGCTCCGGTTGCTCCTTCACCTTATCGGTTGGTCTCTACCAATGTGAGTGTACCATTTACCTCGGTACCTGGCTAAATCCAACATTAATCTGTTCCACGTGAGTCTCACTCCACAGATCAGTTGGTTGATCGGGCCGCAACTCGGTATCGCACACTTACGAGGAGCATGCAATAATTTATTGCGAGTCGTGACCGAGCTTACCCATATCCGATCGAGCACGGATCTTGCAGACACCTGCCAAGTGGCCCATACGGCTGCATCACAAATGTCCTACCTGAAGTATGCACCTTTGATTCCTTCTCACACACTAGGCTAGTGATAAGAATTCCCAGTACAGAAGGTTGTTCTCTCCTGCTCTCTCCCGGTTCCAGGAAAAACTTACTAGTACGGACATGAAAGAGTCTATGTTCTACTCCAGTAAGTCTATCGCCGCTTAATCTCGCCTGGCTCATGTGCGTCACCTTCAGGATCCGCACTGTCGTGCTGACACCGCTTCTGTTCACATACCTCCAACCTATCTGGATTCTTGTTTAGTTAGGTTGCTTCTGCAGACAAATACACGGCATGTACATACAAGGAAAGCACTTTGAGAGTACCAGGACGCTCGGATTGGATCGTACTCGTTACAGCAAGTTGCTTGACCAGAGTCCTGGAACTCCGCTCAGTTCAGGTTGCGAATCCTCTTATCTGCGCTAGGTTGTACATGCGGCAAGGCCAGCTGATATTCTACCGGCAAGGGTTCATCTCCACAACGCGGTAAGCACCGAGTGTCTCCCATAATTGCTTATCGTGGCGACCACTTTTTTGCCGCCTTATTCCATCTAGTATCCATCGAACTCCCTTGGCTTCGATTACCCCAGTCGTAGGCGGGTTTGCTCCGCCGGATAGAGCCTTGGCCTGTCTGCACATGACATGTAAACCGGTATGATACCCGTCTCGCCAACAATCGCTTTCGATGCTCAAAGCCATCTTTGTCGTAGTAACATAGACGATATGCATGAACGTTCAAGAGTCAGCAGCGCCAGCGTGCTGGTTGCCCACAACCATTTCGAGTTGGAATATTGTCAAATAGATCAGTGAAAATAATCCGCATTTGGGTCCATTTCGATCATAATCACTCATTTCCGTCGAGGTGCTGCATGAACCATGCGCTCATGATTGTTCCTCGTGTGGCATATCGTCATCAATGTCGCTACCGGTCTATAATATCGGGAGCGCATTTTAATAACACGTAACCGCTCAGCAGACCAGACCTTTTTGTATTTGAATGAAGTGAGTGAACGGATGAGCTCCCGGGTGGGCGAAATACATAGAGGTATTGGAAATCTATTGGCAATATAATCGAGGGGATTAGCGCAAACCGTAACTGTATATTATGGGGTGCCACAAAGGTCTAGTCTGCGGAAGTCGGAGATTTGTAGAGTCGTGTTTTATGCATCTATGTTCGGCACCATAAACTCGAGGAATAGAAGACGATCTATCGGATTGATGCGCAACGTCAATTCCCGCAAAGCCTCGCAACCAACATGAACCTTGTCGTGAAAATAGAGGTGTCGGCTGGTGTGACACGGACACCTCACGGTGATCTTCGATTAATCAATGGGGCGGCGATGCTTACGTCATAGCCAACCAATGAAAATAGTTTATCGTTTAGATGTAAAGCTCAAGCATTCGGACACAACCAGGAAGCAAGAACACGCCAGCTGGATATGTTATCTTATCAATCAAGTATATCAGGCAAGAACTTTGTCACAGCACGGAAGCCAAGATCTCTCATTGGTGGAAAGGACTCCGCTATGACTAAAAAGCAACAAATATTATTTCCGGAGCTAGCACGAAAACGACGCGCCAAAGTGTTTTCGGCTTTGCTGGTTGGCATCGGTAGATTCTAGGTCAGCCCAGAAACTCCAAGAGCTCTTACAGCAGGAAGTTCTGTCCACGCTCCTTCCCCCTTCCCACAATTGGCGCGGACTTCCGTGTTATCTTCCAAAATAAGAATTACGATGTATTTTACAAAAAGTTTCGTCTACAGTCTACAGTAATGGGAAGGCGGATCATCTACCTTGGTCAGGCTAAAAATGCCCCGTAAGCTCTCACGTTCAGATACTCCAAAAGACCTCCAGCGTCCGACAAAGGAACGTCTATTATAGATGTAACCTTCAAAGATCCATGTCCCACGTCCCTCGTCACCCGAGTATTTCTGCGCAAAAAAATACGTCATAAGAACGTGAACAATACGTCGAGCGAAGCAAGGCTAACTGGTTTTCTCGTCAGAGTGACAAGTCCATCAGATAAGCGGATTCTTCCAAAGAAGATAAATGCGCCCCAGGTGGCTTCCAGCCTGCGTGGAGTCTAGATGAATGCGTGAGCAATCCAAAAAACCCTTTTGATAACGAAATACTCACTTCACCAGTAATCACGACATCCAGGGCATGCCGTGGGTCCCTGTAGTTTTCCGAAGAATCAGTTGGGCGAAAAAGTTCATATCGATGTTTTGATGATGATCGTGTGGCGTCCGAAAATTCATTTGCTGTCTTTGAGGTGGGAAGGCATGACAATCGTGTCAACAACTATGAACGCAGTGAGAACCATACGCACAGTGACTCCTTCACAATCATTCATGAATAGATGTTTGAACGCTGACTCTCCGAAATCACCATTCTGTCGAACGCTGGGCAATGGAATGCATGGTGTGAAGCAGAGGTGTTCCTCAAGTCGGCATTGGATAGGATGTCTGGACACGAAATCAGGCAAAACCGTGGGATCCGATTTCTGGGAAGGGCATCGACAAAACGATGATGGTGATGTCTAAGGAGGTTTTAGTCGAGTTCTCGAAGCCACATTGACCATCGCCTACCCTGTGAAATTCATCATCGATTAGGACTAGTAAATGATATCAGGCACTCACATATATGTACCTTCCCAAGTTCCACTTAGCAACCCAATGCACGACCGAAGTTCCCAAGTGTCATCCGGCAAGCCCAGGCGATGGGCGATGCGATAGAACTCTTCATCGTGAGCGAGACTTCTTGATGCCCGCATCTTCCTTCCCGCACGATCCGCAAAGAGCTCACGGGAGGAGCTTTGATGACCCGAATCAGCGACAAGAGGTGTCCTTCTCCTTGTGATGGCAAAGAAGTCTTCTATAGTGGGACCATCATGTTCCGTGGGGCGTGCAACCACCTGAGTTTGTGGCAAGTGCTTGGGCACTTGCAGAGCGATCGCCTCCTTCAGTGCAAAAGTGAGAAAGATTGACGCGGAAAGAAGGCTGGGAGTGGTTAGCGTGTATTCCCTAGTGTAGATCGACGATACGAGCGCCCGGTAATTATTTTCGACACAAGCGCCGAGCATTATTTCTGGTCCTCGGCTGTACGAGCCGTCCAATGATAAAGGGCATCGTCTTGTCCCGCTGTTCACATGAAGCGAAGGAACCTAATTAAATGATGTCAGTGATGGTTTAATATGTGGGCGCGGTCACTTCATCACATTTGACGACCCTGTGACAAAAGGTCTTAGTTCCGAAAGCGTCTGACTGCGTTCCTCCGGCGGCATATCGGTAATAAATTCTGGACGATGCATTAAAATCAGGAACGCCTATATACTAGAAAGGTGTGCAATAGCCTCACTGTGAGACCAAACCAAACATGCGACAGATATAGCTAATGCGCGAGCCGTGTCGTCACGGAGGGCCCCTTGTTGGCCAAGGCAACGTTTCAAGAGCATACGTATATATTGCGCGATGCCGGCAGAGTGGAGTTGAGATTCGTTCATCCCATCGCTCTCCAACAGCATTAGGTAGATTGTCCAGAGGTCGGGAAGGATACTGTGATCGGCAACATGGCGATGCCGGATACGTCGAAGCACCGCACATCGGCGCTGTAACTCCAATGCCAGGTTCGTAGTCGTTGGAGATGGTAGCTTGCTGCGACGGAGATGAGCAGCTAGGTCGAATCTACTGCGAAACACCCGCGCATAAAGCTGGGGGCAAGATTTCAGAGAGAGGGCGTCATGTAGATTGCGGCTACACAAAAGTAGCTGGAGAACAGCACCAAGACCGGTGAGCGGCGCGGAAGCAACAGTGAAGAAAGCTATCTGGGACAGAACATCGACAGGGATTGATTCGAGGTGAGGAAGCATCATATGCTGTGTAGAATCATAACTGCAAGCCCCTTTTAAACTAGAAAGTAGGTGAGTGGCGGAGTGCCGTTCGAGCAATGAGATCACCGCGCGAACTAAGCGGAGGTTCACTTTTCTCATTGAGAAAATCGAAACGTCTGAAAGAGAGGTAAACACACGTTCTCCAGATCAGATCTTGATTGTAATCGTGGCTACATACCCGTGTGCCTGGTTGAATTCATATATCCGTTCTTCACAGCAAGTGCTATCGGAAGCGCACCGTAATTCCTGGCCAAATAGTTTCCACTTCTAGCACGGGGCAATATATGTGGCGTTGATTGTGCAACTGCTGTCCTAGTAGTCATCTCCCAGACTAGTACTGCTGAATCAGGGCCGACCGCTAAAGTTGAACGTGTACATCACTTCAAATTTGAGTGTAAAGCAAGAAGGCGGATAGCTTGCTGCGACACCATTGCGCAGTAAATGACCGCTGAGCACTCAATGGATCCACCATATTTTGTGAAACATCCTTTGAGCTTCCAGCATCTGACGAGAGTAAGAGAGCCTCATCGAGAGCCGTCGCTGCCAAAGCAACTTGCTCAAGCACGGAGATGAACAATCCAGACTCGTTGTCAGATGGCAACAAGCGTTCCGAGCATCGAACTACTCCGATGGTGTATTGGCATTATGATAACGGTCAAATGGCGGTGGCAAAACGCATTTCCTAAGATACACCAAGAAAGGCAACATAGGTTTGCACTGCTTTGTGCATTCCCCCATCTGTTTGAAGTTAACCTTGTCCACTGACTGATCTAGCGTGACAACCACTCACAAAGTTGTGCGTGGGTGAAGCGAAATGTGAACCCGTGCGTTGCCTACGCACTGTGCGCAGCAGCTATTTCTTCTCTGTATGTAAATGACCTAAAATTTACAATCAATATTGATGCATGTTTTGTGCATGCGGTTGACCGATACTATGCAGTGTCAGCGTTATGAACAAGCCAACTCATTATACGGTCGGGACTTTGCCTTGCAGGGAGTGTCTGATGTGTGGGTCCGTTTAATTGGCACTAGTACATTCATCACGCACATTAACAATGATCGTATCGCACAAAACTTCACATTTCCTAGAATGATGCTTCTTCTTCTTAACTTGTCTTGTCACATCTTACAGAACCTCGCTCATCCACACCCAGTTTAATTACAGTTCTTTGGGAAGAAGTTAGGTACAAATCGTTATGCAAGATACAGGAGGATGCTTACTCTGCATGGCGGCGATATCGGAACTCTGGACGTAGTCATCGAATTCAGCAACCTTCTCCTGTAGATCATCCAAGGAAACGAGTTCGTCCTCTGTTCAAAAAAGTCATGAATGACCCCTTCATCGATATGATGAGGAATGATAACTCACCAACAACCACAGTGATTTGGAGCTTTTTGATGCCATAGCCGACAGCGACTAGTGTACTGGCACCCCAAACAAGACCTTCCTGTTCAATGGAACGTACAGAGTCCTCGAGTGCTTGCATGTCGGTTTCATCATCCCAAGGTTTAACCTCCAAGGTTACAACAGACTATTTGGAGGCAGCCGTCATAAGCGGCGCGATATAAAGCAAACGAAAAGACCAACCTTCGCAGCTGCTTTGGGTTTATTGGCTTTCTTTGCATTGTAAGCGGCAACACGCTCTGCTTTGAGCCTCTCTGCCTCTGCGTCTTCTTCATCGTCATCAGCGAAAAGATCAACCTCGTCTTCTTCATCATCAGCAGCAGCAGCAGCTGGAGCCGCAGTCGATGCCGATTGAAGGAAAGCCTGCCCAGCGGTGCTTGTGCCAGGTAAAGTCGCATGCTCCGCAGCGTAAGATTTGATGTGAGAGTACCATCTGGCAGAATGCGGGTACTTGGATGGCTCTGGTGCCGTAAGCAAGGTGTAAACGTGAACGTCTGCCTGAGAGGGCGTGTACCTGGAAACAAAGGATTTAGCTAAATATAACAAACATTACAAGCCAAAGGAGAGTCAGGAGGCTAGGTAAAGAGTTATCGGCATATCTGAGCAGCGGTGTCTAGTCGCTTCTTGGAAACACGGACCATAGCATGATGATCATCACGAAAAAATGTTCAAGGATGGAAAAAAAAACTCACCCTTCAATGTAGGACCTGGTACTTAGGTGTTGCTCGAGGGCGTCGAAGTTCAAAGACATCTTTATCGTCAAGACTGCAGCGATGGTTGAGTGGAATGATAAGTTTAAAATTTAAAGTTTTTTTCGAAATGCCTCTTTAGGGCCGGCCCACCGAACAAGCCCGACTTGTCCGACGGTGGCGAAACCCCAACTCGTACTACAACTCGAAGTACCAACGACAATTATCTTGGTGCTGTTACATCTACCCTGCAGGATACTACAAGCTGTCGTTGGCAATCCATAGAATGCGAATCTGACGATACCCGGACCAGCAGTTGACCTGATGTGATTTTTTCTGTATACTATGAGGCTGCAGTTTATTGACTACCCTAGACTTTCACCAAGGCTGAGCACTGGATACTGAGCGTTTGTAAGTCGTCTTTGTATTCCCTTCGTGTGTAAAACTTGTTAAATATGGTGTCCCCTGCACTTTATAGAGCCAAACCATTTCGCCATATTAGACACACCCTTGCCTCATGACATCCTGTGCATTAATATATGAACTTTTCTATCACGGTGTAGAAAGATCTACGCGGATGGACATGCTTTTGGCATAGACGAAATCCACCGGTACCGGGGAGAATCAATCCCATTGGTACAACTGCGTGACTTTCATCTCTGACTTTCAAGTGGTCTTTGTGTTGAGACTTCTCAAGATGATATGACGCTATTAATTTGCCTGAATTATGGGACTAATGACACAAGGCAAGTGATTACTCACTCTTACAAAGCCTTTACTCATTTCATGCAATAGGTAGTAATCAAGCAACGGAAAAGCTTGCCACATGATGCAAAAGTGTCATCTTGCCTATATTGGACAATTATCTCGTTAATTCTCCGTGAGTACTACTTGCCAAGCCAGTGACAGTTGCTCGCATCGTATGCCGGAACAGGAAAAATCAATTGCTGGTGACGATGGGCCACACAAGACCCTACTCGTAACTGACTGAGTCCGTCTCGGTTCATAAGGCGGAAATGGACTGATCAGAGTTCGTTTATGGAATACCGCTTGATCCCGATATCTTGGCCCTGGAAGACCTAGTCCCAATGAGAAGATGCCATTCATACCGCATGCCCCCCTTTCAAATAAAATATATGGTCACTCGTTCTGGTCTCCGTCTTCCCCGCGATGGGGCGCCATCTTGATATTGACGTTCCTCGCCTGAGACTCGCATACTATGCGCTTCCGTTCCTCGGGTACTCACATGATGGCCGTCGGGTTACATTCCATTCTATCTGCCTATTAGACCCTCACACTTCGATTACACTGATATGGTTTTGATAGTGGAGTGGTGTGAATGTCATTATATTTATTATGAGATCAAGGGTTTGCAAGCAGTCTGATGCGCGTCCATTAGCGATGGTGTCGGCATGGGGGCTCCTAATGATTGAAAGCTGTGGCTACTGGCTACCGTGAGCGTCGCGATCATCCTGCAAAATTGCCTAGTTCTCACCTGATGGACGTTAATGTCTTCAATCCATCATGATGTTCCTCTAAGGGTACTTCTGCGTAATGTTCCACTTCATGTCACTCCAGAGTGCTTACCTGTCGACCGCAGCACCGTGACCGGCGTGACGTCAATCAACATTTACTGTACTTACAAAAGTTAGTACAGCAAATTCAACGTGGAACGTGTGGATGCCGTCAAGGTTACATGCATTCGGGCACAATCTGAATTCGCGCTCGACGACCGTTGCTCGTGCTTTTTTGGGGGTTCTGCCTGATGTATGTAAGCGTGTATAAGGCTAAAGCCCAACTGTCATTGTGGTGATTGGCATGAGTGGTGTCGCGCGGGTTTCCGAAGTCGTCGGAATTTAAGTACGCCGTCGGGATTACATCATCTGAATCCTGGAAAGACTATGGGGAGTCGTGTGAATGAGTTTCTAGTCATCAAAGACTCATTCACACGACTCCTCAAGGCCTTATAGTCGTTCGTCTGCATGCTTGCAAGTGTGCAACCATTCATTTATGAAGCCTTGAGGAGAGAGGTAACGTGTGAAGGGTGACAAGGCGGTAAACATTGTATTTGGCGAGTTATGAGAGAGACGCATATGACATGAGAATTGCAGGAGTGCTAATACGATAAAGACTCTCGTAAGCCACACGTTAAGGAGTTGTAACATACTAGATCTTGAGAATTGCTGTGGTACAGCATTCGTGGCAGTTTTCTGTTCGTGCCTCTACTTACCTATGAAATAAATTACTCGACTGGGCGTAGTATGAAGCCTATCGGTGCGGCGAGCTTCATCCACATGCCCAACAATGAAGGCGCTGAAACGCCTACTTATCACCTCGGAATCTGGTGATACGTACTGCCGGCGTATCGATGAAGAGATTGTGCCATTTGACCCACGATCAGATGGCGGCTGGGTGTCTTACGAACATGCTCGGACCAGCACGTTTTATCCGAGACTGTGGCGGGAAGCATGTTGTACGTGCGCTGTCGGGAAGTCGCGAATTGCACTAAGGCTTTGGACCAAAACCTTGCGTCATGACCCCATAATGTTGGGAGTCTGTCCCACGGAAGTACTCGAAATAGTTAAGTTGAGTCCCAAGAAAGACCCTGTTTTGGAACATAAAGTTAACATCTCAACAAGGAATAGAAAAGGAAAGCGGTTAAACTCACAGCCATGGTCCTGAACGTTGACAATAAGTATTGCGTGTTGACGAAGCGTCGCAAGAACGGAAGGGTTGATCATATCCAGCCAGGTTTAGTTGGGAATCACCACAGCCTTACGTGCAACTTCTTCGTGAGATAAAACTCTAGTAATGGTGGATTATCCCCTGCAGCTGAACATATTATTCAACGGTGGCCTTGAAGGCTGAGATGGGCATGAAGAAGTCCTGGCGCAAGTGGCGATAGTGATACTGTTATTGGCCCTACATCCGCCCACGCCAATGCTGTTATGCCTCGTTGCAACTTGAAGTTGGCGATACTTTTGTGGGAATGACAGCGATCTCACCTTCAGGACAAAGGTTTGCTCTTGCGAGTTTTGCTTTCCAATGACGTGAGAGCAGCGCGCATAGATGCAATGTTTTTTTTTTGATCAATGGTCGCAGAATACATCGATGAGAACTGGTTTTATCTGATTCCATTTTCCATCATAGTCATGCACTAACGATGGCAGAAGGAGTCATGGACTTTTACTGGGCGGAGGGGCGTAAATGCGACACAGCAGCAGTGTGCCTATGAAAGCATCGAATTAGCTCATTCTTGCCACGAGTCATATAGTATTGAACGCCCAGTCGGGTTCCTGCAGCAAATGCAATGTGACACATTGTGAGTTCTTCTAAGATCTACCCTGAATCGCGGGCGCAAACTTTGCTGGCAGGCCCATCATAGTACATGCAGTCACCTGGATTGGCACTAACGGGAGAGCTGGGGTTGGGGTGTAGGGTCGAAATTGAGGCCTGAATTAGTGTAGACAGCAAGATAAGACGAGGAGGTGCCCAGGAGTTGCGGAATGATGCATCGATGACTGATTGAAGAACGAGATGATGATCTAGCTATCGATAGGCGTAGATATGCAACCATCGGACGCGTCCGACTCGGCCCTCGGAGTCTTCAAACCGAATCTCGGGACGGAAGGCTTGTCCGAGTCGAACTTTAATAATCGAACTCATTATTTCTTTAACAAGTTACCTCCCCGAGGGCCTCAAAACTAATCGGGACTGAATTGAATGGTTTATTATCATACAAGTATACAATTTGACATCGGGTAAAAGTTCGCGCGCCGACTAAAACGCTAACGTTTCAACAGTGTGAGCCACGAGTTGTTCCCTTTTACTAGCTGATTATCGAATGCTCTTCTGGTAATCGAAAACTTCAAATACCCGTCTGCACTAAAATCAGTGCCTATTATCGCATTGTACGTCTGTTTAATTGTATCTTCACTCACAAGGCGCGCGGAGCTCAATTCGACGGAAGCGAAGATTCTGCCCCATGGGGAACCCATGTCCACTAAGCCTATGTAGTGCAACACCGTCCGTTTCTTCGAAGGATTATACGGATTCGAGATCTCGGGATGATGATCCAGGCCCAAGGTACAGACAAAATTGTTTGATCAGGATGGCAAAACGCCATGTTAATTGGGCACGGCGCCACTGCTATGGGTCCGAAAAAGGATGAGGTAAGTTGTTAGTTTAACTCTCGCTTGAGCAATTACGCCTACCAATGTCGGGCACCCTATGCTCATATTTCCTATCGCCGCCTCTTGTCGCCTTGAATCATTTCACGTGCTTTGGCAAGTCCTATAGGCCCAAAGGTCAGATACCAATCGAAACAGATTTAACGTCATCTCGTTGGACGTAACAGGGAGCGGCCAGGGTACGGAGTCCGCGATATTCAACGACAGAGATTTGGCTCCTACCGTATGGAGACATTAATATTAGTAAGAGTCAAAAGGTTTTCAGTCTAATAACTGATATTATTTATCGAAGGAAGTACCCGAGATGATGGCACCTTACTATTACTAGCGCGCCTCGGATGCGACCTCATGACATGCTGCGCATACCGTGATCCTCTTGCTGCGTGGTGTAACCCGTGTGCGTTCTTCGTCACTAGTACCGAAAGTTTAACCTGAGATTCTTTTTTCCTATTTAGGTAATATGCATTCCGACAGCATGGCGCAATCACATTCCGGATATAACCGGTAAGTTGGTTAACAAGACTCAATTATATTGACGTCCTTTATATGAGCGGCTTACTTTCGCCTTCCAATGATATCAGTGACCGTACCATAGCTTCTTCGCGGAGCGCCCTTGCGATCTTGTTCACATGAGAATCTCGTGCCAATCTATACCCTTCCAAGCAATGATTCGCAAGTCGCCGTTTCACTGAAAAGCAGAGTCATGCTTCGAGCTTCGTCCCTCCTCGAGCATGTCCGCCTCTCTTATCACGACTCCAGCTGAGCTTCTAGAACAAATTGTCCTAATCGCAGCTCGCCAGCATCTCCAAGGCCCACCAAGTGTCTTGCGTTCCCTACGATTAACGTGCCGCATGGCTAACAGTGCCCTTTCACCTGAATCAAACTCATATATGTACTTCATGTTATTCAAGGACAGATTTTCTCCTTGGAGACATTTTCCAGGCGGTCAGCTCACGGTCGATAACATAGAGCATGAGCTGAGGAAACGTTTTCGAGCACTTCAGCGTATTCGGCGAGGCGATGTTGCTGATCCTGACATTCTAGAGTCCCTCTCCACCATCTATGTTATGATGCTGGAGGATGATGGTCGGAACTGGGACCAGTTGCTTTGGGCTCGACTTCCAATTTTCATGACGCGCTTCCTTCGGGAACGCTTAATGGTTGGTGCCGAGACTAACAACGGATGGCCCACAGAGAATGAGGTCAATGTCTTGGCGGTTTCCATCTTCTGGTTGATGTCTTGCTCAGGTTAGTATTCACCCAGTCTTCATCACCTGCATCCGTGATTACCATGCCCCCGCAGAGTCTATGTGCGATGAAACCGATGAACTCAGGAGAGAGTTCGTGCAACTGCTATCACCATACTCCTTTGCTGGGGTTCGAGTTCGTTCTTTATTAATTATGCTTGTTATGTTTTTATAACACATTTTCTAGTATCCATGTTTCACTGGGCTGGAGTACGATTTCTGTCCTTTGGAAAATTCTCCCAAGACTGTTGTCACATCTGCGTATGGGGTATATTCTCCGATTCGTCCAGTTTCAACTACCATATGCTACTTTGGGCGGCCAGTACCGTTCAACCTTCCACCAGTTGCTCCATATGCGATTCTCGTTCACTTCTCTCGTTTGGAGACTCGCCCTCTTATGATCCCTCCACACCTACCAGAGACTCGAGCAGAGGCTGTCGCGAACGGTATTTCAGGGCCTACAAAGGAGGACATAGTATACTTTAATATTCATTGCAAGACTCACTCTCCGGGCACGATGTACGGCAACCGCTTCGACACTCTGCTTAAGAGCCGGCGACATGATCCTGATTGGACACGTTCCGTTCGTGATCCCCTCTATCGTTCTCCTTCTTCCTTACCTGGACAATATATCCCTGGCACGATTTCCGGTCGCTGGCAGGGGTCTTTCATCGTTGAGTTTTGCACTTGTTCATCCCACACGTGGACTAATATGAATAGGCCCCATATTATGATGTGTACAAGGATATGCTGTCATCTCCCTCTGCTCCGTCACCTTTTCCAACATTTGGCCGGTTCCCTCTTTATGTTACTTTCAGAGAGCTTTACTGTTACTCTCCGTCAATTCCCCTCCCCTTGGGAGGCAATGAAGGAGTATTTGAAAATGCATTTTTGCCAATCGGCTGTCGGTGGCATGAGACCGAGGCTAGTCTTGTCATTAGTTCCAGAGCGAAAGTTGATATTTTCAACAGGCAGGTGTTGAATTTACTGGAAAAAACGCGTCGTTCAAGGCCTATTATTCTCCACCGAGGCGAGAGCACCTCGAAATTGGCTTTGTCGGAGGCACTGCTGGCGAGTTAAAGCCAAGTGCGCATGGTGCTTTTGATGTCATCATTACAGGAGTGGTATGCGCCACAGAGTCCTTCCTGTTTCATATATAATAATTCGTTCAACAGACAGAGGATCGATATGCAGCTGCTTGGGGTGGCTATCGCTACATGGGACGGATACGACCCTCAGATGGTCTAATCGTTCTTCTCCGTGAACCAGTAAGGAACGCTAGTCTGTTGTCTTTTCTACGCTCAAGCAGTATCTAGCTGGACCCTCAGATGGTTGAACTTGGGCGAGCGTTATTCAGAGGCTACAGTGCGTTAGATCGATTCAAACGACTGTTGTGTAGTCGCTGACAAGGTCGCATTAGTCATCTCTTCTCGCAACTTTGTGGGTCGCTGGAGACGTGTGTCCAGCGGCGTTCATCCCCCTGAATGGGAGTCAATATTCAGTTTGTGCAAAGACATGTCATGGGAATAGTACTAGTCAATGTGATTTGCGTTCTGCTTAATTGTATACCATCGCCAAATATCTATTTGTATAAAATACATATTCTCACACCGAGTGTTTGGGTTAACTTCACCTACTAAGGAAAAGACTGGCCGACGGCGGCCCGGCAGGACATACCGGTACTACACAACAACTCAACAACTACAGTGTTTTTTAAACAATCTACGTTCACTGCCACTGCGACCGACATAATGTCCACTCAAGCAGTTGCGTTTGGCTGGCTCCCTCAGGAGGTGATGGAGAACATTGCTTTCTTCGCAGCAACAACGACAGATATAGGACCTCCCTCCGACCTGCTCCCTTTACTTCTAAGCTGCAGGAGCATATACCATGCTCTATCACTTGATGCAAATCTACATCTTTGCGCACGCATATTTGAGTATAAATTCGATCTCAGTGCCGCCGTTCGTCGTCTAGGCCAGCATATCGCTACGCCTGATGTCTTATCGAAGGAGTTGCGCAAGAGATTTGTTTACCTGAAGCGAATACGGGCGCGGACAGATTCTCGAATCTGTGCACCAGACATGTCGAATTCGCCGATGATCAGCGAGTTGCTTTGGCTCGCCTACCTAATGATGCTTGAAAACGACGGAAAGAATGTCAAGCAACTGAGGGAATACGCTGGAATGGAGCAATGGTTGATGGAGTATTGGTTCGATGACAAGGGTGCATCGCTCGCCTCGAAGGCGCTCTTGGAAGATGTGTGGCTGCTCGATAACGAGCACAATTCTCTGGCAATGTGGTTGTTTTGGTTGTTTCTCAGACCCGGTGCGTCGTATGGGTTATCTCCACCCCTGTACTTCGGGTTAATCCTCATTCACAGACCGTTTCCAGCGTACTGAAAGGAACTATCGGACTTTTGCAACCGTTTTGAAACCGACTGCTTTAGCAGCCAACAAGGTATGTCCTTATCTCTACCTCCATGCACCTGCTGATAATCCAAGTATAATATATGCCACACCCCATGGGAGGACTTCATCCCCAGGTCCTGCCTGCTTGAGCCTACGTGCATAAATCACTATTCTAATCCATATCAACTAACTCCACCGACGATGGCTATTCCTGCAATCCTCTCTTACCTCAGCTTGGTGGGTCCTCTTGTGGGTCCAGCAAGGGCCGTCTACAAAGGACTACATACACCGAACGGCTTTCCACCCTCGTTGAATCAGAGTCTCGAATGGGAAGCTGATTGGCAGAGGTGCATAAATCTTGCTAAAAGCCCTCTCGCTAGCCAATTCTCAGGTGCATATAAGGTGGGCAGTCTACAAGGTGTGTGGGAAGGTGTCTTTACGGTATGTCGATTCATAGCACGAGCCTGAAACCCTCCGATTAAACAAGGTATCTTTAGTACACGGAATTCACTACCTATGCTGCGCTCCTGTCTGGACGCCCCCCTTCGATCCTCCATAATTCTATGGTTGCGCAGCACCGTCAAACATGGAAATTGCGAGAGTATTACTTAACTGTTTCGAGGGGCGCTGATGGCATTGCTGGCGGCCTAGAATCACTACCGCTGAGCTCGGGTGATCCGCTCAAGGCATTTTTTCCATCTGGCATCCGTATTCACGAGCACGCAGGCAGTGCAGAGGTGCACGAGCCCGGGAAAATAGTTCCACTTTCATACAGGCAGCCATCGGCTTGTGGCGTGGAAGCCGAGGGCCTCGATATTCAAGATATTATTGTCGTAGGAGAGGTCATTAATCATTTACTTATCTTAAACTGTTCTCATTTTTTGCTAGGGTCATTCTGCTTGGGGTCAATTCAATCTCATTGGTAGGGTACGACCTTGCGACGGTTTTGTCAGTTTTTTGAAAGAATACGTACGTCTGCTCAATTCATATAATGTATCGTGCATGAACACGTCCTTTTATTAGGTCGAGGGCGATCGAGGACAATGGCTTTATCGGGGTTATCTGGTCGGTAGCATCAACGGGAGCCTCTCCGGGCGCTGGCGAGATACACTCAGTCTCCCCGATGCTAATGGCTATGAGGGCTGTTTTGTGATGAGTAGGCGGAGATGATGGAATCATATACTGATATCTAGATATAAATTTAGTTTGCCGACATCTATACATTCTTCAAGGTTTAGGCGAAACCAGAGCGCGTGCATCTCACCTGGACTAGTCTTACGACAAGATTTGCCGGTCTGTGCAGGATTGATCCGACTGTTGAGTGACAAAACGAAGATCTTGGGTGAAATGGAAGGGAGTCTGATTAATGATTATGGGCGAGTAGGTAAAATATGATGTCTACGCTGGTGTCTATAGCGTTAGTTAAATAGATCATAAAGGATACAGACTGATGGATGTGGCAGATAATACAGGCAAGTGGTTGGGGTCTGGGGGGATGATGGAATTATCCGTGGATGTCTTGTCAAAGGCCATATGTCAACGTGCATTTAGTTATCAAGGATTCGCACTCACTGGTTAGATCTGAGACTTGGGCGGTATGCTACACAGAAAGTTAGACAATATTGCTGGCAAAATTAGGGACCTGAAATAGAGTAAGAATCAATGAAATGAATCAGACCGTCACGCATATATCGAGTGGCGTATTCCCGGTGACATCATATCACCAGATTAAGATGTGCGTGTCTAATAGGAGCTTGTGCCTGGTGATTGTCAGCTACGATGATGAAGTGTCCCCACTTGCATAAATCGACTGTATGAATAATAATTAAAAATACAGCAAAATAATCGGGGAAGACGTACTCAGCGGCCACGGCATTTGACGCAAGGCAAGCTAAATTTCGCATCCTCCGATACTCGAGGGGATGGACAAGGTCGTCCGCCCATGCCCTTAGAGCAAGGCTCAAGTACATAGAATCGTACCTGATGGAGTGAACAGAAGTAGGCTTGAGAGATACACATCGTTAATATTTTTGCGAGGGGTAATGGAGTGCTACTGTCGACTCACTGTACATTTTAAAGTAGAAACGAGCGGCGACGAATCAAGACAATTATCTATCTTCGGAGACGACCAAGTAAAACTGATGGTATTTGGTACTCACGATGGCAGTGAAGCTAAGCAACGAGCTTGAATTCGGTGGCGTCGGGTGGATGCTCGTCAGGATTCCTAGGGAAGGCGGGCAAGACAGTCAACTACCATAATTCTCGCTTATACTATACAGGTTGTGCTGGATCGCGCCCATTTAATGGGATAGATCGACTTCATGAGAAAAGCCAAACATAAACAGTCCAAGCGAAATCATTTTGCTTGGACTGTCCCAGTCTCACTTGAACATGCAGTATTGAAAATCGTCTCGAAGGAGAACCAAACGTAATATTTGTAGTAAAAGGACTGCCACGTGCTTCATCTATCATCCATTTTGGGTAACTCTAGTATTAACCATCATATTATCGATCATCATGAAACACAGCAAGAAAGAACGTGTTTTGCTCTTCTTTCAAAGTCACCGGCATGGAGTACGCAAGTGTAGGTCCAGCTATTACGCCACATTTTTTGTAGAACTGAGCCCCGCCCGTAGAAGGATCTCACCATCCGCAAACTCAGGCGCACAACCGATTTCAAAAATCTCACTTTCCGTATAGGCGGCTATACCGAACACGAGCTTGGGCGCTTCTACCATCTGTGGAAGAATGGCCAAGTCTTATCTGTCCAGGCAGAACCATATCGTCGTCCTGGCATTGACTATCTTCAATCGCCCTCGACTCAGAGCTTAGGCTCATCTGACAAGGAGGCCTATTTTTACCTGCAAGAAGTGCTGCAGACGATGCTCGATAATCTGCAGTTTGGTACAGAGAACAATTGTGCACATCTTGTGAGACAAAAGGTGAGAGTAACTGAAATCATCCTCCACTCGTTATTCACAAACGATCACCAAGGACAATACCTACAGCCTGATCTACACTAGAAAGGAGTTTGTTCGTTTGAAATGCCCGGTTTGGACGAAGAAGGTAAATTTGGATGATATAGAAGTTACTCGCATTGTGGACTGCGCTTTATGGGAGGGAATACACGAAGGTCATGTAGTGTAATGCCCTCTTGAACACGATTCTCATACCTCCTCATACAGGAATGGAAGTCGACCTCTTCATGGGCGTACACGCACTTTGGTCTCAATTTGTTGCTGCAGAGAGTCTTGGGCATAAGCTCATGAACGAGGCTGGTGTCAGCCATTACACTTATAAACTACTCGCCCACGTCTACAAAAGTGGAATGATCATTGGTGTCATGTGTGAGCCCATTATTGGACGTAAGCTGAAGTTATACTTGATACTGTTGTTCGTGCTCATTTCATACAGGGCGTGTGTGTCCTACCGATCGTGCTGCTGTTTTCGCAGCAGTGGCTGATATTCAGAGACACGGAATTCTATTGGGATCTCTTGTCCCTCACGATATCCTTATCACTGAGGAAGGTGTTCGCTTCCTGAATATCTCCGGTGTTGAATTTTACAAGGATCACGATCTGCTAGCAGCCAAGGCCGAGACATCTCACTGGGCTGAATTGGCGCAGACCTTTGGGTCAGGAATGATAGCACCCTACACCCCACTTGGGTCTAGGGCCCGTGATGCCTTATCCTACGTTATACCTCGTCTGCCTTCTCCTGGGCGGCCAGTTTACACCACCCCCGAGCTGGCCATGATGCGATTTGTTTGGTCGGTGATGACATCACCAGGAGAGTATGCTCGTACAGACGTTCTGCCACTGCTCAAGTTCAGAGACTCGGAGCAGCAACGGAAGAAATCCGCCGTCACTCATGATCCAAAACACAGAAGACGTGCAAAGATTAGTCGCAAACTACTAATCGCACCTCTTGATTGTTCGGAATCGGAAAACCGCTTTGAAGAACTTGACCAAATCGTCCCTACTGATGATGTACCCTACAATCCAAAGTGGCGTTCTTCACAACACACCCCGTATGAGCGCCCGAAGAAGAAGCTCCTTCTCCCAAGGGATGATGAATGATCCACGAGTCACAACTCACAGAACGCATGTCGGTGGATCAATCCACGCTCAATCTGGAGGGTCTAGATCCACACGTCATATTCACCTTATATTTGATCTCAAGGAAATTATTTAATCCGTTCGTACTTTGCTGCTATCTAACCTAGCAGCTATGGGATGAAGCGTTAATTGGACCGCTATTCGTGTGGGTGATGTCGCGAGGTAGTGGGCATTGCGGAGATAATCTCGAAGGTCTTGATTGTGTGTTTGACGAGTCCTGTACATATGTCTTAATTACAGTGTACAAGCTATCCCTGTTTATAGATTTTACCAGAGATGTTCAGGTGGTTATGCTATCATTTCACTCGCACGATACGGCCCAGTTCAGGATAAACATTCGTCTTCAGGACTCAACGTACGTACTGGCAGGTACTTTTGCGAGCCCAGCGGGGCCCAAGCACTTGACATGAGGTTGACGGCGTTTTGATATTTTGATACTAGTAGTTTCTGATCCCTAGTTTACATAACTTGCAATTGTCAGGTTTCGGTGATGCATGATGCATGATGACCGCCACAATTGCCAGTGTACAAGCTTAAAGCGAGCACGCCACTGTCCTTTCACTGGATGGCCCGGACTACCACAGCGATCGACAACTACGCCTTAGAAGGAAGTCGCATTTTTAACCAATCTTGTCAAAGTGTACAACATTGGCGCTGCGTGTGGACTTGGAATGGCTTACGATAGCATGATGGTCCCGACATCACGATTTGCCTGCCAATCATTCAAATACTATATATCCAAGTATTTATCTGTAAAAACCAAAGAAGGTGGCCAAAAAATTTGTCAACCAGCAGCGCCCTTCGCTAAGAAGTCTAGGCTGTGTCATATAGGGTGTCGCAAAAACCAACATCCGACTCAGAGTCCGATGAGTACCACTGCCCGACTCTTCGGGAAACTTGGTGGGTATTGGCAGTGCAGTGGTGCGACGATAGTATGATAGATATAAGCCCAGGGAGTAACTGTTTCAAATGACCGCAGTGCTTGCCAACTAGCCCGCGGGAGTCAGTTGAATCAAACTTCGGGTGACGCTGTCGTAGCCCGTGTGACAACCGTATCATATCATGAATGCGGTTGTTTGGTTGTATCTTTAGACTCAAACAAACACTGATACTATCCACTGGTTGCCTTTCTAACCGTAACAACGACGGACAACGCGTCACGACCAAGAGTCACTGGATTTTGGCTGAAGTTGGAAGAAGTTATCTGTTCACTCTCTGGATCCCCTTCTCTCATACTGCAGCAAACTATCATGTCCTCGTTTGTATTCCCGTGTTATCTATAAGCGGGAACTAATGAAATCCACAGTAAATATGACAGTATTACAGAAGCTATCACCCCAACGTGTGCCACGATAAAGCGCACTCCATCACGCGCTAGCGTTTCGAGCACATATTCAACCCGGAAGCGAAGGCGGGTTTCCGTGGCTTCGCTTCACTTGGGAGAAGATGTGGCAAGACCATTAGTACCGGAGACTCCAATCGAGGAGATAAACGTAAGAATATTGCTTAGCCAACATATCATGCTACACAGAGGAAATTTAGGGAGATCGATTTGTGACAGTACGAACTTCAACGTCATTGCCATTGAATATTACACCGAGAACAAATCGTATCGCCAAAGCATTTGGTCTACTCGACGACCGTGTATTAAGTCCTACCAACTCTCCCTCACTCTTTTCAGACCGATGTTTTCGTTCATTGCTTCGCCGAAGTGCTTCAGAATTGTTTTCAACTTCGCGTGCTGCATCTTTGCTCTCAGCAAAAGCCAATTTAGGGGCTCGGAACCATTTTGTACTAGCACTCGATGGACCTGGGATGTCTACGGACCTTTTCGCCTCTCCAATGGCATGGTCGCATGCCAACTGCATCGGTGTTGCTTTCAAATATGACGTGTATTTTCAGGACCTCGAATCCCGGGCAGTGGTTCACCTATGTCGTTCCTCGCTTTCAGACGGGACGGTCCACAGTATTGATTGGGGTGGCAAAGCCAAACCTTATCTCCTTGCGCTTGGGACGACATTTGGTGATGTTAGAGTTATGGATGCTGAGAAAGGAATGCAGCTCGTAGATTGGGTCGATGATGGTCATGGCATGGGAGGCATGCACTGGAATGGTGATGTTCTTGCCGTTGGCAGAGCTGGCGGCAATGTGACTCTGTTCGATATCCGGATGCGGGCTGAGATAGCCAATATTATGGGCCATAAACGCCGAGTACACGGTGTAAAATGGTCGGTTGACGGACACCATCTGGCCACAGGGGATGACAGTGGTATTGTCCACATATGGGACCATAGAGCAAGCAATCTTCTAACGAATGGGGACAAAAATATCCGGATGAAACACAAGGGTCCGGTCAAGGTATGTAGCATAATGAGATTACCTTTCCGCGGCAGTCATCACATTTTTTTTCAAGGCCTTATCGTGGAGTCCATGGCAGCATGGCCTGTTGGCAACTGGAGGGGGTTCCCCCGATGGTGCAATACACATTTGGAATACCGGAAAGATGGCCCCATCCTCTGGCCCTGTGCATACCATCCCCTTACAGACAACTATCACATCTTTGCACTGGTCCCTCCACTGCAAGGAGCTCTTGAGCACCCACGGATCTTCGTGGGCTGTACCTCAAAGTAACGTACACCCGGCAGCTCATGCATCAGCTGTAGGTGTAGAAAACTCACTCGCCGTTCATTCTTACCCTTCCTGTCAACAAATTGTTAACGTCAAAGCACACTCCGCTCCTGTGGGCCACTCTTGTATGGCCCCTGACGGATGTTCTGTATTTACTGTCAGTCCCAAGGAGGAGACCATTAAGATGTTTAGGGTGTGGTCCGCGCCCGATGACAAGGACAAAGACGAAGGCAGTGACATGACCTTCAAGTCCACCATACGATAAGCATTAATATTTTCGATGCATGTACCACTACTACTGCTACCCACGTACTTATTCATTCACAGCACGCCACCCACATGCTTCTATATTTTTGCATGTATACCTGTGTTAATGATTTCCTTCTCTTCCTAAATCTGCATGCATACTTATTTGGATACCTTGTGGTATCTTCATGTCATCATTGGCGTCCTTGCACTCTGCCTCTGCTCGGACTGTCCATATGGTTCACCCTAGTACGTATGACGGGACGTGGTAAGCGTGTCCTGAATTAAATTGTCCTTCTACAACAAAATCCTTTGAATGGATATTATCTGGTGATCACTCCACAGGATAAACTTAAGGCCTCGGGAAGCTATAATCAGCGGAGCACAGCACGTTGCCAATCTGTTGGGGGATCAAAGCCGCCACAATTTTGCTTTGACCAGACACCTCGAAGTTGTTCCATGGAGAGAACTTCATGTTGAACTTGTGGGCTAATCTTGGACATTTCCATATAAAAATCTGACCAATGTCGGTGTCTCGATCTTTCAGGGCGGACTGAGGGGTATATGCATGAGACGAGAGCCTGATTCAGATAATGAGGCAATATGTCGTTGTGGTTTCTCTACATATCTTCCAACGTCGGTCTTGCATGTATATCGATTTTCGAGAGTCCATGCTATACATAGATGATTGCCCTGTTATGCCCTGAGGCTTGGTAGTCACATGACGTCTGAATTCAGTGGGAGACTGGAGTAATTATAACTGAGTAGTAGTAATTCACTTCTTCCCGTCGCCCCCTACTTGTCTCGTTAAGGGAGAATCGGCTTTGTTTCCATATGGCACCTAGTATCGTACTAGTAGCACCTGGAGGTCAGCTACAAAATCAGACACCCTTATTTCCCAACACTAATCTCGCTTCTCCAAACAGAACCTCGCGAAGGCAATAAGCCACAACCATTGGGAAATTTTGTCCTGATATTCCTCTTCACCACTTCCACGTTGTGCTTGCTTTACTTGCTTTGGCGTCGCGCAAGTACTTTGCGTGCAGTAGTATCCCACCAGTGCGATCATTCAGTCAAGTTCGTGTCACATATTTCGGACTTATACAAACACAGACTACAAACGTGGACAAGGCCGGAAGGTCAAATTCGCCTCTCCGAGGACGACGGTCCATCTGCTACCGAGTTTCTGACTGATGGGGACGACGAAGATATTGGAATAGTAGATGGTGTGATCCTGGGTCAGGACGAAGAACGACCAAGGAATGAGGTTATCACTCTACCTTCTGTCAGACCTGGTTCCCCATCGTAAAACATATATTTCATCATTTGTTTTGCCATGACCTGCCGCTTGATTCTATTCCTGGGGACGGTAATGTATGACCGCTATTTTCACACCGGGTTATCTGACCTTCTCTATCGTCTCAGAGTATCTCGTTGGTCTAACTTCAACACCATGCCTTGCTGTTTAGATTCCATTATGTTCGCGAGCTAGCGGACCTTGTTTTACTATCGGCTTGTACGACAGGCTCCATGTTTTGACATTTCCCAGATCTGATGTTCAGTGGTCACTCCTTATCTCAGCAAAGACACAGTGTCCATACAGGTCTCTGGACATAAAATCTCGCGAATGGTCAATTCTCGTCATGCGTTCTTGATCCTGTCATTGCGCTTGCTTCTTCGTGTCTTAGGATGGCACACTGGATGTTTCAAGGCCTGCCGCCTTCATAGATAACGCCTATTCTCTGATTCTTCCTCCGCATTGTTATCTTTTCTTCCAGTCATAAATGGTGTAGCCGCACTGATATACTTCCGGACGATTGGCTTGGCGTGCACTTGCTGTCACTGACTTTGCGGCGGATATCGAAAAAGTTACCTAGGCATAAGGCGCGGTACGTCCACTCCTAGTGTTTGCTATATTTTGTGGCTAACGCGAATGTTTAGAGCAGCGCCTTTACTGTTAATGACACCCTGACTCAGTGCTTTGCGCCAGTACCATGTTAATATACATGACATTGTCATGGGCACGAAGTCAGTGGTCTGATGGGGGTTATGCATAAACGCCCACAATTCTCATTTCTAAGTTGCAGGAAACTTTCATGCGAACTACTCCAGTCCGGGTCTGTCAAATTGTTCAGAATGCAGTTCATACAAGGCCCAATCCATAATTCAGAGTTGAACGGGAGTCTGGTTCAGGTCTTCGGGACTGCAAACGACACATCTATAACTTCCGAGTCATTCTATATCAAACCATATACACGTTCAAATTGGCCTGGTGTCTATGCGAATTCAGTTACCAATGATGTGCTCCTTACGAAGTCGTCCAAGACCAAAGACAGATTCTACCGAACATCTTTGGTGGAAATGGCATTGTTGCATCCTTTGGCGTCTGCGTCGGTGAGCATCAAGAGATATACGAGACACTCGTGTACTATTAAGTTGGTTTGCAAGTTTCAGACGATGTCGCGTTGCCGCGAATAGATAACAAATGGGTCAGTGTTGCGTTTTAAAATTTTGAACACGTTCGCTGAAAGTCTGCGCTCCAGCATTAATCTCATACTTTCACAGTATGATTATGTTATTTCTTTCCACTCTCCCTCTGCTGACGAGTCCCCGACTTCCATGTATATCAGGTTACAGGTCCGCACCATTAACCACTCACCATTCAATAGAAATCTTGAATTCAATCTAAATTGACAATTCTGTGGTATGGCATACGTTAACCACAGATCTCTACAGAGCGAACACAGCATCATCTATGGTAAATGCAAGCACCTGGATACCCAATAATCGATTGCCTCGCTTCCAACTGGGCGCAGCCAGTTCAAACACCTCTTGGGAGGCCTGGTGATGACATGAATGACTGTGCTCATTTGTCTACCCCCAAGCGAGGTACGGGTTTAGGGTTAGAATAAGGACTTCGTGCAGCGGCTGTACAGCATGTGGCTTCTTTTCTTCGCCTAACCACCACACGGTGCCAGGCTCCAGCAAGGTCTAACGTCCTGTCTGCAGCCTGCCACCTTTTCGTATTTTATTTTCCCTACCCACCGCTCCCTTTCTTGCACAGCCTATTACCTTGCGATTTTCTACTATACTCATACTAAAGTCACTTGGCTACATAGTCACATCCTTACTAGTCTACTAGTACCGTGACTGGGGCCCCGGGTGTCTACCCGAACCTGCCAAGTTTGTGGCAGTGTGGGCGGGCGGCTCACTTTTACACAAGTCGGAACCGTGTTACCTCTTCGGGATTTCTACCTTGGAATCAAGCAAACATTTCCTTTCTCACTACTCACACAACTGTACAAGAGTGCCCACAAAGTTTAGACTGGCTGGACATTTCCATGACAAATCAATCGATTGTCACGAACCGGCGCGGCAACCGAAACTATAACAATTAAGGAAATGCCGTCGGCAGAGTTTCGACCACATGGACTGAGACCGTGCCTAGTACCTACGGTTTGGTCCCCTGGCCAGCTGCGGGCTGCGGTAACATACAGGTGCCTCATTTACGGCTAGACAGCGTGTCGATTGAAGATGTGAGTTCTGCAGCACCTTGCCTGCTGCGTGTTCGCATATTGGTCATTGACTTCTAAGAACGCACCATTGCGTAAATGCTAGGGTTGCTCGACCTTCACATCTACAGGCGGTGTCACACTGGAATTACGCTTCTCTACTAGTGAAGGAGGATTACTGAATTTGGTGCATTGCGGACGAACGCATATCTCCGGTAGTACATGATGGACTCGTTTCGTCTCCACAGTGAATGCGGGCCAAGCGCATCTCCGACTCGTTGAAGGTCCTTTGGCCGACGAGATATACAGTCCGGGGTCTCTACAATCATCAAAGTAAGCGAGGGTTCTGATATTAGTCTCAACTTGCCGGGCAACTCGAATTCGAATACCTTCGGCGAAGCAGAGTCACCCCGCTTGACGTCATCAAGACCCAAGCCTACACGACATCCCACCGATAGTCACCGCTAGTACTACATGACTACCAATCTCATGAACACTTACTCACCCACTTGCTACCGTCCCCTAGTAGGCTCGTTGGATGCGTCAACCTTCTTGAGGTGCGCAGCCCCAGCGGCCTGTGTCAATTATTTCCTCTCCTCTCAGAGTATCGCCAAATGGAGAGCCTGAGATTGAAAACATGATAGTATTAGGCTAGTACTATATTTATGTAACTGTGCTACTCTAAGCGCTGAAGCGCTGAAGTGCAAAGGTTTGGATGAGGCCGCCGCAGCACGCAGTGGCATGTAATTCCTTCGCATCGGTTACCATACACTTTCACGTTTCTGCAGGCGCAGCTTTTCGATTGACAGGCTTGTAGTATCATGACTTTACGTGACCTGTATTTGTCGCTGTAGGGTGCCGCAGTGCCGACGGAGTGCGTATATATGAAGTAATCAATGTCATAACCCGTACGTACATAGCCGCTAAGCTGGCAAGATACTCAAACACTTTCTTCCTGCTGATCCTTAATGGTCCTTTGAGTGTTCCGGGTTCGCCCTTCTTCGTACGATCATGTTCTCCAGTTTCTCCTCCTTCCTATCATCCATTCCACAACCGAGTCAGGAGCAGCGCTCGCATCAGTCATTATCAACTCCAAATAATGACACTCCAACCAATGACGCTCCAGAGCCAGATGTTGATTCTCGGCCACTGGATTACGCTGCTAGTGATCCCAAGGCGAAGAAAAAAGACAAGAGGGAGAAACTTGTAAATGAGGCGCGTCTCATACTGTTCAGGTCAAATCTGAAAGGCTCAACAATATGTCGTTCAGACATTCATTGTTGTGCGACCTCCACCGAGTAAATCAAATCACCCGCTCAATCTCCAGGTTCAACTTGTACCCCCGCAATCTCGTCATGATCGACCCCATGCGACTGTCCAGGCGCTCGACCAGTCAGCCCCAGATACAGTTGACACCACTTCTGATTCTATGGATCTTCGAAGAACTTCTTCTAGCCAGTCAGAGACGTCTGCCTATTCAGCTTACACCTCTGCAACCTCTATATCATCATATAATTCGTCATCAACTGCGAGTTCGGGACGTCGCATGATCATTCCACTTTACAATCTTCAAGCTCATAACGTCATGACCAATGTTATAGTTGACGCTGGCACTGATGCCAAAGTGGCTAAATTCGCCAAGAGAGGGTTGGAAATTCTTGGTCTGGCTATCCTCGAACCTATCGAAGTCTGGGGCACTGTTCCGTTGCCAGGTACTTTACTACCAAGCAGCAGCGCGCGCACTAGCGTTGATGAGCCCAAACGAGAACTAGGTTTGTTCCCTCGGTCACCCACCCATTCTTCGAACAGCAGGCCTGTTACGCCCGAAATTTGCACCACTCTCCTTCCGCCTTCTTCGCACACGGATATCCCTCGTAAACCCAGCTTTACCTTCATCCCCGCTACCACAGACGAAACCATAACAAGCAACGCACAGCCCCAGCGCGGAGGCGCTAAAAGCCTGTTTACCAAGATATTCAAGAAAAGAGACACGTCTTCACGAACGCTCCCATTAGTGACGGCGGCTACCGATTTGCAGGGTTTGCCAAGCATAGCTTGTGTCCCGTCTCGCCGATCGCATGACATACACCTGTCGAGTCCTCAAGTTGTGGATGTACCTCGTTTTAATGATAACCCCCCACGCACTTCATTGTCAGGAATGTCATCCACTGTCACTCTCTGTCCTCCTGTCCTCGGTATCCAAGCTTCCCTTTATCCGTCAATATCTCCACTCAAAGGCCGACCCACTAAGTATGTTTGGGTTGTCCGTAAATGGCTCAAGGGCACAGACACAGGCCTTTTGAATGGAATGATGGGCAAATTGAGCGTAAATGGGCGCGGGGATCTCGCTGGAGCCAGCGCTCCGCAGGTGGAGGTGCGTTTTGAGTGGTCACGAGGGCTGAAAAAGGAAAAGGAGCGGGGTAGGAAGTCCCGTACTGATAGGAGGTCCCCGACGCAAGGCCCCGAGAATGGGAGCGTTAGCCGCCGCGGAAGCGCGGTTGTGGCATCCGAGCCTCTATTGATGAGGTCGGTTCACAAATCACCATCTCGTTTGTGTGACCCCCCACCGGCCCTCGATACTTTACCAACAAGCCATAGTCAATCAAGGTCCTCGCATCACAGTACCAGTTCAGATGGTAGCAATAGCATCGGAAGTAGCGCTCACCGCGCAGACGATTCTGGTGACGACAGTGAAGCCGAGGATTCAGAGACGCCTTGGACGTGTACTCTCACGGTGCAACGGACAGGTCATCCGCCACTGATGCACAGTTCTGCACAACAGCAAGACCATGTCGTCCGACTGAAAGTTGCCACACTTAAGCCGACCCCACACCATCCCAAAGTCGTCGGACTCCTGAAAGTCCCCTTTCCGTTGCCAGACATAGACGTTGAGCGCCTTGCGGTGCACCGTCGTATGGTTGCTGCGCAGAGCGTTATCCGAACTGCCTCTAATTCGGGCGAGTTAATGCTCACCGCTGAGGAGATCAAAGATTCGATTTCATCCACCGCTTTATGGCTTGTCGTACGAGAAGCATTCGGAGGCGTTGGCCGAGAGCGCAGAAAGGGCGACGGGTGGCGAATCAGAGCTTGATCGCTCCCGGTGCAAAATAATGTCCGTTTACTGCGTTCTAGTCTGTGACATATCTCCTCCGACACCGAGCCATTCCTACCTTATCTATCTCGCAATCTATCCTCCCCCCTCACAAGGCATGAATCTATCTTTCTGGTTTTTTTTTCGTTTGGCAAGTAGGTACATCGCGCTAATGTATTTATCTCGAACGCCCCTTTACTGCTTGGTCGCGTTTAACTCATCCTCATCCTCACCTGTCATCTTTTCATCACTCATATGATACACTGAAGTCATTGCAGTTTTGTACATACTAATGATCTGATTATATTATCTGATATGTACTCAGCATTGTACCTGATCACAATCATACATCTCGTTTCATGAATCGTATGCAGGCAATTCATGATTGGTCGCGTGATATTCTAGTCATATTGGCAGCAACAGAACAGGGTCTCACGGCTCACGAGATGATCTGAGATGATGCGTTCCGACGGATAAGTGATCCCCTCGGTGGTCGAGGCGAGCAACATGCATAGCCTTGAGACTCATAATTCCGACATTAATTTAACATTCCCATCTTTGAACCCTTTCGAACTGAACCAGATGTAGATGCTGGGAAGAGAAAACGAAATCTTTCCCGCTCTAGACGGACGGACTATGTTCCGCAGTAAGCAGCGCCTGTGAAAGAAGGTTTTTTTGAATACAAAAACAATACTTTTTATGTTATTCACTAGGGCTGCACTCTAGGATAAATCGCATGCAATCGCGTGCAATGAGTACGTTGCCTGGAGTATGTATTGGCCCGATCCCGCGGCGAGCACTCCATATACTTGCCCCGCATATTACAAAAGCGGGTGATCCCGTCGTCAATGTGTTTATCAGATTGACGCGTGGATCAGATGAATCACGATCATACCGCGGACCAGCGGGGCCGAAATCATTGCCAGCGGCTTCAAGGCAACAAATGGCTTTTTTATTGGTTCGCATGCGTCGATGGTCCAACGGAACAGATCGAGACGAGCACGCAATCACCTTTATATGGGAAGTGGTCGGATAAGCGCTGACTCGGAGTACCTTAGTAGTGCACCCTGTTTTTGCGAAGAATCGGACTCGGGCTACTAGGAGAGGGAGTCAAGGTGGACTAGTCCTCCACGGAAGGTTATAATTATCGGTGACAAAGTCAGCTTGAGTAACGATGCGTTAAGTCCAACGCTGGCAGGCGCTGGCCTTTAATAACCTATAATGAGATCGCAACATGGTTTTGGCTTGGTTACACGCACGACACCGCACGACAGCGAAATAACGGACGATACCAGGCTATACCCTCAGGAGAACTGTGCAGTGAGTAGCCCTAATAGATTCTGCTCCGTGATGCGGCGTTTGGAGTTCATCAAGATCTTGGCCATCGGCGCATCAGAAATGCATCAAGAGTAGTACCATTCATTTCCCCGCACTTTTTGGGTTGAACGTAACCTTCTTGAAGCCCGATCCCCCTACCGTTGTGGATTGGGGTGCAGATAGGCCCACCAAATCTTGGATACGGTGTAGTTCGTGACTGGCACAACCCCTGACGGCCGCACCAGTGCCTCCGTAATCGGCATCCCCTGGAAGAGGAAATGCTAAACGGTTCATATACGTGTTGTCTTGACTTCCCAGAGAGATCTCGGTTCTATTTGTACCTTGATTACAGCTAATCAAAAGACGCGTATGCGGCAAAGAACTAGCACTTACACTTCCAAACCTTCTGTTACTTTGCTTAGTTTGGGCGAGGAAAGCTGTGGTCATTTATCCAAGAGAGACGTATGCGGTATGATACTGGTCTGGGCCGAATCAAATTCGACCAGGATGAAATCTTCCGCAGAATTTGATACATGGGGCGCCAACAGGCGTCCATAACACCAGATATTGATGACCGGGTAGATATCATTAATGCCCAGTTGTCTTGAAAACTCAATAAGGAGACACTTACAGAGATTTCATCACCGAGAACTCCTTTTGAAATGAACATGACTTGGATACAGTTTCAACAAACATTATTGTGTGAGTGATCTGGTGTTTCGGGGATAACTGTCGATGATACACTGGCAAGTTTCACGATTAGTAGCCTGAATCGTGTAAACTGGAGTTGAATCGAGTAACATGTTGGCTGCACTGTGAAAGCTGAAGTCAGCAAGGTGACCTAGACCTGGCATTACGGCATGTCTATAAGAGACGATCTTAGATCGGATTCTTCTATGTAACGGTATTCGACGAACTCGGCAGTTTCTTTAATATCGGGTATAGATACTAACCACAACCCTCTCCGTGGCCTGCAGGGATTCGGCGTGCTAGTGGAGAGCACCCTCGGCTTTCTGGCTTGATCGGTTTGATAGGCAGTCTACCTCCGGTTCATGACCTTTCGCCACTTGGTCCATTACCACTTGATTGGTTGATTGAAGCTTCGTAGAAACAGCCTGAAATAAGGACACACGTACGTCTTCTTGATCGTCTTGTTGGCACGTGGCATTTGAGGGCAGCTCATGATACCGCAGTCAGATCTTGGGCCTTCACCTATCTCTTCCCGATGTAGCGTATGAGTTTTCATACTAGCGCGAGATTTAAAATAACAACGCCGAAGCGGATTCTGGCTATACGGGCTGTACAGATGGATATACTTATTTACCCGACTTATACGAGGTTGGTTCTGCATTAAATTCTCTAGGGACATCATAAATTGCACCAGTCATTCCTGCCCTTCCTCTCCATCATTCCCCTTCTCTGCTTCTCGTAGACGTCGCTCTTCGTACAACGATAATACAGTTCTAATGTCTTCACACGTACGTGCACACAATTCGTATAGCAGCTCTCATCTGACCCTCCTCAGTCTACTAGTGGTCAATATAATTACAACCCTATGGATGACGACATGGCAGCCCCACGGGTCCCGCGTAGGACGGCCATGGCTTGTCAATTTTGCAGAGGTCGTGCTTTTACAACCTAAAGTACCGATACGCGTACTGAGCACTTCTTTATCAAGGTCGCAAGCTAAAATGTGATGGAAGTCGACCTAGTTGTGGTAACTGCAACCGCCGGGGCTATCCCTGCGTCTATACCCCTGTGTATGACATCTATCTCATTCGAGGCAGAACTCCTTTAATCACTCTTTCCAGCGGTTCGGAACAGCAAAAATAGCCACATTGCTATATACTTCTCGCAGGATGCGTTTATTCGCCTCGTGCAATTCTCGTTTTCGTGGCTATAACTTTCTTCGTCGCGGAACGTTCTTCCGGCCGATTCCGCTTCTTCAAATCGTACAATGAAAGAGCATCCCGAAGGGGAAAGTTAGCATCTCTTTGACATGGACTTATCAGATATACATAGGCTACACCTGAGTAATGTGCACGCAGCCTCCTGTTTATAGTATTTGATCAAGCATTTTGTAGATTTAAATTTACTTTTGATTCTGTTTTACCCACTGACCGACTCAGTGGCTCCGTGTTTCCGTCGCCTTAAAAGCATTACTTATAAGCACGATCATTTCGGAAAAAAATTATCACGGCATCCATGATGGATAACCGCACTTCGTAATCTCGAGCGGGAAGGTCACCCAGGAGAACAAGTGACACGTTTAAACCACGACATCGCCATTCATTTTCATGGTCACAGCCAGTGACGGCACCAATCAATGGGATAGATCCCGATAAGCCCGTCGATCGCAAGTTTGAATACTTACAGTTGTGTGCGAATAACGACCTGGTCGCAACCTGATATCGTAGTCTGACGGCCCAATGTTTGGTGCATTGAGATAGTCGCATGAAACAAAAAGCCGACACCGGGCCATGTATAATGCACGGTCTTCCGGATCTCGCTCAGGATCTCGAGTACCTATATCCGGTTCCCTGTCCTGTGTCGTAAAGCATTGCAACTACTGCCAATGAAGCATATAGCCTCAATACCTTCAATGAAGTGCACCCGCGTCTGGTAATTTTCATTTCGACTCACTGGCTGTACTCTTCTACTTCATGTAATATTTTCGAGTGCCTTTCAAGTCGGGTATGTTGATCGAAGCTACACTTTTGATAAAGCTTTACACTTAACTTAACTGGACACTGGTCAGGTTCGACGCACGGAACCGTTTTTGGCGCTACGTTTTGCCATCCGATAACAAGGAAAACAGGTTATCGGCACCGCGAAGGGTTCTGTTGATATCTAGGGGTCAACTTCGAATCTGATGTATGAATCTTTGGCTGGCTCCTATAACATATCATGAGTAGGGAACCAGTGTCTGAGGTGTCCGCGAGATCCCCGATCAAGTTGAAGGACTTCCTTTTCAAGCACGGACATGGTCATGCATGACTTTTGCACAAAACCGTAGTAGCATTAGTACTAGACAGCAGTGCTGCACATGACAGTAATTTGCATACCATTTGAGGGCCCCGCGAGGATATTATATGGGTTTAGAAATATCTCTTAGTTCGAGATCCGCATCACTAGTTAGTATCGCTGCCAAGGCAAATCAGCTCTGCCTTTCTCGAATGTCTCTGCATCATGGCCACGCGACTAACCTATGTTTAGCTAACTTGACCCCGGACCAATATTTGATGACCCCATACGAATGAAGAATTAGAAGGGCAGTGCTTGCCGCCATGAAGCCTACGCCAACCATAAAAATACACGGATCGCGGGTGGAAACGTAAGTGGGTATCATAAAGTTGTACCATCATGATTATTTCTGATGGAGTGCGGTGAGAACGGATCGTGGAAGCAGTAGCCACCCGAATACCAGTCCATAGATGTTCAATGTTCATTGACGGAGATAGGCGTGCCTCCGAGCTCTCGAAGGTTCATGAAGAGGACCTTATCACATTTAAATGGGATATTAAGACAAGTCGTCAGGCAAGCGAACCAAATGTGAAGTAGCCCGGTGAGATGGATTCAGGGTGGCCGTGTAGCCTGACTAAGGCAAAACTATTTGCTTGAGGACTAGTCGGAGTGGTTTCTCAGTCTAGCGAAAGTGGTGTGAAGTAGGTTTGCACCGCACCCAAACCGCACCCCATATTTGACCAGACAAACGTGGCCCTAGAAAGGCATGACGTAAGAACCTGAAGTTCCCAAGCGTGATGCCGCTTCTCGGTTCAGATGATACCAATATGGACCTCCTTGCTGAACACCACCTGCAGGGAACTTCAGCTGTATTCTATATCCCAAACTTCATCTCTGAAGATGAGGAACAGTACTTACTACGGAAGGTGAGTTTTAGCTGGACCATCTTAGGTGAGTCCCTTAACCAGTCGTCAGATAAAAGATTCCCCAAAGCAGAAATGGAAGATGTTGAACAATCGCAGGTTTGTCATGCATAGCACTACGGAGACGTGCGCAGCAATTCGGAGGCTAATTCGTTATCTTTATTTAGATTACAATTATGGGGTGAGTAGAGTCATCCGCTGCTGGTTGAGATCCCTCACGCAGGCTCCTTCATTCCATACAGGGGGTGAAGTTCTCCAGAAGAACATTCTGTTTCGCCAGGAATTTCCTGCATTCTTGAATGATTTGTGGGTCGATTATCATGCTTCGCGTAGTCCGTCTCAATCATCTGATCTGATAACAGTCCTGATGTTCTAGGACGTCTCAGACTCCTTGGCGCCTTCAACCAATCCCCACACAAAGGACCCAATCACGTTATATTGAACGAAGTGAGATCATTTCATCTCACGAATCACTTTTACACCCCTCTCATCGTCGTGAAAGTATCATCCAGGACAAGGCATTATGGTACGATCCGAAATATACTGTTTCAACACCGATGATTGATACCCAGTTTGAAGCCCCACGAAGACGGTCCCTCATATCACCCAGTCGTCGCAACTATTTCCTTAGGATCGCATACTATCTTCCATTACTATCGGTATAATAAGGATAAAGACAGTTTGAGTGTTGACCCCGGATCGACTCGGATGGGACGTAGCGTCAATCCAGCACCTTCATTGTCATTGTTTTTGGAGCCTCGCAGTGTTGTGGTTACGACTGGGGAACTTTACACAACGCATCTGCATGGCATAGACGAGGTAGATGCCGACACATTCACCGGCGATGGTTTCCTGCTTCTTCCCAATGGATCGCACTCACAGATCGTCAATCGCCACATGATTAAAGACGAGACTGTCGTGAGAATGATTGAATCGGGAGGGACGGTCGAGAGGACGACTAGGTACAGTCTCACTTGTCGCGATGTCGAGAAAGTGGCAAGTGGGAGGGTAGCAGGAGTCGTCAATCGTACTTGACTATGGTAGCCTTTGGCCTAGAAGGACGACACCCCCACGTTCAAGTCCTTTGAGAGCCTTGAAGAATAACATTCTTACGTCACGACAGTTACCCTTGGACTTGATTTGGTCAAGGTGTCGAGCGAGGTATAGTATATCATTTGATCCCACAAGGCGCTTCCTCCCTCTTACCCACATAATCATCATATACGATAACGATTGCCTACGCGGCTTCCTTGGGTGCCAGGGACACTTCAACAACTTCTGCTTCCCCGAGGACGTCCTTGATGCCAGGACCAGCTATCATCTTTGCATAGTGCGCGACGATGGTTGCTTGTGGTGCTCACTCAGCAGCGCCGAGCATCGCTTGGGCGGCACGTTGGATTACAGCAGCTAAAATTATGTCTGCCAGGGTAATATCATGATTCTCGTCAGTGACGAGGAATTTGAGCGAGCGTTTTGTAAGCACCCCGGCTTACCTGAGTTCCCATATTCAGTACTAGGGTTCGGGGCATTTGGGGTGGGCAAATTTGCCCGGCTAATTAGTACATATGATATTGCAAGCTTAGCTTTCAGTCTGACCTACTTACACGTTGTCGCATAAAAAAACCCTTGTGGATCTGTAGAGTCACATCGAGTTCCTATGTACAAAGACTGACATCTTCATTGTAGGCCTGCAATAACCGCAGAGCGGTTCAGTATCTGGATTGCGTTCAGTCAGTAGAACTCATCAAAATAGAACAGAAAACAGAACTGACACATTTAGATTGGATCAGGAGCACCTCGGAGAGTGCTGTTAGGAGCCATCGGGTTTGATATAGGAACTCCGAGACGTTCTAGGAGTGATGGAAAGCATTGTTTCGTTGAACAGCCTCTTATACTAGCTGCTACGCAGAGTAGACTCCACAATCAAACGGTTTTCCGAGTATTAGCTTCTCCAAATAGCTTTACTCAGCCACGACCTGTGTCCGTACTGCGCCACGCTCAGTCTTTGAAAATGAAAAGCTTACAACAGCATTTTCACTGGCGCATTCCTCGCTAGCATGTCTTTCGAATCCGTAAATAACCCTAGCATGCATATTCCAGAAGTGAACAATATGCGGGGATTGTCAGGGACCGGTGTCAGTAGTTTGAATGCTTCGCGGATCAGAACCGTCGTCTTCAGATGATTTTGAGAACTTTGTCAACCGAGTCCAAGGAAAAGTTGGAAAAGGGTTGCTTAGATCTGAATATGGCTATGTACGCTTAGAAACACTGATCGCAGTGAAAGAAAGGACGTACAATAGCAATGTCTGAAACTGAACGTGGTTACTTTCATTTGTCGAACAAATTCTGTGGACTTTCAGAAGAGATGTGTCTCGCCCCTGTACATCTCACGTACGCCAGTCTTCTCCGGTTAAAAATGACACGCATGAGACACACGCCTAGAGACTGGCTGGTAAGCACGCCACGGTTAAAATTTGCAAATAGACTCACCGAGGCTTGAACCGCCCGAGGTTGTACTCCTCGCAGATTCGGAGATTAACTAGTGATTGTAGCGCTGGCACTACATTAAAATAACATTAGCGTTCCTGATCATGGCGGAGTATATAGGAGCACATACCATTATCATGCAACACATGTTGCCTCATTGTTTCCACACTTGGTGAATGGCAGGCACTGGCAGTGCTTGCTGATTAGAGTTAGGTACTGATGCTCGATAATTCCTTGCTAGAATTGGGATGCACTGCCCAGACTAACGTCTCATTGTGATGATGGACGGAATTATCCACTAGTCTCCCGTGGTCAGACCATATAGACTCGGAGGAAGACAGTCGTTCTTTCTGTATCACCGCGCTAGCTGGAAAACGTTCATTCAGGGGTGCAAAGAACGACTGGAAAGATTCTAGGGACGGTCATCTTCCTTCTTTAAAGTCTGGGTTGACAACGATGGAAGGAAGCTTGTCCTGACGCTTAAGTTTCGCCTATCAAAGCTTTGATGTGAAGTTATGAACATTGAACCTTCGCGCGGACGACAAAGTTTAATGATGCCTGCGAAATCAGAATGGACAAACCCAGTATCCAAATTCTTACTTGCTTCGTACTGCTTCGGTACAAGGGACTTCATAGACTCTTGGCTATGTTTGATCGAAGCTCGAGGTGGATATCCGCCGGCACCGCTTTTGTCGCAAAGGATACTATTGCCTGGCTCGCGCATTAAGTTAGTCTTGGTGCCAATCCTCAAATTCAAAAACCACATAAAGCTACTTGATCATAAGGCTCCAGAATGCCCCAGGCCTATGAACTGATTGCCATCGGACAAGAAATTAATGAGGACATGACCGATCGTAGCATGAAGCGGCTTCGGAGCTTGAACATACACGGGTGTGCCCTCGAAATGCCGAGCGGACTACGAAATAGGCCAAACTGGTTGTACGTAATCGGTAACGTCAGTCGATTAGCTACGAACTCTAAACTCATTCATCTTCTGAAGTAAGAGGCATCGAGTGTTACACTAGACAGTATGTGTGTAACCACTGCTCTTCCACAAACGTAGGTTAACAGATGGTTAAAAGTAACAAGATCTACATATAAGAAACACGATGATACACGAAATCAATACTGCAGCTTCCCAAAAGTCCCGCGTTCTCCGGCCCATCAGTACTTTTTACTTGAACTGCAACGCAAACATCAGCGAAAAGTCATGAAACACGATAGAAAGAATACGACACTTACGTTCTTTCCATCTGCCCATTTCTTGCCATCGACCTCCAAATCCCATGCAAGTGCGCCCTCAAAGAAGGCTTTGTCCTCTTGGTTACCAAACACATCTAGTTTGGTGTAACTGTAGCTTTCAAAGTCTGGTGCGCAGTCTACGGCCGCCTTTGAATCTTGGCCCCTCAGGATGAGAACACCACTGATAACAGAAGCGTTGGCCTGGCCAAGCACGCCCACCGATCCGAAGAGGTACTTGCGCGATGCCTCCAGACGGTTGAAGAAGCCACCGATCTGGTTAGAGGACATGAAGACTTGCGTGAGTTCCTCATTGTATTTGAAGTCTACGCGCCAGACGGAGAAGCCCTCCTTGTCGAAGCTGCGAGCGCCTTGGTCAGTACGACCAGTAAAGGAGAGGTATGTGCTTACTTGGCGTAGAACCACTCCAGCGAACCATCAGCGCCGCGCGTATCTTTGTTGCTGTAGGCACGTTTCCAGTCCTCGAGGTTGAACGTGCTCTTTGGGAGCAGTTCCAAGGGATTCTTCTCCTTGGGTTCCTCAGGAACAAGGTTGCCATCATCCTCCTCATCGTCCTCAGCAACTTTCTTCGGCTTCTCTTTCTTCTCTTTTGGTGCGGCCGGGGGGGCGGGCGCCTTCTCCTTTTTGGGAGGGACGTATTGCACCGCCTTCTCGGTGTACTCAGTAGGACCGTAGATAGCCTCGAGTTTGGGCTGATGCACAATAGTCTCCAAGAAGCGAACAGTGTTGATGAGGTTGGCGCGTACAGCGGCATCTGCGGTGACGCCAACGGCGCGCTGGAGAACAGACGCAACAGTGATATCAGCAAGAGTGATGCGGTCGCCAACGAGGAAGGTACGGGTGCTCAAATGAGCTTCGAGGGTGTTAAGGCTGCGCAATTGTTGCTCAGCCATGATGGTGTGGATCTGTAGGAGGTCATTGAGTGCGAACAGTCGGGTGGCGAGGAACTAACTTACGCCTTTGCTGTAGGGGATGTAGTTATTAAGCATCCCTGTAATTACATCGGCGAATGTGGACATTTCTGCTTCGGCGAAGTGAACCCATTGATCAACGGCTGCGACATCCTCTGGTGTTGAGCCGAGAAGGCCAGAGTTGGGAGCAAGGCCGGCAACTGTAATCAAAACGTTAGTACATGCGTTTCAACCCCACAACAACACCACATGAAAGTGAGAACGGATAACACGATCAGAATTACATGAAACTATCGACACAGAATTAAGACAGGGATAACTGTAGATCTTCTCATCCTTATGGTATCCTAGATCAAAATCAACATGGAAAATGGTATGACTCACGATACCGCGCGATCGGGGTACCCTCCGTGAGGTTAAAGCCGTTTGCGCCCTCTAAAGCGGGGATCTTTCCATGAGGGAACTTGGCAAGAAACTCTGGCTTCTTGTTGTCCGAAAAGTGTTTGTACTCGGGGATCTCCAGCTCAAGACCTGCTAGTGCACAGACGCTCCTGATCTATGGGTTATTATGAGTCATATTAAAAACGCGAAATGTTACAAGTGCACTAATTACCGTCTTGGTCTGAGTCATGGTAGGGACACAATAGAGCTTGCCCACAGGTGCCATTTTGAAAACTTGGAGAATGTGGAAGATGGGGAGAAAGATGAGATGACCGATTTGATTAGCGCACCTCCTGAAATTTTATCGGAGCACAACCAAAACACAGGTCAGATAATCGCAATGAGGCCCATCTGATCCCATTAGGGCAGGCTTTATCGATCAGAGATAGGGTTAGTTTGAAAGTTATGACTCCAGTTTCTTTCTAACACAACGTTAACGAGTCATCCTACTGAATCGATGTACCCCAGCATTCGATATCCTATGATCAGCTTCCCATTCAAAGAGCATTTCTAAGATCACAGCACTCGCCACAATCTGATTGGCTGAGACAAACTTGCTTGGCAACACGAGTCTTCAAGCTTCAAGTTCGGATTGAAAGCTGAAGGGTCCTAGAAGTGCTCAGATTATATAGTGCCGATCCACTCCCAACCTGCCTTGGGTTTTGAGCAAGAAAAATAGCAAGTACACATGAACTTTTTTATGTAAATAATGACCACAATCGCGCTAAGGCTATCACACAAGTATCGTGTCATAACACTTCGGGTCCGTTGACAGTTTCACCACTAGAAGTTTTTTCAATCCGAGTCTTCTGGCAGCATCAATAACTTGCGCCTAACTCTTTCTTGGACACTTCCTTAGCCTGGGGTAAGCTCTTAATTTGGCATCATGCAACTTCTGGCTCTGGACTAGAACACGAGGCTCTCGTATTTGTCGGATGAGCATCAGTGATCAATGTTATTATGTGCATCGCACTAAGTAGTCCTAGTACGCTTACGAACGTTGGACCCTCGAACTCGGTCCTAAGCGCTAAGCGGCAAAACTAATGGTTCCCGACGGTTGCTTTGCTTTCCAATCCAGGTATCGAGTTGTCAAAGTATTTGTGCATGCTGGATATCTTGGTGGCGCCAGTAAACTCGCCAGTACTGTACAGGCGAATGAATATTACCTTCCGACACGGTGAGGCATCCAAGTATTCGTAGTGACAGTTGGCATGGATAGTAATAAGTACTACGTCCGTTATTGAATGAGGACAAGCCCGGTGATCGCTGCCAAGTGTGCCTCGGTAGAGATGATGCTGTAGTAGTAGTTGTCACAATATAATTCGAGACGAAATAACTGAGTAAACGGATCTGCCTCGCGCCCAGTCTCCCAAACCTGCTTGTCGCAATATAATTCGAGACGAAATATCTGAGTAAACATATTTGCCTCGCGCCCAGTTTCCCAAACCTGCTTGTCGCAATATAATTCGAGACGAAATATCGGAGTAAGCGGATTTGCCTCACGCCCAGTCTCCTAATTGAGCAGGTTTGAGAGTGAACAGCGTCTCTGATACAGTCGACTGGGTGGGGCCATGTTCCTGGTATATTACAGCCGTCGGCCACCGTGGACGGATCGATCCCACAGGCCGACCTGAATCGTTTTCTCCGGAAACTAGTTAAATAGCATGATCATATAGCATGAGACGTATTTGCGCAAATGTGAATCCACACAATTCATGGAGTTTGAGGTCACCGATGACGACAGAGCTCTTGGCGAATTATCGGAGAACTCCTGAGGCTTGAAACACCATCCCAAAGTACACCGACAAGTTCTGTCTTGGTCACCGAGTGCTGTACTTGGAACTGCTGAATCAAAGTTTTGGCAACCACTGGCAAAGTCTTCGGACCCCCTCATCCACAATGGGTATCGTCGACAATAAATACAACATCCATCTTGCGCAAGACCAGAGCGAAGCAGAGGGGCAATGACAGTGGAATGATCAAATAGGGTAGTTCTTGCTGAGATATCTGAAGAGATGACGTCACGGTGCGGTTCTTTCAATGGATGGCCCATCAGGGAATAGACGACTTATTCCTCTAGATAGAATCTAACCTTCCTTCCCTTGGTGACCTCCTGCACTTGGTGGTGTTGGTGAAATAACGGAAGGAGGAAGAAGACCACTTCTACACAATGCACCCGTCCGACTGTCGTCACCAAGAAATGTTACATATTGCACCACCACCGTGGGGTGAGTAGGTACGTACGCATGTTCAGCCAACCCGCCAAGCCGTCTGCCAATGCCATATCGTGATTTTGTGCCAACAGAAACGTTCTGTCAGCCCTTGCGCTTTGCACCAGTTACTAGCGGTACAAAGACTGATGGCGGGATTGACACGAACAGTTTAGTGCCACCGCTGTAGCGAGCTCTCACATCAACTGAGACCTAGGAAAGCGGGTGACCACAAGACTTTGCAGTGTAATGGTATGCGAGGGGCGTTGCACATCGACAACTCGATGATTTGGTCAAAATGCTAACATTGATGATGATCAACACAAGTGGAGGCTGGAACCTGCTTGAACTGACCCAAACATTCGAGAACGACACAGGTCGTTGGTTCTTGAAGCCCGAAGTTTTGGAAGTTTCGACTCTTGCTGTAGTCCACCGACATCAACCAAAGGAACTTAAATCTAGAGACCCTTCAAGATTGTACAGGATGGATAGGTGCAGTCTCCGTACATTTATGTTTCTTTGCGCACCATTTCTGTCCACGTCCTCGAGCCATAGTTTTATTAAGTATCATGAGCTAGGCGTAAGAGACGTGCGGGTAAAGAGAGCAGTATTTGACACACAAAAGATACAAATTGAGTAACCATACTGAGGCTCTTCCTTTCGTATCTTTTGCGTGCAACGTGGTTGCTGTTATGCGGTGATTTGATCACTTGCCAATGCAAGTGTAAGTTTCCTTGTTCAAAATGCATTGTAGGCTGCAGAGCGAGCTCCTTGAGAAGGATGTACAGTACTTGAGCAAGTGGTGGTTGACGTGACAGTGGTTTTGGTTTGAATCTAGGGTCAAACTTTAGGTCGCAAACAAACAACCTCAAACGGACCCCACATTGTGATGGACAGCGACGAAGGATCTGAGCTATATGCCTCAGACGTCGAGCACAACTATACCAACATCTTCAAAGAATCTGAAACTGACGGTCTGATCGACTCTTACCAGCCATCTTTTGATGCTTATTTTACGCATGCTTCATCACGCACGCGCACATCTACCAATGTCTTTTCACAGCGTGTCGTGCCCCTCAGCCCTGAGGAGCACAATGCTGCTCTCGCACGAGCTTCCGTGCATGCTTGTACGCCACAAGTTCCCTTTGATAGCTCCAGTTTCAAGAGATGGGCTCGCGAGCTTGACGAAGGCTTCAATATATTGTTCTATGGACTGGGTTCGAAGCGCGGTATCCTGAACGATTTCGCCAAACATGTATCGAAACTTGGACATGTTGTCGTAGTCAACGCTTTTCACCCTTCGGTAACCGTGCGCGACATGCTTGTGTCCATTGCACGCGTCCCAGGCGTACAATCCACCTCTACTTCTGCTCTTACCCTGGAGCGCGTAGCAGAGCACTTTGGAAACTCAGACAGCCCCCATCTGTTCCTGATAGTTCACTCCCTCGACCGCTCTCCAAAACTTGCACGTGCCATTTCTTCACTAGCACTCAGCCCCCACATTCACATCGCCGCGTCTATCGACAGGCTTAACGCGCCACTGCTCTTCAGCGCGTCTCAGCTCGCAGCTAGGAAAGGTTCTTTCTTTTCTTCGGATCATCCTACAAAAAACGTGGGGTACAGCTGGCTCTGGCACGACCTGACCACTCTTGCACCATACACCATCGAACTCACGTTTGCTGACCGTACCTCCATTTCTGGCGCCTCATCGTCCCGTGCACGCGTTGATATTACCAATCCTATCTCTGGCCCGCTCACAGAAACAGCTGCAATGCATGTCCTCGCAGCGGTGACCGCTAAAGCCAAGAAACTGTTTTCCTTGCTCGCCGCAAAGCAACTCGAGAACGCCAACTCTTCCGACGTCTCGGAGGTCACCTCCGCACATAACCCTCATGACCAGCAGCATTTTGGCCTGACATACGATGCTCTCTTTACTTTGGCGCGGGACGCGTTCATTGCTACAAATGATACTGCACTCAGAGCTCTGCTTGGCGAATTCAGGGACCACGGACTTGTGGTGAGCGCAGCACAGCCTGGTACTAGTGGAAGTGAGGTGTTGTGGATACCTCTGAGGAAGGAGAGGCTGTCAAAACTGGTTGAGAACCTAGATGGGGGTGCAACATGATCGTGTGCCCGACATGCTAATTAATTAGAACAAATATTCTCGTGCTCTACCGCCTACAACTTGGTGCGTATAGGAGATTGTAGGACAGAAAATACAAGATTTTGTTATTTCATACAAATATGGAAGCAATCGGACCAAAATAGCATCAATTCCGTCGGAAGCACAGGCGCGCACCGATCGAACGACTCAAACAGAACCACCATTTACTGCGCGTTTCATCGCGTTCAAACTTCGTCACAATGTCGACGACGACGAAAGACGAGTCAGAGCCTGTGGCCGACTTGAACCCGCGCTCGATGACCTATGAGTTCCTAGGCCCACCGGGTGCCTTTCTCATCTCATTCGGCGTCCCTTTCATGACGTATCTCCTATACTTTGGTTGTTCAGAAGAATCTGGCGGCTGCCCTCCTCCTTTGCAATCTATTCCAGACCGGTTCGTGGAAGCATTGAGTGACAAGACATTTTGGGCAAGTCTGTGGGATACCGAGGCCAGTTTGATTTACTTGGGATGGTACGCGTTTTGCGTTGTTGCATGGGCGGTGCTACCGGGAGATTGGGTTGAAGGAGTGACTATGCGTACTGGGGAGAAAAAGAAGTACAAAATCAATGGTTCGTGTCTGATAATAGCGGCGAGCATTGGCGCTGATGCTGTTGTTATGCAGCTTTTTCGACATTCCTTTTTGCAATGGGCATCTCCTGTGGCTATATCGTTCGCAACGGTCCCGAGTCCTTCACCTTCTTGTATCAAAAATGGATAGGATTCGTCACTGCTTCGTTGGTTATGTCCTTGGTGCAGGCCTTCTATGTGTATGCGAGTTCGTACCGCACGGGCGCTCTCCTCGCGCTTGGTGGCAACTCGGGAAATTTCATTTATGACGTACGTTTCAAGTTCGCTTGTCAGTGCCGTTCATGACTCAAGTGACCCATTTAGTGGTACATTGGCCGCGAGTTGAACCCATCCATTGGTTCTTTTGACATCAAGTCTTTCAATGAGCTCCGCCCTGGCCTCATCCTTTGGGTGTTGGTGAACATGAGCATGGTCTGCGAGCAAGCTGTACGTCGCGGAGGTTTCGCAAACGTGACCGACTCGATATGGGTTGTACTCGCCTTCCAGACTTGGTATGTCGCTGATGGACTGTACAACGAGGTTGGTCTCTCCAATTCTACACGATTGAATTTGTACTAATCCAAATATGCAGCCCGCCATTTTTACGACCATGGACATCACAACCGATGGTTTTGGGTTCATGCTTGCTGTTGGAGACCTCACCTGGGTGCCTTTTGTGTACTCGCTGCAGGCACGCTACCTTGTGTTCAAACCCGTTGAGCTTGGACTCCTTCGTACTGCTGGAATACTTGCATTCAACCTCCTTGGGTATTATATCTTCCGCGATGCCAATGGAGAGAAGAATGATTTCAGAAACGGACGCAACCCCAAGAGTGATTTTTTCCCCTTTCATAGATGCCTTTATCAGTGTTGATTTACTGCTGTTTAGATTTGAAATATTTCACGACGTCTACCGGCTCGAAGCTTCTCACTTCAGGGTGGTGGGGTCGATCAAGACATCCCAACTACTTGTGAGTTACTCTTTTTTCCCCCTGTGTTCTTGAGATTTGATTCGTGTTGTGCAGCGGCGACCTGCTGATGGCATTTGCATGGTCGCTTCCCACTGGGTTCGATACGCCAATTACATACTTTTATGTTGTGTACTTTGCGGTCCTGCTCATCCACAGGCAGCGCCGTGATGATGAAAATTGTGAGAAAAAGTGAGTCGGTCGTTCCTCTATGGTCGATATATGCTGACCAGTTAACACTAGGTACGGGGAGGATTGGGAGACGTATAAGAAACTGGTACCATACCGTATTATTCCATACGTTTACTAGGAACGATAAATCGCTACTCATTCTATGGACGATCAACTTTCGAGAACGTTAATGTATTATGTTCTGCTGTCCAGGAACAATATTTAGATTCCCTGATCAGATATGTTTGTTTGCGGTCTCGTCACTGTCCAGCATTAATTTTATCATGCAAACGACAGCTGACCGTTTCGCTCCCAGACTGGCGCGCTTCCAATGACACGCTCCAAGGTTGGAGCTCGAGGCTTGGCGCTTAGGTTTTGCCACTGGTGATGTATAACAAAAGTCTATATGATGTATATCATTAGCGCTATAAATGCTGGAAAATCCATTTCCCTGTGTTTGCTGAGGGTATGAGCCGCTTTTACATAAACGATGACGGGATCAATTACATAATCAAAATTAACTTCCGAGTCGGAGAGCCAAGTTCATGGACCAGGATCGCATATTGGCCCTGGCACCCGAGGAGATTAGGGTGAACAGTCGAGAGGCTATCATCCGACATATTGATGTTGATACTCTGCCACCTGTTCGTCGACAATGGGTGGTGTTACTCCCGTTTCGATTACATCGCTGGTGACAACTTATTAGTTGTTCGCTCTACTACACACTAGACCGATTTGCCACCTGAAAAGAAGCGAAGATAGGAAATTCAAGACCGTTAACTTTCAAGTATGTCTTCTCGTGCAAAACATCCACGCTGTCACGCTTGCCTGCACTTCTGGGAGGTTCACTCCATCGCGCTGTTTACCCAGGCGCTCTTCCTAAACCTGGAGATACTTCTTACTTCGAAGAGATCTCCAGCCACAGCGTGCGACTCGAGCTACTCCAACGATGTCATCGATTTTCAGACGCGGGCCGTTCCTTGAAGTTCATGCATAACACCACTCGTGTACACGCAGACGGACGTGATTTGATATTTGAATGCATCCTTGTCTTGGAGCGGTCAGAGAGGAAACTTGCCCCCCCATCGTGACTCCGTCCACGGACATCACAACTGATGGTTTGGGGCTTATGCTTACTGTTTGAGACCTCAGTTGGTTGCCTTTTGGTGTATTCGCTACAGGTACGCTACCTTATACTCAAGTCCGTGCTCAGGCGTGCGTCAATCTCTCGACCTCATCAGAGAGAATCGTTCTTCAGTTTTGACACTCAAAGAAGCAGAGCAGGCTTTTCCAGACGCACCCGAGCAAACGCCAGACTACCTCGCGATGTTGACACGTCCAAACACGCCTCCCCATCGACTAGATCTGAAACTCAATGCCGTATGCGCAATACAACGAAACACGTCCGTCGAAACCGGATTAGTACGAAATGCTCAAGTGCGCACCTCTGCAGATTCGTCGAGGTTCAGATTCCTCATACCGGAGAGATACATTGCCTGCCTCGCGGCATCACCTTCTCTTTCAGTTCAGCGTATTCAAGCTGGACCGTGAATCGCAAACAGTCTCCCCTGCGGTCTGCTTATGCGACGACGTTTGACGTATCTGCAGGGCTGACGCTCGAAAAGGCCTCGCTTGACCTGCACACGGAATCGTTCGCACACGGGCAGTGATACACCGCACTTTCAAGAGTACGATGTCACCGAGACATTCGAGCGCTATTTCTAAGAGAAGAGGAAAAGGCTATCACAGGTGTACAGACGTACAGACATCTCTTATTATAATTCACGATAGAAAACGCCTGAAGGTGAACGGACCGCTTGTATGATTTTTACAAAACAAACTATAAAAATATTTGAAGTATGTATACATTCATATGAGTCCAGCTTCGTCTGGCTCAAAAGTCGCTGACGTGATCTGACAGCTTGTGCTAGACCGAGCATTAGCTCGGGTGGGACGCAAGCCGGTAGAGCAGCTCCGGAGGGAGGGATAACTAGTTGACTGCTTACAAATTCGACCATGTCAAACGACTCTCAAATTGGGTAACCACAAAACGATTATGCATTATCATAATAAAAACTTCAATAAGAACAATCGATTAGAAGGAGAAACTATGTATGAACGAGGGTGCGAAGACGAAAAAAAAGGAGTGGCTGTACGATAAACGTAGGTGGTAGAGGGAACGTAGGAAGTGAGCAACATGTTCGCTCAGCTGGACTCGTGGTGCCAGTTCATTCCGGCAGGCTACAACACCTGGCACCTATACAAGCACTGGAGTGAGCGACACGATCTTCGGCTGACGGAGCTCAACAATCTAATGTGCGAGTAAATACAGAGTTTCAGAAAATTGATGGCACTATAATCCAACAGCGAAAAAAATGAGTGAATGAAGGTTCGGGTATGTGCGTGGATAACGGTGAAGGTGATTAACCATATGTAGCATAATTATGGTCGAGCTGAAGCGAGGATTATTAGAGCATCTCAACTGTCAAGTTGCATGTCGACTTACCTAGTTGTTCTTTGCGGTAGAACCAGAGGTAACCTAGTACAATGACAATCTGGCAGGTCAGCGCCAGCCAGAATGGAGCGGAGGCCATCGGGCTGCCCTTGAGAGCATGCGAGAAGTCCCATGTTCCGACATTAGGGAATACGCTCCCTGGACCGATGCGGTTTGGTGCAGTTGCACGGGCGACCATAACACAGATAGACCCAATGACCTGAGCGAGAGCGAGCGTGGAACAGACGTGTAATCTTGACAACGTCTGCAGGAGAATCATTCCCAAGCCGACACCCTGTACGGCATCCAAAACACCGAGCCAAAGCCACAGAGAAAGGCCAAGGTACGGTCCCCCTGAGCCAGCCCACGGGATATAGAGCGCAAGAGACGAGGTGCCCCACAATGTCTGCAACACATGTTAGATGACTGAAGATTGATGCAACATTGACAAGATCATACCTGACACCATCTCGGAGCACCGAGGCCGACAGCGAACACGGGCAACAACCAAGTATGGGTCTTACTCAGAGACGTGAGGATATAGAGCATGAGAGCCCAGACACCGACGAAAAAGAAGATTGTGAGAAGCAAGATCGCCCACTTGGGGATAGGAACATTCCACAGGAAACTCCAGTTGCGACCGTAGGGCTGCAATAAGGTCAGAACACAAGGATATCAATGTACCAGGCGTAACATACACCGCTGAGCCAATAATCACGTAAGATTTCAGACGCGAGGAACCTTGCGTGGAGTATCAGCGTCATCGACTTGGCCGCGAGCAAGAAAAGCCTAACCAAAGAACTAGCTTCCTTCGGAAGAGAGTTTTGAGGAAGTTTGGAACTTTCGGGGGAGTTTGTTGGTAGAACTCTGTTTTGTAGTTGGTATTATTGTCCTGCTGGAGAATTTGGATGGGACTTACCTGGCAATCCGTGCAACATCAAGTATGCAAACGCAAACGACATTATTGAGAGCGGCCACAAGATAAAGACAATCCACCAAGGCGTAACGGACCCAGGCGTCGCAGTATTCAGTGTGTTACCCCAGTACCATAGGGCAGCCACCCAGATCTGTTGAGAACCTTGTACAATGCAAGCGCGCAGTGTCCAGACTTCAGTGGGGGCAGCCTAAAGAACAAACATCAGCTGCATACAAATGGACCCCAAAAATGACGCACCGCTTCTTCTCCAAAGTTCAAGCCGAAAAATATGAAAGCAGCAGCAGAAGCGACAGCATATGACCAAGTGGCAATGTCCGATACTATGACATGAGTTCCTTGAAGTTTTGGTGATAACGAGGGTATGCCGATCAAAAAGAATGCTATGCCATAGAAGAGCCAGGGAGCAGAAAGAACGTAGACAGAAGGCTTCAAGCGGAACATCGTATACCAAACAAAAGATGAAACCAAGAATACAGCACCGAGAATATATAGCTGGATGTCGTTCTGGTAGTTTTGACCAGTAAGCAAAGTCATCTGGTAGCTGTTTGCAGCAAGCATCTTGAGAAAAAACGTGAGCTCATGGATGAAGATCAAGAATCAAATGTCTTACCTGGCCAAGAGCAATGATGATGGTATACAACGGCCAGCCTCCAATTCGTCGAGCCAGCATGCTCTGGATAGACTCCCGGTGCGAGGAAATGTGACTGATTGCACTGGACAGTTTGTCTCGTCTCACACGTTCGAAGAAAGCCTCCTCAGACTTGACGAGGTACTTCTCAATAGAGAGTTCGCCCTTGGAGTTATTCGAGTTTAACATGTGCAGCTTTTGTACAAACTCTGAGGCAACGCCGCCATCAGAATCCGTGAACTAAAAAGTGAATGAGATAATAGCGGTCGCCAAAATTATTGAGATACGCACCGTCGTAATAGCTTTGTTCAGCGGTGAGTTGGTCTTTTCTTTCATGATGCTGCCAATGGAGGCCACCAGATAATGTGATCCAAACGGTTTTGAAGGGAGGGCCGGACTCAAGAAAAGATCTGGCGCATGTTGATGATCTTGTGTAATCGTCCTGTTCGGTTTCTCCAAAAAGTCACTGTACTCGGACCGACTAGTCGCGAAACTATGCCACGAGCGTCTCTTGTCAGAAGAATCCAATGTGTACGAGGAGTCGCGGTTGAAGTTGAGACCAGGCGGTACTGACAGAAAGCTCTCATCGTGGGGCGTTGAAACCTGGCTTCCAGGAGAACTAAGCATCAATCTTGGGGATGACATGGCGCTCTGTGCATCCCAGTCAGGTTGAACAGGCAGTCCCTCATTGGCAGGGTTCCAATCTTCTGCCTCCGGAACTGCATGCTGAGAGGGCTCAGTCCCGCAGTCCGCCTCCCGCCAAGCGTTTGATCCAGCTAGCTTTCGGCTCGCGTTTATACTCCGTCGGTGCATGTCTTCCATCCGCTGACGCCATTCGACGACTGGGAAACGCTGAACAGCTGACCGAGCACGAAGCATGGCTCTTTCTTCCTCTGTAGATTTTAACGCCAGCTTGATCGTCTTCGAAAGTTGAGACAACATATGGTCCGTCGAAGTGGATTCTACAGGGAACCACTACCAGGAGTCTTGTCAGATAGTGCCCCAAGAAGACGGCGAGCACTCACCCATCCAGGCATCAACCCAAGACCGCCGAGTCGACTACCAACACCAAGAGCACCTTTCCTCCCAAATTCGACAGCGACCAATCCAAACGGTTCATCACGGGAAGGAATCATAGCAAAATCAGCACCACTAAACAAACAAGGTGGCAACACAGTAAACTCCAGTTTCGAGTAAACACGATCAGGGTACATCTCCATCAACCGAGCAAGCTTCTCCGCAGCGAACCGACCATAAAGATCAATCACAGGTCCGACGCAAATCAACTGTATCGAAGGGCATTTCTCAAGGCTGCGAGAGAGGTCTCATCAGAGCCGAGTCCCACAAAATCTAAAAACAGACTCACAGCGATGGCATAACATCCGCAATCAGGTCAACACCTTTCTGCTTCGACCACCGACCAACGAACACAAACAGATCAGAGTTGGGATCTTGCTTGATATTCGCCCATTCCTGAGCTTGCCTCTTCATCTCCGGACGCTGCGCCTCAGCAACCTGATCTATCTGCACTTCACGAATAGCCACCGGGTTCTCATCCAAAGCTGCGATATCCGTAGGGTCAGGATTAGGCAGCGAATCGACATACTTGAGGGTCCACAGAGCAGGATACCGTACCCAACTGCGCTTCCCATACTTGTCCGACACTCCAGCGACACCGATGCTCTTTTGATGAACGCTGATAAACGACGCAGCAGCGTGAAGCAGGTTAAACGTGTTTCCGAACTGGACGTATTTCGTACAGTGCTCTTTGCTGATGTTGAACGCGGAGCAGACTTCTTTCATCTCTTCTTTTGTTCGAAGCGGCCATAGACCCTGGAACTCGGCATTGTGCAGCGAGAGACAGACGGGTACTACTTTGGGTAGAAGGTAAATCGGAGCAAGCGCGCCGTGATAGTCGTTGATGTGGTATATGTCGACGACAGGGAATCGGCGGATGGTGGTCGCGATGGCCTGGTTCCATGTGGAGTAGAAGATGGCGGAACTAAGATCGTCCATGCGGGCTGGGTACGGGTTTGATGTGGTCTGTGCACGGAAAACAGGGCTGTCGAGGATGACATAGGTGATATTGTCCAACACGTGCGTCTCCACTTCGATACGATAGGGCTCATTGAAGACGATAACCTCGATGGGCTCCGCAGGTTCGCCAGCGGGATAATCCAGGTCCTTCACTTTTGGAATGACCCAGATTAAGTCAACATCCGTCATAGCTTTTCCCATGAGCGATGACATCACACCGAGACCTCCGATCTTGACCTTGAGTTTCCAGTCAATGATCTCATATTCCAGCGTCGCGATGAGGACTCTGCGTCGCTTGTTCTTGTCCTCTGGCCATCCTACGATCTCCGCATTCGGCTTGTGCCCAAAGATCTTTTCCGCGATGGGCGTCACGCTCTCCTTGAAGTCTGCGGCCGACTTATTGAGCAATCCGATGATAGGGAAACACTTGCTTGCGTCCGAATTCGTCTGCACACCGTACAGGTTGTGGCGGATGCCGTAGAAAGAGTACATGAAAATGACGACTGCGAGAACTCCGGTAATGAGGGAGAGAGAGCAGAGAGACCCGTACATGGTAGCGCTGACAGATGCATGGCCACGAGGCTCAAGAGTCCACTCCAACGTGGCATCATTAACGATGAGTGCCCATGCGAGTGCAGGATATGGGGGTGCTGACAAGTTTAAGTAGTTGAGCGCAATGCTGTTTGGTGGTATCCGATCCATAACGCCGTCCCCGTCGACGTCACCGTAGTAGTAATCATCGTACCCAAACACGTTGAGTTGCAGGTACGTTGGCCACGCAGCCATGATTTCGAGCTCCCAAGTGCCATCGCTGACTAGGTTCATCGCATTGGAGATACCCTGGTCATAACCCCAATCGTTGAAAGGACCTCGAGCGAGGAACTGGGGAACGCGACGCTGCTGATTGTGGTTCAAATCTGCATGCACGACGACGCTGGAGGTAGTCGCGACACCACTCCAATCTACCGCAACGTCAACACCAGAAAAAAGCAGCAGCAACTACGAGCACTCACATTGTACTATGAGATGTTGTCCCGTCCAGAAAGTATCAGAATTGCTGAGGACATCAGCGGGTATGGTCGTGACATTCTCCCAACTCGTCCAGTTAGACCAACTCAGTGTGAAGTCGCCTGAGTACCTGAACATATCCGCTCCATAGGCACGGTGCGTGAATGTGTACTGGCCGTCAGTGTAGTCGAAATCTGTGTTATCATAATCAGACTCGGGGAACACCATGACATTGTTTGCTTCGCCCTTGCGCAGCAGCAGATGGTCTATGCTCTACGGACCATGAGCAAAACACGACAGAGTACAGAAAAAAACAGACATACTCCAGTAGACAGCGTCCCATCAAACGATGTTGGATTGTTAACAATAATCTCCAAAATCCCATCCGGAACATCGGTCAGTGTACCAGACCACGACCACTGCGAGTACGGAGTTCCCACAACGGACGACATGGTGGGATTCGTGACAGCATTGCACATCACCGAAGTCAGGTTGAGCATAGGCTGCCCACCGACAGAAGACGACATGTTGAACGATAAACTCTGCGTGACGCTATCACACGACATTGCTGCGTTGAACTCCAGCACGAGATCCACAATCATAGCGTTTGGCTCTCCCCGCATGACTTCGATGCGCGCGTCATGCCCAGGCAGGAACTTGGTGAGCATAAGGGGGGCAGAGACCCACTCGCTGATAGGAACCAAAGCCTTGAAGCCGAACATGTCCATCTCCACCGTCTGGAGACACCCATACCACGGTCCCTCTCCGTTGTTATAATACGACGACCCCGAGTCCACGAGCGTATAGTTCTCGTACGGAGAAAGCAAGTTCCTCACCGTCGTCCCACCCACATAGGGTGACGATATCCACAGCGGACCGCTGCAATCGTACGAAAACGACTGTGAGTTGTCCTGATTGGAGTACAATAGCCAAACCTGATCGGTGTGCCCCCCTGTCAGGTTTTGTACGTTCGGTATACCTGCGCGTGATACGGACCAGAGCCCCAATTCGGTTGCGGTGTTGTTTGAACCTGGGAACTCGACAAAGTGGGTCCAGTTTCCGTGCTGTACGAGTTCGAAACCGTCTTGGAGGGCATTGTAGGTGGTTCGGAGGTACAAGAAATGTTTTAGGAGGCGACGCATGTCCGTCGTCGGATCAAAATGATCGAGCGAGTTCCAATCGTCATCACATCCCATTAAGGCGGACTCAAGCGGCATGTTAGGGTATTGGACGGATCCAACTTTGTAGCACCCGTGGCGCTGCCAAGCCTTGTTGCTCATCATAGCTTGACGGCTGAAAGTAGCAGTGTGAGAAAAGTAATGACTTCAAGGAGTTGGTGACCTACCCGAAGAGATAGTTTGAGGCTGTGGAGTCGTACAAGTAGAAATTCTGCTCCTCGCCATAGTATATCTGTAAAAGGTAAGTACTGGGGCGGCGGGCATTCGAGTATAGCTCCTACCAATGGAACCCCTGGCATAAGCAGGTACGTGATATAAGATGCCAATGCAGATCTCAACGTGCCATTCGCCAAACTGGGCCAACGGAAAACATCAAAATTGCTTGTTCCGAATAAATGCTTCGGATCGGCGAGGCCGGTGTCTGGATTCAAGAAGTCGTTGGTCATGAGCATCTGATTCCAAGCGGTGATAAAGTTGGTGTTGAGATCGGACGTGACGACCAATTTGCTGTCCACTCCGAGGAAACGGATGAGGGAGCGGTATATTGAGTAATGGAACGCGTAGCCGTCGAGGCCATTCGACGACTGTGGGCGCAAGAAATACTGGTTTTCGGATTCTGTCAAGTTGGCTGACTGAAGAAATCCGGGGGGCAATATAGTCGGGGTACGGCCACGTCCACTGTGAAAGCGATCAATTGGTATCAGTGGTGAGTGAGATAGTGACTGACAGGTATAGGGACCCAAAGGTGTCACCGCCAGTGACTTCACCGGTGATATAAAAGTTCTTCTTTCCAAGATTAGTGGCGCAAGCACGAGTGGCAGATGCCCAAGCGGTTAGGCCATCGACGGTGAGCTGTGTGGACTTGTCGACACGAATGGCATCGATATCAAGGGCTGTGATGGTCATGCAGGAGAAGGTAGTGAGTTTGTCCATAACGGAAGGCTTCCATTCGCGGAGACGGTCCTGTACAGATGCAAATTTGGAAAGCTGACGCTGCCAGGCAGGGTGCATACCAAAAGCGTCCATGTCACCATATTGATCAAAGTCGGACTCGTAACAACCGTCATGTCCCATTACAGGCTGAATTGTTCCATCATCTTGCCAAAAGATGGGAAGTTGGCAAGAAGTATTACGCTCATTAATGACCTAGGAAAAAAGTTAGTTGAGGCACCAGGTGAACGGAAATAATTACTTACAGAAAAGTCAACATACTGCTCGAAACCCCAGGGGAGGTAGTTTGGGTTTTTGTACATTGCAGGATATTCAGTGAGACTGAATGGGGCGCTGGCATTGACATAACTGGTGAGTGAGTGAGCAAGTAATTGTAGTTGGTGGATAGGCTGAACAAACCCTTCAGAACCGAGAAGGTCGGACATGGTTCCGACTGTGAAATCCAACATGATATACATGCCGCGTGCGTGTAGGATGTCGACGAAGTTTACCCAATCATCAATAGTACCCCAATGAGGATCCAAAACGGAGAAGTCGAGAGGAGAATAACCTAAAGGAAGTGAGTGTGAGTTGTAAATGAGATTGAGATAAGGACATACTATCGGCTTGCCATATCATGTTCAAGAATATTGTACCTGAGAGATATATGGCCTTGACGCCCATGCCTTGGATGTAGTCCAATTTCGAGATTAGACCTTTGAGGTCACCGCCAAAACGAAGTTGGGTTTCTCTCCAATCCCATTCATATGGGGAGTTGAAGAACTGATTATTTGAAGGGTCACCATCGGCAAACTTGTCCATAAGGACGGTGTACATTGGGATTGAACGCCAGTTCTGTGGAGAAGGGGTGTAGGCGGTGTTTGATCTTGTGGTTGAATAATCTATAGGAGACTGGGCGGATTGGTTTACGTTGAGATTGTAGGATGTCAGGTCTGGACGATAAGGGGAAGCGTATATAAATGAAGAGAAGCATAGTGACGAAGCAAGAGCGGTTATGAACCGCATCTTGGACCACTTTGAGAAAGGAATGGTAGAAAAAATGATTGACAGGGATGGTGGTTTCTAGTCGGGGATTCCAGGGAGAGAGAGTAATCGTAGAAAAGAAGAGGGAAACTGCATTATACATTGGAAACCTGCCGAAGAACGGCGAGAGACACTAAAGCCAATAAGGCAGAGATTAGCGAGACAAAACCGTAGATTTTGGGACACACGAAGGAGCAATGCAGTACTATAGGTAAGAGACCCTGCTCAGGGGTGCATAAATAACCGCGCGACGTAATGTTGTAAGCAACACCCGAAGAACTTCGTCTGGCGTTATATTCTTGTAGTACACCAGGGCAGTCTTCGACGTCGTGACCAGGTAGCCAAAGGTCCGTCTCAGGCCCGTATCCGCCAACACACAAGGTATTGAAAACCGCAACCACGCATCCGACAGTCGAGAATGTGCTTTATCTCCCATGCTTCGGCTCCGCTATTAGTGATGTACAGCGTTCCAGGCCTGTCACCTCGGAACGTTGTAGTAGTTCGCCTGAAGGATACATCTCGATCCAGGTACGCTTGAGTTCTGACACGTGAAAAGTGAGGTGTATGCGATAGTACTAGTTCAAGAGTTAGTGCCGTATCCTCACCTCTGGCACGAGCAAGCTGAAAGCTGCCTTGTGCTGTTCAAACCACCAAAATACCATAACTTACTGCTTGGCTAGTTTGAACCATTTATGACAAATCAACCGACATTAATTTGTCACTGAAAAACCTTCAAAAGTCCCGAGGACGGGTACCGCGCAACATACCTTATTCGTATCACAACGTCGTATCATAACGCCGCGTAATACTAACCCGCCGATTCCCGACTCCACCGACCTAAAATTCCGTTGACCACGTGTGGTCGATCAATGATGCCACTTAGAGTCTAGTGGCTAGCGCTTAGCGGTCAATCCACTTCATTATTTGATTCTCACATATTAATATTGGCTAAGTACTACATCACGTTAGTGCCGCGCAGGAATATGATATTTGCAAATGAAATTCCCCTACCTCAGTGTCCCAACGCTTCGTCCCTACAGATCTGAATTGCCACTGCCAAGCACTAGTGGCACATTTCCCCCATTGTCCTATCTGTGCCCACAGGACCGCTCCCAGGATGGATTGTGAGGTGCGAACAAACTTTGCCAAGAACAATGCACATAGTTCAAGGAAGTGGAGGCAAATGACGGCGACGAAATTGATTTTGGTGCGGCGGACGACAGAAAGACCTAGAACACGTGAGATAAAATGAGATACAGGAGAAGCCAATATAATTTCCAGGTGGGTTCTACTTGTCTCTTCACTTGAAGAGAGCAAGAGGGATACTGTTCAAAGTTCAAACCAACGCGAAAAAGGAACACATTGGCACGAGCCAAGGGAGAGTTGACAAATGATGGAACAGTGGCAATAACTAAAATCAGCCAGCGACAGCGACACGTCACGATGGCTCACTACAGAGCCAAGCACAGAATGCCTGAGTAGCAAATATCATAAGATGATACCGAGAGCATGTAATATGCAGGGTAATCGTGAACAGTCCTAGTCCACCACACGGGGGACGTGCGAAGGTGCCTTGACCAAATATGCATAGGTGAACAAAAGGTACGAGGGAACTCAAATGGAGGGAAAGAACTTCGAAGAAGGAAACAACCAGCGAGTGAGCGCTAGCAAGACAAAGCTGACATAATATTCCCACAGATTAGGCTAGGACCGAGTCTGACGTCTAGTCAGTGTCACTCTAGTGCCAGTCGACTCGAGAAATCCTATTCCACCTTGCGACCCTCGCACCCCTCCAGTACCACCCTCCCGTAACCCTCCCGTATCTGTCGCTATACCTCTCGCGCCTCTAGAAACCCTCTCACGACACCTCTCGTGGACCGCCAGAAACATGTCTCATACCTCCAGCATCTCCGTCGCGTGCTTCGTTTACATGAACTTTGCGTTGGAGTCTTGTTGATACCTTCTTCATGATGGTATACCTTGTCTCCACGGTGTCTTCCTCGATACTTTCCACTCACAAAGCTCAGTTCACATCTCCAGGGCTAGGCCACGACTTTGTGAGCCCGAGGACGGCTCGAGACAAACGAAAAACACAAACGTTAGTCAAGATACCGGACGCGCGCACCCCCCTCGCACCTCCAGCGCGTCCCTCTCAGAGCACCATCACATGTCTCTAGAACTCCCTCATTCCTGGAAACTCACCACCATAGAGTCGTACATTTCGAGTACATCTTTTACCTGGACTTGAACGAGGACCGGGTGAGTCCAATGAGTTTTTTCATTCGCCACATACATGAGTTTATTGATACACTTCGCCAGGTGAATGTACAGGGCTGTATCAAAGACACTAAGAGATGGATGGAGAAACTTCATCGGTAGCTCCGGCAGTGCGTCGACAATATCTCTCTTTGTCGATGTGTTTGGTCTCATACATAAGGCTTGCATTTTCCCCGTGTATTCAATCACACCTATTTAGCATAAACTTGTATATCTTTAATTCATGTGCTCCGCTCACAGCGACTTCGCGCACTATGCACCCTTGTTCATGAATTCATAATGGCAGGATGTTAAGGTGACTGTATGTGCGCTTGGCCTCCTCCTTGTACATCTCGTACCGACAATATTACCCCCACTTAGCATTAGCGGATGCTCATGAGTCATATGCTACCCGGCTCGAAGACACCAAGAGCATGGAAATGGACGGCGTCGATAGGCAATTGTACACCTTGTACTGGCTGTTATGGCCTGTTACATAGTTTGGATAGTTTCGTTTCTTTTGTCGATGTAGCTGCTACCCGCCCAAGGAAACCAAGTGCCTAGCCAGAGGGTATGAAGAGAGGGTTGTAAGCTAATATAAGTCTATTGCCAGAATTTGCGATCCATGTATTGTCCCTACGATTTTGAGATACGTGTTAATTGCATATCAACGGTTGACGCGTATAGTACATGTTCAAGATTACCCCTGCGAAGACACCTACTGATCACAGACGTGATCGAGGACTTTTCCACGATAATCGACTTCCAATACCCAACTCATCAGCAATGATCATCGCAGCCTTCTCCCCAATGACAAGCGCTGTCCAATATGTGTTCTAGAGAGACGGTTAGACTGCACATTGATGATCCCCGACCAGTACCCACCGTGCCAACATTTATCGGCGCAATAGACATGTCCGCCACCTTGAGGTTTGTCACGCCGTACACGTTTAGCCGAGCGTCAATGACCCCTTTATCTGCCCTTGGCTTCATGGCGCAAGTTCCGAGCTAGACATGTAAAGTTCAGGTACCTCATGTAAAAGCATGAAAGTTTCAGCTGCACATACCGAATGCCAGGTCGTTTGCACTGAGTATCAATTCAGTATATTTTGACATAACGATAGGGATGCAACATACCGTGGTCACGAAGGTATCGATCGATCGCATCGTCGTCTTCTGACGTGTAGATTATGTCAGGCGCATTTAGGTCCACCGGCCCAGTTGTTTCTCTGCAGACTGCAGCGCTTCCCTGTGGGAAATGAGGGTGGCCCATGGGGACTTCACCTCTATATGAAGACATGCGTCGAACAATTTCGCGCAGCTTTTTGTACCCGAAGATAAGAGGTACAATATCGGATGGACTGCGAGGATTATCGTAGTCACATCATCAATGAGTTGAAATTTCCGACTCACTCATCCAGGAAGCCTGCATTGAAGTCGAGTCCTTCCTGGCCGTTCTCGTCCAATTTGACATGAACGCTGCCAGCAGACACGGGGTACAGCTATTGGAAACTTCAGAACAAAAATCACAGGGTAGCAAATATGGAAGTAGTACTGTAAAATAGTTGGCAGCCATGTAACTGCGACGAGGAAGGATATGCGAGAGCCCACCGGCTCTGGTTATCGTCAGTATTCATGCGTCATCAAACGAAAATGATGTCCTCACCCTGCACAGAGAGAAAATAGTGCAACAGGTTTGTCTGGGCGATCCTGGAAGAACTCTTTCCATCGTGGTTGAAAGGCTGAACCCATGGCTTTCAGCTCGTCGTCATCAGGACGCCATTTTATTTTTGCGTCGCTGCCACTGAAATGCCAATCAATACGTCACCAGCATTGAAGGTTTTGCACCAACTTTTGGGCAACAAGTGACTTGCCATCAATTTTCCATTGCGCCAGATTTTCTATAATATTTCATGGGTAGTTAAATGGACTCGGAATATGGCGAGAGCATGCTTACTCTGGACAACAACGTCACTCTCCTCCCCAAGAAAGAAGGGGTCCATAGTAACAGTTCCCTCAGCAGCAAAGTATGGAATAAAGAGAAGGTTGTGATCTCTTAACCCTAAGTTAACATCATGAGACAAATGGTTGAACGCGGACCTTGATAATTTTCTCCAACGCCAGGTAAGTCCACTAGTCGCTTGATATTGCACCGCTTGAGAATTGCTTCTGCACCGATCCCAGACCTCTCGAGGATGGCCGGCGAACCGAATGTACCAGCAGAGATAACAACAAGTTTTGATGCTTTCACGATGCTTGATGACTGACCCGCGTCTGGGCAGGACACTGGATCGCTAGTAAACTCGACACCTACAGCACGCTTATCTCTTTCATTCGAAAAAGACATCAGCAGTCGGGAACATCCAACTTGGATATGGAACACTCACTGGAAGATCACGCGCTTCACGCGCTTGCCAGCCCATATTTGCAAATTTGCATTGTGAGCTTGGTTGTAGACATAGTTGTGGGCCGCATCAGAACGCTTTCCAGTTGTCCCGTCAATGTACCTTCTCATCTGTGAGCCCAATTAATAATAGATGATGAGCACAAGCTCACTTCGCCCATGGCTGAAGCGGATCTCGTGAGCGGACTCCACACATGGAGAAAGAAATTCAGGTGGCGCACACTGTATGTGTTGCATGTTTTTAAATCATCAGTGTCTTCAGCATATTGCCTCTTGTGATATGTCGTGCCAACGTGGACGAACTCTTCGAAGATGCCTAGTTTGCATCCACCAGGGGACACTTTGATAGGTCCACCGTACCCGTGGGTTGGGCGATCGGGTTGTACCTCATATGTCTCCAGCTAAGCAATGAATAGTTCAGCTTGAGAAATATAAAGATGGTTCAGTCGAAGACCTTCTTGATAAGGGGAATCAAGTTCTTAGATTCCCACCCTTCGACTCCCCAGTCATCAAAATCTGAGGCAGGTCCACGAGTGTAACACATAGCTGACCAAGTCAACTTATCAGAGTCATGGTATTCAGTGCGAGAACGTTGCGAACCATTTACACTTGAGCCTCCACCAACGCAATGGGCGCAAGGAACGATCGGAGCACGGCCGTTGAGACGTGGACTTGGATTTCCAACGTTGAATGTCATGGTGGTACTCGTTGGTGCCAGATTCCTTACAAATTTGTAAGGCTGCACATGCACATCTTGATTGAGAGTGTGTTGGCCCCCTTCGAGCATTAAGATAGTAAGCGAGGGATCCAATGCAGCCAGGCGGCCTGCGACAACACAAGCTGTGGTACCACCTGAACCATGATACAGCGTTATGTCAAGATAATCACACCAATGCAAGATGCATCACTCACCCCCAGCAAAAATAATATCAAATTCTGATATGATTGGATGAGGCATTGAGGGGTGCTTCAAGCGGGAAACTGATGATCAGTGTCCAGATTTATATCCTCACTGGTCCGAACAACAAAGATAGCCCGGGCGTCAATCTAGAAGGCGAGTTAAAAAAAAACGGACTCTGGCATTACGCTTTTCCGTCATGGTTCTGGTGGCCCATAAGCAGACATGCCGTGATCTACCAGCGATTTGGGCCTGGCAGTGTCCGGTGCATCGCAACATGGTGATATGGTTGCGAGGTGAGGTTGATTTCCGAGCTCAGGCTCTCGATGGACTTGATGTCGTGCGACTGCGAACATGTGAGTCAATTGAGGAGGATTTCGTTTTGACGTACACCTGCTGGCAATGCAAATTCATTGTAGTGGAGGCTTTGGACTTAGTTGAGGGAAGATACCGGAGGAATCTCACGCGGGGACTTCAGGGATGTTTCGTAAATGAATCCGTAATCCCATTGCATGATGCGACCCCGTGAGGATTGTATGTCCACGTCGCGACGAGTCTAATCAAATTCTAGCAGACAGGTAGTAGAAATTAGAAGCAAATGTTGTCTTTATCGTCATTGCTGGTAGAGTGGACTCCTGGCTGGCCACTATCCAATGTCAACTTACCACGGCAACAATCAATTTTGATTGAAGATGACACAAGCACAAGAATCTACGTGCGAGAAGCGTTCGTCAGAACAAACGTGTGCTAGCTGAACTAAGGATGGTAGTGTCCGGTGTGTGTCACGGAATCGATGAGATCTAATTCCCTCACGTCAACACCTTCAAATGACTTGTTCTTGACTCGCCGGCTCTGCAGCTCCCGTTTGGTAAGCCACAGATGTAGGAGATGCAAGCAGTCCTTTGCCTGGAACAGCGTCAGTATAAGGTCATCGTTGATGATATTGGTGCCATACGACGGTGAAAAGACCCAACCCTAATGAGTTTCTCCACCTGGATCGTTTCCTTGATAAGAACCCATGCCTTTGATCAAAAGGAACAAGCACTTACCAAACAGGATCACATTCTGCCCAAACGGGAGTTCCCCGCCACGCGACGCTAAGACCCATCAATCCAGCGACGCTGAGCCGTTTCACAGGGCTCAACTGGCGCCACATTTCCTCATCGATCCAAGTCCCTACTAGCGACGGCCGCACATCAGGCGGAAGAGGTGGGCGCACAGCGAGGAAACGACGTAAAAGCGGTGAATACTTGGATAGTCGATACAATAGCGAGCCCATGAAACTGGAGATCCGCGGGATAATCAAGGCTCCTCCAATCAGTCGCCCAAGGGAGGTCCCCGATACCCGAATGGTATTCTCAGCGGCAGCAGCAACGTCTCCTGCAATGGCTTCGCCATCGGCATTTGGATTATTATTGGCACCATTGTTAGCAATACCTGCACCTCTGTCCTGCTGGCCTTGACCATTAGGCTGAAGCTGGGCGTTCCGTTCTTCGCCGTTAGCATTGATGCGAATGCGAAGGAATGGGTCGTCATCCTCCAAAGCAAGCATCATGGGCTGTGTGGTATTGGTGGCATCCGGTTGCGTATCCAGCACCCATCTCGAGAACTGAGAGAACAGGCGGTTATATGTGATACGAACAGACGGATAGATGATCAAGCCGAGCAATACTGGCGGAGGGGGCCAGCTTGGGAGTAAGGGGAACATTTCCCGTTGTATTGGTTCCTGAATACCCCAACGATCGAGAACTATGCGCTTGTCAGTCCGCGGGGGGGTGGACGTTGGCCATGCGAGGAGAAGGGGAACAAGTGGCGTGACACTAGAGTTAAAAGGAAGACGCGAGATGATGAGAGCAAGGGGAATGAGTGGAAGATTGAGGTAGCAATGCCACGGCCAATTAGTAGGGTCCTCCGTTAACAGGAGATCATACATCCTACAAGCATGAGATTTGCGACTAGCTGCCAAATGAAAGTGGCACGTACTCAGCACCCAGAAACTCCTTCAGAGCATAGGCACCATATGCTGTGCTGAGGATATACATTCCTATAAAATCTTATAAAACTGAATCTTAAAAGTAAATGCCCACGGACCAGTCCCAAGAGAAACCACCACCACTGTCACGCTTGCGATAGTTACAATCTTTCCCATCGTCGAGAGGCCCTTGTTTGCTGCGTCCAAGATGCGTAGAATGAGTGGATTGTTGCTTTCAAGCTCATATACTGAGCTGCACTGCGGGCACTTGAGAGCATTTGGGGCTCGTGAGCGGTTCTGCTGCGATGTCTGTATCCATTGCAGCAGACAGGACTCGTGTGCAATGAGTGTGCATTTGCATGGATGCGTCCATGCTCGGGGAGGGTGCTCGGGTGCTGAGAACGGACAGACAGGTCAGATAAGCGCTGGCATGACAATAATGCGCTTTTGACATACCATCATACCGCTCCTCCTCCCTGCAAATGTAGCAAAGCTTGATCTAGACAACTGTGAGCACCAGGGCTGCGCATATTTCAATGTATGCGTACCCTGAGGTCGCTAATGGTGGGCACTCGCCGTTGTGCCATGGTGGTTCAATAAGGAATATAACTTGGCAGGCATCATGTGTGGCATGAACGCTTTTAGACGGTAGGCTAAAGCTTCTCATAACTAACTTTGTGGCGACAACATAAATCGGACGCAACCATCACATTAACATCTAACAAAACGTGGCTACAACATTCACAAAAAGTTACTACGAGTAGAGAAACAAAGTCTCTGGAATTATTTTGAACGAAGAAACATAGAGAACAGTTTACTCATTTCACTGTGTAACCCGACACAACTTTTACGGCGCGTACGGATTTGGGGTGCGCGACTGCAAATCACGATCATCATCTTTCTTGTGATCTTCCATCGGAGGAGTACGCGCGTGGTCATGCCTCCTCCTGTCAGGGGAAGGGCTCCTCCTCCTATCAGGGCTCCTGCTCCGCCTCCTCCTGTCCCTCTCCCTGTCGACATCGCGGTCACGTTCGCGTTCGCGGTCTCTGTCACGGTCGTCATGACGGTCGCGGTCATCCCTGCTGTCTCTTTCGGAGCGACGACGAGGGGGGCTTCGAGAACGCTCACGATCACGACCTGAACGATGAGGAGGAGAAGAACGCCTCTCGTACCGCCAAACAGAAGAAGGGGGATTCTTTGCCCACTACAAATATAATTAAGGACATTGAATTGCTCTCATGAGATGCTGACTTGCCTGAATGCTCAAGCGAGATCCCTCAAAGTACCTTCCATGCCTACGCCTGACGCGTCAGGCAGGTTACAAGTGAACGTGTGAGAGAGAACATACATATCGTAGTAGGCATCTTCAGCATGGCGCTGGCTTCGAAACTCGACGAAAGCGTAACTGCGAGACGGTGCGAGACATGTTGAGCGATAGGTGATTCTCGGAACCCGAAACATCGAATGATATCGCAGCGCAGAGCGGCGAATACGAAGACGACTCGCGAGTGACTAATCGAATCGACGAGACAAGGCAGCAGGGCATCGCAAGGCAATCGTCCCTCGAGTCGTGTTGACTGGACAGAGGTGAAGAAAACAAAAATTATGACTACACTTACGGGTTCGAACTAGCATGAGGATTACGCGGGGCTGGAACGTCACAGCGGACCAGAGGACCGAATCTAAAAATATGAGGAAAAAAAATTGAACATTTTTTGACGGATATAAATTGAAGGTCATAGATAGGCTCACCGTTCGAATTCGAATGCGAGGTCGCGTGCCCTAGTAGAAGGATGAAATCCACTGACGAAGAGGATGCGCGGCATTTTCGAGTGTTGAGCAGACAGATGGTCGTGGTTTGGATCTAAGAGGAGCAGGGTTTGTGCGGAGTGTGAACTCGTCATATGTGTATCTATTTGGCTTGTGGCGAGCATCAATTTTGAGATCAATTGAGACCCAGTAGTTGATCCAAGAGCCTTGACACCAGGTATACTTCCCGTTGACAGTTTCAAGTGTTATTTTTGATGATTTTTGTAGATGCTGTTCGCGTATGCAGTATCTTGTCTTTTCTCTTCATAGACGACTATCGCAGTCTACTTTCACCCGATTCTATCAGAGGACTTATTCTTCTCTCTCTGGCAGCAAACGCCTCGTCAATTTCGCAAAGCAAGCTTCCATCATTACAAAGGACCCTGTATGGGATCTCATTTTTCAACTGAAACGCGAGCGCAAAGATGAACAGATACACGGTGCTTTGGAGAGCTGTAACATACCATTCCTCGATTATGTTCTCTGGAAACATGTGGTATATTCACCCAACCTAAACACAGCAATGTCTGCAATAGAACAGAGTCAGGGTTTTACAAGTCAACTCCCTGAAGGTTCTGCCAATGCGCGTCAACAGACGTTGCAGCTTCCCGCGTGGGTTGCTTTCTCCTTACTTTGTCACAAAGTTCGGACTGCGCAGGATGTCCAGGACGGTCTGTTACGTCTTACGTTTAAGCATTCGTGGACCCTTGGCTCTAAAGACCGCCCAGCACTATTGATTCTGTCCACGCACGCGCTCGCCCACTTCGACATTCTTACGCCGATGCGTAAAATCGTGGAGCAGTTTCTTGCACGCACGATTCAGTTTCCCGCATTTCACTTCAATGCTCTTCTCCGCGGCCTTTCTGGTTTCACTCGTTCAGAAGAGGCGGCCAATCTTGCTGTATCTGTACTCGAGGCAATGTCAACGCGAGAGGTGCCGTTATGGCTGGAAACATACAAGCCGCTGATGCGAGATCGCTTTGTCACTCTCCAATTGACCAAGATCCTCCATACAAAGATGGTCCACGAAGGAGTTGTACCAACTGCAGAACATTTAGAGGCCTTCCTTCGCATCTTTTCCAAACACGGAGCCGTTCAGGATTCACAGGAATATCTCCGTGCCATCCGTCGATACTGTATAGAGCATGGCCTAACAGTACCTCACGGGCCGGATGTTCACCTCCGTGGTTCTGATCTCTCAGGGACAACGCACCCTGCAAACACCCTATACATCGGATCTTTGCGGCATGACTGTGCTTCCGCGTTTCACTATCTCCATAAGCTTCTCCAGCTTGATGCTGCCCACAACTCTAGACCTGTCGCAACCGTCCCAGGACCTTCATGTCGCCACGCATCCACAAAGTTCTGGTCTGGTACCAAGACCAGCGTGGACATCTTTGATTGGACAACTGCACTCATTTCTGCAGCAAACGACAAGCGGACCTCTACATCCACCCTTATCACGCTTTTTGAGCGCGCACGCGAACGAACGAAGCAGTTCAGACCCACTGTTGTCACATATACCGTCGTGCTTCGTGGCTTACTCTTCCGAGGAGCTTTCGATGAGGCCTTAAAGATATGGAATCAGTTGCTCGATTCAGATCTTTTACTTGATCGCAAGGCACTGACTGTGGGTGTACAAGTCCTTGCTCGTGCAGGGCAACCGCAGGATGCATTCTACCTTCTGAACTCGTTCATGGACGCACAGCGCACCTCTTCGCATCCAGCATCCCTTCCAAATGACAAACATATCACCCCAGCAGTCCATCATTGGATCAATATCATCGTCATCAACGAGTTCATGGTCTCCCTACTGCGCATTCGCCGCCCAGATGTCATCTTCCAGCTGTGGGACCACCTCGAACAGCTCTATTCTGTCCTTCCAACCGAAGCCACGTTAAACATCCTCCTCAAAGCTGCCGTGCTCGCAACCAAGATGGATAATGAGTCTGTGCGAGGGACATTCGCGCACCTGTTCCATACGCCTACAGCAGAGTCCAGCAGCCCTATCGACTTGATCATGGAACAGCTTCAGTCTGCGCATCCGCCGTCAGTCGTTGGGATCTGGAAGGACCGCCGCGCGGGTGATGTAGCTCGAGACATTTTCCGTACTATAATGTATGGAAATTGGAAGCGGCTCCTAGATGTAAAGGCACCCGCTTCCGTCGTGCACTCTAAGAACGCTGAGGCTACCCCTCTTTACCCGCTAGTGGAACTAGCCAAAAGCATTACAATACCGTTCTCCATGCGCAAAGACCGTGATGCGCAACTGAAAATCATTCCCGCGGATGTCCATTTACCCGAAAAGAAGCCATACCATCCCTATCTGTCTATCGTACCCACCGACCTGACCTTCTCGACCTACATTCAGCTTCTGGGTTTCACTGGGCGCGCATCAGAAATTCCGCTTACACTCGCGTGGATGCGCGCGCTCCAGATAAATCCCTCGCGCAACACATTGTCCATTGCGCTCGTGTTCTGGGCTGAGGTGTCCTTGCATGGATCATTGTTTGAGGAGTGGGCGGAACGACGAAAGAAAGGGGAGAGTGAATATGGGCGGCTGGTTAGATGGATGACTGAGTGGGTCGGGGAGGAGGCTCCGACAGAGTCGGACATACAAAAGGCGTTGAGAGCGGTGGCCAAGATGAGAGACAGTTCTTTTGGTCGATCATGATGTACGATATTCCACATTTTAATGCCGGGTTGGTTTGTTGAAGCTGATGTAGCAGTCACTAGGCTCTGAGACACTCGATAATCATTTGCCTGACAAGCGAAAGGCACAACGAAAAACATATCACTAGTTGGCAGATTGTCTTGAGCAAAGATGAAATAGTACAGGGGAGAATGATAAATTGGCTAAAGCAGGGAAACTGTCAGTAACGGAGGAAAGAATCAGTGACTCGATCATACACTTACTGACAGTTTCTGTCCATCTGGAAACAACATATCAAGAAGGTTCCATTACGAACCGAGAAGACGATTTCCAATGATAAGCGGGAGGTCAGCAGAGGCGATCGAGCTGCGACTTGGGCCACGGCTTTGCCGTTTCAGCATCTCAGGCCAGGAGGGTTACCTTTCAAGTGGTCTGTCAAGTAAGGATTACCTCGGGTGGCGTATTCTTGATTGTTCAATCCCGGATTGTCGCGGCCTGAAAAGGAGACGGTATAAGTATTGTTTCGATACACATCAGAGAAAGACTCACCTTCGAGTTACCGGGGTTGCAGGTTGGAGAAAAAACCGAAGGAAAGCAGGAACTATCGCTCATAAAGAGGACGGGTCGGAAAAAGTTATGGGCACACTGCGCAGCAGCGACTAATGTGGCCCGTACATCCAGAGAAATCAACGCCTCAAAGGACCAGTAAAGGAACTTCGTCGTTTAATGATATCCTCACGTAGTCGTAATTCTTCTCATTGTCCAAACCGAGATTATGTGGCATTACTCGGTTTCAATGTTCCACCGGAGTGGGCTTAGCCGCGCTGTCGACCTCGGCTCATGCACATGTTGGCGAGGAAGCAGACTTCCTAATCATAACAGTGTGCCACGACCGGACCTGGCGGCACTGGGGCGAGCAGGATGGAACGTCGACCAAACACCCTGCAACCTTAACCAGATGCGGAGACTGAGCTTGGCGGGCATCATCGGTTTCATGAACAGGGGTCCCACTCGAGCTCACAGAGCAACGAGAGTGTTGAGTAAACGTAGGTCTGGTCCCATCGAAAGCCATGGTGCGGTGGCCAGACCTGTGAGATGCTGAGGCCTCGAGTGTTAAACATTAAAATGTTGATGTCCATTAAAAAGGTCGCTTTGGAAACCTAGGCGTGAATAAGACAGCAGCGTCAGTGGTGAGGCTGACAAGACATACTAGCAGCTGTTGCGTTCTATGATGCCGGGCCCTGGGTACGATGAAGAAAACAAAGCGTTAGTCGTCTGCTACATAGACAGCGAGCACGACACATACTCTTGTGGTGCTGGGCGTGGAAGATGAAGGACAGGGCTGTTGGCGAAAATGACCAGAGTGTCAGATGGTGCCAACACCACTGCATGTACCTCATAGTCACATACCTTGGTCGAATATCCAGCATAGGATGAGGAGATTGAAAGCTATGTGAAGATGAACGGGTAGAAGAAAGAGCGGATGAAGAAGCGAAGCAGGGTCTATGGTGTTTATATACTACAAGCAAGCGGCTGACATTATCTGGTTTAGGATGTGATAGAGCAATGATGCTATCTGAGAGGGGTAAATTCGCCAAATGCGGATTTGTCGCAGAGACAACACACTGACATCAGTAGCTGCACGATGATACACCAAATGTTTCGAAATTTGTTGCTCCTCCAGGTCCTAGGTCGGTCTGGGCGTTTCAAAGGAAACTGTATCTTCGAGCACATATGGTTTCCAGAGTTTTCATACTATTGCATACGCATTGATAACCATCTAGACGCATGTATTCACCAGCGTTATTTTTTGGGCCGGTCAAGCTTGGAAATATTCATCGGCAATGTAGCGGACAAATACCATCAAGCCTAGTAGTAGTATGTAGTAGTAGTATCATTACAAATCTCCAAAAATCCTTGGCAAGTGACAACAATCGACAAGGGGTTCAACAGCCCATCGGGGAACCTGACTAGTAGTCATGAACAACACGAAATAAAGAAGCGTGATGAACAAATATTCGGAAAAGATGAAATCACAGTATCACAGTATCAATCCCCCGCGAGTCGCGACCGGCGACTCGTCGATGAGCAGATATTATGCCACCCTCGGTGGAAGAAACATTCGCTCCGAAGTAGTGAAGAACTGCGACCCTGATGTCGTTGTCAAGAGTCATGATGAAATCATCGGCATCTGTTATAATTCCATTTCTCGATCAGTGTGCCGGCTGATCCGAGTCGTGCCAGTATCTGAATTCTGTTGTAGAAATCATATTCATCCCAACAACAAATATCATATAGGCACGAAGTGATGTATATAAGCAGGGATTGGACCGTAGACTGTCTGACGGAAACACCTGAAGTTCCAAAATCAGAACACGTCGACGTTCAGGACATACATCATGATGTGACAAGTTGTGATTTTCCGAATAGAGAATCTAACCTCTTGCCATTACGAGACATGGGAAAGATAAGTATTTTAAACCAATCTTGTATCAAACCGGTACAACATCGACTTGTGTAAAGCCATGAAGCGGATGCCTCCAACCACATTTCCACATGTCTGCAGAATACACGCGGCCTTTCATGGTGCTAGCACTCCCGCCTATATGATCCATGACGAGACGAGAAGTGATGACCAATGTCGAGTTACGCGGACATAACAAGTCCCTTCCCACAAGGCAATCTTGTATGATGATGTCTGCAGGCCGATACCGCACAGAGGGGGGGATTGGGGAGTGCTGGAGAGCATGTATACGCATTATGTGTGAGAGAATGGGCAACAGGCTGCGGTGGATTATCAGGCCACTGAAAAGACAGGGTCAACCGTCAGCACACAGAATGTTCGCGTGAATATGAGACACGAACCTGCCACCGGTTCCAACAAATCCTCCATATTTTCCACCATGTTGGAGTTCATTCATCACGCCGAGGATGCCTCGCCATCCCCACTCGCCGCATACCGGAAAATCATCTTCCACGAGCATGACCCATTCTGCCTGAGATGGGCCCTTCTTAGAAGCCCACTGGAACGCTTCTGCAACATGTAAATACTGACCTGGATATGAGTCAATATGTATGTCCGTGTCTGTATAGAATGTAATAGGCGTCTGAGCATAAAGCTCCTTCGCCTGAGTGAATGACGCGTGTGCAGTGGAATGTGTGAATACAGAGAGCACCATGTTGGAGTCGATATAAGGAATATATGAGGAGATGGTTTGCGATAGCAATGAGTCGGTGGAAGCTGTGTCATTCGAACGGGGATAGGAAAGGATAAGGATCTCCAAAAAGGGGTGTGTTCCTTGAGGAGAAGTGGGCATGTATAATGATATCTTGCTCAAGACCATGGTAGCAAGGATGACATGCACGAGTAGTATGAGGAGCAAGAAAAGCACTGCAGTCTGTATGACTGTGCGCAACCGTCGTGTGTCCCGCGCCATAAGGTGGTGGGGATGGTATTGTGGGGATGATGTAGTATTCGTGGCCTGAACAGGCCATAGCACTACAGAGGCTATAGAGGCCATGGAATAAGTCCATGGTGCATTGTCGAGCCAGCATAGGGTCAAACATGAGCATATTATCGTCAGTAATTTCATAGTATCACTGCAATACTTTTGAAGCCGAGAATTTGTCCATGGCCAAGCACCATGCGTTATGAGGTATGCAGTGAGTGCAGGACCTATGCCGCTTGATGTCTCATATAACGCCCAGTGATTGAATAACTGGGGGTATGTCCATCCTACGCTCCGACAAAGTAGAAAGCCAAAAAGTGTTCTTGCGAGAGCAATAACAACCCAAAAGGCGAAAATGTGAACCGGTAACGCCTGCGGAAAGCATGCTACTACAGCGGCTTGAAAAAAGCGCGAAAGGTGACCGAGTGTGTGTGTTGGAGAGGCCCAAAACGCTGTGATGAATGGCAGAATATCCTTCCCATAGATGAGTTGTTGAGGTGTGAACTGAGCGAACCGCCAGGTAGGATTCAAGAAAGATATGACGAGAGGGAGAATGAGACTAAGAGCGAAGACAATATTTATCTTCAATGGTCCAGGTTGAGGCAAATTGCTGGGAAACATCCTGGCATACGAAACGTCGAGGTGAAAATGCTGATGGCAACACTATTTGCGGTGTTGAACAGTGTTGCCCTCGGCCGGCCGGTAAGCCATATGAAAGCGTTCCACGACGCCTATAATTAACTGACACCGTTTCTGAGAAAGTTATGATGAGCCTGTGATCATTGATCCATACACGGTACCCCTCCGAGAATGGTGCAGGCGGTTGCAACCTACGTAGCGTAGTCAGGGGTAGTGCCTTCGGGCGTTGTTACCACTTGTAAGTGGCATCATCATTAGGTTGAGGCCACACCAGCTTCCGTCTGCCAGAGGCACCAGCCGTGCCAGTCCAACGTGCTATTAAGGTATGGTTATCGTGTGTAAGTTTTATACCTTGTTTGTACAGGTGTACTAATGATGTCATTAGACACAATCACTGAGTCACGTGCGGATCTCAGCAGTCCGCTCGTCGGAGCCCATTGGCCCATGGAAGTGCGATGGCTGTCCCATATGTGATCAAGGGTGGCTAGCGGTGATCTCATACTTCTACACGTTAAGCTAGCCATTTTCGGATGGGGGTTGATCAATCCGCGCGGTCTACAGAAGCCCTGCGTCGGCATCTTGAAATATCATTGAGCTTTGAGGCGCGAGGTATATATTATTATTTCTGAGGTCAAGTGGGTGCAGTTTCTTGTAATTGACATATACATAAGTGTCCAATGTCATGATACCACCTAGGTCCTGTTATCAATGAGTATGATGAATTGGCGACACGAATAAGAAACTTAACAGTGAATGTGCAGAGGGATTACGCATGCTTAATGCTACAAAACGTATCTGAAGTCCCTGTTTTGCCTATCTGTCAAATCCAGGAATTCCTAGTAAAGTTAAGGTATCAGCCTTGTATACAAACGGTGATAATCAATTCGGAGAACCCACCTTGTCGACCTTAATTTCTACACGCTTTCCATCCTCAGTGATTCTCTCGATCACGTATTCTTCTTCATCGTCAGCAGGCTCAGCATCACGGATCTTGTTCTCTCGGACGAGAACGGCACGGATGATAAGGAGAAGTACCGGACAGACGACGTAACATGCGCCAATCACAGCCCATGGGACGTGGTTACTGCACATGTGATTCGAACCTTCCTTCCTAGAGTCACTCGAAGAATAACCTACCGCGGCTTGTATTGTGTTTTCCACATGAAAGGGCCAGCTGAGTTGCCAATGCAGTATGCCGAGAGCATGATGGCGTTAGTAACAACCTGTAGGTAGATTTTAACTTGAGGAATAACTTCAATAAGTTACATAGCACCTACCTTCTTCGTATGACCAGCGGTCACACTATTAAGCCACGACAGCGACAGGACGAACCCAGGCACACTGACCCCAGCTATGAAGCAATAAGTATACAAACTCACACAAGGCATCAAACGCACTCAGGTACTGGCCAATCAGAAGTCCAGTCTAATATCGTGCAATGAGTGATGTTGAAGACACCTAGGTAGATCGCGGAAGTAAGCCACATACCCGATTCGACCAAGGAAGTAGGTTGACTAGCAAGATACCCAACCACGCTGGGACGAAGTAAATAGCACCAACATATGCTCTGGAATTGGGCCGTCGTGCAGCGAGCCGAACACCAGTAAAGATTGCCAAGATTTCAATGATACCAGGAACACAGGACAACAGAGTCGTCTGTAGAGCGCTAAATCCGAACGAAGCGAGGATGAGTGTCTGCTGGTTTGTCAGTGAGTTAGGCACATTGTCCAAAGCCGAGAAGAGGGCGAAGAGCCATGTCTTGGGGTCGGTCAAGGCTTCAATCATCCTAGTGATGTTTATGTGAGGAATGAGAGATCACAATTGCATAGGACACGTACTGCTCCATCTTGAAATGTTTGTTTTCCACTCCCGTTTGGTTTTCCTGCGCTAAATGTAAAACAAGGAATAATACAAATTCGTTTAACGCGCGTACCTTAATGCGCTGCACGGCTTTCGCCCGCTCGTCAAGAGTGAGGAACCAGGCGTTAGTAGGCGAGTCAGGGAACAAGAACCTTCATCCGGTGATGTTTTCATTAAAGGGAAAACTGAAAACCTCTATATACTCACCAGAATAAAATGGCAAGGATGAATGTAATTAATCCAGTGATGATCATGAGCCTGCGATCTATCAGAAAGAGTATGGTGGAATAAAAGGGAATGCCCAACCATTGCCACGGTTGAAAGCCTTTGGTATTGATGTGCAAAGCACCAAAGCTGATGAAACCGGAGATAATTTGTGCTAGAGTTTGCTGGCTTAGGCGACAACATTAAGCATCACATTTTGTAAGCGCACCAGTGCCATTCATCAGAACTAGGTTCCGCGCGTGCGCTTAATTAGTTGGCTTGGCAATCATGTGTGCATGGGAACTTACACCAATAACCAACCCGTAGGGTCTGTTCCGTCCGAGTGTAGAACATGGAGCTGACAATCAAGAATCCGGCAGTGATCGACCCCTCACATACGCCTAGCAACAGGCGCACAACAAGAAGCCCAGCAAAGTTTTTGCATGCTGCGTGACATGCAAGTGCAGTTCCCCAGACGAAGATATTGATACTGATATATGCTGTCATCGAAGTTCATATCGATGATGTGTTTGAAGCCTACCTCATCCATTTCCCGACCGGGAATCTTTGAAGGGCAAGGTTCTGGGGGTATTCGAAGACAAGATAACTGAGATAGAACACTGTGCCAAGCCTGGAAGATACATGAGGCACATGGAAGATCGAGTGGTGTATATCTTCTCACCAATTGTACCTGAAGATAGTTCAGCATCAGGGTCAAGCGTCAACTCCAAGATAAGTGATAAGAACAGCTTACTCATTCGTAGTCAGATGCGTGGCCTCCCTGATAACGCAGAGTCAGTACCAGGTTGGCTAGTCTCGATACACGACCCTTACTGAATTCCAAGGATGGCCGAAGAACCCAAGGTTGTCTTGTCCATAAATTGGACCCTGTGCGCGAGTGAGCGCTGATTCGTGGTGAATACAGTCAACATACCAGTAGAGAGCTGGACCGCGATTGTCAAACGCGATCATCATTGATTCAAACAATAGTTGACTCACCACACATCAAGGGCATGATATGTCTATCGATCTTCTTCCTGGAACAAAATCGTACGATGTTGATGTGCATACAGTTTCAGAAACGCACCTTATTCTCAAAGCCTCTTCGGGATCAAGAATGGAGGTTAAACCAGCGACGAGCTGAGCACCAGTGTCAACATCCTTAGTCGACACAGAAACTCCTGCATGTTTATGGTCCTTGAGTACACCGGAGGACTCTAAACTCATTTTGAGAGGACGTGAAGGTGCAGGCGAATTGTGGATTCAGGTGACTTCCTTCCAGCGCTTGCAAGTTCAATGGAGAAGTTGATTCGCCTATTTTATGTCGTCCCCTCATGTGGGCCTGACGCATCGTTGGCGCAGATAAGGAGCTATAAGGAGCTACAGAAATATATGGGTGCATGGGCGTGTGCCTGGTCCTGGAGCCAAACCAGGTGACAGTGGCGACATCCAGCTGATCTCGGTCGATTGAAAGGATGTCAGGATGAATGCACATATCATGGTAGCATGCGGTAACCCAACCTTAAAAAATATCACAATGGGGACACTTTTTCTCGCAGATGATCAAAATATTGTACATGATATAGGTCTGTGAGAGTATACTAAAATTTAAATCATCTCGCTGAGTAACGGGAGAAGTTCGGCTTTCAAACAAACTTCACGCTTCCGATTAGCTTCCGATCAATATTCGTAATTTTTGCTGGGCGTTTCATTTACTCAGTAGTGGACGCCTGTGGACGCCCTCAAAGGTCTTTCACTCGACCTTTGAATTTGTTTGGTACGTCTAACTGCTGAGATGGCATGTCTTGTGCACTAAATGTCACGCGGCTCTGTATACTAATATATATGAACATTATATAGATCTGACCAAGTCACAACGCACATACGACAATAATCCAACTGCCGATAGCTGAACCAAAGCTAAACGGTTTTCCAACATGACGTCTACCATCACTGCGACCGCCTCTTTACTGCCGACGGGGCAGCTCAGCACGCAACCGCCTATCACGCAGGTCATTCCCATACTTCGTGCGACATTCAGTCTTCTGCGTACTTTCTTGTCTCAGGCCTCGCGACTTGTGGTCGCGCTCGCCACTCCGTTACTCATCTTCGTGCCCCTTATATCCCGCCTGCTTGGTCCGGTTATACTCGTCTTCCATATCGTATTGGACGTCGCACTTTACACCCCATACACGATCATTTCCAGTGTAGCTGTTACACTCTACCCCATCTATATGTTCTGCGGTGTCGCTTGCATCTTTGGCGCGGTTCTTGGCATTCTTGGCAGGTCTTTGGTCACACTCTCGAACAACATCATTGCTCCCGAATCACCGAAGGCTGAGTTGCTGCATCCGAAGCTGTCGATGCGACCGAAGAAGAGAAGGAGAAAGAGTTCTTTTGCCGAAGATTCATAGTCTCTTTTACTTTGACTTCAGACTGGTTGGGCCTTTCAGTAATCTTGTAGAGCGCAGGCTGTCTAAGTCTACCCATTGTGCATCCTTTCGTATGTCTATTAGCTATAGTTCGTCTCACGCATCTAGAATCGCTGACTCCCACGAAGTGTCGAGTCATAATCGAACGACTGGTTTGTTGACTAGGGGAGACTCCGACGGAAGCGTGGAGGTCCGCCGCGGCCTACCACATTCTTCTGTTGCCTATCTCTTGCACCTTGACGCCCTTGCGCAGCCTCTCTTAACCTCTCGCAATTCTCCGTACAACCATGACGTAGCTCTAACTTAGTCATAGCACACATGTCATGTGTTGGGTCAATTCCGACACTGAGTCACCTTATTCCAGGCCTCAAGTCTACACCCCATCATACACCCCGTATACGCTAAGCCGTGTTTATGACGCAGGGGGCCGTCCATCGATGAAGTCTTCCCGGAGCCTCTTGCGCATTTATTTTATGTATAGGCCCTCAAGGATTCATTCAGGCAATTGCTTGACCGTTAATGACTGTCAACTACAGTTCATCTCACGCTGTTCGGGATAAGTGGGTTAAACAAAATGTAACCTAATACACTGAAGTAGAGGGGTGTTGTTACTACATCCTGGTAGTGACATCGTCATCCTATACTTGGTCTTCGCGATCGTCGAGACGACGTTGGTTACCTGCCCTGCGACTGCATTAGATCATATACTGATCTAAAAGTGACTTCAGCATGACAAAATCGGATTTTTGCAAAGTAACTGACCAATTTCGTCGGGGTACTCATACGGATCCAAGTAGGAGAGAGGATCCGTTGTTCTGTCACTTGTATCATATCTGTCAAGTATCCCGATGATCGATGTGATGGCCTGGGATGCAGAGGTGTACTGATCTAAAAGCAAGCTTCAGCACGTCGAAAGAAGACGTTGCAGAACAACCAACCATGTTCATGGGGGTGGTGATGCGGATCTAAGTAGTGCAATGTGTCCCTCTTCAGGTGTTGGTACTCATCCATCTCCCGGACTTTCTTGCGTATCTCTCCTGAAGGTGTTGTTAGCTTTCTTTTATATCTCGGAATCAGGCGAGCGTTTACTATTGGACAATAACAATTCCAATGTGGCAGTCATGCGGAGAACCTCGCCAGGATAATGACTACTGAGCATTTCAACCAGTATCTTGTCATCCCTTGTAATTTCACGACGCAGCGATTCTGACGTTTCATAAGCGTGTTGCGCAAAGGGTTGTCTTGAGACTCTCACCGTCAGGCGCAATCTTTTTTAAAACATCATTGAGAGCCTCGATGTCCACATCCGTGACTTTAAGACACCGGAAAAGAGGTGCTATGATTTCGACGTCAACCATCGCAAGACGTGCGTCCTCTGTATCTTAATTAGTGTGCATTCTCGACAGCAACACGCAAACTAACCGTAATCAGCAATAATGCGCAGGTAATTGATAGCGCTATTCTGAACAGAGTCAGGCCGAAATGTTTCGATCATCTTGCGCAAAATCCCAATGACGTTTGTCGAGTATTTGGGGCTATCGGAACCATCCGTTGCCTTTTTGACTTGTCTGCGCAATGTCTTCTCCAGGACGTACTTTGCCGCTTTCTTGAGTCGCTGATGGGGTGCATCCTTGCGGCCGAAATTCCAAGAACCGTTATCGAAAGATGGTGGATTCTTTGGGTTTAACATCACGGATCGCAGGTAATCTGCACAACTCGTAAGAACCGCATAGACCGCAGGAATCCAGATTGCCAAACCATTTTTGAATATTTCCGCAAGGATATCTATGCCTTTCCGGTGAATGGTCCGGTGAATGGTCCCGTCAAATATGCGTCCATCAATCATCTGCAGCAAATGCAGGTCCACTTTAGTGTTCAGTATCTGTTCCCTGGCCTCGTCTGAACATAGCCCAGTCAAATTTGTTGATAAGATGTCTCAGAGCACTCACCGTATTTCATGAAATTTAAAAGCGCATCCGCAGCAAATAATGCGTGGTCTGGTTTTGCTAAATTATCGACTATGCTATCCAGGCCTCCTTCAGCGATGATTCGTTCGCGGAGTTCACCTGAGACAAATGTCAGTTTTCCTGCAACAAGCATCTTATAGACCGTACTGTGTTTTGATAGCGCCTTGAGCTCCTCAGTCGCCTCCTTGCTTTTTTCCACTGTGTTATCTCTCGAAAACGCAACTAGCTTTCCGATGTGCGGACCCTGTGCGAGATCGTAGCGTATGTACGCTGAGTCACATGGTGAGCAGGGTCTTCTTAAGCAGTTTCAGATACGAACCAGATTCAGCAAGCAATATCAAGCCGCGTAGTCCGCCGCTCAAACCTTGCTTATCGAACTCAAACCGGTTGATCAATGTGACAAGGATATTGCGGCGTATAGCCTCCGCACGGAGTGCTGTTTTCGGAAGAACATCAGCATTGATCATAGGAACGGGAAGGGTGTGTACCTGGACTCTTGCGACAAATTTCGCATAATGCAGCGACTGCAGCCGGAGTGACAGAGATTTCACGACGCTTGATCAAGTTCTCGAGTCGTTTCATAAGTGCTACCCCTCGGATCTCTCCGAAGTTTCCTGGACACAATATATTTGAACATGCTGATTCCTGTGAATCTATTCGTGACTGACTATTTCCAGCCACAGCTGCCAAGATCTTTAAGGCAGGAACGACAACGATCGGGGCTGAGATACAAATGTGGAAGAGGAACGAATTGAGAGGTGAAGACTTACATTTTTCTCTCAACATAATAAGGATTGTATCGATGAAATCGGAATGTCGAGAAATAATGGGGGATGCATCATCTTTAGTTCGATCGCATATGAGGGGGGCATGTTCGAAACGATTCAGATGAATAATGCAACTAACCAAAGCGTTGGGCGAGGTATGACAGCGTCCTCATCGCGATTAGTTTGTTTTCGCCGGTGTTCCGACACAGGTCGACGATTCGATCAACCATATCCTCTTTGAGGAGCTTCTCTCTTAGTGTTTTGATCTTGCAAAGAGCCGGAAGAGCCGCACAGGCTCTGCCTTGGTATTCCGTGTCTTGGAGCATGGTAGGAACATCAAGACCGTCTAGTATTCTTTCCGTGTCTTCGTCCGCGCCCTTGACTGTGCATTTCTGAGTGTTCGTCGAGGCAGCAATATAAAAGCAAGACATACTGAGTGCGCAGTACGCGACGAATGCGCTGAGGCGCACTTTACGAGCATTGATGCGTTCTTTACGAGCATTGATGCGTTCTTCTTTGGCCGCGTCAGTATCTATGTTCTTCGGGTCCGACATGCGAGATGTCTCCTCCTTCTCATCTGGTGCGTATTTAACGTCCGCGGTAGTTTTGCCATGAATGCTAAGCAAGGCTTCTAGCGTCTCGAGTGCATTCACCTTCCGCGCCGCTTCAACTCCGAGTTCTGCAATTAAGATCAGGTCAGTATGTCAAAATCGTCTGAGATCTCACCAAATGAACACATGAAGGCCAAGCGATCAACATAATTCAGGGTGTGTTTCTTGTGAATTGTACCAATAAAAGCTTCAGCAGTCGAGCGCTTGAAAGGAACTTCCCAAGCATGGCCTAATTGTTCCTGGTCATAGGCAAAGTGAAAGTGAATCGCTTCAGGCCATTGCATGAAACTTTTCCAGAAAACTGCTTTTGGTTGGTAGTTGGAACGAAATAGAACCGACGCATGGAGCTTTTGACCAGGAAAGATGACACGGCCTCTTCCAAGATGTGGTAAAATTGTGCTGAACATGGAAGTCAGATAAAGTAACCTTTCCATTCAGTGTGGCATACTGGTTGTTGTCACCGTGGCGACGATGCATGATCGGCAAAACCTCAAGGAGCCACCATGCGACATTCAAAGAGCTTTTGATATTGTGTCCACGCCAGTCTTCGTATGCGAAGTCTATATTGGAATTGTTTAGCAGAAGTCCGGCCGCGAGAACTTCTTCACACATCCATAGTAGAGGCATGTCTTGCAAGGTAAGGTGACTGACTGCCTTTCCCCTGCGTGCGCCTCCGCTGGAACAAGTTATTAAAATATTCCATCCTAGTGCAAGGGGTACATACATATCCGAATGATTACCAGCAAACCAAACCTCCTTAACATGTTCGTGCGAGGGAGGTAGCCCTGGCTTTGATTTGGATCGTTCGCCCATGCCACCGCAGACATACTCAGGTAGAAATTTTACCCTGAGCTCATCTAGGGCCAGTGCCTGGCGGAAGTAGCGAATGTGATCGCATGTATTGGCAGACGGCAAATTCCTTAAGCTATTAATACCAATAGACGACACGGTGTCCCTGGATGGTCCGTCAGAAATGCTGGTATGGCTACATTCGGGAACGACTCGAATACTCACCATACGCCGACGAAATATACCGACGCGCTCGTCGAGAAGGTCCGTTTAAAATCCTTTGCAAGACTAATATCCTTGAGTTTCCCACTCTTAATGGCAGAGTAATACTTGAAGGCGCTGCGAAAATCAGCCGGTCAGTTCAAGAATGGTCATCTATAGTACCCACTAGGGAATTTGGTCTTTGTTGCCGGGAATGATGAGCCCCACCTATCGGAGGAAAGAAAAATGAACAAGAATACAACTCGTGAATCAATCGATAAATACTTCGTGGATCATTCCCGCCAAAGCACGAACTTGGTATGCACCTCTTGAAAATCCTGGCCTCGCTTTGTAGCAAAACAAATGAGACTATCAGGGGACTTACCAAACAGGAAGATCTTGTCACCATCATGGTACCTGTCTGCGAGCCATCTATAAGCGTTCATAATCGATCGGCTGACATTACTTCACTACCGTCACTATGAATCATAGAAGGTCAAATACACGGTACTCACTGGGCAATGGCTTGGTCCAAGATATTCGTGGCCCGTTCCAACAATCGCGCGTGCGCGAGGCCTCCAGGTCTTCCATATGTTCCCACGCCTGTAAGGTAGCACACTAACTGTTTATCATTCTTGACGATATTACTACACAGTCGGATGATATTGGTGTTCTGAGTACAGATATAGTCGCAACGCATCACCGTAAGAGGTAGGTGCAACATACTTTAGTGCCAAACTTGTTGGATGTCCCGTCTGCAGACCTCAATAATTCAAATTATCTGAGACTGCAAGTTAAAACACGAACCGATGCATACAACCAGATTCCTGCCCGTGCCGGGGCCGGTGTGACATTTACAGCTCGGGGGACATGGACACGATTGCTGTGCCTTGAATTCAAACTCAGCAACGCGGCAGCTTTGGAGTCATTGACGCTCAACTAATGACATCACAATCGTGGGTGGGATTGGTTTGGATTCCGAGGAAGTTGGTCAGTGACTGGAGTATGTAAGATGTTAGATAGGATTCCTTGCAACAGCGAGGTTTTATATTGTGCCGACCAAAGTATGCCCGTGGACACGGTGTGCATGTGCCGCATGCGGCAACACTCTGCACAGTACGGGAGGATACCGCACCTCTGAAACATGTAGCCTACTGAAGAAGAGGGACACGCCATTGATGAATAGCGCCATTTCAATTTCGCATGAAATCGAAGTGTCGCAAATTTCATGATCTGTTTGACAGTTAGAGCGCTAAAGAAGCAAAGCATTGAAGACAGGTGTCCTCGTGTTCCATCTCCAAGAGACGCATGCGAGTAACGTGTGATCGCAAAGAATGGGATCGGAATCATCCTGAGCCAGTCATTCGAAAAGACAAGAAATAACCCTAAGCTTAGCGGAGCCTGCTGAATTTGCATCACTTCGAGAAATCAGTATGCGAGGTCAAACATGAAGACAGTGGCACTTATCAAGTACATTTCACCAATATGCCATGTGTCAAACGAGCGGGAGCCTGCCGCTACTTTGCGCGCTAACAAGTGGGACCCTTTTGTTTGTCAAGCTCCACAAAGAAGTCCGGTTTATCAATATGAAAGTAGCTGGCCGTCGGCTGCTGGTTTCAACTAGATCCGACTTGTCCGTCGCAGCTGCCTTCTGCTTTTGCCTTATTCTTCTTTGTGACCCTAAGCTAGTATCTTCGGCTACTAGGTAATTTGATGGGCTTTGAGCGCCTAGATTCTTGCACGCATCCGCATGCAATGAAGACAAATCCAGCTGGGAAGCTGGCCACCAGTGGGTAGAGGGCATCTGAAAATACTTCTGCGCCGCCCTCAGGCTCTCAAATTCACTCATGCAGGAAGTTTGCTGTTGCAAACCCTCGGGTTTCTAGCCCATCTGGGTAGGGAACCTGACAAGGGAAGGGAACCATTTGATCACCCGCCCTGATGTGGATTAGGCTGCCTTTACCTTATTATTTCTCCCATTGCTCTTGCCCGCACTGCTCATGCAGATGCTTTCAAGCTACTGCCTCTTCCCTCACCTCGAAGCGTCGCTCTGTGCGGCTCCTACAAATTGGGATTCAAGGTTCACTTCGCTGCGTCGCTCTCACTCCTACTGCAACGGAATTGCAGCTCACCTCAGCTCTCTCACAGGTTAAGACAACTATCAGGGCCTTGTCGCCCTTCCAGGCTTCCACCCAAAAACAATACTTGCTTTATTAAAGCAAACACTTTTTTTATTCCCGCTATGTCTATTAAGACCGCTGCACGACAGCAAACACTTCATGGACCTACCTTGAGGATCCATCCAGGCATTGCAATTGCATTTCAGACTTGACTGTCAACTATAGTTCATCCCATGCTGTTCGGAATAAGTCGGCTAAACAAAATGTAACCTAATAGTAGAAGAGCGTCGTTGCTACAGCCCAGTAATGACGTCGTCATTCGCGATCGTCGATGTTTTGGTTACCTGCTCTTCGACCGCATCGTCACACATGTACATATACTTGTTCTATCATGTGTCAAATACCCTGATGATCGATGTGATGGCCTGGGATGCAATGGTATACTGATCTAAAAGCAAGCTTCAGCACGTCGAGAAAAAGATGTTAGAGAACAACCGACCACGTTCGTGAGGGTGGTGCTGCGGATCTAAGTAGTACAGGGGATCCCTCTTCAGGTGTTGGTACTCGTCCATCTCCCGAACTTTCTGCCGTATCTCTCCTGAAAGTATTGTTAGCGTTATATCTCAGAATCAGGAGAGCGTTTACCATAAGACGACAAAGATTCCAATGCGGCAGTCATGCGGAGAACCTCGCCAGGATAATGACTGCTGAGCATTTCAACCAGTATCTTGTCATCCCTCGTAATTTCACGACGCAGTGATTCTGACGTTTCATGAGCGTGTTGCGCAAAGGGTTGTCTTGGAACTCTCACCGTCAGGCGCAATCTTTCTTAAAACATCATTGAGAGCCTCGATGTCCACATCCGTGGCTTTGAGACACCACAAAAGAGGTCCTATGATTTCAGCGTCAACCATCGCCTGACGTGCGTCCTCTATATCTTGATTAGTGTGCGTTCTCGACAGCAACACGCAAACCAACCGTAATCAGCAATAATGCGCAGGTAATTAATAGCGCTATTCTGAACAGAGTCGAGCGGATATGTTTCGATCATCTTGCGCAAAATCCCAATGAAGTTTGTCGGATATTTAGGGCTATCGGAATCATCCATTGCGTTTTTGACTTGTCTGCGGAATGTCTTCTCCATGACGTAGTTTGCCGCTTTCTTGAGTCGCTGATGGGGTGCATCCTTGCATCCGAAATTCCAAGAACCGTCATCGAAAGACGGTGGATTCATTGGGTTTAACATCACGGATCGAAGATCATCTGCACAACTAGTAAGAACTCCAATAGACCGCAGGAATCCAGATTGCCAAACCATTCTTGAATATGTCCGCAAGGATATCTATGCCTTTCCGGTGAATTGTTCCGTCAAATATGCGTTCATCGATCATCTGCAGCAAACGCAGGTCCACTGTAGTGTTCAGTATCCGTTCCTTGGCGTCGTCTGAACGTAGCCCAGTCAAATTTGTTGGAAAAATGTCTCGAAGCACCCACCGTATTTCATGAGAGTCAAGAGCGCATCCGCAGCAAACAACGCGTGGTCTGGTTTAGCCAAATTATCGACTATGCTGTCCAGGCCTCCTTCAGCAATGATTCGTTTGCGGAGTTCAGCTGAGACAAATGTCAGTTTTCCTGGAACAAAAATTTTATGGACCGTACGGTATCCTGATAGCTCCTTGAGCTCCTCAGTCGCCTCCTTGCTCTTTTCAACTGCGTCATCTCTCGAAAACGCAACTAGTTTTCTGATGTGCGGACCCTGTGCGAGCGCGTCGCGTATGTCCTCTGAGTAACATGGTAAGCAGGGTCTTCTTAAGCAGTTTCAGATACGAACCAAATTCAGCGAGCAATACCAAGCCGCGTGGTCCGCCGCTCAAACCTTGCTTATCGAACTCAAACAGGTCGATCAATGTGACGAGGATATCGCGGCCTATGGCCTCGGCACGGAGTTCTATTTTCGGAAGAACATCAGCATTGATCGTAGGAATGGGAAGGGTGTGTACCTGGACTCTTGCGGCAAAACTCGCATAATGCAGCGACCGCAGCCGGAGTGACAAAGAAATCACGACGCTTTATCAAGGTCTTGAGTCGTTTTACAAGCTCTCCGCATTCGATATTCTTTGGGATGTTTCCTGAACACGAAATATCTGAACATACTGATTTCCGTGGATCTATGTCGTGACTGACCTTTCCCGGCCACAACTGCCAAAATCTTTAACGCAGCAACGACAACGATCGGAGCTGAGATACAAATGTGGAAGAGGAGCGAATTGAGAGGTGAAGACTTACATTTTTCTTTCAACATAACAAAGATTTGTCGGATGAAATCGGATTGTTTAGAAAGAATGCAAGATGCATCATCTTTAGTTCGATCGCATATGAGGGGGCATGTTCGAAACGATTCAGATGAATAATGCAACTAACCAAAGCGTTGGGCGAGGTATGACAGCGTCCTCATCGCGATTAGTTTGTTTTCGCCGGTGTTCCGACACAGGTCGACGATTCGACCAACCATATCCTCTTTGAGGAGCTTCTCTCTTAGTGTTTTGATCTCGCAAAGAGCCGGAAGAGCCGCACAGGCTCTGCCTTGGTATTCCGTGTCTTGGAGCATGGTAGGAACATCAAGACTGTCTAGTATTCTTTCCGTGTCTTCGTCCGCGTCCTTGACTGTGCATTTCTGAGAGTTCGTCGAGGCAGCAATATAAAGCAAGACATACTGAGTGCGCAGTACGCGATGAATGCGCCGAGGCACATTTTACGAGCATTAATGCGTTCTTTTTTGGCCGCGTCAGGATCTTTGTTCTTCAGGTCCGACATGGGAGATGTCTCCTCCTTCTCGTCTGGCGCGTATTTAACATCCCCGATAGTTTTGCCATGAATGCTAAGCAAGGCTTCTAGCGTCTCTAGTGCATTCACCTTCCGCACCGCTTCAACTCCGAGTTCTGCAATCCATAAGATCAGGTCGGCATGTCAAAATCGTCTGTGATCTCACCGAATGAACACATGAAGGCCAAGCGATCAACATAATCCAGGGTGTGTTTCTTGTGAATTGTACCAACGAGATCTTCAGCAGTCGAGCGATTGAAAGGAACTTCCCAGGCATCACCCAACTGTTCCTGGTCATAGGCAACATGGAAGTGAATTGCTTCTGGCCATTGCTGGAGATTTCTCCAGAAACTCGCTTTCGACCGATAGTGGGCACGAAACAGAACCGACGCATGGACCTTTTGGCCAGGTAAGATGGTACGACCTTTTCCAACATGCGGCCTACAAGTGTTCAATGTCTGAGTCAGACGGAACAACATTGCCACTTACACTATTGTATGCTGGTTAGAATTGTTGTAGCAAAGACGTCTGACAGGAAATAGCTCGAGCAGCCACCACCGAAGTGTTAACGAGTCGTTAATATTAGGTTCCTTCAAATCTTCAAATCTGAAAGCTATCTTGGGTGGATTGAGCAGAAGCCCTGCATCGAAAGCTTCTTCTCGCATCCATAGTAAAGGCATGTCTTGGAAATTGAGTGCTTTGCCCGTCTTCTCCCTGTTTCCACCACCGCTGGAACAAGTTGTCAAATGATGGCCTTCCCGTGCAGGGGATACATACATATCCGAATGACTACCAGCAAACCAAACCTCCTTGACATTATCTTCCTTGACATCCTTGACAGCATTGTTTGGAGGTTGCGCCAATTGGGATTCGGGTCGATTGCTCGTGCCTCCATAGACATACTCAGGTAGGAATTTCACCCTGCGCTCATCAAGCGCAAGTCCCTGACGGAAACAGCAAATGTGATCGCATGTATCGGTGGATGGTAAAATCTTCTCCTTCCTGATACCAACAGATGAAACGGTGTCCCTATACGGCGTATTGATCATGCTGGTGTACTCGCACTCAGGGATAACGCTCACCATACACCGATGAAATGTATTACTACGCGTCTGGAGAACGTCGACCTGAATCCTGCCGCAAGTAACTTATCCTTCTTCTTTCCACTGTTGATGGCGGAGTAAAGCTCGTAGGCGCTGCTGGCGTCAGAAAGTCAGTCAGGAACGATCATCAAATATACTCACTAGGGGATCTGTTCTATGTTGCCGGGTAATATGAGTCCCATCTATCAAAAGAGTATTAAACAAGAAAGATTATAGATCATAAATCGACGTTGATGGATACCTCGTGGATCATTCCTGCCAATACACGAACTTGGTAGGCACCTCTCGAAAATCCTGGTCTTGCATTTTAGTACAGTTGACTATATGCAACGTCCAAGGAACTTACCAAACAGGAAGATCTTGTCACCAGGACGGTACGTGTCTGAGCCATCTGTAGGCTCCCATAATAGTTCGACTGATATTACTTTACTGACGTTACCCCGAACCATGAAAAGTCAAAGATATGATGCTTACAACGCAAAGGCCAGATCAAAGACACTCTCGATCTGCTTCATCCAGTGTGTGTGTCCCTTGGCATACGTTCCTACACCACTGTTGTAGTACGTTAACTGCTTGCTATCCTTGACCATCTCGCTATACAGTTCGACGATATTGGTGTTCTGAGTATAAATATTGATTGTCAAGAAAATCAGAAGGCATGAGCGTCAGACGACCTACTTTATCACCATACTTGTTTGATGTCCCATCTGAAGACATGAATAATCGTCATCGGGAGCTGTAAGCTAAAACGCCCACCGATACAAATGACCAGATTTCTCCCTGATACTTGGTCCCCGGAACACTTACACGATATCATAATCCGAAATTGTCAGCGACTACCCAATTTGGAGCCGTAATAGTAGGATATGCCACAATGGTGGCTTGAATGCGCGAGATGTTGGATGAATTCCCTTGCATCAACAACGTTTTATATTGTGCTGGACAGGGCCTGCCCACGAAGGTTTGGTCATACGATGACCTGTGCATAACTGCATGCGGCACACGTGGAAACACTATACCCGGCCTCCTGGAGAAGCGCCACACTAGATCCATAGAAACTGCGGTACGATTAAGTGCAATACTTCGATATTTTGCACACCACGTTGCAGACCTTACGGCTCAAGTAATGATGCACGGCAAGGATGCACAATATCCTTGGCGTCAGGTGCAACGTTGGGCGTCTTGTTCGATTTGTATGGACACAGAATGCAAGGGCTCAATCGGGAAGTGATGAACAGAAGATGGAACATGAGGCTGCATTGTGGAGATGCCAAAACTCTGGGATGGATATCAAGTCGTCGAATGAAAAATCACAGGTTACGTACAAGGCTTGTTTTAAATCATATTACATCCACAAACTCTTGTAGGGTAGAAGTGACTTTGCGGCTCACATGATTTGTGAAGCTTTCAAATATCAACCGATCCTTGCCCTCCACCCAGGTGAAGAAAAGATCGCATGCAATGTCACTTGAAGTATAAGATGATCGTTCGCGACATTCAACCGAACAACGCAGGACTGGCAAATCTTGATCCGCACAGATTGTTTCTGGAAGTTTCCCCCTTCGTGCTGCGCGGGACCAGGTGTTACTCCGGGCATGCACCAGCATGGTAGAAGAATGATCATGAATCGCAGGCGTAGCCGAGGATGTAACCGTTATGCCATTAATGAGTGCGAGAACATTTCGTAAAGCGCTTGCCAGAATGTCCGCAGATCGAGCGCCCGGAAAAGCGTGGTGCAGCGTGTTGCGAGAAGGCATGATATTCTGCAAGGCTGGGTTGGAGACGCGAGCGAAGGTCTGGACAGTGATGAAGTAAATAGCTTGCGTGATGGTAAAGCTAGAAGTCATACATCAGGAAGCCTGGCATCTTGAAATGACCACCCAATGGCCCAACGACGAGTTTGACCCTGAACAAACTCTGTTATAGCATAGTTGTCTACCTTACGTCACCAAATTAGATAGGAGACTGCAGAGTTCCACGACGCACGCACGCAGTGTTCGCGAAAGAGGGAAATAAGATCAGGAATTGATGACATCTTCCCAAGCATAGAAGTGTACCACCTATGGGCACGCATCAGCACGTCTGAAGTCGCGCTGTCAATACAATTAGGTCACCTGCACTTCATCCTCAACTGTAGGCTTTCCAAAAAAATCCGAGCAACAAAATTTGTCTCTCCCCCTGGTGTTATCATCTCCACTTCTGCTCCGGAGCAAACCTTAGTCAATTGGTTAGATTATCTTACATAAGTGAACACTGTCTTTCTCACCGCATTTGGACTAAACTCCTTGAATTCGGCTGAGCGCGAAACGTCTTCGGCGCTGCTATAAAACGGTGGGTTACACATGGTGAAGTCAAAATCCATTAGACTTGTATGCAGGGGTTGAAGAATAGGCCCATCAGCCTGAACACGCTCAACAACAATGCGACTGTCCATAGAATTCTGAGAAACGTTTTGTTTGGCGAATTGGATGGACCGTTCGTCGACATCTGAATCATATGTTCCCATCATATTTCGAAAGCATACCGTTATGGCACTTACCGGTAGCTATGAAGTTCCAATTATGTTCAATGCCACAAGCCAATAACGGGTAGATTGCTGAAGCACCAGTGCCACTGAGTGACGTTTGCTCCACTGCATTCAAACGAAGAATAATGTGACACACATGTCAAGCCCCCTGACGGTAGCGGAACCGCAAGTGAATTTCACTATGTCTTGTAGCCAAAGAACATAATTTAATCTGTGGAATAGATTTCAGCCTTCCTGCATCGATCTTCTAAAATGTAAAAGCACCTGTTCGGCACCTAATATGCATCTGGTGTGAGATAATATAAATGCGCAGCAAAAAGCCTTACCGGAGGGCAGAGTCTATCGTCGGGCAGGGTTAATGAAAGACCATAGTCAAGACGAAGGAGTGCTTCTGTTAAATGCCTGCCCTCATTAGTGTACCGCATCAAACGGAGCTTAGACTTATCATCGCTCACTTTTGTGCAGGAAGGTTTTTGAAATTTATCGTGCTTGATCCTGTATGGTTGATGAAGACACTGGATAATTTCAGTATTTCTCCGAGGCTTTCGTCCGATGAATGCGTACTGTGGTCTGAGAGGAGGGTAGCGCCTTGCAAGGTCAGCAAAATCAGGAGGTTTATTATACGGATTGCGAGGATGCATGTAATGTGTTCCCCAAAAACTTGAACAAGTCAAGAGCAAGAGGGACCGATCACTGGTCGTTGAGTGACACAGTGACCTCAGTCCGAGTCTCCGAGTCTGGCCAAATTGCTAGCGGCTTACTAAGCGAGTCCAGAGTCCGACTACATCCTGTTCCCACAACGCCTGGTATCGTCTACGACCATGTAATAATGACCCCGCCAAGTCTCCCACTGGAAGCACAATTAAATCAGACCACAAGCAACACCCGTTGATGCATCAATTACTCTTATCCGATGGTCCTCCCAAGATAAAGTAAAAGTACTTATGTTCGCTAAACATTTCCATGCTCTCGTCCACACTGTATACCGGTTTAAATTGGTAAGTTTTGACTTTTCTGGGCCTGCTGTCGCATCCTCACTCACTCAAATTACAGAGAGAACTAAATAACCCCTCAAGCTCCTCCAGTACCTTTATTCACGATTGTTTTCTTTTTCTTCCACCTCACTTCTATGCACTCTATTGGGTCTTCTGGGCATAGACTTGGAAGATCATCCATACTGTTCTAAATCTGCCACGAACGAGTGTCGCTATTAGATTGAAGTATAGCCGATATTAATGGCGAGAAATTTCCCATACAGACTCTTAGGAATGTATGGAACACTTTTTCCTCCTCATCCAAAATTAGCCGCTCACAAAATTAAGAGTTCCTCCCGAGGCGTGAGCTATAACTGTGAGCCAGTTGATGCGGCTTGGCGTATAAAGCCCTCGTGTTTCTCAAGAACCCTCTGGTTGCTGAGCTCAATTCCATGTCTGCCAAAAGAGTCTTATCTTGTCCATAGTATGGGTGCCTACTACCTCGGCAACTTTGAGGGTGTCCAATGTCTTCCACATGATTCCGGGAAGGAAGTTTCACATGAGGTCTTCAAGATCAGAGTTATTTGTGTCTTGCGTTTGGACTATGATATCCTGATCGATGCCGACTCCCGAGGATAAGTATGACCAAGGAGTATGAGACCGCTACTATTTGCGAGGAAATGCAGAACCACGATGCTGCTTCTATCCGTAAAGCGGCCTCCAAGTGATGAATATGAAACAAAGAACAAGAGTTCTACCACGAGTAAGATTTGATTTCTTCGCCCATCCTATATGCACAAATATATCTGATATCTCAGGCACGCTTATCAAATTCAATAGCTCATAGCGGCATCTGATTGGAAAAGATGTTCACACCTACGAGCTACGTGTTGTCGGACTGCTTTTCCTACGATACTCGTGGTCAAGTCCAGAACATCCATTGAATTCAACAAACGGCAAGATCGGACGCGAGTCACTAGTGCTGGGGCAGAATTATTTACGGGCAATTATGCTGATTATGCCGGCAGAAGTGGCGATTCTCGCCACTTCTGTCACTTGGCAGAAATCTCAAAGCGCTACAAAGCTATGTGCATGACTATGTATGGTATAGGAAACGCCATTAGAAGAACACCAGCACGTCCACATCCCACTGCCCGTCGTCATGTGAGCTGTGATCGATTGATTAACTATCATGATCTCGTCAATAGATTTTGGTGGAAGACCTCGGTCAAGGTTGATGTGCGAGCGCCGAGTGGTGGTGCCCACGCAAAATTGGCTCCTAAATCGACATCGATGCCTGGCTGGACATCATGGTGTGCATGGCGTCAACGAATTGGCTTTCCATTAGCTACGACCTTGTGATGATTATAGTACAGACTGTACAACTGGTTTTTTTCTACTCTACTCTACAAGTCAGTTGCTCTGAGTCGACCGAGAAAGGTTACATCATTCACTGTGATCCCCTGTAGCTTGACATTCAACCGGATTCATGCCCGCAGAATTGTGCCATAGCACCGTTTGATAGAACCGGCTGGCTTCCTAGAATCCTAATGTACCTTGGTCAAATTTAAAAATTACTAAATTAGGCAACGGGGGACCGCACGACTGGTTTAAACCGACCGGCGACAACAACAGCACTGGAAATTCTGCCAAGCAGCTGAAATGATGATTGTACCACGGTCGATCTCGGTCCCACCACTAAGCTGGCAAGACCTGCATCGTAAGTCATACGTATTGCATCCACATGGTAGCAGATCACACGAGCTCCGAACCTTTTCCGACGGTCCATGAATATTTATACTGGAAAAACCAAACAATGTTATCCCATACCTATTACTCATCCCACCCTTACTACTACTCGGGTGCGCGACTGCACTGGCAAGAATGCCACGTCTGACTTTCGCGGTGCTCAGTGGCATACAGCTTCTCGCTCGTGTATCAGCTCAAACATGGTGAGCATCGTTCGTTGGATATCCCGACCACAACTTGTGTGACCAACATTTTTGACCCCTTCCGAAGGTGTAATAAGCACTACATGGCCAATCAGTCTGTTGTCCCACCAGGAGGCGAATTCACTATCCCAGCTGTGTCAGACGTCCCACTTCTTGCCTTCCGGTGTGCGGCAGCCGTAAAACCTTACTTGGAAGAGGATGTAGGCACACCTGCAGGCGTCCTCATTGATTCACCCGTGGTGTACTCAGAGATAGTCGGGGCACAACCAATCGGCCTCCCCGCAGGACCCCTTTCTAGTGCGGGACAATTGGATGTCACTGTGAGCCTGAATGGAAAGACTCTCGTCAATGCGCTTGTCCCACTCAATGCTTCTGCATATGAGCTACCATTCAGCCTTGATGGGATCACTCCTCAGATGACCCCATACAACCTTTCTTGTGGAGCCACATTCTTGGCAAGCAACGCAACAAGTTCATCGTCACCTCAGACCTACAACGCTTCGGCAGCTCTTTCTGTACTCCCTAATCCGACCAACAGCTCTGTGACTAAGATGGATTTAAGGACTGGAGCACTTCTGGTAAAGCCAGCAACTGGGTTAGGTGGAGAGTACGAGCCAATCTTTCCGGTTGGCTTCTATACGACCTTTGATGGATACCTCTCAACAAATATTTCGGTGGTTGATACGCTGAAACAACAAGGGTAGGCCTCATTTTGTGTTATTGTCCATACAGATCTGATACTCGCCTTCAGGTTCAACATTGTACGTTTTCCTAATGTTTACACAGAGGAACCGAGTGCTTACTGCCAGCGCAGATTCATATTGTCCCCACAT